AGAACGCGAGTAAAGAAGAACGCGAGTAAAGAAGAACGCGAGTAAAGAAGAACGCGAGTAAAGAAGAACGCGAGTAAAGAAGAACGCGAGTAAAGTAATTAAAGTAAGTAGAAGCAGTAGAAGCAGTAGAAGCAGTAGAAGCAGTAGAAGCAGTAGAAGCAGTAGAAGCAGTAGAAGCAGTAGAAGCAGTAGAAGATAGATATTATATAATTATCATACAAGTAACTCGCGACAGAGCCGTACGCGCCTCTCATGGACGATATAGAAGTAGAGAAAACCGGATCCGAATAAAGACTATAAGCTAGCTATAGAGAATCAGAACCAGAACCAGAACCAGAACCAGAACCAGCAGTAGGTAGCAGGAGAAAAGACAATACTGGCTTAGATGTTGTGCTTGCTTGTGCTTATGGTTGTCTCCGAGGATGGAATGGAGTCGATGTGGTGGTAGAAATACTACTCTCACTACTATCACCGCCACCACTCTAACTCTCAATCAAAGCTTCCAGCGTGATCGGTACCGCATCAGAAGGATAGTAGTTCCCAATCGACAAGTTCGGGAACCCAGGCTCGGTCCACAGCAGCGTATATCCGTCCACGCTACACGACAAGATGGGCCGAGTGCCTCCATTGGCCGGACACACCAAGGAGCAAGACATGATGGTCAATCCTAGATCGCTGATGGTGGTTTCAGGCGCGAACTCGAATACGGCGTCGTTGTTGGCGGTGGAAGTGAGCGCCGCCGCTATGTATCCGGTGCTGAGCTCGACGAACTGGCCTTGGTTGTCGAAGGTGAAGACTGTGCCGGACGATGTTGAAGAGTCGAAGATGACGTAGTCGTATGGGTCGCTTGCTGGTCCGACGGGCTCGAGCGTGACCGCGGTGCCGTCGGAATAGGTGGTACTGTTGAGGGTGACGAGCGAGAATGTCGGTTGGGCGCCGCCAGTGTCGCAGGGCGTGGAACTGGTAGTGGTAGTAGTAGAAGTGGTAGTAGTAGTGGTAGTGGTGGTGGTAGTGGGAGCGGTAGTGGTGGAAGTGGTAGTGGTGGCAGTGGTAGTAGTGGTGGCAGTGGTGGTGGTAGTGGGAGTGGTAGTGGTGGAAGTGGTAGTAGTGGAAGTGGTAGTTGATGTAGTGGTGGTAGTAGTAGAAGTGGTAGTAGTTGATGTAGTGGTGGTGGTAGTGAGAGTGGTGGAAGTGGTAGTTGATGTAGTAGTAGTGGTAGCAGAAGTGGTTGTAGTGGTAGTTGATGTATTTAATGTACTACTTGCGGTAGTAGTGGCAATGGTAGTAGTGGTAGTAGTACTTGATGCGGTAGGAGTAGAAGTAGTGGTGGTTGTACTTGATGTAGTAGTGCTTGATACGGTAGGGGTAGTAGAAGTGGTGGTGGTGGTGGTGGTGGTGGTGGTGGTGGTGGTGGTGGTGGGAGGAGAAGTAGTAGTAGTAGAGGTGGTTACGGCGGTGGTGGTAGTGGTGGTGGAGGTAGTAGAACTAGTAGCAGTAGAGGTGGCTACGGTGGTAGTGGCAGTAGTGACAGTGGTCGTCGTGGCCGTAGGGGTCGTAGTAGTACTTGATGTACTACCTACGCTGGTCGGTGAAGTGGTTGTAGTTGCTGTGGTGGTAGTGGCTGTGGTGGTAGTGGCAGTGGCTGTCGTCGTCGACTCCGATATCAATGAAGTCGTGCTGGATGTCGACGTTGACGTTGACGTTGACGTTGTTTCAGGATTAGTCCCCAACACGGCGTTCCCAATCGCAGCACTGTCCCAGCTGCTGTAGTCGTTGAGAGCAGCTTCGGTGTATCGGTCCTGAACGTCCCTCAATAGTCTGCAGTTCGCCGACGTGCAGACACTGTTAGACGAGAAAGTCATGGCCACGCAGTCGGCCGCATTGTCACACATCTCGAGGCACTGGTCGAAGCTGTCCGCGTGCCAGCCTTGAGCTTGAGACAGGAAGTTTGCCGAGTTCACTGGGTCTGTCGAGAGATCGCCGGTCCAGTATTCCGAGCAGTACACCGTGTAATCGGCCTGGTACAGTCCCGAGCCTGTCACCTCTGTGCTGCACAGTGCACTGCCCGCCCCTGGGTGGCAAGTCGGGTCCCGAGTGGTTTCCGTGGCAGGAGGCAGTCCGGGAGATGTCGCCGATTGCACGTCGGTGACTGTCAAGGTGAAGTCGCTCTCTGCGGCTTTGATGCGATGAGTCGACGTGGTAGTAGTTGCTACGGCGGTAGTGGTACTTAATGTACTACTTGCACTGGTCGTGGAAGTGTAGATAGCAGCAGTAGTGGTGGTGCTCGTAGTAGTGGGCAGAGTGGTGGACAACGTCAAGCTTGTGGTTGTGGTTGTACCAATGCCTATACCTATGCTCAATGTCAAACCTATCGATGTGGCTGTGGTTAGAGCTGCCGTGGTCGTGGGGGTAGTGGCAGAGCTAGTTGCAGAGGTAGAGGTAGTGGATGTAGATGTAGATGTTGTATTCCCATAGAAAACCAATGAGCTGGTGGACAACGTCAAGCTCGTGGTTGTGGTTGTACCTGTGGTCATGTCTGTCGTCTCCGTCAAACTTGTCAATGTGGCTGTGGCTGTGGCTGCCGTGGTCGTCGACTCCGATATCGGTATCATTGAAGCTGTGCTGAACGTTGATGATGATGTGGTCGTGGTGGTTGTGTCGGGTGTTCTAGTGGTCGTGGTCGTCGCCAGAGTGCCCGACGTGGTTGATAGAATGCTGGAACTTGTTGTGGCTGTGGTTGTCGTGGTGGAAGACGAAGACCGTTTCCTCACTCTCAACTTGATGGAGCTGTCTGCTCCGTTGAATTGGTAGTTCACAATCCCGCCTGCACGGCCGCTGAAGCTGGCGGCAGGACTGGATCCCACGGCCGGCATCTGCAGATATCCATCTTCATCCACGATCCACCGGTTATAGACTGGGTCCAATATAAGGCTGGTGTACACCAACAACGGCAGAGCGGTGATGACTAAGTTGGAATCCGTCGGCGCCACCAGCCATCCCCCGGTGCCGTTGTTCGTGGTGATCTGGCCTCCGTTCATGGTCCAGGCAAAGTAGAGCGTGGGAACATTGCAGATCCGGGGCTCGTACTTGAAACTGCCGCAGAAGCCGACGTAGTACGTTGCCCCAAGTCCCTCCACCTCGATCTGGAAGCTGCCGTCAATCGTGTCGCTCTCGCCGCTTGCGAGAGGCGGCAATGAGTATTGAGTCAACGTCACAGCATCGCAGCCATTCGGAAGCTTCCGGTCCCAGTACGCAAAGATTTGACTGTTACTCAGGATGCAAAACTGGGCGGTCCCAAAACTTAGGGCGCCGGTGACAGCGTCGATATACCAGCCCAGAGATACGCTCGGGGCATATTTCTGGTCGTCGCTGACTCGTCGAACTGGCTCAGTAGCAAATAGACTGTCGAAGCCCACGTACCCGGCCTTTCCACTGAACTGGAGGATGTGGCTGAGCGAATCGAGCTTCAAGGGCCAGGCTAGAGTCTCGTCCGTCACCGCGATGGCATCGATGCCGGAGAAGCCGATGTAGGTGGTCGATCGCTTGTGTCTTCCTTGTGGATTAACCTGGTTTAGTACCACGTAGAAGCTGTCGTCTCCAGCCACCGCGGTGGGTGCAGGGTCTGGTGAAACGACCGCTAGACTTGAGATCGCAGTAGTTGTGGTCGTAGAACTGCTGGAGGTACTAGTGCTCAAGGAGCTGATCGAGGAGATAGACACCGACTGTGAGGAGCTTGTCGACGAGGTCTGGGTGGATGCCGTCGAGCCAGAGGGTTGAGAAGTGGTCGACCCTACCGACGAGCCGGTCGTGATCGAAACGGGACCGACTGACCCTGTCGAGGTCGAGGTCGAGGTTGAGGTCGAGCTGGAGACGTCCCAGTCTATCCAACCGGGACCAGACAGGGAGTGTATGGTTGAGGAGCCAGCTGCAGCTGCAGCTGCGATCAGAGTAGTCGGATCCCAGTCCTCCCAGCTGCCAGCGTCGCTTGCAGAACGACTACCGGTGGGAATGGAGAGGAAGGTGCCAGCCGAGACACCTTGGTCAGGGCAAGAAGGTGGCAGTGTTTTCCATGGACAGACTATAACCGTCCGAGTACTCTTGACCGTCACCGTCTCATCTTCTGTCGTTGACGCCGAAGCTGCAGTCGCAACCAGGACGGCCAGAAGAGCAGCAGAAAACTTGAACAACATTTTGGCTTAGGGATCGAAAAGAGAAAACCGAGATATAACGAGTGGACGGCACCGCCTGAGGTGCCAACACCAACAACCCTCAATACCGCAACTCGAACGCAGGATGAGGACCAAACCGTCTATCAAGAGCTACCCTACCTGGGCCTCTCGACGGCATATAAACACGACAATAATAATGTCGAGGTCTGTCGTATTTGGGCACCCGACGAGCCTAAGATGTCAAGGCGTCGCCGTCGCCGTCGTGATCAATGGCGATGTCGAGGCTCTCTGTTGCTTCTATCACCCTACTGTAAGAGGCGAGCTCACCACGGGCAGAGTGTGACCAATCAACATGGCCAGAGCCGAGATGGTAGCCCTAGACGGGAGATTTGATGGCCCCAAACCCACAACTCGCAGAACCAGGGTCGAGCTACAACATGTCGTACTGAGGATCATACCCCGATACGGCCTAGTGGCCGCTGATAGTGTCCCCGACCTGGTAAACATGTGGTGTCCACCCCTGAGCCAAGCGAGCCTGATGCCAGATGCCAGATGCCAGATGCAGATACACCGTTGCTACTAGGTAGTACTCCGCACATATGCACTGATTGCGCCCACAAAATCCCGCTCGCTGCGAGATGGTACGATCTCGGATCCAGTCCAGCGTGCTAGAATCCGGTCTCATGCTGCAAGTATATACCCCGTGCCGCAAAGCCATTACATCCTCCCCTCGCCTGGAATCTGATACTCCCTCCTCGGCCTAAATTGAGGAGCTGTCACGCTACTGTGTAGTAAGGCAGTCCAGTCTAGCATCAGCTCGCTAGCTAGCATCTTCCGGACCCTGTGCACATAGGACGTGGTATAGACGGATATCATACCTAATATGTTTTGACGGCTGTCGCGAATGTAGTGCCATGGCATTCCCGCGGTGATTCGATGTAGCATAACTGATCGGCAGCCCTTTACATCTATTCTGGCGAAATTATACGACGTGATCACTCGGTTATTGGGAGTTGGCGGCTGCACGGCCTATCGTAGTGATATGGCCTTGGGTGAAATAACCTAGGGTGAATTTTTGCAGGTCTTTGCTCTTCTCGGACGATACAACCTCTAGCACGAGGCCTGTGTGCAAGCTGCGGATGTCGGAAGGACTTGTTGGGGCTATGTCCGCAAACTTCGGATCTACCCCGAGTACAAATCTGCGCGTGAGGCCTTCATGCTCTTCGTCTCCGCAAAGGTTGACCAGTCCACGTTGAAAAAATCGGGTGACGTCCTCCAATTAGGTACACCTCATCAATACTCGATACCGGCAGCGACAATAGAGGATGAATCGAGATGAATCTGGAATATGGTTATTAGGAGGATCAACAGTGAAGTGCCCAGAAAGTTACCGCAGGTGGAGATGGGTACAGTGCCAGTGCCCGTGCCAGTTGGGGCATCCGGGAGAGGCTGCAACGGTCGAGTAACGGTCGAGTAACGGTCGAGTAAAAGCGCCGCAGGACAGCTGACAGATTAGATTAGATGAGGTCAGGGTTGGGTGTATCAGATAAGATTAGACTATGATTACCCTGCTTATCGATAAACCCGTCCGTTTAGTGCCACTGCCGATTTATTTATTGCACCACTCAAGTTTGCCGACAAACGTGCCCGTCAGCACTGCACACCCCAGGGCCAGGACCTTGAAACCCTGATATATTGTCGGAGCCATGGCAAGTTAACTCTTTGCTCGATGTGATCTGTCATGGTCCTGTTTGCTGACTAGGCCTTGATCCTCAACAGGCACCTCTTCGTGGACCCCCGTCCCGTTCTGCGCAACCTCCCAAATCCATCCTCAAGAAATCTTCCGATACTGCCTCGGCCGATGGCGGTTCTCTCTTCCCGTCCTCCAAGAAGGATAAACGCCGCATCAAGCATGCCTTGCTTATTGACCGAGTCACCAAGTCGTCCGCGAAGAAGCCCAAGCGAAGACGGCCAAATAAAAAGCTGATCACCACTCTGGATTCGTTGGTCGATGCGCTTCCCAGCACCGACGACGCCGGTGCCAGCTACAGCACTGGACTGGCAGCCGGAGACAAACCACAGGACCAGGTCAACATCATAAAGCGCAAGAGCATGAAGTCTCGACCCGGAGCCATGAAAAGGCGGGAAAAGCTCGACAAGGGCGAAAGAGATCGCTTCGCCAAGAACATGGCCCAACTGGCTACCTCGAAATCCGTGACCGATGGGGCCAACGGGAATTCTGGAATCAAGTCAACTGTACCCTCGGCGAGCGAGAGGCTGGCCGCTCTCAGAGGGTTTATCGCTCAGACTTTGGAAACAAGGTCGGACTTGAAAAGCACCACAGCGAAATGAACCGCTTAGTCCACCCATCCGTTGTATCAGGCGAGACCAATCTCGCCCCGAAGAGGGTTTTTGCCCAAAACTCGTACTGGTAGATCGGTCGGTCGGTCGGTCACATTGCCCATTAGACGAAAAATTCGCGGAGCATGCCAGAACATCTGCACGATGCTCTTACTCTGAGGGCCAAGGCCGAGGCTGTACGCCAGCTTGGTATTGAGAAGCCCCGCTTCATGGGGATGATACCATCAACAGATGATCTGTCCATGATGATGCTCTTGCTACTTTGCCATGCTGTGATGCGAATCCCGATCGATCCTCTGGCGAGACAAGGATGCTGTTGTGCCCAACCTCAAGATGTTTCTAGAGCATGAGGGTGAAGAGGCAAGCATACCCTCCGAGAGTTGACTTGACGCTATGCTGGTTCTACCCAAGCACCTGCCAAGCCATATTTGATCGACAGCAACCAAGACAAGCAGATATCAGCACTGAAGCTGAGGCTCTTCCTCAACTTGAGACGTCGGAGGCCAGCATTTACGTCTCTGCTCTCTACCATTGGCTTACTACAAGACGATGCATCGAATCCCGATTGCGCGGCCTGGATGGCATCGAATGGGACAAACAGTGACTGTGGGCGAACGAAACATATCGTACCGTCCAAAGGCCTCCATGCAATTCGAGAGGCTCGTTTGTATGGTGACCGCGTCCACGACCACGTCCAGGTCCACGTCCTCGCAATGCTCACATGAGTAGAAGTAACGAGGACCGGCATGCTCACATGAGTAGAAGTAATGAGGACAAGCATGTCCCACAGTGCAATAGAACAGGATATATTCTTGGTCTCCTCATCAGGGACGACATGGACATGACACCATGAAGCCAGTCAATCACTTTCTTCACCTTACCTATCAGGGACTATTATACAGAACATTTCCCTACCACCAACTCGTCACTGGTAACACCTTACATCTGCCTGTTTTGACAATGTACTATCCTACCATCATTTCTCAATATGCAGTATTCAATACCGGATACCTACATGTATGCAATTATTGTGACAGCATTAGAAATTAGATGGCTGGTAAAGTATCGTATAGTATAGTCCTAAGATCATCACTGACACTGGCACTGTCGCTACGGGTTTCCAAGCGCTATATTCGACGGCCAGTCAACAACTAGACTAGACAGTAAATGCCACATCACTCAGGAACACTTTGAATTATAGAAGCGAGTCAGACCCACGGTAATCGATGTCAAGAAACGGTCGGTGGAGACGTAGTCGATCAAGATGATATTGGGCGGCTTCACCTTCTCGGCCCACGAGATCGGCCCGGTATAGGGGACGTTGGAGCCGACCTGGGCCAGGTGGCCGTTGAACAGGCTGGCCAGGCCCTGGATGGAGCTCCCCAGGCCGATGACGTCGATGATGTTCTGGGTGCCGGTCCACGAGAGCAGGAACAGTTGGTCGGCGCGGTCCGGGGATTTGGCCTGGGCGACCAGTTTGGTGTACTGGTCTTTGCGCATGGTGTCGAGGTCCGTCGTGTCCGAGTAGCTGTTGTAGATGGGCACTTGGTCGCTGGAATAGAAGCCGCGGCCTTGGAACCGGTGGTTCTGGAGCCAGGAGCTGTTGCGCTCGTCGCAGATGACGACCACGGCGGGACCCTTGCTGATGAAATCCGTGAGAGGAACGGTGGTGAGCACGTCGGACTTGTGGCCCGTATACAGGTGCTGGGTGTTGTTCCACAGTTCAAACAGGAGGTCGTTGTACTGGCCATCGTCGAAGGCCTGATACTTGTCGTCCGTGTCGCTGCTGTGGCTCAACTCTAGGATGATCAGCTCGTTGTTCCCTTCGCTCGTGAACTGGTTGATGTCGGCCACGATCGCCGACATCTCCTGCCCGTTCGCCCCCAGATCTCCCGTGTAGTGACCCGTGTAGTAGGCCCCGTGCGAGATGGTCGGCCGGATGTCGAAGTACCGCACCCCGGCCTGCAGCTGGCCATAGATGTCGAGACTCTGCGTCTGCGTGTTGTCCGAGTCCCCGCCCGCCGGGTACTTGATGGTCGACATGCCGGCGTCGTGGGACCCGGGAAGCACCAAGTCCTGGAGCGTCAGGCACCCGATGTACGGCAGGTTCTGTGCCATCCAGTTCGTCGGCGGATGGTTGCCGGCCAGCGAGTTCTGGTCGCCGACGAGGATGAAGGGAGACCATTGTTCATTCTGGAGCGGAATCTCGATCGTCGACCCTTTGGCGTTGTTCGAGATGCCGAAAGCATCGAGCTCGGCCTTGATCACCGACGTGTATCCATCGTCGCTGTTTCCAGACACGGAAATCTTGAGGTTGGCCACCGGGTGAGTGTTGTCAATCCATGTAAACGGCCACTGTGCTTGCGTCTGGCTTGGAGAGGTCATGGTCGTCTCGTCAATGATGATCTGAGCATCGTATGTTTGGCCTGACTAACTGTGAGTTGACGTCCGATTGCTTATGAGGGCCACCCGAGTCGCTTACCTGACTCTAAAGTTTTTGGAAAATCCCACTCCGGCACGCCATATGTGCCTGATAGTCCGATCTCACTCCAAGTGTACGGTGTATAGTTGACGAGCGAGAGGTTGGTATATGTGGCCATAGTGTCGAAAGGCCGCCCACGCTCACCAGAGCAATGTTAAAGGGCATGGCTTGACTTTAACTTTCCCGGGAACGACTTGGATAAATCCTCCGAGCATGTTCTTCGCCTGTACCCTTGAGGAGATTGCGGCGAGAACATTGAGACCAGTCCGCAAAAGGATCGCATCAAGAGAGAATTTGGACCAAAGCACGCTTTTCGACGTTGTGCATGTCGCGTCCAACTGTTTGGGCATCGCAGCGTAGTGTGCTGTCTGTGAACGGGGCTGTGTACCAATCGAGGCTAGGTGTCCAGGAAAGGAACATCAGTTCCTGCGCTTAATGTACGTGAGTGGCATTGGGTTCATTTGGGACACATACCACAGGGAAGGCGAAGATGCCAATCGTGAATTCGGCCCCCTTCTCGCTAGCAGGAATTGACCAACACCGGTTGCGATAAGGGATGCAATTGGTAGATTTCTGAAATCACCCCCAACCCCATGTTCTGTAATAGGCTAGACAATGCCTGGCCTTCAGCCAGCACATTCGGTTCGAGACTAATCATTAGCGAAGGCGTCTGGACCGCCTCATCCCGCCCGCATTTGCAGATCACTGATGGTCGACCATTTTCCATGTACGGATACTCCGTGCAGCGTGTGGTGCGGGATGCACGAGAACCCTGTGCAGAAATAGTTCCCCGAGCTGGGGGGCATGCTTGCTCCCCTTGTTACTGTAACCTCATCATAACCGAGGCTCATTCGAGTGCACGCCTTATGCTCAATTGCAGGGTTGATTGGAGCGGCCCGGATCGAAGGTTTGACGTGTGGTCAGTGTTCGAAACATGCATTGGATGTCCCCAACCCCGGCTGCAAAGGTCAAGTGCGGCTCTGCAGTGCCTCCCCAATCATGTATGCTTCTTGCTCTAGCACAACCTAGCAACGGCTAATGCGGCCTTACCAGGTCGTACGGTGTAACGGACGCTCCCCGCCAAGGTCAGTGTTACATTCTTCCCGAGCCGCTGGATCTCCCTCATCGGATTGGCTCTTCTCTACCGCTAGCTGATCGAAAGGCAAAGGTGTTGCGCCTGTCGAGGTGATAGTCACTGATCCACGCGCTGGAAGCGACTTTGCCCGGACTAGTGGAATTTGCTCAGAGGTCACGGATTCCGCGCTCAAGGGCGTTGAGTTCGGCGTTAGTTCTCCAGGCACGGTGCTCTCATGGTGCAAATCAAATTTCGCCTGCGCAAGATGCTCTGAAAGCGGATCTCGACCATCCTTATCATCATGCGTGATCAGGGCTGCAACCTGGGGGTTGTTGGTGGTTCTCATGACGGTGGTGAAATTGTTGCCGTATGACTTTCCGGAAGTGAACAAAACAAGACAGCCGACGGCGACGCTCAGGACCGCCACACCCACTGCACTGGTATAGGCTATGATGAGATTTCGCGGGGCATATTTGTACACAATGTATGGCGATAATATCGTGACGTTTGTCAGAGGGTGCCGATGCTCTAGGTCTGTGAAGTTGGTCCTGTACCGATCGAATGCCATCAAGCTCAATGTGATGTTTTGGAACAATTCTTCTACCGACCGAGCAAATGACTTGCCACTGGCTGACACGTCAGGCTCCGCTGGCGTTACAAAGTCGGTCATTGAGTCTGAGTCTGTGAGAATGGAATAAAGTTCGTCGGTTAATCCGAGCGTCGTTGACATGACCTGGGTGGTATCAGTGGACCAAACGTTTGTATCAGTAGTTTCAGGATGAATGATGCTTCCTTGAAGGACACCGAAGAAGGATGCGAGTATGGATTCGTAAGCCATGAGCTTCCGCAATGCATCATCGGCGGAGTACTGGTACCCGACGATCGTCGTGATGGCACCCAGAGGCTTTGAATGGCGAACCTGTTGGGTCTGGAAACCATCTGAATTCGTGATGTCTACCACATACGATGTATTCATCAAGGTGCATTCGACCAGTGAGAGGGTATATGCGCGATTGAAGGCGAAGTACACGGTGGCCAGCTGATCACCGGGCCCGATCAGATTTCCGCCACCTTGATTGAAACCCGATTCAAGCATTGTTTCCAACCATAGCAAGTTGTCGGTGACATTAGGACGCCAAGCGAGGTAGAGGATCCGTTCGTAAAGCAGTTTTCCCTGTTCCAAATCCCCGATGAGTGTCTGAAAACTTTGGTTGAATGCGGTGGGTGGAGGCTGGCACTGTAGCGACGGGCCATAGAAATCGATGGTGTAGGATGAGTTGACCGCAGGGGCGGGTGCAGATAGTATTTCACCTCCAGTAGCAGTTGCGAGCGTGAGCCTGTCCAGCGTATACTGGGAGCCCCTCCAAGTGAGATATTCACTGGTGTAGTCGGTGCCGAATATGGCATACGAGCTGCGATTGAAGTCCGGAGTGGGGACATTTGCCAGTTTGAATGTTTCTCGAGAGTTTTCCGACCAATGCGTAGTCAGCGCGGTAGGCGCCACGACAGCTGTCAAGGGCAGCATCCTGCTTTCGTATTAGCAGTTTGGATCATCGGCCGGCAAACCTGTCATCTTACCATGCCAACAGAGCGACAATGGCCAGTAAGGGATGGTGGATCCAGATTCTCCAGCGCAACAGGTCCATCAGACTTGTCAAGATGGCGAAGAGTGAGTCAATCTCGGTGAATTTGACCTGTTTGTGGCGTAGTCGTTGCCAAAACAGCTGGGCGTAGGCGGTACCCATGGCTAGGACCAAGAAAGACCTAACCAGAAACGCAAACGCGGTGCCTATACCGGTGTTGAGGGCTTGCGAGAATTTGGTGTCGGAGCCGTCGGTAGCTCTTCCATCAAGGTGCTGGTAGAAAAAGTGCTGTCCTAAAGCAAGGCCAATTCCTACTGCTGTGGGAAACAGCATCAAAGTCGGAGCTTTCCAATGGACATGGTTGGATTCTTTGGGCCCCATTGCATAGTTGACACAACTTCTGTCGACCATCTGGCTGTGTGGACGATGACGAGGAAGCGGAAGCAACTCTCAAGGGGTCGTATTCCAACCTGAAGGTGGACAAGAGGCTGAAGTATGTAGGCTCAGGCCCCTAAGTCTCCTAAGCCTTCGCCAGGCTATTCGAGGCACCATGGTCTGTCTGCCTTGCGGGGTTCTTGCAGTCTGGTCGTGGTGCACAGTTTTGTCGCTTATACTGTAGCAAGTCACTAGAGGGCTGTTGGGCTAGCAGAGAACCGATAGAGAACCGACAGAGAGCCAGCAGAGTGTCACCCCCGCAGGAGCGGCCAGGCTTCTAGCGGCCAACTTGACAGGGGTGTTGTCTTGTCCGCTAATGCAAGGCAGCATTCCTCTCCCGCTGCAGGCGTGGGAGTCAGAAGAAACCCACGGTTGCACCAAGGTGAAAAGGATGTATGGCTCCAACAAGCTTCTCTTGATCTGATATGGTGCCTGCCCTCTCCCCCTCTCTCTTTGCGTGGATTCCAGTCTTTGGCGAAGCCCAGGCGGTGAGATGGTAGAGGATTGTGGAGATCAAGATTTTCGTCCTGTACGGAGTGCTCTATATTCCGTACTGCTGCGACCAGTCACTGACAGATGCGAGATGCGAGGGCGAAGAACTCGGCTCCGTCTGAAACGCCCGCCATGTTGATCGAGTTGTGCCCACAGACAGACACGGGGAGTAAGACCACTATTACCAGGTTGGTGCCAGGTCTATAATACTACTTGGTAGTAGGTATCTGTACTGCTACTACTACTACTACTACTACTACTACTACTACTACTACTACTACTACTACTACTACTACTACTACTACGGAGTACATACATCTACTACATGTAATTAGCAGATGTAACTTCACCGCAGTCTTGGCGCCCAGGGACGGACCGAGGCTTAAGCCTGAGCCTTGGGCCCCGCGCGCAGAGACAGGCTCAAATTCACAGCCACTGCAACTCACAACTCACTTGCACGCCCAAGGCCGGCCTACATACTAGGTAGCTATCCTCCGCCCTCCTCCAGGTTTGGGGACGACGATGAGAAGTACCACTGCTCCTAACATCAAGATGGCGATAGACATTCCGGATTGTCAAGGCTCGGCCTGCAAAGTATCCCTCCACCCTTAACAGAGGCAGCAGTCAATCGATGATCAGACGGCTTGACCTCCACAAACCACGAACCAACAACCCTCCAACACCTGTCCTGACTCGAGCAGCTTCCGAACCTCCGTCCTGAAAGCTGGCCGGGATTAATGGGCGCGGCCTTAAGTCCAAACATGCATGGCTTCTACCAGTCTGGACCTCATTCTCATTGTTGAAATGCTGCCAGCTTCTCAACCTTCCCAGCATCTTGCTCAACATTGCCAACGGTCGTTGTGAACGGCACCGAGCCCAGTTTCTCATACCCATACTTCTGAGAGTCTTGGGTTCCCGAGGTTGCCTGCTGTGACGCCGGCCGTTGACCTACTGCGACCAGCAGTATGTGGCAAACGTCCGCATCTTCCAGGCTGTCACTGTCACCATTGAAACCATCTCCACACCTCCAAGCAACGAATCCGTCAGGTCGGACCAAGACCGCATGTCGTTCCCACACTTTAGCAACATGCGACTCTTGCGGTAGATGGATCACTCTCAGGGGGACGTTGAGCTTCTTCGCCATGGCTCCGAATTGCCTGGAAAGAGATCCAGTCGAGGTAAAGTCCACAATGGAGAATTCATCTCCGAACAGATCAAAGATGCTCGTCTCGCCGTCTTCTAGAAAGACGTGAGGAGCGCGACTTCCGGGCCACGTGGAGGGAATATAGTCTCGAACAGACCATCGAGGTTCGGACTCGGCTGGGTTGGTGAGAATGACTGGCGAGCCACGGTGTCTGTAGCCCAGCTCAATTCCATGGTCTTTGTTCTCACCATCGCGTTCGAGCACGTATTGCTTGATTTTTTCCTTCAGGGCTCGCCCTTCGGCGGTGTTGGAGAGGACCACATCTGTGCCTGCCTTGCTGACCCAGTTGCAGTATTCCCAGTGGACCGCTTGATGTTGCCCGGACCGCTCGACGTTGCGCAGTGCTACAGGTCGCCTTTCCACCCCGTACGAGTCGAGAAGGTAGGGCCCGCCGTAGCCCTTCAATACGGCAGCAAGTTTCCACCCAATGTCGAATGCATCACCAACTCCCATGTTCATGCCGTATCCACCGGTGGGAATGTTCTGGTGCGCTGTCACCCTGGTCAGAAGAGCCCACACCTCGAGATGGTGGAGCTGGAGCCGGAGCTAGGTGCCCCAGGCAAAGGGCTAAGGCTTACCTGAATCGCCGGCGAGAAAGACACGGCCTTTGGCCGATCTATATTGATCTGCCACGACCAGATTTGGTCTCCATACGCTTTTGACGAGGATCTCATCTATCTGAATGGGGAATCGTCCTGCATTCGACCCCAACAGTTTGTAAACCACCTCGTACGGGTCAATTTTGTCGACATCCTCGTCCAGCGAGATGGGCAGGTGAACGGTCCAAATCTCATCCTCGTCCTGAGAGATGATGGCGCCGCCACCAGTAAAGAAAATGTGCCAGAACTGACCCTGCGACTGTAGTCTGTCCAGATCTCGGGATTTGAAATGCACCAAATACATGGCCATTGGTCTTTGAAGGGATGGAAGATGGTTAGTATGTATGCAGATTGCACCATTCAAGAGGAGAAAGGAAGAAAGAACTGTCTAAGGTCTAGAAGGAGAAGAGAAGGAGAAGCAGAACAAGCAACTGGACAGCAACACAACATACACAGGACCGCCAGTAATCTTCAAGCCTGCTGACCGCCTCACTCGACTTCCGGCACCATCACACGCGATCACGTATTCGGTTTCGAAGGTGAGCTTCTGATCTCGCTCCAAATCAGTGACCACGCAGGTGACGGAGTCTGCCTGTTCGATGAGTTCTTCGAACTTATAGCCGAAGAGGGTCTGGATGAGGGGATTCTTCTCGCAGATAGGTTTGAGCCAGGCTTCGAACACGACCTGCGAGCAGCGCTGATATGGTTCTCGAGGCATCGATCCATCATTTTGGCGTTTGATTCGCTCGCGCCAAATGTCAGGAGAAGGAAGGTCCTGGTATGCCACAAGGACGAGGATCAGTCTTTGAACTCCAAATTGAGGGCAAGGGCAAGGGCAAAGGCAAAGGCCAAGGGACGATGGTTTGGATTGGATTGGTTAGGAACATGAACATTACCCAAGTGGCGATCTTTTCTCCTTTCTCGCCGAGTCCTGTGCTAAAGAGGACGTCGAAGGAGAAGTTTTGGGGCACACCTGCGTCACACACAATATTGGTTAGTATTGGTTGTTGCTTCTCGAGCATCCATACCCATAGCCGGTATGTACGTATGTATTGGATGTATGGGATGGGATTTTGCCGACATGGCCTTGTGACAAACCTTGCTCCCGCAGACCATCCGCCAGACCCAGGATACGTAAGAGCTCCATGGACCGGACGTTGGTGATATCCATCTTCGGCCACCTGGTTGTGTCGAAGTTCCGCTCGATCAGAGTGCATGCCACTCCGTGATGGGCCAACGTCAGGGCGGTCAGAAGCCCAACGGGGCCAGCCCCCACGACCAGAACGCGGGCATCTTGTTTGGCAATGGACTAATATGCGACATTTTGTATGTTAGTCTGATGAGTTTCAGTTTCCTTGAGATGCAATGTAGCAACTGAACTGGTTGCTTGTCGATTGTCCCAAGATTTTACATGGAACGTGCAAAGAAAAAGGATAGGATTAGTTCCAACGTACCCCCATGTCGGACTTCGGTGGCACAATCATCGAACGATTTCGTTTCCTTGGCCTTGGAGGCAGAGGAAACCCTCGTTTCGACATGCATTTTAAACGGTTGCGGTCGAATGCTGAGTGCGAGCGTGGATGAGCTGTGAACTGGTGCCAACGTGACCCTATCGAGTTCGGAATGCCGTCTTGGACGTATTTCTCCGGTCCCGCTGAAGCCGGCTAGGTGGGTACCCAGGTACGGCCCCAGTCGGCCAGGAGGTACAGTACGGCATCCGTGCAGATTATCAGGATCGGATCGTCTCAGGCGCCCGGTGGCGGTCTTGCTTCGGCCGGGTTGCCGTACTCCGTACTCGGTACACTTGATGAGAAGTGCTGCTCGTGTTTGCCGACATGTTCTAAAGAGAATGCGAGATGCTGTCAGATGTCAGAATTGGGTTAACTCATGACCATATGTTGATACATACAGTGGCTTTCCAAAGTCTCACCAACTAACCTCGGCCTTATCCTCAGCCTCAGCCTCTGCTTCTGTGTCTTGTTTTTGCCTGGAACCTGGAACCTGTTGTGAAGCTCAAGACTCTACGCCGAAAATGTCGTCGTCTTTTTCTTGGAGCCGGCTCATCCGCTTTGTCGACGAGAATGGTGCAGTCAGGTATGGGGACGTGGTGGAAGAAAGACCTGCAAGTGAGATGATTGGCACCAAGGTCGACACGCTCGATGGTGACCCTTTCGGTGCCATGACAAGGACCCATCAACAGGCCACAGTGACCAAGGTGAGTGCTCGGATCGTGTTTAAGCTTGGAGACAGCACATCCGAGGAGAGTCTCTCGCAATGACTGAAGATGACTGATGCTCGCTCTCGCTAGATTCTTTGTCCGCTAGAATCCACCCCGATTTTCATGTGTATCGGCTTGAACTATAGACAACATGCCAACGAAGCGAACGTACGTACAGGTTTCTCTTCTTTTTCTTCTATTTGTCTTCTCTTCTTCTTTTTTTCTCTCCATTTCTCAGATTCAACCAAGATCTTTTTCCGTTCAGCTTCATCGCTCAGCATCAGCTTCAGCTTGCTAATTCCTCTCCTCTCGTAGCTGACCATCGCCGAACACCCTGTGGTATTCACCAAGCCGGCAGACGCGCTGAACAGCCCGTTAGACGACGTCACCGTCTTTCTAGACATACAGTCTCAACTCGACTACGAGGGCGAGCTCTGTGTGATCATCGGCAAAGACGGCAAGAACATCCCCGAAGCAGAAGCGCTGGACTACGTGCTCGGGTACGCGGCGGGGAACGATGTGTCGGCAAGAAAGTTCCAATTGCCCCCCTTTTCCGGAGGACAATTCTGCTATGGCAAATCCTTCGACGGCTTCGCTCCCGTCGGACCGTGCATTGTGTCCAAGACTCTGATTGCTGACCCTCAGACCCTGGACCTGGTCACGCGTGTGGATGGCGAACTCCGACAACAGACGTCCACCGCCGACATGATCTGGACGGTCAAGCAGATCATCGCTCACCTCAGCCGTGGAACCACTCTTCGAAAAGGCACCATCATCATGACGGGCACGCCTTCTGGCGTCGGGCTTTTCACGCCGAATGGGCTCTTGAAGGATGGAAGTGTGGTCGAGGTCAGCATCAGTCGCGTTGGCAGTATCCAAAACAAGATGGTATTCGAGTAGAGCTCGTCGTTGTAGCTCCAGGCCGCGCCTGGAACCTACTCCTCCAGAGCCAAAGGCATGTCAAACTTAGGCAATCCCAACCTTGCTCTTTTAACCAGAAGGTGGTTTAGGCAGATTATACTATGTAGCATGCGCTCTCCCTGCGACCCTTTGATAGAGAACATGGAATAGTTCAACCTTTGACAGGGCAGGATATGGAGTGTAGTGTCTTATATTTTTGATGAATTGAGGAAAGAAAGAAGAGAGAATGAGAATTGTACCTAGTACCTAGAAGTTGGTTAGAACCGACCAATCTGTATCTCATTTCCACTGCTCCATCCACGTTTCCATCCACGCCGGCGTGACCGGCCCCAGCCCGGCCAGCGTTTCACTCTTCCGCACCGTCTGACCGGTCTGCAGACGAGGCTGAGGCGCAGCGTGCTGGAGCTGGTCGAAAAAGTCGAGGAGTTTGACTGCTGGGTTTCGCCCAATGTCCTCTATCGCCATGTCCATGTTTCCCTCCCGATCCTGACAGCTGGAGCGGAGGGCACTGAGCCATTCCCCATACGGCACAATCTCCAGCGAGGATTCGACACACGCTTGGATGGTGGGCTGGAGAATCTTCCACGAAACGGGACAAGGGTTCACCGCGTGGAAGACGTCTGCGGCAGCACATGAACATGCATAGCTCCCACCACCTTTCCCTTGGCAGGTGGTGCTCCCTTTCTCCTGACAGGTGGTGCTCTTTTGACAGGTGGTCGCCTGATCCTGAACTCCCTCCTCATCCTGAACACAAGGCGCAATCTCATGTTGGCCCGGGCGGCAGCGTTGCACCAAGTCGACGATGATGCGAGCCATGATGTCGACGGGAATCCAATCGACCAGATCCAAGGCCCCCAGTGACGCGGGCAGCTTGCCGAGATATTTGGAGCTGGCGATCAACGACGGCAGCCATTCTTGTTGATTCCACAACCCAACTCCGACCTTCCCGACCGGCCCGGCGATCTGACCTAGCCGGCAGATGGCCGACGGGACCCCGGCCACTCTGCGCGCTTCGTGGAGGATGCGCTCCGCCACGTACTTGGACTCGGCATAGCCGATGGATTCGGCCACGTCCCAGTCGCCAACGACCGACTCGGGCACGGCGCCGACGTACTTGGCGTTCCACCGAGCAACCGCCCCCCTGCTGGAGATGAAGAAGATGCACGCGCCGCGCAGGGAATGGGCCGAGAAATCCACCAGCCGCCGCACGCCTCGAACATGGGTCGTGGCGAACGATTCCAGCCGCAGATTGAAGTCGACCTCCCACGCATTGTGTACGACGTGAGTCACCTCCGCCAGCAATTCACAGTACCGGGACACACTCAGCCCGAGATGCGTCTTGGACAAATCACATTGCAGAAATTCCACCTTCTCCGCCAGGAGCTTCTCAGTCGCTGCGGGTCCGAGCCCTTTCTGCGCAATGATGGTCTTCTGTCGTTGCTCGGCGTCCGACGATCGGTTGAGACAATATACCTTCTCCACACTGGAGTCGTGGATGAGCTCCATGAGCAGATACGTCCCCAACGACCCGGTCGAGCCGGTCAAGATGACTTTCATCTTGTTTTTGGTTCCCCTCCCTCTTGAAAACGAAAAGGGAAACGGTGACGGTGACGGTGGTCTTGCACTGATCGGAAGGTCGAGAGAGGTCGAGGCAAAAAGCCTTTGCATCTCAAGTACTCTGTCTCGGTTGTGGGCTGGCGTTGGTGGCAGGAATCCGGATGGGGATGGCGATGGGCCATGCCCACCGGCTGAATGGACGACATGGGCTAGCTTCCTGATGGTGGGATTGGCGTAGATTGTCTTTGGAGTGAATGTGATTCTTGACTGAGCGCGGTTGAGCGTCCGGACCATGTTCATGACTTGCAGGGAATCCATTCCCAGGCCAAAAAGATCAAGATCACTGTTGGCATTGGCATTGGCATTGGTATCCTTATACTTATCCTTATCCTTGAGGTCGAGGTCGAGGTCGAGGTCGATGCCGGTGGTTTTGTTGAACAGTGCCTTGAGTGATGAACATAGGTCGTCCACCGAGTCCAGACGAAGAGTGAGAGTGTCGTTGTCGTTGTCGGTTGCTTGTGCGGACCCGGCGTGGTCTACGTCTGCTGATCTGTACAGCTCATCAATTTCTTGCCGATACAGCTGGAGGGTCAGCTTGCGCTGAACAGTGCCTTTGCCGGCGCGCAGCATCGGCTTCTCTGGCGAGGTGAAGATGACGAGATCCTTGGATATCTTGCCATGAGCAACGCTGGTCTCATTAGCCCGTTCCAGCACCTTGGCCACCCAGTCCGACTCCGACTCCAATGGTTTCGAGAAATCCCTATCTCCTCCATCTCCATGCGCCGTGGTCGTGGTCGTGGTCGTGGTCGTGGGTTCGATCAACAATGCAGGCTGGAAGCGTTGGTTGCCCAGAACCAGGGCAGATCTGACATGTGGGTCGGATTCAATGATTTGTTCCATGGGGACCGGGTTGAATTTCTCGCCGTTGGCCAACACGATCATGTCGTCTGCTCGGCCCTGATATCGCCACAGGCCCGGGGTCGAAGGATGTTTGGAGTATAGGTCCTTCATGGAATACTCCTGTAAGTGGGGGAAAGTCTGGAAGATTCCTTGGTATGGCTCCAGCTTGGTGTCGCGAACAATCACGAGTTCGTACAGATCATCGTTACCATCACCACCATCATCACCACCATCATCACCACCATCATCACCACCATCATCACCACCACCACTACCGCCACTATCGCCACCACCGCCGCAGGGCCGAAACTCGGCACCCATAATTGGACTGAATTTCATATACTCCCAATCATCCGGCGCAATGACCTCTGCGGGAGTGAAGCAGAGCTCGGTGGCGCCGAGCCAGTTGAGCGGCCTGGAAACGGCCTTGACCGCATCACCGACCTGTTTCGGCAGCGGAGAGCCGCCAAACCCCACGAAGTCCAGGGCCCGGAGATGGTCCAACGCGGTCGGCGTGTTGGTGATATCCGTCAGCACCGACGCGGGGAGAATGGTTCCTTGGACGTTTCCATGGACATGCACTGCGTCGGCCACCTCGGCCGTCAGGGGCACGGTCGAGGGTGGAACCACGACTTGGAAGTCGCAAAACACCGCCAGCGGCAGACTGATGTAGAGGCCAGCGGCGTGGAAAGACGGGAAAGGCACGAAGACACGCTTCCCTTGAAACAAGGTCAGCACGGTCGGTGGAGAGCCTTCGAAGGGGAGCCGCTGAAGAGCGTCGATGGCCGCAATCGTCCCGTGAGTAATGGTGATCAGCTTGGGCAGGTCCGTTGATCCCGATGTGTGAAGGGCGACAAAGGGGTCATGCTGAGCCTGGGCAAATGTTCGCGTGTAGGGGTAAAGAGGTGCGGTTCCGGTCCCTGACAACAGGCTTTCCAGGTCGGGCACGACCAGCCTCTGCATCGGTCGGTGACTGCATAGCTCCTCGACGACCCGGGGCGCCTCTCGTGCCGTCAGGAGTCGGCGGCATTCTCCTGCAGCAAGAAGGGACAGATGTCCCGCCAGGCTGTTGCGAGGGGAAAGGAACATGGCCTGGGCACATGGTTTAGCATTAGCATCAGCATCAGCATCAGCATCATTGGCATTGGCATTGGCATTGGGACCTTATGACAACAAGGGAGTGACAGCAGTAGCAGTAGTGGCCTAAGCCCCTTTATCCTACCTTGTAGCCCGTCTTCACTGCGGCCATGGTGATGATGGAGAAGCGGAGGTCATTGGGGCCCAGATAGACCAGGGTCTCAAAGTTGACCCCTCGGCCCAGATTCTCCTCGATCCACCACGAGCACCGGTTGATTGCATTGGCAAACTGGCCATAGCTGATATCATCGAATCCCTCGGCCGGGTTGGACGTTCGCGGCACAGAAGCGAATACTTGGGTAGGATGTTCAATGGCACGCGCATCGATGATGCTGGCCACGAGCCTTCGGCCGTAGATAGGGGTAGTCGTAGGGATAGGGACAGGGACGGGCTCGTCAGATTCAGATTGGGCCATGGCTAACGGAAACAGAGCCTGAGGGTTGGTGGACAAGTACAAGTGTACATAGTGTCAGGTGATTGCCCATGCCCACGCCCCCTCGCAACTAATATAACTAACTCACTGGAATGCTTTCGCTTTCGCCTTCGGGCAGCCAGGTTTCATAGCGACCATTCCTCCGGCCGCTCGGGGGCTGACTTACCATAGGTTGAAGGCCGAGAAGCGGGCAGTGGGCAGGGGGCAGCGGAGTTCTTTAGATTCAGAAAGGACCTCATGTTTCCCGGACACGGGGTCGAGGTCGGGGTACCTCAAGGGCTCTCCTAGAGGGGTGAGTGGACACCCGTGTATATTTCCATCATTTTCACCATCCCATCACCTGGAGATACTATGGGCGGCCGGGAAGAAGAGAAAAAAAAAACATGCCTAAGGCTTATAACCGCCCGCCACTGCTCCCCTCGCTGATGTCAAAGAAGAGAGGATTGATAACCCTAACCTTAACCCTAACCCTGTTGCTCTGCTTTTATTTTCGCTCTTGCTCTTGCTGTTGCATCTATCTTCCATCTTCCATCTTCGCCGCCAGCCAGGCCAGGCCGGACCGGAGAATTGCAGACTATAGACTAGAGGGGCAGGGGCGGGGGCGAGGACGGGGACGGTGTTTCAACTCGGAATCCCGAACCCCGAACCCCAGAACTTGGGTGCTACATACGTATGTACTAACCAGCCACCCAAAGCTGTATGTACTTGTGCTGTGCTGCGCTGACGATTACAGTAATCCATGGTAGTAATAGTAGCTAGCTAACTAGCCAGCAGTAGCAGTATGCGGGGAGGGGAGCGTCTTTAATCTACAGTAAGCCCGCAACCTCCCCTCCCCCAGGATGTTGTGAAAGGTTGAAATGTTCCATGCTCGCTACCAAAAGGGTGTGGGGGGAGCCCAGACTATGTAGGCATGCCTATACCAGCCTTCTGATTACAGAACAAGACCGAGAATACCCAAGTTAGTGCCTAAGTTTGATTAGCAAAGGGCAAGGACAAGGAAAAGGACAAAGAAACGGTAAGATCATGGGATCTAGTTATAGTCACCGTATATCTGTATGTTTTATGTTTCGATCAGGGCTACAGCATGCTTCACTTATCTCCCAGCTGAGGTAGGTGGTAGGTGGTAGGTATGAAACGACCGCGTCTACCGTCCATCGTCCACCGTCTTCCGTCCACCGACTATTCGTATCAGCCGCACATCGACTTCTCTCTTGTCCCCTTGTTTCTGTTTTCTTCTTTGCACTCCGCCTGTCACCAAGGCCGGAAGATCCATGTAAAACATATATATAGGGCCGGGTATCCCTATCTTCCAAACCCGATAGTATCATATAGACATCTCACATCTCATCTCTCCCCCCGTACGCGCCCCGCCTCCAACTTTAGTGATGAAAGGCCAATTTGCGATGGTACCAGCCTCGAAGACGCTTGCCCCAGACATACATGGGCAAAGCCGAGATGCCCAAGGCCGCGGTGATGCCGCCCAATGTGAAGAAGCAATTCCTGATGCCGGCGGTGACAAGCCAATCGGTGATGTAGAAAGTCAGGCCCATGCAAAAGACTTTGGTAACAAAGCCCAGCAGAGCGAATGCTTCCCCCGAAAGCTCCCGATGAGAGTCGACCAGGTACGCGGCCACGGCGGTGGTGGTCAATTGGACGCCGAAGCTGATCAGGCCCAGCCCAACAATCACCGGCACGGGCCATGGATCCAATGCGTGAACAGATTGACCCCAGGCGAAAAACCCGACCGCCGAGAATAACAGATAGGACAGGACGAGTGGAAGACGGAACTCCGGTTCTGCGGGTGTGTGAGAAGAGTCAGTATCGCTCGGTATGAGAAGAGATGACCAGGTATGAGAAGAGATGACTCCAGGTATATAAAGAGATCAATATAGGGATGAGAAGAGATCAACACTAGGTATGAAAAGAAATGAGATGAAAAGGTGAGATGGCATGTCCACCCCATGTACCGAGTACTGTACTCACCGTAAATGCCCTTGTTCTTCTTCGACATGTACACTGCCAACCCATCCAACAAGGGCTGGGCCACAATGACCCCGACCACAGACGCGACGAACGAGGAAACGTTGGTGGCGCCGACCTGTTCAACCCCAAAGCTGTAAGGGGGCGCTGAGAAGATCTGGGAGATGGTGACGGCGATCAAAACCAGCCATGCAACACAGGTGGTGAAGACGATGGTGCACCATGACACTATGGGCGACAGTAGTAGCCGGGCCGGGCGGAGGGTGATTTTGTAAAGGCTCACTGGGTGGTAGTAGCCCGACCATGGCGAGAGTTGCTTGAGAGTCGGGAAGACCTTTGTATCCGGCACATAGCTAGAGCCATAGCCATCCCTATCTCTATCTCTACCTTGCGTCACGGCAGCCTTGGTCTCGGTCTGCTCGACATGATGTGCACCTGGGTCTTTGGCCGGGATCGGGATCGGGATGGAGAGGTCATCGCTGGACGCGGTGTCGAGGTTGAGGGTTTGGGCTCGGTGGTATGCCGTCTCCGGCATGAAGAAGAAGGCGAGGATGAGCTGGAGGAGGTGCGCGCCGCTGATGCCGTACATACACTTTCGCCAGCCATACCTTTCGATAATCACCCCGGAAATCGGGGCCGCAATGTTGATGCCGCCAAATATCGCAAGGTTGAAGATGCCGAGCCGGAATCCGCGCTGGTGCACAAACCAGAGGTCTGCAATGCTGGCGGGGATGAGAGCCTCCCAAGGACCTCTGGACCCGATCAGGTCAGTCACAGTCACAATCAACTCAGGGCTGCGTTCTGAGAATGCAAGAGACAACACACAACACAGAAAACACAATGGATAGAGGGGGAAAGGGTGTCGACTCGACCGCTTACACTCCAAGGCCAACCAGGGCCCGAGATGCTGTCAATGATCCCAGCGATTTAGCCGCGGCTCCCCAGAAAGAACCGGCCACAAGGAAGACCGTGGTCACCAGGTAAACCGGGCGCTTCCCGTATTTCACCGCCAGCGAGTTGCCCAAGAGGGATGATACTGCCACACATCCCAAAAGGACTCCGTTGTATTGCGAGATGAATGTCGACAGGCTCGCCTCCCATTCAGTTGCCAGCTGCACAGCGGCGGCAGCGAGAATGGGCCCATCCGCTGGATTCGTATTCTTGTCAGCATGGTTCATCAAGTTGAAGCTGCCGGCCACACGACAAGGGAAGAAGAGCGACGGCCTACCTCCCACGCAACCGCATCCATAAGCAAACGCCACCAGGAACAGGAGCTTCCTCCTATCAGGCCATGTCAGTGGTTCGGGTTCAAAAGACGGTGTGTGGCGAGGAGACAAACCATTTCGACCACATCAAGGGGTCGTCGGGAGAATTCGAAGGCTGCGGGACCAGAACAATGTTCTTGTCGTGCTTCAAGGTCGTCGTCGCCGATGGGCCATTTGCAGCAGTAGCAGTGACTTCAAGTGACAGCTCGAGATTGATGCGTCCAGCCTCGTTGAGAAAGACTGTCCCCGGAACATGTTCGCTGGATCTGACATCTAAAACACCAAACCCCATGATGTCGACAGTGACAGGGCCAAGACACAGATTCGAAAAGTGGCAGTGTGTCGACCTTCGCCAACACGCAAAGATCAACCTCAGGTCGAGGATGGTCTTAGGATCTTTATATAGACTCTCTGACTTGGCTGATTCTGATCCCTCGGCTGGCCTTAGCCCCTGGACCTGGACGGGGCGAAGGCTCAGGGGCCTCCCCCGGTTCGTTCACTCCCTCTTCAAATAATGACCGCTCCGACGGGTTGAGCTGCTACACCGCGTCCTCAATGCAAGCCACCGGTAGCTTATCGGACCAATCGTCTCGCAATGTTTCTGACGAGAGCGTGGATCGCGGCAGGACATCATGATCCCCAGATTCCGACTCTGGGGCTCTGGGGCTCTGAGGCATCCCCATCCCATGCGCGGGGATTGCGGGGCGGCTGGGGACTCTGGGCTAACGAGGCCATACCCCGGTTTAGAGAGAGAGCGAGAGAGGCCTCAGGAGCCTTATGCTAAAGCTAAAGCTAGCTAAGTCTCAGGCTGAGAGCTCAATGGCGCTCATCTGTGGCTGGGTCAGCTTCGATTTCAACGGCAGCTGAGCTATTAGGCCTGGCGACGTGAGGGCATAGATACAACCTGGCCGATATCCTGACCAAGGCCAAGCTGCGCTGGTGTCCTGATGGGGGAATTCCAATTCATATCGTCGCCATCATTCACTCAGTGGCACGAGATATCAGATACCAGATACCAGAGCTGATTCTGCCGGTCTGTCATGAGGACGGATCGAACCAACTGCGTCCTAAGGCTAGGTAATCGCTACTAAAGAATGCTGTCTGTTCGCTCTGAATGCAAATGCAATCCCCGACTTGCCGATAAGAGCGACCCTAGGGTTCGAGAAAACTCCCTAGCAATGTCCCAATGGCCAACCCTCTGGAGAAGGTCATACATGGCGCACAACACAGCTGTGGCGTAAGGGGCACCTCTGTGTGGTCGGAACCCGTGAAGCTCAAAGAGGATGGCCGAGGGATTGTATCCCAAAAGCTCGATCTCGGGAAAGTCGAGTCCCCCTGAGGCTGTGTCCCCCTCCTTGCTTGTCGCATTCGTCGCATCTAAGCCACTCCAGAACTGCGTATAGCAGTAAAGGACCAACGCGGCCTGGAAGACCGCTCTCGGCACGTGGATGGCTGGTTCTTGATCCAATCGTCTGGCGCCGAGCTGCTTCTGAATGAGAAAGGCGTGGGCGACGGCCCGTTCGGCCGCCTTCGTCGTCGACCACTCTCTCGCGTATTCCACAGATGTCAAATTAGAATCCGGGTCGCCGGATATGGCAGCATCCCTGCCGACTGCATGTTCCAGTTTACCGATGTCAACAGATATGTAAATGAAGATGGCATGCCAATAAATCATCAAGCAAAAGCGATCCCCCTCTCCGGCGGTGGCGATTTGCTTGTAACTCTGATACCAGCAGGTGAGCAGGCTGGAGAAGCGACCGAAGGCAGCTGGGCCATAGAGAGTGCCCGTCGCCCTTTCATCGCAAGCGGCAGAGCTAATTTCCACCAGGGCGATGTATAAGGAGTAAGAACTCATGCCTGGCATCACAAGCAGCTCCTGCCGCTGAAGTCGCTGTTGCAAATCTCGATAGGTAGTCCGGACCGGCTTATGCTTCTGGAGCTCCTGCAGCCACCCTTGGGCGTCTGTGGCAGAATAGACCTCCGACTGGGCTGCGAGGTGGAGACAGTTTGATCCCGACCGAATGCTTGATTCGTGATGGGATAGGCAAGAGAGCTCGGCATCATGAATCGTCAAGCTTAGCGCAGCTCTGTGGCCATATTTCATGTTAGCGCTCATCAGATAGGAGCCCCATCCATGTTCGGGGTCGAACCGACCGTTTCATTGCCTCTCTCCTTGCCCACAACTTCCAGGTCCTCTCTAGCTGGTCAGGAGACAGTCGCGCCAGGCTCTCGACGTTGAACTTGTCCGGTTCCTGTTCAAACATCCGGGCACTTCTGGCCCACTAAAGTTCAACCAGGTTAGACTCACAAGTCATCTCTCTGACAGGATGGCGAAGCTCTCTCACATAGAGGACTAATCCATGAAAGGCCTCTGAGATGGCAAAATGTTCCGGTACCTTGATTCATGTCAGCAATCTAGCGGTGTTTCATGCATGTCAAATATATAGAAGAAATCGACCTACTCCGGACAGAAGAGCGTATGTCTGAGCCAGTACACCGCCCTGGACGAGGGCTGTTTTTTCTACCTTGCTTATACCCACCAGCTTCTCCCACTTCTGACATTTAGTGCATGTCCCGTCCATATGTTGGGATACACGACATACCGAGGCTAGGACAATCTTGTTGAGTCTCTCGAATATCTTCCTCCCCTGCAGCTTGGACTCTTCCTCCCCGAGAAAAAGGCTGCCCAAAGAACATACACAGAGCAAAAGAATGTAATTCTCGTGGGAGGGCCGAAATGTGGCTCGGTGGATGATGGGGAAGGTGTCGTTGAATCTTGAGAAATATAGTTGCACACAGAGATTCTGGCCGGAATGAACAATCAATCACTGCTTCTGGCGTCGGAAGGGGGGATGGGATGGATACACTTGCCAGAAAGTCGGTCGATGGAAGCAGCTCCTCCGACCACTTGGATCTCACCTGCCTAGCCAGACGGATTCGGTAAGCTTCATCAACTTCAGTATCCGCCGGGTGAGCATTTTCTGTTTCCAATCGGTCGGCTGGATTGTGGTGGGCTGAGAATACTGGGAGACTGGACCGCTCAACCAGATTCCCCGACCGATCATCGCGAGTAAAACACGAGTCTGAGATGATACTACGAGGTGTTCTGATCCTCGCAGGGGGGATTGTTGCGACGCTCGTGCGACAAGCGGCTACCGACTCCTGTCGGCTATGCCTTTGAGCGTGGAACTCAGCCGCGCGTGAGAGAGAAGGAGAAGGAGAAGGAACAGGGGCCGCGGTGGCCAAGGGATTGCCATCGTTCACACCGGGTTGTTGGGGTTCCAGGATCGAGCCCATCCAGGAGTTGATGGCGTTGACATCAAATGCATCGTCTGCCATCCACGAAGGGAACTGCGACTCTGTGGGCTGTGAGCCCCACGGAACATGCAGCCCTGGCACATTTTGGCTCTCGGCGAAGTCAAACGTCGGGGCTTCCACAGAGGCAGAGACATCTGTCTGCGGAGGGTATTGAGGCCCGAGCCCTATTTGAGTCAGTGAACCAACCCCCTGGTGGAACGAGGAAGTTGTGCCACTCGAAGTACCATTGATGTTTAACATTGGAAACTGGTGAGATGCTAGCCCTGGCTCCTTGTACGACTGCACGAAATGGGAGTGGGTTGGAGCAGGGATCCCAGATGTAGTATCGACATCTCCATCGCCCTGCGTGAGCGGTTCTGCCTCAATGCGACCATGACCATCCCACTGGTTCACGCTGGTGTTCTCACACCATGGCGATTCTCCGGCGTTGTAGGTGGAAGTGGAAGTAGGGGCAGGCGCGGGCGAAGGTGCAGGTGCAGGTGCAGGTGCATCATGCAGTGTGCGATGAGTTCTATGATGGCGTTGTAGTGTGTCGCTAACGCGCCCGGTGGTCAGTTTACCTGTAGGTTTCCATCTCAGGGTCAACATGAGACGTACTTCCTGCTGAATTTTCTTCCACAAGTGGTGCACTTGAAAGGTTTCTCATTGTTATGTGTGCGCTCGTGCCGTCTCAAGTGCTCGCCCTTGATGAAAGTTTTATCACATTGGCTGCATGTCTTGATCGCCCTCAGGCTGGCCTGTGACATGGTAGGAGTTCATGGACTTCATGGACTTCACACTTACGGGGCCGGCACCAAGGCTGCCGTGGGACGGGTTAGAGGTGAGACGCAGTGGGATAAAGATGAGAGGTGTTGATGGACGATGCGGAGAGAGGGACTAACCCGGCTAACCACTGCCTTCCTTAAGCCACCTCCTACTCCTCGGCTGTCCCGCAACCCCGCAACCCCGCAGCATAAGGCTTAAGGGCTAAGAGGCCTAGGGAGCCTTAGGATCTTCTAATCCCCTAAGCCCCGCAACTCCCCCAGGCTTAGGCTTGGGCTTAGGGGCTTAGGAGGCCTAAGGATTTAGCCCTAGCTCCTTTGCCCCTGGGCCTTAGGCTTCAGCCTCTACATCCCCGCCGGGGCTCCCGCTTCGGCGTCATCCCCAATCCCAAGGCGTGATGTCATTTATAGTATGTAGCTACCACTGGTGCTACTGTACCACCCACCACCAACCCATAAGCCCCAGACACCGGGCACCAGCGGCATTCCGGTTCTCCGTGCATCTACACCGAAGCGAAGGCGTCTTGACGTGATCATTCAGTTGGATAGGTAGGGTAGGCAAGGTAGGCAAGGTAGGCAAGGCACTTCGCTATTGCATGTAGAGGCGAGGCAATATTGAAAGGTGTTGCAACGTACACAGTACAGCCTACAGTACACCCGCCTGTCCTAGGCTTAGGCACGAAATCAGACCTCCAAGTAGAAACCCAAGTCGTCGCCTCTTTCTTCCCGTTCAGTTTGACCATTTCCCAGAAATCGGAATCTGTTGGGGCTCCTGTATCTGATGTCAAAGTCTTCGCCTCGATCCTTCTCCAGACATTCTGTAAGCAAAAAGAGGTCAGCTCAGTCAGGTCACAGGTCAGGGCTGATTGCTCTAGACAGCTGAGTCGAAGCATAACATAATCATGCCAGCGGTCTGTTCGCCTCCTTCGCCTTTCTTGAGTTCGGTTTGGTCAAAGACTTGAGACTTACCTTTGTAGTGGATGACGCTGCCGGCGTACATGGCGGTGACGGGCCCGTCGACCTTGTTGTTTTTATACCAGCTGCGGCAGCCACTTGCCCAGACGGTGCCCTTCAAGAACTCTTGGGCATAGAGATTAAATTCTTCGAGGACGTCGTCTTTTACAAGGATGGAACTGCGCCGTGTGCCGTGTCAGTCAGAGAGGAGATTTGAGAATCGGATGGTTCATAGATGGAAAGATAATGGATGATGAAATGAATGGTGGATGATAGATAATGGATGATGAATGATGCATCCAGATCATGCGAGGCTGGGCTCCCTTCTCCCTTACCTGATATCATGGGTGGCGATCTTGCTGCACCACCGTAGAATATATTCGGCCGTCCAGTCGATGACGGCCAGAAGAGACCCATGCCCGACTGGACAGTTGGGACCATTGAAGATGAAGTAATTGGGCATGCCAGGCGCGCAGATGCCAAAATATGCCCGGGGCACATCCTCCCATTCCTTTTCCAGCGTGCGGCCGTCGCGGCCGACGAGCCTCCAGAATGGGTGGAAGGAGACGTCGAATCCGGTGGCGCAGACGATCATGTCCAACTGGGTCTCACCGGCCTCGGTTTCGATCCCGGACGGCGTGACCCGGACGATGCGGTCGAAGCAAGCTTCGCTATTCTTCGCCGTAAGAGCTTCCAAGTAGCCCTCGCCGGGGGTAAGACGGCGGCAACCGACTTGCCAGCTCGGGATGAGCTTCTCGACTAGCTCGGGATCATGACCAAGACGCTCGGCCATGATCTCTCTGAATGCCGTGGTGACCATTTCCTGCTCTTTCGAATCCTTCAGGAAGGTGGGGAAGTTGTGATTGAAGCTGATCGGTCAGGCTAGGTTAGCATAGGCCATAGGTAGTCATATTGTCTCGGAGAGGATGCACTCATTGGGTTTGGGATTGGAATCAGGCTCAGGTTCAGGTGGTGGCCTACTCGTGCTCTATAGCTCTTCTATATTTGGTCAACTCTTCAGGATGATCTCGGAACCTCTGCTTTTGTTCTTCCGAGAAGACAAAGCCTTTGCCTTGTGGGGCGAAATCGAGGTTGAAGTTCGTCGAGATCCACGTCGGTGAGCGGATGTAGTTGACCAGATGGCTGACCTCCGGCTGGATGCTGGGCACAATCTGGATGGCCGATGAGCCATTGCCGATCACGCCGACCCGGCGGCCTTTCCAGTCGGCGGTGGCGTCCCAGGCGGCGCTGTGTAGCAAGGTGCCTTTGAAGTCGCGGAGCCCGGCGATATTGGGCCATCGCCACTTGTTCAGAATGCCGGCCGCGTTGACCACGACATCGGCCTCGGTATTGGACACTTGTCCGTCGTGTTCGACTTTGATCTTCCATGTGGCCGAGTCTTCGTCCCAAATGGTCTCGATGACCCGGGTGTTAAACTGGACATAGTCATCGAGATGGTATTTCGTCGTCGTCTTCTTGATATATTCCCAGATCTCGGGGCCTGACGCATAGTAGCGTGACCAGTCGGGATTGGGCTCCCAGGAGAAGGTGTAGACATGGGCGGGAACATCACAGGCGACGCCAGGGTATCGGTTCTCCAGCCAGGTTCCGCCCACGTCATGATTCTTTTCATAGATCTGGAAGTCAATGAAACTGTCCAGCTTCATCTTGTGTTTATACTTGTATGCCAGAGTGAGACCAGCATAGCCGGCGCCAATGCAAACCACTCGGAGTTTTCTGGGCCTGTACAATGGTTCCTTCTTCAGGGGCACCCATTTGGGGTGTGTTGATGGCAAAGGGGTTTCATGTTCTGTTACTTTGAATCCGTTAGCTATACCATTGGTTCCGTTGGTATGCAAGCCGGAGCTGGCTGTCTCTGTCTCATTGTTATTGATGGTCATAATTGCTTGTGGTCAGAATAGTGTGTGGGGTGAAGAGATCGACGCTGGATACTGGAAGGAATAAGCCAGCAAAAAGGCAATGGCTAAGACGCTGTCTTGCCTGTGTCTATGTAGCTTTATATGTAGTATCTTCTATGCAGGGGGTTTAGACCAACCCTACGGTGAGAAGATGGGCCGGACATGTTTGACAATGTCACAAGCCCAAGCCCAGCAAAATACAGATGACCGGCACCGGCACCAGGGATGGATATTGGACAGACGGGAAAGTGAAACGGAGCGCCGCCCAAACACCGACTCTCCTCCGCTCCGTTGCCAGTATCACGCCGGCCCGCTGATGACTGACTCCTGGGTTGGTTTATTCCCAGAAGACGGTATGTAGGAGACTGCGGAGAGGAAGCGACCCTACGTGTTGGTCATTAATCAGACAGGGTTGGCCCTAGCTCTCGTGTCATCTCTGTCTCTACAAGAGGCACGCTGGCAATTGTCTCATCTCAACCGGCCCCCCAACCCCGACCTACGATACGATTCTGTCTGGTTTCCTTTTCAAACCCGATTCTGTCCATTCTCCTTTTCAACCACGATTTTGTAGACAGTACCATGTCGCCCCAAGTCAAGAGTCCTACTGCATTGGCCCATGTCGTACTCAGGACCAACAATTACCGGGCCATGGTGGACTTCTACGTGCAGTTTCTCGGCGGAAAGGTTGCCTATGAAAATGAGTACCTTGCATTCATCACCTACGATGAGGAACATCACCGAATCGCCATCTTGCAACTCCCCGAGACGGCCAACAAGGTGCGAAATACCGCCGGGCTCGAGCATATCGCCTTCACCTTCGACACTTTGGACGACTTGGCCTTAGCGTACCGGCAGCGCAAAGAACTGGGAATGCTGCCTGTGTGGTGTGTGAACCACGGGCCGACCACCAGCATGTACTACGAAGACCCGGACGGCAACCAGCTGGAAACCCAGGTGGACAATTTCGACTCGGTGGAAGAGACGGACAAGTTCATGAGAAGCAACGCTTTTGCTGAGAACCCGATCGGAGTGGATTACGATCCAGAAGACCTCATTCGGAGACTCCAGGCCAGGGAAGATGACAAGTCGATCAAGGAGAGGCCCAACATTGGCCCAAGAAGCCTTCCACCAGTTCACTGAGAGGGATGAGGGTGGAGGATGGAGGGAAGAGCGAGGAGGGTGGAGGGAGGATGTGGATTATTTCCATTTCCGACGCTCTACTGTGTCTGAGCAGCGGGTGCTGTATAATGTCAGTATAGTACAAATGGTACAAAGAAATGGTACTGATTTGATCTCTCGATGTTTCCTTTCCTTTTCTGCGTCGGTGTCCGTGTCCGTCGTGAGACAGGACGTCGTGTCGCTGGGACTCAATGTTTTTCCGTTTCCATCAATGGTTTAGCAGTAACTAGTTTGTCTACTAGGTCTAGATCTAGACTGAGAACAACAGACAACAGACAGCAGACAGCAGACAGTGGTCAAGTCACGCGGCAATCGCAGACACAGACACAAAAACACACACCAAAACACACTCTACTTGCCCAGTGGTGAGCTGGGTAGGCAGCTATACATGTCGGGTGGGCTCCATTTCAGCAAGCTTGTAGCCCACGGCAGGCGTGCCATCTCCATCGCCATGGCCATCAGTCTCATGCTTAGCGCCGAGGCCATTCGCTCCATTCGTTCCATTACCATTCACTTGTCCATTTGTAAGCGTGATTGGTTTCGTGAATGCAAATAACTGGTTCACCGCATCGACGAGCTCTTTGCCCTGGCGGTTCGTTTTGCCGACCGAGCGCCAGCTGACAAAGTTGTCTGGACGGACGAGAATGACGCCGCCGGGCCCAATTCCCCGGTTCTTCTCCCAGTTATCATCGCGGTCGACATACTGCGAGTTCTGACCGATTTGGGCGGTCTCGATCGGAATGCCGTGGGCCTTCGCCACTTCTGCGGCAGCTTGGAGCCATGCATCTCCTTGATTGTCGGTGATGACGAGGAAGCGTCCATATCCATGCTTGGCCACCAGATCGTGGGTGGAGAGGATCTGACCATCTTGGTCTTCCAGCCAGGCGTGAGGAAGCCGGTGACCGGGTCTCGTGGTCGGGATGTAGGTCTGGCCGAGGGGATCGGTCTCCGGGGGCGCGGTGCCGTCGGGGATGTGGAAGCCGGTGTCGTAGCGGAAACCCAGCTCCAAATCGTGGGCGGAGAACTCGACGTTTTGCGACTCGGTGATGCGTTTTGTCTGGGCCAAGAAGGTGCGGCCGGATTCCGAGTCCTCAAACAAGGCTTCAAACTTCTTCCTGTTGCCCTCTTTGTCGCCCTTGATCAAGCCGATGGCCGCGTTGATCACCGTGGTGTTGACGAACGTGAAGAGGCCCCAGTCGCAGTTTCGTTTGCCGACGGCCCGTCGTTCCGCGTCATACGTGTCCAGGAGGGCCGCGTCGGCCTTTCCTTGGAGCACCCAGGCCAGCTTCCATGAGAGGTTGTTGGCGTCTTCAATGGCCGTGTTGAGGCCCAGCCCGGTAGTGGGCGGGTGGCGATGGGCGGCGTCGCCGGCGATGAAAATCCGCCCTTCGCGGAACTTGTTGGCCAGCACGCGCTCGATGATCCAATGGTTGATGGTATGCACCTTGAGGTCCAGGTCCGGGATTTTGAGGAGGTTCCGGATGCGTGGGATGAGCTTGCTCTCGTCGTAACGCTGCTTGTCCTCCACGTCGAAGCCAAAGTGGCACACCCATTCTTGGGACTTGCGGCCCCAGGTCGGCCCCATGGGAACCACCGCGCCACTCTCCAGCACCGTGCCGCCGTCCCCGTTGATGAAGTGGCAGGCAAACCATTTGTCGTCCCAGTACTCGGACAGATCAGCACTAAAGTGCGTCGAGACCATGTCGGCAATATCGGTCGGCCCGTCCATCACAACGCCAATTCTGGGGCCGATGCTCTTGCCACCATCGGCTGCCACCATGTACTTGGCCTTGTAGATGATCTCATGGCCATCCTCATCCTTGACCGTGGCCGACACTCGATCACCGTCATCTGTAAAATCGATGACATTGTGGGAGAAGAGGATCCTTCCTGGATTTCTTTTCTCTGCCAGCCGGCGGAGGATGGGCTCGAGGCGGATCTGCGGGAGATTGTTGGATCTCAATGGGGCATCTCGACTGAAGGGGTAGAAGTCAGAGTCAGTGATGTATGTAGAGCAGACGGGCATTGATACATGTCATGTGTCTGGCTGAGCAGGCCAACAATAATGTATGTAAAGCAGACCAACATTGATTCATCATGTGTTTGTCCACTTGCAAGTATGTTTGAGAGGATCATGTGTTGGTTGTCCACTTACAAGTATATCTGAGAGGTAGGAGACCCGTCATCGCCTCCGAACGAATTGAGCTGATGAATGGTTCTGCGATCCAGAGGGCCCGACCCGCCCAGCGAGGTCCTCCACAGAGCGCGGCTGAAGTTTCGCGAGGGCGCGCCCTTTTCCAGAATTTCGTCCACCATTCCATGTTGGCGCAAGGCCTCCATGGCCCTTTGGTTCAAGTAGTGAGCCTTGGGCAGCTTGGACGTGCCACTCCGTCTTTCGACCAGATAATGATCGACTCCGTAGTCTGCCAGCATGGAGGAGAGGGTCAAGCCACAGCCGCCACCGCCGACGATAAGGACATCGGTGGTGACGGTGGTGGTAGTGGTGGCAGCAGCGGTGGCGGTGCTGGTGCTGGTTTGAGCCATGTTTGCTAGGGATAAGATAGGGGATAGGGGCCAAGGTGAGCAGCTCAGCGCAACGCAACCTCTGCGAGCAGACGATCAAAGACCATATATAGATGGAGATATAGATATAGATATCTATACAGAAAGATGTACAACCCGTCTCGTCCCGTCTTTATCACCTACGTCGTCCCAATCCCTTGCAGAACCACCCGAGGCGTCACCACTAGGTACGGATACTGTATCACGGTATCACGGTGCAAAATGCGGGGCGGCCCTCCACCTTCGCCTCCGCCTCCGGGGGCAGTTCCTGTTTTCGTTCGGTTTCGGGTTGGGTTTCTCGGCTGAGACCACCGGGGCGTGCAGTCCAAGTCCGCAACGGCCGATCCAAGACCAAGAAGTCAGGCGGCATGATGCCCACTCGAGCCACAGCCAGGACTTGGGCCATTGTCATTATCATTGCCATTGCTAAAAGACGTCTTGCCCGAAGCTTCCCCGGCCCCGGCCCTGGCCCTGGCCCTGAAACCTCCTTACGGATAGGACAACGGCCTGTCAAACTTGGGCTAAGGCACTAATATTAGGCATTCCCAGGCTTAGGTTAACCAGAAGGCTGGTATAGGCACACTTATACAGTCTGGGCCTCCCCATAACCCTTTAATAAGGAACGTGGAACATTTCAACCTTTGACACTCCTTACGGATAGGACATTACATGATGGTCAGAGAGAGAAGAGCACCAAGACCAAGAGAAAGTTAGTGCCCAAGTTTGACAATGATACCATCATGGAAGTATCGTTGAGATCCGCTTGACCAAATCAGAAGTTCCCAGTCCAAAGGTGGAGTCTTGATCAGATCTGGCTGTCCGCGTCCGCACAGCTTTTGCAACATCTGGAAACGGTCAGGTCAATAATGATAATAGGCCAAGCCAACTCGCAGTGATTTGGATTGGGATTGGGAGTGGGTCATGTCATCATGAGGCTTACTTGACACGAGGAGTCCAAGATTCCAATATTTGGCAATATGGGAGATGGTAAGCTCCAACAACTCTTGCTCCATGGGTTTCTTCTCAATCGCGACATTGACATCGACATCGACATCGACATCTCTTCGGATATGCATGGCGGATGGGCCGATGAGAGATACGACAATGAACGGCGAGCACACAGCGGCGTACTCTGCCGGCCACGCCCGGACTATTTTGCACACACTGCTGGTACATTGCCGACACTTGTTAGCCCATTTCTGGCTGCGGAGGACATGGGTCTCGGCCGAGGTTGAGGTTGAGGTTGGGCAGCCCGTCTCCTGGTTCCTGGGGTTGGGCTTGGTATTTCTGTCATGCATGAGATATGCCATCATTCGCGAACTACAGACACCAGAGTGGTGATTTGATATATCAGCCTCGTTCACCAGTCCAGTCTAGTCTGCAATGTGGAGGTCGAGGTGAAGGTCGGGACAGGACAAACCTTTGAAGGAGGATATGAGTGTGGATGACCCAGTTTACCGCAGAGACGTTGTCTTGGTCAAAGCGGGTCACCGTCACTCCTGAATCCAGGTCAAACGCCTCCGGGAGAACCAGACGTAAACAGCTCAAAGCGGTTTCCAAGTCGTCGATGGCGGTCTCGGAAGCGGTAGGGTTCCGAAACATGGTGTGAGCTTGGAGCATCAGAGCTTTGGCGACGAGGAACCAAGCTCGCTCGTTGGAGACGGAGCCACCGCAGGCTTGGAGACACTTCCACATGACAGATATATCCGGATTGAAAGCGGCCGAGGCAATGGGTGTTTTCGAGCCCCAGTTGGTGTCCGGTGCTGGAAGGAAGACGTGCATTTGACCCTGGTCAATCGCATATGGCCGGCACGAGAGGGTCGACACAAAACTGTCCAGCTCCCACACTGACCACCAGGCTCGGCGTCTCTCTTCTTTTGACGCCCAGTCTTCGGCCGACGTCCATGGTTCCAGTCCCAAGCTTTGTCTCGCCATGGCCTCGGCATCCGTTCGATGAAGTTCGAGGTCATATGCGAGGCGGATACAGGTGCCTGTCAACAACCAGGCGAATGATTCGGGAACCGAAGTCATGCTGTAAAAGGCCAGTAGAATGCACCCTTGGAGGTAGGTCAGGTTGGGGGTCAGGTTGTTCTTGTTCTTTTCCAGGGCAAATTTTTCGTATAGTTCTCGGGCCTGTTGGGCGAAAATCTCGCCCCGGTCTCGAGCCATTTGTCCGGTAAAGAAAGGCGAATTGGAGAACCTCGCAGCAAGAGACAACATGCCGTTCAGCACGAAAGCAGCCTCGAAGCTGAGATTGTGGTAGCGATTGTCCTGGTCATTGTCATTGGTCCCTCCTGGCAGTTGCAACTGTAAAGAAGACTCCAGGCGCGAACGTTCAAAAATCGGCAAGAGGCCATGGATTTCAGCAAAGAAGATGGTGATCCTGTTTCCCGATCAGCTGGATCTGGAAAGGAAAAGGAAAAGGAAAGGAGGTTGCCATACAGATGATCTATCAAGCTTGCTGGCTGAGAGAACGAGAAGACAGGGACAGTGTCGTTGGACTTCAGACGACCGCCGGCAGGTGTATCCTCTGGCCGGCCTTGTCCTTCTACATCTAATGAAGAAACAGCCGCGAAAGCAGGAACCGGATCGAATGCTGGGTCCAAGTTGGTCCAATGATCTGCATCGTCCTGCAGTGCCATGCGTGGGTATGACAGGTCATCGAGGTCGAGGTCGAGGTCGGGAAGCTGCTCAGCACCAGCACCGAGGTGTGATAGTGGAGGACTCCAGTCGAGCTCAACCGGCGAGTCTGAGCTTCTCCGGTGGAGGTTCAGGCTCGGTCGTGCCCACGACCACGAGGTGTTGTGTCTGGACTGCTCCGAGGAGGCTGATCCGAACGAGGGTCTTCGGGGGCTCTCGTGGTGGTTCTGCATGTGTATCGAGTTGCGCCTAGTCATCAGCGTCATGAGACAGTCTAAGATTGCGTGAGGGCGAGTTAGCTTAGCCAGCGCCGAGTGAGTTATCAGCATGATCTGTTCACCTAGCTTTTCATCCAGAATATCTTGCCTGGAGCGTTTCGATTTCCTCTCTCTTTCAATGCCGCTCGAACTTTTCCGCGGGAGAGGGGATTTCCGCTTGGTTGGATAGATGCAGTCTTTACCCGAGCGGTCGCAGAGCGAGCACTTTGGCCGTATCATGTCACCTAAAAGAAGCCTCACATTTAGAGAGGACGAAAGTGAGTGCTAAGGTCTCGAGTCTCGGGTCTCTACATTTGGTCTTCTTCCTGTTCCCAGCAAAAATGGTCAGAATGTACTGGATGCATGCTTTCAATTAGCTGTTGCGAGCGGCCAGAACACATACCTCTTGCATTCCTCACACGCGCGTACAGCTACAGGTGCCACTGACTGAGATGTGACTTGCACCTGCGATGGCCGAGGAGCCAGGCCAGCGTCGAGAGATAGAGATGTCGCGAAAGGGTCGTCCATCGTATCCGCGGTGGCGGTGTTGGTGTTGCGGACAGGGCTCAAAGACAGAGACAGCATGCACCGACAGCGACAGGCACGTCTCGTCGACCAGGAAGATCATCTGATGGATTGAAAAGAAACAGAGATCATCTAGAATCCAGACATGGGCGAGGTTGGTATGTCCATGGAAAGTCAGCGGGCCTGAGCCTGAGCCGGGGAAATGAGGGGTGAGTGCACCTATTGCTGCCTAGGCAGACCAACTCCAGACACCAGACCAACTCCACCTTCCCTGGGTACGAGTACGGGGTACATGCAGGCGCATACCGGCGAAGGACCAGGTCAGAGTGCGAGGGGCTAAGGATTGATTGGAGGCATGCAATGCTTCGACCGCCAGCGACCCTTTCTCCTTGTTGTAGACTGTTGAGCTGCATGCAACCCGACTGGCTATGGCTAACCCCAGAGATTCTCCGCAAATGGCATTGTGGTGGGTACTGTACCTGTACGGATACTTCTCTACTCGTACAACAGTCAGCATCTCCGCAACGTCAACTGCCTGAACAACCGTCCCCGCAATGTTCGTCCCGCAAAGATCAGCCTGGTGGCGGCGGGATGCGGGACGCAGGGTTACGTGGCAATTGCAATGAGAAGGCTAAGGAGCCCCTGAGCCCCCGGCCATTTGATGTTGATGCACCAGGGCGCCGTCAAAGTCCAGGTACTCCCATTCCGTACACTATCCCGCAAAAACAGATGACTTAGACTTAGACCATCCCCATCCCATCAACCGGGATCCGTCCGGAACAGTCTCATTATGAAAACGAAACGTGTGGTATGGTGTGGTGTGGTGTGGTGGCCAAATCCAAGCCTGAGATGAGACCCAGACAGTTTATTAGACTTTCTTTTTCGATCTTGATCTTGACTGTTAATCCTGGTCCTGATCCTGATCCTGATCCTAACCCTATTATTTGTTCCTGTCTTGGTTCTTAGCAATCAATCAATCATTTCACTTCTTAGACAGCCAGCCATTCCTGCACACAAAACAAAACACCAAACTACTACTACGGCTACTACTATAGTAGAGTACAGTACAATACCATGGCCGCATCTACTTCTGCTTCTGGTCACCCACCACCACTATTGGGCCGTCAGGACGGAACGGTGGGAGTGGGAACGTCTCCCCAGGATAGTAATCCCAATCCGAATCCGGTCTTTGACACCATCCCTCGAGAATGTAAAGCTGGTGTCTGTGTGAGGGAAGGACCGGATTTCCAAGTCCGAGTCGAGCAAGTGCCTGTCCCTGAACCAGGTACGTACACACAATACCAGTACAGTACCAGTATATATGTGCCTTGTCGTTCCCTTGTGTCCCAAGCTTCGTGTCTCTTTGAGGGTGACGGTCAACTGGTTATGTTTGGCCCCCCATAGTTGTGTTGTGCTATGTTTGGCTCTCCATATCTGTCCTGGGCTGTGTTGTGTCCCAATCCAACTGAACTGTTCGTGTCATGGCCCTCCATATATGTGTTGGTCTGTGTTCTCTTGAGAAGACGACAATGATGATGTGATGCCAGACAAGACAACCCTCCATCTCCCATCTAATTTCGGCATCGACAAATATGTTCCAAATCATTCCATTCATTCCTTCAAATAAACATTGATACTTTTTGGTCTGTCTAACACAACTGTCAGGCCCCGATGAACTTCTCATCCGACTCAACGTCACGGGAATCTGCTACTCAGACATCCATTTCATGCAAGGCGATTTGGATCTGCCGGCCATGTCGACGTTTGGGGTCCGGTCGCCCGGACACGAAGGCGCCGGAGTGGTGGTCAAAATAGGATCCAAGGTCCAGAATTGGAAGGTGGGAGACCGCGCCGGTCTGAAACCCGTGTGGGATACCTGTGGGAGCTGCGATCTGTGCTGGACCGGGAGGGAGGCTTTCTGCGAGAAGTCCATCCACGCTGGACTTATGAAACCGGGTAGCTACCAGGTGAGTTTTGATTAGTTCCAATTCCAGTTCCAGTTTGAATTTGAAAGTGTGAGTGAGAGTCAGAGGCAGAGCTCTCCCAAGGGTCAAAGATATGGTGAAAGAGGGGGCCAAAGAAGGGCCAAAGAGAGGGCTAAAGACGGCAGACGGCTGGCTGGGGCTGACGTTTTCATCCATCAGCAATACGTCCTCTCCCCAGCTCGATATACCGCTCCCATCCCCGACGGAGTGGACGATTACACGGCCGCACCTATCATGTGCTCGGCGAGCACTGTTCACCGGTCACTGGTCGAGTCTCGACTCCGGCCTGGGCAGTGGGTTGCTGTAAGTTGAAGTTTTGTTTTAGTTTCCCTTTCGAGATTCCCTTTGCATCTATCATATCCAGCTATTATATCCAGCTGTCATATCCCATCTATCCTAGAGTCAGAGTCCAAGTATCGTCGACGATTATGCTGTGCTGTGCTGTGCTATGCTGTGCCGGACCTGACATGCACCTGACATCGGCCATGGCCACTCACCCTCACCCTCATACTCACACTCACGCTCACAATCACACACAGTTTCCCGGGGGAGGCGGCGGAGTCGGCATCCAAGGCGTACAAATCGCAAAAGCCATGGGCCTTCGACCCATCGTCATCGACACGGGCAAGACGAAACGAGAGCTCAGCCTCACATGCGGGGCGGAGCATTTTGTCGATTTCAAGGAGTCGGAGGATGTGGTGGCCCAAGTGATTCAGCTGGCCGACGGTATCGGCGTGCACGGCGTCATTGTCACGGCGCCGAATGCGTACGCCGACGCGATCGCCATGGTGGGCAAAAGAATCAGTGGCAAAGTCATGTGCATTGGCCTTCGTAAGTCCACTTGTTTTCTTTCGTTACCTTCCCAGTTGGAACACTTTTCTTTCTTTTCTTTTCTTTTCTTTCGTTACCTTGGGATCCCAGTTAGACCACTTTTCTTTCGTTTCGGTTCGTTTCTGTTCTGGCTCTGGCGAGGAGAGTAGAGGTGGTACTGTAACATTGGTTTTCCTCATGGTTGGCGTTGGCGTTGGCAATGGTTATCCTCTCTCGTGGCATCGGCATGGGCATTGATTTCCCCCTCTGGCTCTAGTTATCACTATCATTAACATGTGTTAATTTCCACTAACATATCTTGTCAACCACAGCCCCCAAAGGAACAGTCCACCTCGGTTGCGAACCTTCCAAATACTGCTTTCAAAACCTCACCATCTCAGGCACGTTGGTGGGCAGCATGCACGACATCGCGTGTGCGTTGGACTTTGCGCGACGAGGCCTGCTGAGCCCAATCCACACCGTCTATGGAATCGATCAGCTGCCCGAGGTGGTGGAGATGCTTAAGAACGGCCAGATTGCCGGTCGAGCAGTGATTGATTTCAACCGATGATGATTCAGACACGTTAGATTAGGAATGATCTGGTCTCCGTCTCCTAACCATCTCCATCTCCATCTTGTCAAAGGTTGGAATGTTCCATGTTGGCTATCAAAGGGGTATGGGGCCCAGACTATATAGGGATGCCTATACCAGCCTTCTGGTTCAAAGGAAAAGGCTGGGAATGCCTAAGTTAGTGCCTAAGTTTGACAAGTCTCACCTTACGCTTGAAGCTTCAACCTTCTCTATTAAAGGTTGAAATATGCGAGATTCATATTCTCTATTAAAGGGGTATCGGTATAGAGACTATATACAGTAGGCATGCCTATCTATACCAGACTTCAAGTTATAGGTTATAGGGCAAAGCTGGGAACAATGTGCCTAAGCTCTAGGTTAGTGTCCAAGTTTGACATTCTATCTCCTAAGTTGCGCAACGCCTTGCAAGGTCTATCATACCTAGAGCGATCTTCATACGAGGATTGGCAGTGGAGTACCATCAAATGAAAGGGTGAGCCTGAGCCAGTCTGAACGAGTACTCCGTACGAGTAAGTACCTCGCAACTGTGCGTGGACGTAGATTTGCATTCACAAGTTTTCCGAGTATACAAATATTACATGGCGTTCGGTCTGCTTACAACTTACAGAGCTTGGTAGATACAGTAGATAGTAAATTAGGTCCACGGAGAATGGATAATCCATCTCATCTCATTTCATCTGCTATGGTAATCTACCCCATCTTATCTCATCCAATATGGCTATGGCTATGGCTATAGCTTTGGCCATGGCTATGTAACAAGTCACGGTGGAGATAATCCATCCCATCTCATCTGCTATGGTAATCCACCCAATCTCATCCCTATGTAACAAGTGATGGTGACGGTGACGACGTTTCTTCTTTCGCGGCGTGAAAGTCGACGTAGACCTCGGTTTTCGGAACCATCAAAATCATCATCTTGTAATCGAGAGGACGAGGTTGAGTGGTGCCCAGAGACGCGAAGGATTGCATCAGCCGAGCTAGGATATAATGCATTTCCGTCATGGCAAATTGCATGCCGACACAGATACGTGGACCGCCACTGAAGGGGCTGTTGAAAATAATCAGTCAGTATGAAGTATCAAGTATGAAGTACCAAGTAAGAAGTATGAAGTATGAAGTATGAAGTATGAACCGTCATGGCGATGGCGATGGTGAGGTTAGGTTAGGTTAGGTTTGGCAGTAGCAGTGGCAGTGGCCGACACGACAACGGCATAGCAAGGCAGAGGCACTCACAAATATGTCCAAGGCTTGTGGCTCTCGTCAGAATCTGTCCAGCGCTCTGGCCTGAACTCGTGCGAGTCTTTGCCCCAATACTCCTCTCGTCGGTGCATGCTTCTTGCAGAGTAATAGAGCTCCGTGCCTGTGATATGATGCCGTGTCAGCTCAGCTCAACTCCAATTTCCATCTCCATCTTCTCGAAAAGCCAGCCAAATCTGGTGCCAGGCGGAACATGGCCGTGACCGTGACCGTGACCGTGACCGTGATCGTGATCGTGACCGGAGAAGATATTGACGCCCGCCCGGCATCACGGTTTCCTCCCAGCCTTCTGAACAAAGGCATCTCTTGGATCCTACTTACCTGCTAAGACAGCAACGGGTCCGCCGTTCTTCCCCCCCACGGGAAGGCTGAGGTCTCGGAGGGCGTTCTTCCGGGTGTAGGGCAGGATGGGCCACAAGCGCAGGACTTCATTGATGATTGCTCTCAGGTACTTCAGTTCCTTCATTTGTTGGAAGGTCGGGGCGTCTGTGGGCCCAACCACGTTCATGACTTCTGCCCTTGCTTTGGCATAAACGCGAGGGTGTCGAGCCAGCGCATGTAGAGTGTTACTGTTTGAGCACATATCGCATTATTATTAGATGATTCGATTGTACAATGTCAAGTAGAGGTTCGGGGTCGAGATGTTCTCTGTACTCACGTCAAAGTTAGAGCAGCAGTATCGCGACCGCCTAGCATGATGGTCATCAAATGACCCCGAATCTCCTGAAGCAAGTCGAGTCAGTTTAGGGTATAGGTTGTTGGACATGGAAATGAGAAGATGGAATGGGAATGGGAAGGGAAATGGAAGGGAAATGGAAGGGAAATGGAAGGGAAATGGAAGGGAAATGGAAGGGAAATGGAAGGGAAATGGAAGGGAAATGGAAGGGAAATGGAAGGGAAATGGAAGGGAAATGGAAGGGGAATGGAAGGGGAATGGAAGGGGGATGGTAAGGGGAAGGGCAAGGGTAAGGGTAAGGGAAATGAGAAGGGAAATTACTTCTCGATCCAGAGTGTCTGCAGTGATGGCATCCAAGAAGCTATCGCCCAACTTTTCGCCTGCCTTTCTTCTTTCTATCGCCCGGTCGATCTGGGGATAGGCGACACCATTCAAGATAGCCATGGCATCTTTCATGGGCTTTTGAGGCAAGATAATCCTCCAGAGTCCGCCGGCACGAGCCCGGGCATCCATGATCTCAAACACAGTATCCCACGCGTGGGAAAATTGATTGACCGGGTTCTCGACCGTGTTCTCGTCCGTGCCCAGCATGTAGTGCATCGACGTGTCGAGCGTGAATCGGTGCAGCAGGTCCAGAACCGGAACAGGCTTTCCTTCGTGGGCCTTGATGAACCGAATCATCCTCTCGACGTGATATTCAAACAGGTGCAGATCCGCCAGCCGTTCCCGAGTGAATTGTTTCCGCAGCTTGGCTCGGCTGCCCTTCCACTTCTCCTAGGCTCGGGTCAGGACCGGGAACATGGAACAGTCGAATGCAGAAAGAGTACAAGGAGACGGAACTGACCCCATCCAGGTTGAAGGTGCTGTCACCCAGAAATTCGTGCCATTGATCATGAAAATCAGTCCCCATGCCCACCTTTCCAGCTAATGCTCCTTCCTGAAGTATGTACCTGACGTTTTCCGGCTCATCGGTGAAGATGCTGTTGGCCCCAAAGGCTGAGAACTGCATTCGAAACACACATGAGCGTGAGCGGGCCGTGGGCACATTGCAATGCTCTTCACTTCCCCTTGCCATCTAATGGTCGAGTCGAGCAAGGAAGAACAAGGGAGCATGTCAGGATTGGTGTGCATACCTGGAGAGTCCTTCCATATTTACTCCACCACTCGGGCCACAAGTCCATGAATGTGCCATCTTTGACCCTCTTTCCAATGTACAGGAAACGACCGATGCCTGACATTCAATTCGAGAAAGCATGTCAGCGTCCGCGACCGACGGGGCCAGATCTGGCCTGGCCTTGGGTGACACGGCAACTCACCAAATGGAATGGGAAAGACATTGGGAGGCTCTGGACAAGGGTCTCCCAGTTGCTTGATTCTTCGATTGTAAGAGATGTGACGGGTCACCAGGATCACGACACCGAAAACAACGACGGCCAATATCGGAAAGTTTGGCATCTTGTAAGTCCTCCGATGTTGCAAGTCCGCCAAACACTTGATGTCCCAAGACTGGGCTGCTCATATATGCTGACTGCCGGGGTCACTTGCGGGGTGCTGATATAGACACCATGACCATGTTAATTCTGTTCCCTTTGCGGGGCAGAAGGGACAATGGCACGGTCGGGCATGGGTACGGAAACCCGGTTCGGCCTGTAACTGGTGGTTGAAACGGGCTTTTTTGTCCATCCCCGCCGTGGTTGGGTTGCTGTTCGGCCAGTATAGATCGCGTCTCTTCTGGGAAGCTCAACCCTGCTCAATGCGTCGGCGACACCTGGTGGGGCCTCCTGGTGCTGTAGAGAGAGCTCTTCTTCTTCATAGTTGGCAGGTACTGCTCGACATACTCGGTCACAAACCAGAAGCCCAAGCCTTCCGAGATTAGGCTGGCTGATCCTGCGGGGTGAGAGGAGACCCCCCCTTAACCCCGGATTCCATCCTCTGTCCTCCGTCCCGTACGCCGATGGCCCACCAAGTCTTGCACCTGCGGAGATGATTACAATCAATCACCCTCGGCTATTTCGCCGCAGTCCATGGCAAGGCAGGCTTGATGACTAGGACGTAGGACGTCGCTTGAGGAGCTACAAACTTTTTCAGGATATCGGGCGCAATCTTGTTAGTGCACCAAGTGGCCCTTGAGGTCTTTTTCATGCAAAGAACCTCCTTTCTGCTTCCTGCTCTCTGACGAGACTTCCCCCGTCTCCTCGAGTAGAGAGAAGTCCCGGGCAATGGTTAAGCGGCGGTTGCAAGTGGCCGTTGGCGCCAAACGCTTACTGGTAAACACTTGTCAATAAGGTTTTGCCTTGTACTGTAATCCAAGCCGGCCATTTAACCTGCAGTCGCAAGACGAGCAGTGCAACCATTGAGGTACAGTAGTTTTCCATTTGTGCCCCTTATGGTGCCTGTATCTGTATCTGCAGAGCATGCAGTATGCTCCACCGTTGACCCCGATGCACGCTAGCATTATTAGCATTACTAGCGCGTTCTCAATAGCAGCAAATCTCCATTAAGGGCTGCACTAGTGATCCTCTGCCTCTAAACCATGTATGATCCTCCGGGGCGGTACAAGTATCAGATTAATTCGAGTCATACACTAAATGAGTGCGTCTTCTATGTCTGCCTCCGCACCTGCACATACATAGTACACCTCTATAGTACACCTACATAGTCGTAGCCTGAGGACACCCAAGCCTACTCCTTCTTCCCCCAAGCACCACCGCCCGGGGTCATGACCACGATGCGATCGCCGCTCTTGACTGTGACAGTGTTCTTGCCGCCGAGATTGACTCTGCGCGTCTCACCCGTCGCCTCGTCCTTGGTGACCCAGAGATTGAGGCCCTCTTGGCCTGGCCCGCCGCCGTTCATTCCATAGGGCCGGTGAACCCTTCGTTCACTGAGGATCGAGCACTGTACGGGCTGGAGGAACTCGATTTCTCTGACCACGCCGTCACCGCCGGCATGTACACCGACGCCACCAGACCCGGGACGTAGGGTAAACTGGCGCAGCACGCAGGGATAGCGCTTCTCTAGGATCTCCGGGTCGGTAATATGAGTGTTGGTCATGTGGGTGTGAACACCGCTTTGGCCGGACCAGGTAGCGCCCGCTCCCGCGCCGCCGGCAATGGTTTCGTAGTAGCCAAACCCATCTACGTGGGAGCCATCGGTGGCGGACTTGCCGCCGGTACCGAAGGTGAGGTTGTTGGTGTCGCCCTGGGACGCCGCGCAGGCGCGGAAGGCCTTGAGCACGACATCGGTGATGCGTTGCGAGGTCAGCACGTTGCCACCGACCACGGCCGCGGTGCGAGATGGCGACAGCAGCGAGCGCGGCGGGATCTTGATCGAGATAGGCGCGAGGCAGCCCTGGTTGAGTGGAATGTCCGAGTCAATCATGCAGCGTAGGCAGTAGATGATAGCCGAGTGCGTGATCGCTACAGGGGCGTTGGTGTTGCCGTACACTTCCGGCCCCGTGCCTTCGAAGTCGAACGTCGCCGACCCGTCGTCTCGGTCGATTTCGATTCGGAGCTGAATCGGCGTCCCGTCGTCCATATAGTCAACCGCCGTAAGTGGCTCGCCGCCAAACCGCATCCACAGCTCACGGAGGAGATTACGCACCGCGGTTTCAGCCGTGGCTTGGATGCCATACATGTATGCCTGTACACACGATAGGCCGTACTCAAAGATCAGCTTCTGAATCAACTGGATCCCGCGAGTGTTGGCTGCAATCTGCGCCTTGAGGTCCGACAAGTTGTCCGCCAGACACCTCGTGCCCGAACACCCTTCGTAGTGACTAGGTTCGTCCAATAAGATCTCGGTCATACGGGACTCGTTGAACACGCCGTTCTCAACGATCTTCTCCGATTCGATGGCAGCTCCCTCCTGCCAGAGTTCTGTTGATCGGGGAGGCATCGACCCAGGTAGCAGCCCTCCAATATCAGCATGGTGGCCTCGGGAAGCCACGTAGAAGACAATCTCTGAGCCTCCAGGCCGATCGAGGACGGGGGTAATCACCGTAATGTCAGGCAAATGAGTCCCGCCACAACTAGGATGATTCGACACAAGAACATCGCCATCCTTTAGCTGGCCTAGCCACCGTTTGTGTTGGTAGCGAACAGCGAACTGCATCGACCCCAGATGCACCGGAACATGCGGGGCGTTGGCCACGAGTCCTCCGTCGGGAGAGAAGAGCGCACACGAAAAGTCGAGTCGTTCTTTGATGTTGGTGGAGACCGAAGTTTTCTGCAGTGTCCGCCCCATCTGTTCGGCGATGGACATGAATCGGTGTCCGAAGATTGACAGGCGGACAGGATCGAGCGGGATCGAGTCGGATGCCAGCTCGGTTGAGATGTCTTGATGTTCCTCAGTCTTTTCCTGCTCCAGGTCAAGCACGATGCACGTTTCCAGCACATTGGCCACGGCATTGGGCGCAACCACAATGGTCTGCGTCTCGTCGATGATTATCGCCGGTCCATGAACTCGAGTGTGCTTCTCGATAGCATTCAGCAGATAAACGGGAGTATCAGCATAACCGGTCGACCCGAAATATACGCGCGTCGTCTCTTTCGGAGGCTGTACCATGTCCTTCATCTGCGCCTCTTTTAGCTGGGCCATAGGACTTTTCTCCGCATGCCGGTTGGAAGACGCAGTCGAACGGACGCGGACGTCGTCCACAAGTAGAGGCTTCTCAAAAGTGAACCCAAACTCTCGCCGATGTCGTTCTTTGAATGCCGTGGCAAAATCCCAGTTCTCGGGTTTGAGGATCATGAGGCTGGTATCTGAGCCTTCGTATCGCATGTTGAGATATAGTTGATGGCTGATCTTGTCCAGCTGGAAACCTTGATCCATTAGGTCAGTAGTTGATCGGGCGACCATGCTTGCGAATCTTTTTTGCAGATTCGATTGAGAGGACAGGTACTCGACAGACGCGGGCTCTTGAGCTTCCTTGACAACATCTGCGAGAGCTAGTCCGTATGCAGACAGGACAGAAGAGTATTTGTGAATGATGATTCGACTGATACCAAGGGTGGCCGCGACCGAACAAGCATGTTGGCCTCCGGCACCACCAAACGATGCGAGATAATGCGAGGATGTTTCGAAGCCGCGTGCCTCGGTGAGATTGCGCACCGGCCGAGCCATAGACTCATCAGCAACCTTTAGGAAGCCCAAAGCGACTTCCTCGGGGGTGAACTGGGCTTGGTTCTTCTCACGTTGCTCCTTATTGATGGCGTCTGTGAGGTCTCGAAATTTTCGCGTTGTGATGTCGCGGTCGAGTGCTTCATTCTCATTTGGCCCGAAGATCTTGGGGAAGTACTCGGGGAGTAGTCTTCCAAGGAACAGATTGGCGTCAGTGACGGTAAGAGGGCCTCCTTTGCGGTAACAAGCTGGCCCGGGGTGCGCCGACGCCGACTCTGGGCCTACGAGAAAGAGGCCGTTGCGCCATGCGAGGATCGATCCACCTCCTGCAGCGACTGTGTTGATATCGAGCTGTGGAGACTGGATCGAAACCCCGGCGATGTTGGCGCCGAAGACGTGCTCGAAGTTGCCATCGAATCGACAGACATCGGTGGAGGTGCCTCCCATATCGAAGCCGATAACGGGCATGCGTTCATCTTCATCCCAGCTCGTCGCTGCAAATCCAACCACTCCGGCGGCCGGCCCAGAGAGAATGGCTTTGAGGCCACTGAAACTGCGGAAGTCGACTAGTCCTCCGTCAGACTGCATAAATTCAAACCGACAGCCGTGCGAGTTGTCCAGTCCACCCTCAAAGCTGGAGTCGATTGAGTCAATATAGTTCTTAATGACCGGTGTCAGGTAGGCGTCTGCTGAAGCCGACATGCCTCGCGGCACCACTTTGATCATGGGCTGCAGCCTCGACGACAGCGCAACTGAGAACCCCATGGACACCGCGATTTCTCCAATCTTGAGCTCGTGGGCTGGGAGGGCGTAGGAGTGCAGCAGTGCCACAGCGAGTGATCTGTATCCTTCGTCCCATAAAGTGTGCAATTCATTGATGACTTGTTCGATGTTGAGCTCCTGCAAGACTCGAAACTGCTCTCCGGTGGTACCCTCCACCAAGCGACAGCTGGGGTATCTCTGTTCCTCGCTCCCTATGGGGCAGGGGATAATCCTCTCGTCGATCTCGACCACCTTCTCATATAGTACTTCCGGTTTCTTTGCGGAGAGGTCAAAGATCTTAGGTCTCGACTGGTTTCCAATCTGTAGCAGATCTCTGAACCCTTTCGTTGTGATTAGAGCCGACTTTGCGCCTTTCCTCTCTAGCAGTGCGTTTGTAGCAACAGTGGTGCCCATTCGGAGTCTGTCGATGTATTTCAGGTTGAGAGGCTTGCCCCTGGGAAATCTCTCTCCGGTGGCCATTTCCAGCACCCGCCGAATCCCTTCAGTAGGTGCATCTTGATAATTTGCGGGGTCCACGGATAGGAGCTTCAAGATTATGTCAGGTTTTCCAGGAACCGAGGCGTGAACATCGGTAAATGTTCCGCCTCGGTCAATTGAGATGCTGACTTTGGAATGTTCGGTCTTGTCGGATACAGTCATGTTGAATATGAGTGCGCAGTTGATGTTGTTGCACCAACACCCGACCAAAGCGGCCGTCCCAGCCCTAGATATAGCTCCAGCGAGAACGACATTGATGGTGCCAACCCCGCCATCTCGCCGTCAGGCAAACGTATGAATAATAGGTTTCTGGTGCTTTCCGATCTTACGGGCCAGCTTGCGAACAACAAAGAAGGCTGAAGGGTCGCACACCATGAGATGGGTGATGAAATTGGAGCTTTCGGGAGAGGGTCCCGTAGTCTGAAGCACCTGATCGGAAGCATCTTCCCTAGCGTCTCTTCTGATCCCTGCTCGCCGCCTCCTTCTCCACCGTGTCTGTGCCACCCCTGGTCGGAGAAGCGCGATCCCGTTTGACTGGTTGGGACGCATATTCTCAGCGTGATAAGGCATCTCTCCCTCTCTTAAGGCGAGAAGGAGAACGGGATTGGCGAGACCAGATAGATATTTGTCCGCTCTTGCAGTCCTCCGTACACACTATTTCATTGTGTGAAGTTGAAGACATAAGAGTGTTCCCTGAACGACTCGCCATGGCACCTATTGCGCTGGATGAAGGAGTCGAGGTAGCCAAGCCGCAGAGGTCGATTAATACCAAGTCAGCCACCGAGGAGACAGGAGAGCAAGTACGCCTTGCTGCAAGAGCGGGAAAATACACCAGTCAAACCTCAGGTGCCGCTCCGACATACATTCAGGCGAACTTTATTGTCCTCCCGTCTAGATATGCTGCAGATTTCCGCCTGCTGTGTCGGAGGAATCCAGTGCCTTGTCCGCTCCTGGCAGAATCAAAAGAGGTCGGAAGGTGGGATCAACTAAAGTCGTGGGTAGACGGCTTGACTGGCGATCAAATAGCCAAGGACCTCGATCTTCGACATGACTTTCCGAAATTCATGGTCTATGAGAACGGAGATCTGACAAAGGCGCATTGTCTTAATGTCGAGGCTGAATGGACTGAGGACCACGTCGGCTTCTTGATTGGTTGCTCCTACAGTTTCGAAAACGCGCTCGCGTCGGCAGGACTGATTCCTGCCCATACGGCTCACGGAAGAAACGCCCCAATGTACCGGACCAACATCCCTCTATGCCCAGCAGGGATTTTCAAGCACACCACATATGTGGTGTCGATGCGACCATATCGAAGGCGAGACGTTGAGAGAGTCAGAGAGATCACTCGCCCTTATGTGGCAACCCACGGAGAGCCCATCGACTGGGGCTGGGACGCTGTAGGTCGATTAGGTATTCAGGATATCAGTCAACCAGACTACGGGGAGGCTCCAGTCGCAATGGATGGCTCTCCTCTGGTCGAGGGTGTGGGCGCTGATGATGATGAACTTGTCCCTGTGTTCTGGGGTTGCGGCGTGACCCCTCAAGAGGCCATACGCAGAGTCAAGCCTGAAGGAAGAGTCATAGGCCATGCTCCCGGTTATATGATCGTGTTAGATATCAGAGACCAGGATATCATTCCCAAGCAATAAGTAGCTGCAATGTAGATGATCTGTATCAGCAAAGGTCTACATGACAAAGGAAGACAGTCCTGGTATTTAAACCAGGATCTTGGAGATTCTGATAGATATATATCTTGTTGGGCGGGCGGCTGCCCCCCTGACAATCCATTTGCGTGATAAGTTGGACCCGAAAGCCGTCAAGGAAATTCGTGCCGAAATATCGGATGCTGGATGGCACACAGCCGCGACCCCGACTACATACTGTGCTGAAATTGATAGGCTTCATTTCGTAACGCGTTCTCGATCCAGCCAGTGCTGTCCATATCAATGTCAATAGTTCCAGATATTTCTTCCCAGAAGGTGGGGTCGTCCTCCGTGTCAAGGTTGAGGGCAATATCTTGTAGGGGTTGGAAACTATTGTCAAACTGTGGACTGGTCTCCCGCAAAGGCTGTGGCGCGTCCAAGGGCAAACCTGCATATTGTGCACCCTGACTTGGGCTTCTGCCCGGGAAGTTGGTCAGTGTCGCGGGCGGTTCTGTTAGATGCCTGTAACTTGAAGCTCGTGGCCCAATCGAGGAACGAAGGCTTATCAGAAGTGCCAGCCGAGCTTGGATATACTCGTTCCCCTTCTGCGCCATGCCTTGTAGGACAGAAAGTGCAGTCTCCATGGATCTTGCATTTCTGTCGTCGTATGGAAAGGCAACATTGATCATGACAAGAGTCAAGGATGCCGAAAAGGCGTGCTCTCCATCCATGAAGCCATAGGTTGCTGCCCACCATTAGTGTCTCATCTCATCTGCGAGAGACTGGGGAGTAAGACTTACCAAAGAGATTTTGCTTCGCTGCCGCGCTCATGATCATAGTGCCAGCGCTAGCAGCGGTAATGGCGCTGTCGATCACTGCCACGACGCTCGGGGAAAGTCCTTGCTTCCAGGTGGGCGAAGCTGTTCCACTGGCAAGGGCTTCCAGCCTTCTCTGAATGACGTAGAGCAACAGCGGCCTTGCTGTCATATTAATGCACTGGTAATAGTGAAGGAATGTCGAGACCCCTTCCCGTGAGAGAGGTCGGTCCAGCGCCTTGAAATCAATTCTTAGCTCCGGTGGCACGTGTTTCAGCCAGTTTGATAGATCGTTCATGATGCTTTGGACAGAAGCAAGCAAGCTTGTTCCTGACTTGGATTTCTTCCGGTAAATGCCCTCACCAATCCTTCCGAGAATCCTTGACAGCTGGGTATAGTGTGCCATGACCCGGGGAGGCGAGAATTCGGGCTCAACTCCTGGTATGGGGCTTGGCAAGGCGATGTCAATATCTTCGTCGTGGATGGATACTGGATTCCCCGATTTGACTGACAGAATCCTGTCCATACTATAGACAGACCACCAAACCCTTCGTCGATGTTCTCTCTCGACCACATCCATTCCAGGGTCGTCCACCTCTTGATGGAGACCAAGAGAGATGGCCATTCTTAGGGCCAGGCCGATGTAGAGAAAGGCAGCATCTTTTCGATTCAAATTCTGTAAATAGGGTGAGAGGAGACCTAACACCTCCACGAATAGGACAGAGCCTTCCTGATGGATATCTGGAAGGAGCCACAAAGCGTGCTTGAAGTAAGTGAATCCAGGGGGGCCATCACTTCCTGACCATTGATTGACAGAGTACATCTGGCCGTATGCGAAGATCAGCAGAATTTGGCAGTAGGCGAGACACTCCTCGATATTTTCTAGGTCGGGGGGATTGGTGTAGACTCGCTGGAGTCTGTCTTCGAAGGTTCGAGGCTGCAGAAAGGAGAAAATTGTGCCGATATAGATGTATTGAGCCCCAAAGAGGCGTTTAGCGAAGTCGTATGGAGGCAGTTGTGGTAGGACCCGATTTTGGGGACGTCGCAGGGAGGAAGGATCTTTGTACATTGGATGAACGTCCCAGGACAAATTGTTGTCCGGTGTCGGATTGAGCTTTTGGGCAAGATAGGTCGACGAGGCTGTGCCAACATAATGCCTCTCTCCAGACTTTGTCAGGAACAGATTGTCCATTCCTTTGTACCACCAGGCATCGTCATCTCTGTCGGGCTCAATCTGGGTCTTGAAGGGAGATGCGTCGCTGCTCTGTCTAGACCTTGTGGCTAGGTCTGTCAGCAATCACAAGGCATGCTCTTCGGGAAACATAGCTTTCTCAATGGAAGCATGAAATGACCTAACGGTAAACTCACAATTATCGGCAAGTTGGGCTCGTGCCTGGAGCTCGAGGAGATAGCTGTCATCGGTCAGGGAGGGACAGCTCTACTTCGAAGATTCGAACCTACCTTTCTGGGACAGGAATACGCCTCTCATTCTCGGTATACGTGCATTCAACGCCGGCATCTTCACAAGCAGTGCAAGGGTGAGGTGGTATCCCCAAACATTTCTGTTTTCGGCCGCGACAACGGTTGCAGGCTAGCGGTGACCGTTTCAGAGGATCGTAGGAAGGACGGCGGGCTTTACTTCGTGATGAGTTGTTGGGCTGGTTGTTAAGCTGCATGATGTAGAGTCGGCCCTCTGGGGAACTCAAAGGCAGATGATAGCGTTTCGAATATGGACAGACTTGAGAGAAGATCTTGCTCTGATGCCATGGGCAGATGCCCTTCTCGCTATTCCACTGATTCGACCTGTGGGGAGTGGCAGTCAGCGAGCTGCCTCGATGGCTGCTAACTCAGCCCCTGTGTGCAGAACTACGGAAGACCTGGACAAGGTCGCCTGGTGTCCGGAATCTCGCCGAAAGGCAGGCAGAATGTTGCCTTCTGCTTCCGCCCACACCCAGCAGCGGGGGCCAATAGCCGAGTTTAGGCTGCGTGCGGTGCGGACGGGCCGCTGACAGTGGTACGGAGTACTGTACAGAGAAAGGGCAGCTCTGCTCTGCCGGGGGGGCCTGACACGAGGGCTGATCGGGTTCGACCAGCCTACGGGTGTTACAGGCCGTTAAGGTGAGATAGCCGTTGGGCGGATTTGTTGGCTGGTCTCTGGGGTAACAGTGACAGTACCGGTTACTGTATGCCACGGCTGGGGCCCCAGTATCAAATCTTCTCTGCAGTCCGGACGCAGGGGAGGCAAAGCAGGCGAAGTGTGTGGATGGAACATCTTGGTAATACTCGTGTGGTGCGGCGTGCGCAGATGCGCAGATGGCCGCTCCCACATCCCACTTAGTTAAGTGCATGCAGGTGGGAGTCTGCAGCCGGTCACCTGACCATGACCGCAGGCTGATAATGATAGGGCTTAGGAGGTCCCTTGGCCCTAAGGCTTATTACCTGAAACTGAAGCAATATCCCTGCACTAACAAGCTCCCTGCAACGTCGATCCGATCGGCGACTGCTGTCCTAAGACTTCCTAACACTGGCGGATGGCACCCTGTTATCATGCCAACATTGAAGACATGCTGCCTATCTCGGCGCCCCAGAGCCGGCACTGTCATCATCGCATGGACCAGGGCAATCAGCCCACGTCTGCCCTCGAGATAGCGGAGACAGGCATACACCATACACATACTATCCGTACGCACCTACCTTCACACACCAATACCCCTCACTTATCATGAGGTATAAAAGAGCCCTGCACGGCCATGGTCATGATGGAAGTGGGATAGAGGTACCACTTCAGTCGAAGAGCAGAGCAGTGACTTCCATCGAACAATAAACATATTCCATCAATCAACCAACAGTGTTTGACCCCAGAGCACCTTTCTTGCTCCCAACACTCAACATGGCCCAGATCGAGCCGCAAGCTATCGATGAGAAGACCATAGGCACTTCCGAAGGACAGCCTACCCTTGACGATGGCCTCAAGGAGACCGGCAGCATTGAACCTCGAATCGACCCAGCCAAAGAGAGGATCCTTCTCGCCAAACTGGATCTGATGTTCACTCCTGTCATTATGCTCGTCTATCTCTCATGCTTTCTCGACCGATCAAACATTGTATGTGGAGAGTCTCCATTGCCACTGCCCACCTATTCGGGATTGGGTCAAGCCTGATGGAAGGCTGATGCTGATGTCGATATCCAGGGCAATGTGAAAGTCGCCGGAATGCCAGAAGATATCGGAGCATCGAACCAGCAGTTCTCGACCGCCGTCTCCATCTTCTACGGTGAGTTCTTTGCTCTTGCTCTTGCGCTCATGCCAGAGATGATCCATGGCGGATGTCTCCCAGCATCCTCTGCTGATGCGATGGCCATACAAGGCGTACTGGTGCTGACGCAACATCTTAGCCACTTATGTGGTGTTCGAAACACCATTTGCAATTCTACTGAAGAAGCTGACGCCGCGCGTCCTTCTGTCGAGTCTTTGCATTGTGTGGTCCTTGACCACCATCTTCTCGGGCTTCATTCAGAACGTGGGAGGCCTTTATACGAGCCGCCTTGTGCTCGGGGCCTGTGAGGCCGGGCTATTTCCAGCCCTCACCCTCTACCTTACGACGGTTTACAAGAGGGACGAACTGGCCAAGCGAGTGGCCTATCTCTTCAGTTGCACTGCTCTGTCTGGGGCTTTTGGTGGTCTCCTGGCTTACGCGCTGCTGCAGATGGACGGTGTGGCCGGGTACGCCGGGTGGCGGTAAGTTCTCGTGGCATCGGCGTGGGCGTTGGGTCAAGCAAGGTACCGTTCGAGGGCTGACACTGGCATGGCGTATCTAGATGGGTCTACATCATCGAGGGCATTTTCAGCGTCGTAATCGCCGTCGCTGTTTGGTTCGGCCTACCCACCAACCCGGCAGAGGCGTGGTTCCTAAGCGCCGAGCAGAAAGGCATCATGCGCATCCGACAAGAGCAAACGGCTCAATACATGGGCAGCGATGAGCTTGATTGGGAAGAAATCCGCATCGCCTTCAAGGACCCCAAGGTCTACCTCAGTGCGGTGATTCAATTCTGTCAAGATATCCTTCTTTACGGATTCAGCACGTTTCTGCCGGCCATCTTGAAGTCGGCCGGGTACAATAGTCTGCAGAGCAACTACCTCACCGTTCCTGTCTACATGTTCGGGGCTATTGTGTTTATTGCTGCTGCTGTGGCATCAGACAGACTCAGATTACGCTCTCCGGTAAGTGGCACTCGTTCCATCATATACGGAAAACAGATATCGTTGCGGTCTCGGTGTCGGTTCTGGTTTCGGTTCCCAGCTAATAATTCATGTCCGCATGATAGTTCATCCTTCTGGCCAACGTCTTCGGCATTGTCGGTTACATAGTTCTCCTCACAGTGCCATCTAACAACGGAGTGCGATACTTTGCCACCTTCCTCTGCGCGGTGGCGGTTTATAACGGTCCCGGATTGAACGTGACCTGGATCAACGTCAATGTCGCACCTCACTACCGCCGAGCCACGTCGATCGGGGTCCAGCAAACCATTGCAAACACTGCAGGAATCGTGGCCGGCCAGATCTACCGGACGTCACCCTACAAGCTAGGCCACAGCTTCTCCTTGGGCGCACTGTGTCTGGCCCAGGTGATGGTTGTGGTCAAGATGTTCTACATCAGGTGGTGGAACACGAGGAAGGAGAAGATTGCGAGAGGCGAGATCGAAGACACGCGCAAGTACAAGACGGGAGATCGAGAGCTGGACTTTAAGTATCATCTCTGAGCAAACGTCGTGACGTCCTCCGGCGTTGTGCTGCCGTCGATTGCCATCGAGGAGTGTCAGCCACAGCCACATGCCGTGCAACAGAATTTGAAGCAGCGCCAGCCGGGTCTGTCAAACTTAGACACTAGCTTAGGAAATCCGAGCCTTGCTTAGGGTGGGTGTCAAAATACATGGCGGGTTGTCTCCGACCTACTCTGGTAGTATTTTGACACCCACCCTAGGCCCTTTAGCCAGATTGCAGGCACACCTATATAGCCTGGGCTCTCCCCATACCCTTTTGATAGAGAACAAACAGAGTTCTAGTACTCAACTATATATGCTCCTCTCAACTCGATCGTCGAGCCTGGGGAAGCTTTTATTGTCCAACCAGCAGGCATTCCCACCGCGGTTTCGTTACAAGGGAAGGGAGTATATAGATAGCTAGGGCTTAAGGCCTTGTGCAGGCACCTTTGATGGAAACAGGAAACAAGGAACCTCTCAACCTTTAATAGATTAATACTATACTGTACTACGAGGACTTGTCTATACAGCTCTAATAGAGTAGGTAGGGACGGCATCCCAGCCTCGTCGCTTCAACTAGAACGTGTGCCATAGTCACTGATATGCCTATGTATACTACTGTAGGTAGTCATGGCTCTCCCGAGCAGCGAACAAGGGACCTTTCAACCTTTGACAACCAATGCTACACTATACTATCGAGGACTTCTATGCGCATGCGAGGTTGGGCCAGAGTGGGGACAGCATTCCGAACATAGTAGTAAAGATATAGATGGGATGTCAACTCATCCCAAGATTGCAGCTATGGAAGGAAAGCTGTAGGTGTACAGTAGGTACATTGTCTCGTTACACGGCTCAGGCCTCGCTGGGGCAGCCTCACCCTCACTCTCGTTTTGTACGAGGCTGAACAGGCACTTCACCTAATGCCCAAGACCTGGACCTGGTTCGAACTACAGAACAGATAGCATGCATGACCCCCGGTTAGTACTGTAAGTGTCACTCATTGTTAATGTCGATGTCGATGTTGATAAAACTCACCATTATGAGGATACAACCTACTCATTATGAGATACAACTCACTCATCATGAGAATACAACTCACCATCATGAGAAGGTGCACCCCTTTCGAGGCATCTGCACAACGGCCTCATCTGCCATTTCAAGACGTGTGTGTCCGCCGTCCACGTTGCTCGCGGTGGACGCCGTTCTCGCCTGGCTGCTGCCATCTTTGCCAACGACGTACGCACCAGTGTCCGCAGTGGCGTCAACCGATACAGCGCCATACCTAACACTCCTCTCTCCCACCGCCCGCATTAGACTCTTGACGTCGGAATTCGAATTCGAACTCTCCAGCAGAGGCGCGTTGAAGGCTCTTGCGATCTCCAGCGGGCTCATGCTCACACTGCGCCCGAGGGTCTGGTATCCGACAAAGGTGAGAGTCACAAAAGTGACAGCCAGGCCGGTCAGGATCACAGCAATGCCGAGATAGAGGTAGTGTGACTCGTAGACGGCAGGGGTGGTGAATTGGGTGCCAGAGACGGTCTGGATCATCGAGCTGTTCCCAGAGGCAATGCTCAGCGCGGTGCGGAACATCAGCTCCCTTGCCGATGCGAGCAGATCGTCGGTGGGATCCGTAAATGAAAGGCCACAGCTGCTGGCGACATCGACGGCGCTGGTGTCGGTCGTGGCGTTGGTGACGGCATATTGCGTCGCCGTGGAACCGGTGGTGAGAAGCTCGTAGCCTACGGCCCCGGCCCAGCGGAGGTGGGCTTCAGAATTGAACTTGTTCTTCAGGGCGAGGTAATAGCCGCCCAGCGTAGTAGGACCGGCCTCTGCGTAGTCGAGGTCGAGGTTGATCTTGTGCGAGATGGTGTCTTCGAAGACGGTCGTGGAGGGATCGAGCGAGATGGTGTCGTTGCCGTCGATCACCACGGGGTACGACACCAACGCCGTCTGCAGGGTGCAGTTCCGCACAATGAGGTCTCCCGTGCAAGGAGACTGGTCTTTGTACTGGAGGTTCAGGCTCATGTTCCCCGAGGCAACTTGCCAGGCAAAGAGGCTCTGGAAGACGTTGGTGCCGTTGACGACCGCCGGGTCGTTCGACACATTGTACGGCTGCTCCGTGCTGGGGGCCAGGTTGAACGGCCAGGTGTAGGAAGAACAGTTGACCGAGAGTCCCACTCCCATGACTCGGGCTTTGCAGTTTCCCTGGCAGGACGACTTGTGCGGCAGCCGAGTGACATTGTTGTTGTAGTACTCCTGCACGGTCGTGGTGTAGTTGGAAGTGAAGAGCGACGCCGCGTACCCCCGGCCGCTGATATATCCAGTGTAGCCCGTTGGTATGTCCTGCGCCACGGGCACTTTCAGAGTCACGGGCGACACCACCTCGAGCCGGCCCACAGTCACGCGCGAGGCGCGCTGCAGGAGCGGATTGCTGATCGGGGCCATGGCCGTCAGGATGCTGGCCACCGCAATGAGATCGACATGTCGACCCGCCGTGCTGGCCGTCCACAGGCTGTTTCCAAACGCCCAGTTCCGATGTAGGTCAGCCAGCTGGGTTTGTGGCCTCATGGCCCGTCGCCACCACGACACGTTGGCGCCCTCGGACAGAGCGAAGTGTAGCATGATGTTGGATGCCGTCGATGCCACCGAAAGCCAGACGGTGGGTTGGATGCGCCAGTCGGCGATGGGACGTCCGTTGGATGCAACAAGAATGCCGACCGACGCAGCCAGGCCCAAGACAGATCCAAGCAAGGCTGCGAACCCCAGCCACGGCAGCCGGGCAATCCAGCCTGGAGACCATGGTGCACGATCCTCAACGGCGCGGTAGGCTGGGGACGGGGAGGATGGGTGTGCCATCGCTGTGACCACTATAGAAGAGAAGAGGATCAAGGACACAGTATACAATACAGACGAGGGTCAAGGATACAGTATGCAATACTCCCTACTGTCGATCGACCCAGGGAGACACTCACCATGGCGATTGCGAGAACCCTGGGGGCTTAAGAGCCCCATCATGCCCACACAGCCTGCCGCGGGGCATGCACTCTATACACATCTGATGTCTCATATCTGCATGGCACTTGTCAGTGTCAGTTTTCAGCTCCTCGATAGTATGCACTACTTGTCAGTGTTAGTTTTCAGCTCCTCGATAGGATGTAGCCATGGACAAACTTTGTGCGCGTAAACGAGAGACATGGAGGGAAAGATCGATCACTTGTACCCCTGCAATACGAAAAAGGGGTCCGTGCGCCTCGTGTTCGACCAATCTAGACCTCCGGCCTTCCAGGGGGGCCAGCCTCGCTTGCATGGATGCCACCCACCACTCCAATTCAGCCTCACGCCGGCAGGACGCCACCATGTACTATGTGCTGATAGTGTATAGTCGGTCGTTGTGTCCAGCCTCAAAGCTGGCTAGAATCGATGGCAACTGAGTTGGGATGGCCCGTCAGGCAGCGTTCAGGGAAGCTTGTTCAACAGTATTTCAAGGATGGTCCAGCCTGTCTGGTTCTTGTTCTCATCGCATCGGTCGACCTCTCCAAGAGAAAAAAAACAAGAAAGAAAAGCAAGAAGGAAAAGGAAGAAAAGGAAACCATGGCTCCTCTCTCTCTCAAGCTTCTTTTGGTCTATGCAAATCTTCTGTTCTCCGCCGCGGCTTCTTCCAGCCCGCAATGGAACGGCCCCCGCCAAACGTTGCCCTTTGTCCACGACGGACGCGGCCTCGGCTGGGCTCCCCAACCCACCGCAGCGCCCGTCCTGCCCGAGCTTTTGAGGCGACAGGAGGGACCACACACGCTGTGTGGCTACGTCGATGGAAATGCATGTATGTGGTGGTCCTCGAAGCCTCCAACACCAAGACCTTGTGGCCTAATCTGTCTCCCTCCTAGCTGAACCCGTCCTCTGCCCCGGCGCCTACTGCGGATACAACACCTTCAACGGAATTCCCGTGGCCGGCTGCTGTACCAGCACCTACTTGAGCGGCGGATCCGATTACCTGACAGGCTGCAACCTTGCAACGACATGTTTTGATTATGGCGCCTGTGATGCTTCGTGCTCCTCCGCCAACATGCAGAATGACTATGAGACTTGGTATAGCCTTATGCCTGTTCTAACACATGCCAGACGGCACGTTGATGCTGACATTTCCCAGTCTGTCCTCTGCTTATCCATACTGTGGCAAGCTCTCCTACACCCAAGATGGTGCCGTCTCCTTCTTCTGCACAGATGCCTCTGATCTCACGTTCTATGCCGCTTATGACACCGGGGCATTGTCGACTAATTCGCAATCAACACCGGAAACAACGCCGGAAACAACACCAGAAACAACACAGAACCCCTCGTCTATTGTTGTCATCAGCAGCAGCATCGGCAGCAGTCCCAGTCCCAGTAGCAGCAGCTCTCTCCCAAGCTCCATCACAGCATCGCCCGTGCCATTCACGCAGTCGCAACAGACCACCAGCCCACCGAGTCAGGCTTCGACCACTACGACGACGACTTCAAGTGGCTCCGACAAGCATCTTTTATCAGATACTACGACCAATGTCATTTTGGTGTTGACCGCAGTGATATTCCTGGTCGTTCTTGTTTGAGGCGCTGCTGAGGCCGAGATTTTTGTGTCGATGGTGACAAGGCTTCTGACTTGCTGGAAAATCATAGATAATCAAGTGAAAGATGACACGTGGAGTGTGAGAGAAAGTGGGTATGAGTATAGTAAACATCTACCTGCTGACCATAATATCGATCGAGTGTTTCATATCAAAAGGGTTGAAATCTCATGGCAAATTCCTCGACTCTTTCGCCAATCCTCATATTGCAAACATAGTCAACTGGGTATGGGTATGAATAGCTCATTCAGACCTACCCTAGTTCTATCCTACCTAGTAGCTCCACAAGATTCGTAGCCGGGTCCGGCTGTGACACGATAACTTCCATCGTACATCTTCTTCTCCATGGTAGACAGACAGCTGCGGAGGATGGAAAGCAGGGATACCAGGAAATGGGAGGAAGAAGAAGGGCAGAGCAGAGTCCATGCATGCCCAAGCGCCGGCCAGTCCAGGAGACCGAGACAATACCATGGCGAATGGAAGATGACTTTGGCGAAGGTAACTTAAGGCGGAATAGGTTCGCTTTTCTGGAGGGGTCTTTCGTAACGACATCGCAATGCAAGGGTGTCTTCGACTGAAGCCAAAACAACAGTACGAGATATCTCTCTTCATGACAACTAGAGATTGGCTAGGATATCGATTTTTCAGACAGAGCCTAGGGTTGAGATGGCCCGTGATGGGAAAATCGAGGTAGCGTTCGAGTCGAGACGGCTGCGAGAGACACCAACTTTGACAGCTTCGACAGCTCTGTAAGCCATATGTACCTAGAGAATGTAGACTGTGAGGTGAGATGCACCGTCGTGTGGGATTGGGTGAGAGGGTGAGGGGATTCTGACCAACGGGAGCCGACCATTCCCCCACAAACGCGCTAACCATAACAAGACTAGCTGGAATAAATCTTGGCTGAGCATCCTCGCACTGCGCACATTCTCATCCAAATTCGAGGTCGCCGACAGCATTTCCACACCGTCACCATCAACACCACCTCCCTCCTCCCGGATCCTCGCCAACTAATCCCGGACACCCAGAGCCCGTCTCCAGGTCACAAATCATTCATCATGGTCAAGAAACGAGCGAACAACGGCCGCAACAAGTCTGGTCGCGGCCACGTCAAGCCGATCAGATGTTCCAACTGCTCTCGATGCACACCCAAGGACAAGGCCATCAAGAGAATCACCATCCGCAACATGGTTGAGTCGGCAGCCATCCGTACGTGTTTGGCCTCTTCCGCTTCCGACCTTGACATGAATAACAAATGGAGCGAGTTCCTTCTGACAAATTGGTTGCTGTACAGGTGATATTTCCGACGCTTCAGTGTTCGCCGACTACGCCGTCCCCAAAATGTATCTGAAGCTCCAGTACTGCGTCTCGTGCGCCATCCACGGCAAGATTGTGCGTGTCCGATCGCGAGAAGGCCGCCGAAACCGAGCCCCGCCCCCGAGAATCCGATACAACAAGGACGGCAAGAAGGTTAACCCCCAGGTTGCTGCCAAGACGTTGTAAATCTGAGAACTGAGGGATCCGCGTGAATGGGTGTCGAAGACGCTCAGCGCAACGAGAACGGGTGAGATGGGTTGGCCAGAAAGCCAGAAACGATCATCGGCATGGAGCTCCAGCTACAGGAACTGTCATCCAAATCGGGTGTGGGAAATGGAACGGCATGGCTTGTCGAATCAGTTGATTTCTGGCACTGGCATGGGAAAGAACGGGGGTCGCCGGTAGAATATTACGGCCTGCTGGAAAAACGCAGGAGGCGAGTTACGCAGCCGGATGGCTGGCTGAGTTTCCAAACAACACACAATGCAAACCAATGTCAATGGGTAAAATCAAGCCGCCATTCAGTTGATGCATGCTTGCTGAATTTCCTCGTGTGTGACATCGTGGTGAACTACGGTTACCAGGCAGCCGCAGTAGCTTGTCAAATCGACAATGCTAGCTGGGCTTGACATAATGCCGATGCTATTAGAAACTGGGACCATACCACGCTTGGCCATACAGGGCATACTATCTCCTTTTCGCGGCAGGGAGAAGAGAGTCATCTGGTAACCCTCCTCTCTTCGTGCCTGGCAAGCTCCCAGTCCCAATGTCATTTGTTTCCGTGCTCACTCTCCGATGCGGGTACACTTCGTCCAGTCCCTCGAAGCAGTTGTTGCTCACCCAGATTTCGCCCTTGTGAGGGCCTTCATCCGTGTTCCTGAAATATTCATGATGCAATGCTCGTTCGGCCGTCAGTCGTTTATCTGGGTCGTACTCAAAAAGCTCAGACAGGAGCTGAAACCCACGTTGACCGGGGGACTTGTCTGGAGGATAGCTAGCATGCCGAAGACAGTTGTTGTACCACGTCTCCAGACCGCTGCCATTGTTTGCGCCTCCACCAGACCCGCCGCGGTTCATGCTGGTCGGCGGATTCGGGTAAAGTCCTCCTGGCATGCCGCTCCGAGAAACGACCAACGATTGCAACTGTGGGTACTCAGGCATATCTGCCAGACCCTTCCAGTTCTCACGTCTCGGTAGACCAAGGATCTCGACGATTTTGCCCATCTGGTTTCTCTGGAACGGCACAGTCTTTTTGCTGTCCATTTTGGTTTCTTCTCCCTTGAAAATGGGCCTCAGGCTCAGCAACTCTGCGAAGATGCAGCCAACGGCCCACATGTCAATGGCTGGCGTATAGTGACGGGCACCCAACAGCAAATCAGGACTTCGGTACCAGATAGTAACCACGACTTTATCACCCGAGTACAGAGATGATAGCGGTTTGTGAAATAAACGAGCCAGACCGAGGTCTCCGATGCGTACATGACCCGAGCTGGTCACCATGATATTGGCAGGCTTCAGGTCACGATGAATAACCCAGTTTTGATGGAGATAGTAAAGGCCATTCAGGAGTTGGAATAAGATGGACTTGATCATGGTCGCAGGAATTGGCCGCCGTGTTGGTTGGGTGTGATGGTGGATGATTTGTAGTAAGTCGTGCTCACAGTATTCGAAGACCATGAAGACACACTTATCTTCAAGGACAATTTCCGCCAGATGGACAAGATTGGGATGTGACAACTCTGTGCATAAGGACATTTCTCGGATCGCCGACTGCGACAGTCCCGTATACTGGACATTGTCGCCCTCCTTCTCGGGTTTGAATCTAGGCTGGTCAGCAAGTGTCGTAGCTGGAATGGGGACATGCTGACTTCTTGATAGCATATAACTCCTTTGGCGCGGCTGATCCCACCGGGCTGGATGGGTCACTTCGGGGGTTCTTCTCCACGGCCTTGTAGACTCGCCCGTACGTGCCACTGCTAATGAAACCGATTATGTTGTACTTCTGGCCGATTTTGACCTTAGAGGTGTAGTTGTTTCCTACATGTTTCTTGTCAAGGCTCCGGGCTGCTTCTACCAATGGTTGTCAGCCAGACGCAGAATAGCCGTGCCGAGTAAGACAATTGCAGAAACCATCCACGAAAGCACCCTACCTTCCAGGCCCAGCTGGGTTGTCTTTCTCAGCTGCTGGGCTATGCTGAGACTCGTGCCCGGGCGCGACATGTTGAAATCAGGCTTCCACATGTCCTACCAGCGGAACCAAACGTCGGACTTTGCAACCGTGAGGAAGCGGCATCGCCTAACATGACTGGCTGTTCCTCATCGCTTGTGGTTTCCGTGGAGTTGCGTAGAAACGGACCCGGCCGCGATCACAGATGAATCGCTGTGCGAGAGGCGAAGCCTGCCGGTGTTTGTGGACAGTATCCTCCGAAAATGGTGGCGATAAAGGCGATTTTACAGGGGCAGGTAAAGAACTCAATCCTCGCAGCTGCACAGCGATGTCATATGTGATGAGACGGCAACGAATACACAAGGATATTTCCACGTCTCATCATCAGCGGGTCTGAGAATGCGGAAGGCAAAGGGGATTGGGGTTTCCAGAGGAGGTGAGGTCGGGCGTGCGTTGTACGAGGCGTCAATCCGTGCCTTGGCAGACCTCGGATCAACCAATGATCCGGCGCAGACGCGGGCGCGGCAGGCGACACGGCTGCGCTTGCCCGGAAACGGCAGATTGGCCTCGACTTCCCCCATATTCTCCCATCGGAGGCCGCCGCTTCCTTCTCAATCAGCCAAAGACAGTGGAAACAATTCGGCTGCCTGTCGACGCCTCTCCCGCACCATGACGCACTATACGACGCCATTCCACCCCATACCCTCTCATTGCTTATCGGCCGTTAGCAGTCAATATAAGGTATGTAGGTGTTCTCCTGGCTCTGTCTTGTTCCCAGCAAGACAGCACAGATTCCCCTCCAAATTTTTGGCCCAAATAGACGGAATGATGCTGAAAAGAACTAGCAGTGGGTACAGATCCCTCAAGGAGTCGTCAAGTGAGCTGGAGGTTGCGGTCCAGGCCTCCGAGGGCTCAATGGCGTCTCCCACGGGCATCACTCCATTCCTCATATTCCTGGTCTTTGTCGTCACTCTCGGCCCCTTTCAGTTTGGGTACCACCTGGTGAGTGCAGGGTCAATCAAAAGAGCAATGTGTGCAATCTAAAACTGACGTTGGTCAGGGAGAACTCAACGCCCCTGAAAAGGTCATCACTTGCACAGTGGATGAACCGCCTCGATATGGTGTCCTCAGCCTTCCACAATGCATACCGATGGACGCGGCCGAGTGGGGCATGATTCAGTCTGTCTTCACTATCGGAGGTCTTTTCGGAGCCCTCTTCAGCGGTTCTGTGGCCACGAGATTCGGTCGTCTGGTCGCAGTGAGAGGTCTTACCCTCTTCTTGGCGATTGGACCCATCGCAGAGGCTCTTGCAGGGAGCATGTGGGTTATGGGGCTAGGGAGAACAATTTCTGGCCTGGGAGCAGGGGCAGCCACCGTGGTTGCTCCCATGTACATCTCTGAAGTGGCACCAGCAGAAAGCCGTGGACTCTTTGGGGCCTTTACCCAGGTCCAGATCAACCTAGGAATCTTCATCGCACAGCTCCTCGGATACTTTTTGTCCACCAACGACAAATGGCGCTGGATTCTTGCCGCAGCCGGATTCGTTGCCGGGGCCACATTCTTTGGGCTGATGTTGGCTCCCGAGACCCCCAAATGGCTGGCCGCCAACAACCAACCGCGAATGGCAATGGGGATACTGCAACGCATCAGAGGCAGAGAAGCTGACATCGGCGAAGAAATGGCAGACTGGGAAATATCAGGCGAAGCCGAGGAGGAAAGTCTTCTTGGACCTCCTCGGGGATCTGGATCACAACGACAACCGATTATGTCCTTTCTCGAGGTCGTTCGAAACCCGACGTACCGGAGAGCTGTGATTGCAGTCTCCGGTGTCATGATGGCCCAGCAACTCAGCGGTATTAACAGCGTTGTCATGTATAGCGTCTCCATCCTGGGAAACATCATGCCGAATCAAGCGGCACTGATTACAGTCATGGTTTCGGCCACAAACGTGCTCGTCACGCTGGCGACGGCTCCTCTGGCCGACAGACTGGGTCGGAAACCATGCCTGCTCCTGTCACTTGCAGGAATGGGGTCGGCGTCCGTCATGCTTGCGGCAGGTCTGTCCAACGACGCCCGAGTCCCCATCGTTCTCGGTCTAGTGCTCTTCGTCTGCAGTTTTGGTGCTGGATTGGGTCCGGTGCCTTTTATTCTGGCGAGTGAGCTGGTCGGTCCCGAGGCTGTCGGAGCTACCTCAAGCTGGGCACTTGCCTGCAATTGGCTATCGACCTTCTTGGTCGCTCAATTCTTTCCTATGATCAATGCTGCGCTCCCCCGAGGGAGTGTGTTCTGGATCTTTGCGGCGCTGGCGGCTGCATTCGGGGCGTTTGTTGGACTCTTTGTGCCCGAGAGCAAGGGAAGGGCGAATGCGGATGAAGTCTGGAGAAGACAGAGTCGTTCTAGCGAACTCTGAGGATTTCGGTTTTGGGCATGCAGCAGTGGGCTGTTTCCACACCCTACCTAGATTCCATTCTGGACGCATTTCGATGCCTTGTGGCTTGTGGAGAGTGCGACATGCAGAGCTACACGAGGAAGTGGCTTGTATTATGATTGTATTATTAGACGATTAGAACACGAAACGGTATCATGCTTGAACTCGGCGCTCACTGCTGCAAGGAACAAGGCTGCCTATGATCAGATTATTCATAGTCGAACGCTGCACCTACCATCGTTCATCATATCTTGTGCTTTCCCCCCTACCGCAATAACCTCTTCGAATACTAGTACGGCCACTCTTTTCATCTCTCAGCCTTGGCCATATCTGGACTACAGTATTGGTATAGGCCACGCTCATCGAAGCCTTGCCGGAAGGGAAGAGAAGAGACAGGACAACTGGTGGACTTTGCGTCCCACGAGAGTAGGTATGCAATACGATCAAACAGACATGCTCCTATCCACGAGGTGAGGTGAGCTTCACTGCCATCCCGAGCGACGAGACCCGGTGACAGATCTCTGCGTCATCCATAGCAGTTGTGCTCGTACTGTGGTACCATGGAGTGTCTTGCCACCCAATGCCCATGCCCAAGAAACAGGAACGGCCATGACTATGACACGCCACTATCCGGGGCGCCTCCCGGGATGCCTCCCCTCGTGTGTCAAACCGGGTCGGAGTTGTGAAGCTTTGTGGGTCTGTCTTTACAGATTCAGTCACCTTCACTGTGCTCTGGTTCGGATCACACATCACAGGATCACACATCACAGGTCACAGCTCAGAAAGCAAAAGGCGCTAGTGTCGGTGTCAGTGTCGGTGTCAGTGTTGGTGTCAGTGTCGGTGTCGGTCTGGTGTCGCCATAGCCACTGCAGATCTAGGATATAGGAGTGAAATCCTCACGCTGTTGATAACTGGTTCTGCCACTACTAGGTATCTACCTACGTACCTACGTTTCAGGGTATGGTGTCCATGGATCTCTGTTGTGGTTGTGGTTGTGTGACTTGGAGCTGGATGGTCTTTGTGTGTCGAGTGGAGAGGGCGTCTGTGTCTGCGTCTGCGTCAATTGCTACAGACATATTCCATACGTACCTACGTAGGTACGTAGGTAAGTCCAAAATACAGAGCAGTGCACACCTGCGTTTAAGTCTGGCTACCTGGTACCTCTCGTCCATTCTCTCAGTCGAAAGAGCAGGTCGCTGCGTATAACCAGCACAGCACCAGCAACACCAGCACCAGCAAGGCGCGAACATGAAGCAATTACTCAGGCGGGTGTGTGCAGTAGATAGGAATCAATAGTACCACTCAACTCTTTTCTCATTCTCGTTCTCGTCGGCACAGGCTGGATCTGAATCTGAGTCCGACTCTGAGGCAGAGCCTGGATGTCTTCACTGTTCCACTAACCGTCGACCGCGGACCAGATTTAACCTACGCAGTCAGTCAGTTGCAGTCACAGATACAGACGCAGACACAGACCGACCTTTGCTGCTTTCCATCTCGTGCCGTCCCCATCCCATCAAACAAGGGATACACAGTCACGATACATTTACGCTCTCCAGACTGAGAATTGAAAGTGAAGAGTTGAAAGGTCGAAAGGTCTAATTCTGCTTCACTCACGGCTTCTTCATGCTCGACCTTGATAGATCTCCTCCTTCGCGTCGTCCTCCTCCTACTTCTTCTTCTTCTCCTCCTCCTGCTCCTCCTCCTCCTCCTCCTCCTCCTCCTCCCCTCGAGACTTCAACTTCAATTTCGCAGGCTGAGTGCTTAGTGCTGACTGCGCACTCGTTCCCTTCACTACCTGCATACCAGTTGAAACTTTCCCAGCACAGCACAGCGCAGCTCGTCTTTGCACTGCATTGAACCTGAGGAAACGCAACAACAACAACAGCCATGATGCTGTTCCAGCAAGACATACTATTCATCTCTTCGGTACTCACCTTCACTCTCATCCTCTGCCTCAGCCTTCAGGTTCGGTCCGTCACTGCCGACTATACTTACAGCAAGTGGTCGGACCTGCCTGACTGCGCAGTAAGTTCGATCTTAGTACCCATCTATACCTTCCAACCGAGACCACGCCTAACATGCCCTTTGTCCGCTGCATCTCACTGGCACGGCTTCTGCAATCTCCCTCCTCTCTCCTCGGTAATCATACCATTTGTGCCTGACCTTCGACTAGAAAGAGTGTTTCCAATTTGGCGTCGACAATACCGTCGTGCAATGCGGCTTCTCCTTGGCCTGCGACTGTCAGAACGCCAAACTGGCCAGCCTGGTCAACGCCTGTCTGATCTCCTCGCCTCCCTGCGATTCGAATCCAACCCACAATGCGGTCGCGAACTATGGCAACACCATTTTCTGTAATGCATCCAACCCGGACAGCGCGACATATGAGCTCGTAGAAGGGACTTACTCGCTGACACTGGCTCTGTACTCTCAGACAGGGAGTCAATCAAGTCCAGTCTCTATCCAGGTGAGATCAAGTCCAGGATAAATGTTTCAGCTCTAACTCCGGCATGTCTGCAGATGACCTCGACCATAACGCCGTCCCCATCATCCTCCAGCGCGCAGACCACCTCTACCACTAGCACCAATGATAACGACACCAGTTCACAAAGTACAACTAGTACTTTGACGGACGACTCAGCCTCGACCACACCTGCGACATCAACTCCCACGTCAGGTCCGACTTCTAGTCTTTTTGACTCGCTCGTGACAAGCTATTCGACCAAGGTGGTGACCTTGGATACCGGCAGCCTCAGCAGCGCACCGGCGACTGTAACCATCACAGCATCACCGACAACAAGTGCTGCATGGTCGATAATTGGGAGGCGAATAAAATCAACGCACGGAGTTTGGCAGATGTTGGTGTTCAATCTGCTGGTGTCGATACTGTTCGGTGCTCTAGCGCCGACATGAAGGTGACACCAGAAGCAGGTTGAATTGTGTACTGAGCACGCAGATCTGAGGAATCTAGGGACTTGCGATACCTAAAATGAGAGCTGCAAAGCCCGGTAGGCCAAGACGCTTTGAAGAAGGCCGACAGCATAGTCGAGATGATGAAAGGTTTAACGCAAAACAAGAATGTAAGGTGTTGAGCTCTTCCACTTGTAGCTTCCTGATAGTCTTCATGGTCATGTCAGCAGCGCATTTCGCAAGGAGTTTTGCGTTGGATCACCAAATGCAAACTCACTGATTGCAGCAGAGCTAACATTTTGTCTGAATTCGCCCGTCTAGCGCGGGGACTTTTGCTCTTCCTGCGGCCTTGTCGTCCTCTTCTTTTCCTCCCCCTTTTTCTTGGCCCTGTTTGGTGGGTGGTTGAGTACATGCACGTCTTAGTGCCTGAGGGAGAGAAGAGGAGTCACCGGCTTTGGCAGAGGGGAGTGGACAAACCCTGGGTGTAGAATCACCCAACAGGCATAACCCCAGGAAAAGGTTCGAAGATTATATCAACACATCGTTTTCAAAGACATTTTGCCAGTCCAGCGGCAAGGAAGCCGGTTGAACCCCTTGGATGCCGGTCAACGCAGGGCAGGCACTCCTAGGTTCGCGACCGCGACTGTGACAGCATCTTGTCGTTGGGAAGGAGCCCATGGGCACGTCTTGACCTCAACGTTGAGACTTCAAACCTCCAAACACGGATTCAATTGTACACCCATTATAAAGCCCGGTTAACTAACTTGCTCACAGCTAGAAATGGCGTATCTATAGTCTGTAATACCTGTAAAATCGTATACGCCTGAGATGTCCTCTTTCGGAAGAATGATGCCTCTGTCTCATGAAAGGGCGGGCTTGGAAGACGGCAGCAGATACTACACACGGTTAGAGCTGTCCATGAGAGAAAACATTGAAAACTCCGGGGAGAACTGCCCTGTGGACTCGGTATCCGGAAGTGGATACAGTATCTGTATAAGATTGGCCTCCAGTTGTTGTTTTGGTTTGGAATGTTGTTCGTCCCCGGCGCCGAGCTTGCCCGAATCTCCTTAACTCTTGCAGCCTGTAGTGGGCCCTAAGGCTTAGGGGCGACCCCGTGACTCGGACTCGGCGCAGTTTCCCTATCGATTGTTTACTTCGTTTGTACGGCAGCAGCCAATCGAGTGGACAGGTTCGACTTTGAACCCGATTGTTCCCTCCCTGAAGTCTGAAGTCCAGTAGATTGCCCGACAGACTGCCTGTTTTGTGACCGCCACACTCTCACAGACCACCTAGAGACCATCTTGGTCACTCTTCTACACCCTCCTAATCCCCTCCGCTAGGCTGTCATCATGTCTGGAGTCAACGGTACTTATCGAGGAACGCCCAACACCAGGCGCGGTCAAATCCCTTTCACAGATAGCCCTTCCGGTATTCCTCGCCCAAAGCTAGAGTCTACCCCGAGTGCCGCACCGAGCGAGATGTCTGGCACTTCGACAATGTCCGCCAGCAGGCAGAAACAGAGCAAGAGAGACGAGGTAAGTCCTCAGGGCAAAGCTAGCCGGTCTCGACCAGCCAGGGAAGGGAGTCTGACAATCTGCTGCAGGCCATCCGACGCAAGATGGAGGCCGACCTCAGCAAGAAGAAACACGCCCCTGCTCGTGCCCGACACACCCGGAAAGCACCCCCTGGCACCGTCCTGGCCCTGAAACCCAGCCAGGCTCTGCAGATCAAGCCCAGCACCACAGTCGCAGAGGCTGCCCAGCTGATGGCTGCAAAGAGAGAGGATTGCGTTCTGGTCACCGATGACGACGATAGGATCGCAGGTATTTTTACAGCAAAGGATCTGGCTTTTCGTGTGGTTGGAGCTGGAATCAAAGCAAGCCAGATCACCATTGAACAGATCATGACAAAGAACCCGTTGTGCGCAAGAACCGATACCAGCGCCACCGATGCCCTGGATTTGATGGTCAGGAAGGGTTTCCGACATCTGCCCGTCATGGATGAGAACCAGGATATCTCTGGTATCCTCGATATTACCAAATGCTTCTACGACGCCATGGAGAAGTTGGAGCGCGCTTATAGTTCTTCACGCAAATTGTACGATGCCCTTGAGGGTGTGCAGTCGGAACTTGGCTCCAGCCAGCCTCAGCAAATCATCCAATATGTGGAGGCGCTGAGGCTAAAAATGTCTGGACCTACCTTGGAGTCTGTGCTGAATGGTCTGCCCCCAACTACCGTTTCCGTCAGAACTTCGGTCAAGGAGGCAGCTCAACTCATGAAGGAAAACCATACCACGGCCGTCTTGGTGCAGGATCAAGGCTCGATAACTGGCATCTTCACCAGCAAGGATGTGGTCTTGCGTGTTATCGCGCCTGGCCTTGACCCCACCAACTGCAGTGTGGTCAGGGTGATGACACCGCATCCCGACTTTGCTCCTTCGGATATGAGCATCCAAGCCGCGTTGCGCAAGATGCACGGTAGGTGATCCGTCCTCCTTTTTCTATTCAATCACTGATCATGACAGATGGCCATTATCTGAACTTACCGGTTATGAACGAAACTGGAGAAATTGTGGGTATGGTCGACGTTCTGAAACTGACATATGCTACCCTTGAGCAAATCAACACCATGAACACCGGGGAGTCTGAAGGTCCAGCATGGAACAAGTTCTGGTTGTCCATGGACCACGACGACACCGAGTCTATGATGTCAGGAGAAGGGAGCCATCGTCCGACCACAGCAGGCCATCGCTCGTTGCTAGATTCGGAGATGACTCGGCCTGGCATCGAGAGGGGTGATAGTGTCCTGCCTCAGGACTCAGCATCACATCGTGGGGATGATATCCACTCTGAAGTCTTACCGTCAATTGAAGCTCCAGAAGACACCCCGTTCCCCTTCAAATTCAAGGCTCCAAGCGGTCGCGTCCATCGGATACAAGTCGCACCTAAAAATGGTATCGCGGAACTTGTCAGCCTGGTCACCTCGAAACTTGGCTCGGAGATTGAAGCTGTAGGAGGAGAAGCAACGGTGGAAGAAGGGAAGCTCGGCAAGACTGGCTATGCACTAAGCTATCTGGACGATGAAGGCGACACCGTTTCAATCACCACAGATCATGATCTACTCGATGCAATCCTCCTTGCCCGACAAGGAAAGCGGGACAAGGTTGATTTATTCGTTCACGACCCGGCACAGCCACCGATCGTCGCGACAGTCGACCCCAGACCACAGCTCTCAAAGCCTCCCACGCCACCTGAATCGGTGCTCAAGGAGGTGCCGGCCGGGGACGATGCAGACAGCGAAGAAGAAGAGTTCCCGAGGGTCAAGACGATACGACTGCGACGACCGCCCGTCGTCTCGACACAATCAAAGGAAGAAGAGCAGATCATCCAGGGCGTCCCGAACGACCTCCTCCTTCCGGGGGCGATTGTCACTCTGGCCGTTGTGATTGTTGGTGTTTTTGCGATTGGTCGCGCCACATCCAAGTGATGATACCAGACGCGGTTATGTGGTAATGATTCATTTGACAATTCTCAGCTTCCATATTATCAGTGTTTAATTGAACAGGTATTGCACAATGACATTCGGGGCGGCTAGTCACAGCATTGCGGGGTGAGCAGTAAGAGTTAGTTTGGCGCTGAGGCAAGGCAACGTACAGTTGCAAGTCGCGATCAGAAAGGAGAGAGAAAAGGAGAGATCAAATCTTCCCTCAGTCTTTACGACTATAGATGGTCAATTTTCTCGGAGGGAGCCTCCTGCTCCTTCGGCTGGCAGCTTCCACCGTCTCCGTCCTTGTTCTTGCGCGCACATCATCTTGACCGCTCACATCAGACTCGTCCGTCCACCAACCTCTCGGTTGCCTTCGCCGCTGGGCATCTCTCCATTTCTTCCCACAACAAACTCGCGGTAGATGGCCGCCAGCCGCCGTCGCTCATCACGGGAGATGGAGCTCTTGGTCGTTGCCAGTGATTTCTCCACGTGCCTCCATTCAATGATGACCTCCTCTTTCCCGGACCCGTCTTCCTTGCCGTTGGTATTGCTCTCTATACCCGCCGATGTCGAAGTAGACGAATGTCGAGCGAGACTGCTCCGGAGCAGCTCCTTCTCACGCTTCCGCGCTAGTTTGAGCTCTTCGAGTTTGGCGGCGACAGTTGCCCTCGAATCCATGGCAGACGAGGTGAGGAGTTTCTTTGCCCGCGCGTCCTCTTCAGCCGAGTAGAGAAACTGGACGAAGTCGTGCTTGTCGGTGCCATTGCGTTTGCGCCGGCGGCCTGGGCCCCCACTTGCGCCGTCTCGGGCACCATTAGAGCCGTTGACTTTGTCCTTGTCGCCGAGTTTGATGTCGCCGAGCAAATCATGGATAGCCTCCAGGTGCGCATTGTACATGAGCGCCTGGAGGTCGGCGCCGCTGAAGCCGTCGGTGCGCTGAGCCACGCTGAGTAGACGATTGTCGACTTCGGGAGTCAGCTGCAGCTGCTTACTCACGGCGCGGAGGATGTCTACCCGGTCGTCCATGTCCGGCATGTCGCACAGCAAACTCTTGTCCAGCCGGCCCGGACGGAGGAGGGCAGGGTCGATCAGATCGGGCCGGGACGTGGCTGCCAGCACGTAGACGCCTTCGAGGCCCTCGGCACCGTCCATCTGCGTGAGCATCTGGTTCACCACCCGGTCCGTGACGCCGGTGCTGTCGTGCCCGCGTTTCGGGGCGATGCTGTCGAACTCGTCGAAGAACAGCACGCACGGTTTGGCGGCCTGGGCACGCTCGAATAGGTCGCGCACCGACTTTTCCGACGCGCCGATGTACTTGTTGAGGATCTCAGGACCCTTGACCGAGATGAAGTTCAGGTTGCATTCGCCGGCGACGGCCGACGCGAGTAGCGTCTTGCCGCAGCCCGGGTAGCCGTACAGCAGGATCCCCGACCGCAGGCGCAGTGGCGAGCGCGCGAAGATGGGCGCGTACTTTGTGGGGTAGAGGAGCGTCTCGAGCAGCGTGTTCCGGGTGCCTTTCAACCCGCCGATCGAGGAGAATGTAGTGCTTGAACGGGTCAGTGTGACGTTCCGCAAGGAGGATGGCGTGAAATTGTTCAACGCGGCGGCAAAGTCGGCCTTGGTGATGGTTGCAGGGCCGTCGAAGTTGTCGTTTTCGCCGATGATCCGGGTCAGGGTTTCGTTCCTCGCCCGCGACACAAGAAGGACAAGGTCTGCAGGCATGTACCCGTCCGTTTTACCTGCAATGTCCAGCAAGTCGAGGCCGTGAGAGAGGCGGAAGCCTTCGCCTTCGACTCTAGATGAAGAAGTGGACGAGCCTGGTCGAGACGACGGGTTCGACGGGTCCGACGGGTCCATCCAGGAACTCTCGGACATGCTTTGTGTGTCGCTCTCGTTTCGGCCGTGTCCGTGTGCGTGTCCGTGTCTTGGTGTTGAGCCATCGTTGGTCAGAAAGTCGAGAAGGTCGCGGCGCACTTCTTTCGTCGGCGCTTTGATGCCGACGATGTCGCCGACGATGTGGCCGCCAATAATGATGCTGTTCAGCGCATCTTTCGACTGGGCGGTGGCCAGCAAGGCCACGCCGGAATGGATGCTGCAGTACTGCCGGACAATGGCACACAGAATTTCGGTGATCTGGCGACTGCGGCCGTTGTCATTTCCGACCTGCAATTCAGTCTCGACGGGACAGATTTTGTCCAAGTCATCCAGCACCACGACCGACTGCCCACCCAGTCTGGCGCACCAGGACGCCGACATGAACAGTCTCGTCAAGGTCTCCTTGATCGTGGAGACCCTCGTTTCGTCGGTGACCAGCTTCTGACAGGCGAAATAGGTCACGTTGAATACATAATCTTCTCGCAGCCGTTGCGAGATGCACTGGGCAAGCGAGGTCTTGCCCGACCCGACCCCGCCGGTCAAGAGCACGGACGAGCACAGGGTCAGATTGGACATGCATTGTTTGAGAACATCGTCGGCGCCCACCAAGTGCGGGACTTTGGCTGGAATGCCGTGCGCGAAAGTGGAAAAGATGCTGGTCAGTTCGACGGGCCTCGGAACTTCTGCTTTGACGTCGAATTCGTGGTCTTGCTCCAGTCCATGCACCCACAGGCAGGAGTCTCCCCGGTCCCGGTCCTCGTCTTGGCCTGTGGCTCGGCGGAATCTCAAAATCCCACCGTCAAACGATGAAGCAGAAGATGCATCTCCAGCAGGAGGCAGGACCATCCCGTCAGTGATGGGGCCCGAAAGAAGGCCGTCGTCGCCAGAAAAGGTCAGGCGAAGCTTGTCTGCAAGGGCTTGTTTCGCAGCTCGTGAGTCTCCGCCAAACTTCAGGCCTTCTTTCCTCTTCGAATTCGAATTCGACGGTAGAAAGGGGTAGAATTGGAACTTCTTGATCGAATATCGCGGCAGTGGCGGTGCTGCGGCCTCGAGCCGGACAATGATGCCCACCATACCTTCAACTCCGAGCATTCTGCACAGAGAAGATGACAGGACCACGTGTCGATTGTCGAGGGCATTCGGCCACGGCAGGACTTGGGCCACAAGCTTGGACGCCGGTCTTCCAACTTCGCCGCTTTCCTCCTCCTTCAGCTGATTGATCTGATTCGAATCCAGCGGCGCCCGCAACCCGGACGGCTTCACCACTGTCACATTTGCCCATGTGGCCGCCTTGAGCTGCTCTGCTGCAATGACGTCGTCGCTGAGCCACACGCAGAGTTTGTCGGTTGGAGGTGCATTCGACGCTTCATCGAAAAACCCGTCTGCAGTGGCCCGGTCGATGCCGCGCATGAAGATGGCAGCTTTGACCGCACCTCTCTTCGAGTTCGAACCGCGGGCATTGCTGACGCCGCTTTTGCCACTGCGTCTGCTGGCGATGCTCCTCGAGTCTCCCCTGGTGCTTCGGCCCGACCTTTGTCGAGTTTTGGGAGCGACAATGACCTCGGCGTCCGGGGCGATTTTGGCGAATGGAGAGGTGCTCGGAATGGGAGGAACCAAAGAGGTGACAATGATGTTGGCCGTGGCGGTCGGGGACAGGTGCAGCGTCAGAGGGTGGCTATGTTCGGCCTGGACGGTGGCCTTGCCGCTAAAGGCGGGATTCGGCAGGGCTCGGATCTGAGATAGCAGGTTCAATTCCAAGAATGTGGCGTGCAGTTCGATCACTTCCCAATCGGCCGGAGTAAGAGGTTCAATGTTGATGCTGTGTGCGACCGGCGGGTCCAGATGGATCAAGATGCCGATCTTCTGACCTTCGGACAGGCCGAGCACTTTTGCAAACGTCGCGTCGATTTCCACCATTTGACTGTCCTGCTGCTCCCTGGCCCCGGATCCAGATCGACTTCGGTCGTTGTTGTTGTTTATGACCGACGCAGGTCTGGTCCGGCTCGGCATTCCCGTCCATCCCACATAGGCGGATCGCTGGAATCCGGCTGCATTGTTGCTCGAGATGGATGCGGCAGAAAGCGTCTGCGACCGGTATTGCAGCTCGACGACGACATTTTGAGCTGGCTGTAGACATAGACGTGGACATGTAAGCTAAGCACTTGGTAGGGGGTGGAAGGGGGAAAGTGATAGGGGGAAAGTGATAGGGGGGAAGTGATAGGGGGAAGTGATTGGGGGGGTAGTAAGGGGGGAGGATTGATTGATGAAGGGTTTTTCCCCAAGGAGTAGGAGTAGGAGTTCCCTTTTACTTACTATATTCGTATTGTTGATCAATGCGATCAGTCCGGGCGGCAGGTTGACCAGACAGTTCTTGAGCGAGACTAATGTCACTTCGGCTCGTACGGCGGGCGCCATATTTGAGTCTGAGTGTTGACGGGTTGAAATAGTCTTCAATGCTGGCGAAGAAAAGCCTCTGTGGCTAACTGTCTTTAAGGCTGGCGAAGAAAGGGCTCCGTAGCCAACAGGATTGACACGAAGGCCAGAACAGACCTGATGGTGTTCAACTGTCTTCAAGGCTGGCGAAGAAACGGCTCCGTAGCCAACACTCTTCAAGGCTGGCGAAGGGCTCCGTGGCCAACAAGATTGACACCAAGGCAAGAAACATACACTAGCAGTCAAGACAGCTGCATGTGCATGTGCGTCCTCCCACGGTCACCGATAGAAAGATCCCAAGAATGCTGCGGGCATAGACAAAAGAAACACCAATTCGGTGGAAGATGGCATTGGCATTGATAGAGAACGATGAGACGTGCTTCGTGCTTCGGCTGTGGGAACCTCGGCAGAAGTAGCAGAAGTATGGTCGATCATACGACAGCAGCCGCAGCCTATCATGTCAGATGCTCCGCCGTAAATACCATTTGATGTGACGCGTCGCGTGGGCGCGTTTTCTGCAACGCGCCGCGCCAGCCAGCCATCTACCAATTGGTGACCCCTTGCTCAAAGCCCCCAAATACGTCGACTGTTCCCATTTCCGTCCTCAAGCTCGCCGAGACAAGACAAGCACTTTCCCGACCATCGCGTCCAGTGCAGCAGATCACATAACATTATGGCGCTCTTACAGCATAAAGCGCTTGTCGACTATGAAAAGCAACTCGAGGCGTTCCAATCCTTCCTGGAGAAATTCGAGACCTCCAAAACGTCGACGGACGCAGCCGCCGAAGCCATCGATGACCTACACCTCGACGGCGACCACACAAGCGACGAGTATGACTTTATGGACGATGTTTCGGACCACCATGCGAGCCAGTCCAGGCGGCGGCCCAAGAGAAAGTATCTAGAGATGTTGCAAGAAGTCGCGGACCGAGAGCGTCAGAACATCCTGGTCGAGCTGGATGATCTCCGAGAGGTACGGCGCAGACTCGTTTGGATAGGGATATGGGTCTGGGTTTGAACTGACAAGTTGCCATAGTTCGAGGACACTCTACCTGCCGACTTGAACCTGAGATTGGTGGAGTCGGTGACCAACAATACTAAACACTACGTCGAACTTTTTGCAGATGCTGTGGACAAGGTCATGCCCAGCGCAAGCAAAGAAGTCTCGTAAGCACCCTCCCCGACCCGTGGCTCACTGTCACACACTGACTGACCCTCCTTAGCTTCAAGGACGATGTGCTCGACATCATCATGACTCAACGGGCCAAAAGAAACGAGACGCTGGCCTTAGGTCGAGAAGCTGAAATTGAACCCGCGACTCCTATCTCGACGTTCCCTCCAGAATTGACTAGACGATACACGCTGAATTTCAAACCTGTGACTCCAACAGGCGCTGATGTCGGAAAGAAGACTCTCGCTGTGAGGCAGGTCCGCGGCGAGCATTTGGGACACCTCATCACCGTCCGCGGCATCACCACCAGGGTTTCCGACGTCAAACCGAGCATACAAATCCAAGCCTACACTTGTGACCGATGCGGTTGCGAGATCTTTCAGCCGGTCACCTCTAGGCAGTTCACACCGTTGCAGATCTGTCCCTCGGACGAATGCAAAGAAAACGACTCCAAGGGTCAACTATTCGCGTCCACGCGAGCATCGAAATTTATGCCGTTCCAGGAGGTCAAGATCCAGGAAATGGCCGATCAAGTTCCGGTCGGTCATATTCCCCGAACGTTGACGATCCACTGCAATGGCAGCCTTGCTCGACAAGTGAGCCCCGGCGATGTCGTAGATATTGACGGCATCTTCCTTCCTACCCCGTATACTGGGTTCCGAGCCATTCGGGCTGGCCTTTTGACAGACACTTATCTGGAAGCACAGAACATCACGCAACACAAGAAGGCATATCAAGACTTGCAGATGGATCCTCGAATCATCCGCCGAATCGAGTCTTTCAAAGCAACAGGGCACATGTACGAATATCTGGCTCGCTCCATTGCCCCGGAAATTTACGGCCATTTGGATGTCAAGAAGGCTCTGCTGCTCCTCCTTATCGGCGGCGTCACCAAGGAAATGGGTGACGGCATGCGGATCCGTGGAGACATCAACGTCTGTCTGATGGGTGACCCTGGTGTCGCCAAATCACAGCTACTCAAATATATCACGAAAGTCGCTCCCCGAGGCATCTACACCACAGGTCGAGGGTCTAGTGGAGTTGGTCTGACCGCCGCCGTGATGCGAGATCCCGTCACGGACGAAATGGTCCTAGAAGGCGGCGCCCTGGTTCTTGCCGACAATGGAATCTGCTGCATCGATGAGTTTGACAAGATGGACGACGGCGACCGAACAGCCATCCATGAAGTCATGGAGCAACAGACCATTTCCATCAGCAAAGCTGGTATCAGCACGACCTTGAATGCTCGAACGTCGATTCTGGCGGCCGCCAACCCCCTCTACGGCCGGTACAACCCACGGATCTCGCCTGTGGACAACATCAACCTGCCCGCGGCCCTGTTGTCACGTTTCGACGTGCTCTTCCTCATCCTCGACACACCTTCGCGGGAGGCGGATGAAGAACTGGCCGGGCACGTCTGCTACGTCCACATGCACAACCAACATCCGGAACCTGAGGGCGAGGGGGTGATTTTCTCGCCCAACGAGGTCCGGCAATACATTGCGCAGGCACGCACCTTCCGACCAAATGTGCCCAAGTCGGTATCCGATTACATGGTGGGCGCGTATGTGCGGATGCGACAGCAACAGAAACGCGACGAAGGGTCGAAGAAGCATTTCACACATACGTCCCCGCGTACGCTGTTGGGCGTGCTGCGTCTTTCTCAGGCGCTCGCCCGACTGAGGTTCAGCAACGAAGTGGTGAACGAAGATGTCGACGAGGCTTTGCGTCTGATTGAGGTGTCCAAGGCCAGTCTGTACCACGACCAGCGCGGCCAAGGCGATCAGACGGTCAGTTCGAGGATTTATGATCTTGTTCGAGGAATGAGAGAGTCCGGCGCGGCCAGTGTTGGACGCGGCGCGAGAGGCGAGTTGAATCTGGCTCGGGTCCGAGAATTGGTCTTGGCCAAGGGCTTCACGCTCGACCAGTTCCAAAGGACGATTGAAGAGTATGAGCTTCTAGATGTGAGTTCCCTTTGTTTTGTCGATTTTCGGTGCCTTGCTTTTTTCGTTTCTTTTCGCCGGCGTGTGCCTTTCCCTTCTTTTCGCCGATGTGTGCCCCTTTGCATTTTGTCGACCTGTGCTAACACTCATACCCTCCCCGCAGGTCTGGCAAGTCGCCAACAACGGCACCCGGCTCGTATGGATCGAAGCAGGTGATAGCGATGACGAGAACATGGACGACGGGGACAACGAGTAACTGAGTAACGACAAGGCAAGGCCAGAAATGGAAAGGAATGAACTTTGTCAAGATAAGATATCGAAAATGAACTTTGTCAAGATGAGATATCATATCGACAAACTCGACCATCTCGACGTACGGCGACTATTTCCCTGCTCTCCAGTTTCGTCATCTTGATCAAAGTTTCGGCTTGAGTTTCGTCATCTTGATCAAAGTCTCAGCTTTGAGTTGCAGGATCACCTGTCCTGTCCTCTCTGCAGGCGTTTTATCCACAGTCCTAAGGGATAGGGTTATAGGATATGAAGAGCTAGGTACGGAGCAGTATGGAAGGGTATTGCAGGGAATACTGGGTCAATCTGGATCTAGGTTGTGGCGTTGTGGCGTTGTGACCTTGTCTGCGGGATATCCACCTACCTAGGTAAATAGGTAGGTAGGTAGGTATTAGGTAGGTATCTATCTATCTATACAGGTCGTCTCACGAAGCTGAGGAAGCTGGGCTCCAATGGAGAGGAGAGCATGGGATGGGTACTGGATCGTGTAACGGCAACGGCAATGGAATGAATGACTTTGATTTGTTGCTTGACTTTGGCTATGGCTATGGCTATGGCCTTGATTTGATTTGTTTGGCTTTGGCTTTGGCTATGGCTTTGGTTTTGGTTTTGGGGTGCATCATCACAAGATAAAGATAAAGCTTAGAGGCGAGGCTCGCGAGCCCTGAGGCCCGAGGCCGGCGCAGGCTACGGCTAGATAGATCCCTCTGAGAGTTGACGATAGATATGGACGTGTTTTATTCCTCAGAGAGTTGACGATAGGTACCTATACCTATAGGTATGGACGTGTTTTAGTTTTACTGCTGAAGGCTAAGGCTAAGGCTGGGATGGGATGGACAGGCGTTCTCGTTCTCGTTCTCGTTCTCGTTCAGCAGGGGAAAGATTGAAAGGTTGTCGATACTCAAAATGCCTACCTACCTAGATACCTACCTACCTACCTACCTACCTACCTCTCCAAATTCCTAGAGAAAGACGAACGAATATATCATCGGTACTATGAACGATGAAATATTCCCAAAGAACAGAGCGCTACACGCATGCTAGATATGCTATATGCTCGCTGGGAGAGGATGCCATGCCATGCCCACCTTTGCTTATGGAATGTATGCATCAATCCATCTATCCACCCATTCGTGCCAAGATATGATATATAATATATGATATATGCATAAGAGCCTGTTGAACAGCATATCCTGCCATATATGATAGATGATATATGATAGGTGCGTAAAAGCCTGTTCTGTTGAACAGAATAGAGCGTGGAAGGGAAGAGAACATTGCATGAGGTGGGTGAGATGAGATGGCAGGCGGATGTCTCAAGTTTCAAGTTCAAATCTCAAGATCAAGCTTCTGGCCGGGCGGGCTGCAGAGGTCTCCTGTCGTCGTCATCCTCCACGTCGTCGTGCTGGGCTAAGGCTCGGGTTTGCCCTCGTCCTCGATCCGGGCTAGGGCTAGGGTTAGGGCTATAGCTGAGGCTGTCGGGGCCGGCATTGCCAGCTCTCAAGTGCCGGTTCTGCTCCAATTGGTTGCGGAACACGTTGCCTGTACTAGAAGGCATCAGAGTCGGGGGGACAGTGACAGAACCATACTGTTGTTGTTGGTGCTGCTGCAACGGGGAACCGACACCGCCATAACCGGTCTCAAGATCCACGTCGAGCGAGGATTCTCGATGTCTCGTCGGACGCCGGTTGGCCGCGGAGGCGAGTTCGTAACGGGAAGGGATGGCATTGGTTTCATATCCCACGTTGTCGTTGTCGTTGTCGTCGTCGTCGTCGGCGGCCGCGACTCGGTCATTCAGGACCTCGAGGGTCTGGCTGTCGACCAGGACTTTGCCGGGCACGGGCCGCTTGATGGGCGAGCCCCACGACCGGATGGGATAGGCGTGGCCCTTTTCCCACACGTGGCTCACGGGCGGGAAGTACTGGCGGTATGCACCCCAGGCACACAGGATGCCCAGGGCCGACCCGAACAGGACGTCGAACGGGTGGTGGCGGGCGTCCATGATGCGGGACATGGCGATACAGGAGGCTGCCAGCGTAGGGATTAGGACGATGAGGGTGCGCCAGACCTCGCCCCTGTGGTCGAGCACGTGCAGTTTGGCGGCGAGGTAGAGCGAGAGAAAAAACAGGCCGGCGAACGACGAGGACGAGTGGCCTGAAGGAAAGGAACGGAAGCCTGGAAGGGGGGCGTTAGTCGTAGACTGAGCCTACACACAGATACGTCGATGGACAGACTTACCATCTTGCATGATGGATTCGTCCTGTTGGGTGCAGATGGCCTTGGTGACCAGGCCGTAGGGGACACCGTCAGTGGAGCCTGCTCGAGGCTGACATCGGTCAATGAGATCGGGCCGAGGCCTGCCGCACAGGTTTTTGAGGGTTCCGGTGATGACAAAGGCGGCGCCCTGGGCGAGCAACAGACCCAGCCAGCCACAGTTGAGCTCCCACAGGCGCTCGGCAATGCTGTATTTGGACCGGGCGTGCGTGGTGCGGCGATGATGGGAGAAGAGACCGTCGATGAAGAGCGTATAGATTAGAATCACGACGGCGGGGAAGGCGGCCGAGATGAGCAGAGCGATGTGGATGGGGATCCTCTCGTGCACGGCGTAGGGATATTGGATGTAGATGTTGTTGAGGGAGAAATGCTGTGAGAAGGGGGTGACTAGTTTGTCCAGGGCGGCGTAGACAATGGCCAGCACTCTGGAGAGAGGTTAGATGCCGCACCCCATATAGGAGGTAGGTGTGTGAGGGACTTGCATGATGATCAGGTAGTCGGCGATATAGGAGACGATGGCTCTGGCTGGGATCTGGGGCTTGGTGGGAGAAGAGAGATGGAATTGCAGGTGCCGCCTCAACCGGTCCATCATCCTCATCACGATGGAAGTCAACAATTCCAAACAAGATGCAAGGAGTGAACTAGATAGGCAATAACACAATAACACAAACAGGCGTGGAAGAAGGACGATGCTGATGCGATGTTGATGCGATGTTGGTGTTGATGTTGATGTTGTTGCGGTGTTTCGTTCTTTGCGGATGACGACGACGAGGTTTGAGGTTTGAGGTCGCGTGTCTGGCACAGCTGAGCTGGCAGCCAGTCTGGCTGCTGATAGGCGAGCAGGCTTACAGTAGGCTTGGGGGCTTAGAGGCTTAGGAGGCTTGTTTAGCCTGTCATGGGGGCTGAGGTGCCTAAGACTTAGACCGGTGGGGGGGCAGGGGGGAATCCTTCGGTGTCAATGGTGCCTAGAACACCCCCTGCCCCAAGACCTCCAGGGCGCTATCACTGTCAGCCGGGCATGCCACCTGCACCAGGTTTCAGGTGATTGAGACACCACCCCACACCACATCGAGTGAGGCGGTGCAATGCGGCAGTGCCTCTGATCTCTGATTGAGGCGCGTAGTATGTACGGATACTCGTACTCCGTACACACGTTCTTATACCTATCCAAAGACCCTGAAGCTGATTCGTGTTCGTGTTCAGCTCTCAGTCACATGCAAGGCTGAAGTAGTCACAAGGCTGAAGTCACTGACTGCATCTGTCATCAACACGTTAGCACTACTACTAATAGGTGACTACTACTCCTGCACTTCCATCCAACCTCTCATACAGCAGTGGTAGATGCTCACTCCTCACCATCCTTTTCATAAAGGAGCATTTTATGCCAACTGCCAACCTCAGACCTGATGCCTTTCACCATTCATTCCCGAGCAAATCCGTGGCCCCAAAGACCAATCATGCATCGCCATGGCCATCGACCTTCTGGCCTTGCCCACTGCCAATGATTTACCCGAGGTCCCTACGTCCCATCGATTGAATTCCGGGCCCATCTTCTCCGGAATGGACACTCACACGCAAACTCACTCGCACTCACTTCACTCGCACCCCGGCCCAGGGAACGACAGATCCGAGATTCCAACGCCCGCGCCCCGCCTTGCTCATGGCATGAATGTTCTTCATCCGTACAGCCCATAAAGACAGACTTGTAGCAGTAATTCTGTTCCGACCCCTCCTGTCTACCTAGGTACGTAGCTAGGCCTACGTATGCTACGTAGGCATTCTCATGAGGTAATACCCTGCTCTCTTCCCGTCCTGCCCCTCTATCTCTCTTTCTGTTGCTGTTGCCGCTGTTGTTGCCGTTGCCGTGTTGCCATTGATTTGATCCCCTGCTATATCATCTCTCGTTCGGAGTTCCCATTTGACATTTGACATCCCCGTCCCATCCAGTCTAGCCATGGCAGACTACTCCAACATCCCCGACTTCGACTCGCTGCCTCCGGTGGAGGATATGCCGCAGGGCTGCGCGTGGGGAATCTTCGACCAGGACGGCAAGAAGGACCGACTGGGGTGCCTGAACCTATTGACGCCCAAGGTGGTGCAGGAAGCATTCAAAGAGGCGCGGGACGGCGTCTCGATCTCGCTGAACTGGCCCATCGGTGCGCTCAACAAGCCGGCCTTCGGGCGCAAGGGGCTAGAACATCGAGTCTTGTCGTTCCGGGACGCTGGCATCTGGTCGTTCGACGACGAAGTCCACTTCAACACCCAGTGTTCATCGCAGTGGGACAGCCTGGTCCACTATGCCCACCAACCCACCGGGCTCAACTACAACGGCGTCGAGCCTTCCATCGACCAACTGGTCCAGGGCTTCGGCCAGGTCGACGTCGACAAAGCCCTACCCACCCTCAACCACTGGCATGACCGGGGCGGGATGGTCGGCCGCGGCGTGCTGCTCGACTATCGCGCCTACGCCGAGGCCAAGGGCATCCAATACGACTGTTTCGAGGCCCACGCCATCAGCGTCCAGGACCTGGAGGAGGTGGCCAAACACCAGGGCACCACGTTCAAGTTCGGCGACATCTTGATCGTCCGCACCGGCTACACCGAAGTGTTGGGAGCCGCGTCGGCTGACGAACAAGACCGCCTGTTCGCCACCAACCGAAACGTCGGCGTCACGGGCAACAAAGAGACGGCCAGGTGGGTGTGGAACCATCACTTCGCCGCCGTCGCCGGCGACTCCATCACCTTTGAGGTCATGCCTCCCACCGTCGAGGAGGATAATAACCGGGTAGGAACGGCTGCAGATCTGGGTGAGTAGAGCGAACCATGAACCTAGAGCAGCACCACTTCCCCTTTCCTGGACTTGCCCTTTTCATTGAACAAACCCCGAGGAGCAGCACCGCTTCCCCTTTCCATGGGCTTTCGCTTTTCATTGAACAACCCCCTTAGAGCGGATTTCAGCTTCGGTTGAACAAACCCCCTTGGAGCGGGCTTCGGCTTTGATTGATGAAAATGGCCCTCGCTCCAGCAACGCCAAAATTCGTCTCGTTCTTTCGTGTCTAGTGGCTAACATCCGTCTTTCTTTCTGTCTAGTACTTCATCAATATTTCCTCTCCCTCTTCGGCCTGTCCATCGGCGAACTGTGGGACCTCAAAGCTCTAGGTGACCACTGCAAGAAGGTCGGCCGCTACGAGTTCCTCCTGACCAGTGTCCCGCTCAACGTGCCCGGCGGTGTGGGCAGCCCGCCTAATGCCTTGGCCATTTTTTAGGTTTGGTGGATGATTGGCCATCTTTAGGTTCGGTGGTGGTTGATTTGGCATCTTGAGGCTCGGTGGTGGTTGATTTGACTAACGGGTGCGAGAGTCGAGGACGAGAGGACGAGGGGCGAGCACGAGCAGGGGATGGTTACGAAGACGAGAGGCGAGCACGAGCAGAGGATGGCTACGCAGACGACGTAAGAATACGACGCTTCACGGTTCACGGTTCTCGGTTCCTGCAAGAGCTGACCCGCCTGGTCTCAAGATATAGATATAGATATATCTATATCTATATATTTAAATGTGTTCAAGATATATTATCTTTCAGAGATTCAGTCGAAAAGAGAAAGGTCGAAAAGAGAAAAGTCGGGAATGACCCTGCCTAGCATCAGACTCCAGCTTGAACTTGTTTTACAGTATGATATGATATGTTTACTCACCCCTGTATAGGTAATAAAATACATGCAGATCTTCTACTTACCCCTGTATAAAGTACATACAGATCTCAGGCATCTACTTAATGTAACGCAAGGTTGGCCAGAGGCTGAACACTACGAATCCCATGCCCACGGTCGATCGGCGATTGATGTGCACCTGCTATCCTATCCTGACCTTCCCCTCTGCAAAGTATCAGTAACGTTCCGTGCATCTAACCCACTCTCGCCCACCCACTCGCCCACTCGCTCCCTCTGCATGACCACATCGATGGCCTTGCTTTACAGCCATTCAAAGCCTCGCCCGTCTGCCCAGCTTGGCCAATTCTCCTACAACACCCCCGCCACTGAGACCCCTCAGTTCGGCAAGCGAGCTCTCGGTGATTTTAGCCCGCAATAGCCCGCTGCGGACAAAGTACTCCATGTAACCCTTGGACTCGGCCACACTTAGACTCTTGAGGTCTATCAGCTCGACGTCTCCTGTGCCAGACATTAATTCTAAAACATGAGCATCGGGCTTGCTGTACGGAGCTGGGAGCGGGAACTCGGGGGCGGAAGCATCAAGGTTTTGAGCTCGAGCGCGCAATTGGTTGATCAAAAGGCTGAAGGTTGGATAAGCGGGCGAGTTGGAGCCGGTCGTACTGAACAGCAATGCGCCGCCGTTGGCAAAAGGCCGAGACTCGCCAGGTTTGGAGAAAAACAAGCCCAAAAATTGCCGGACTAGCGTGAGCTGGTGAGCGTGGACGATCTCGTACTCTGCACTGCGGTACTTGCTCGGTCCCATCCAGTGGTCGACCCCGTCGACGACGATAAGGACCGGAGGACGTGGTTTGGCTCCTGGTTCACTGATTTCTCGCCAGAAAGCCTGCCACACGGGCCAGGCAAAGGTATGGTCATTGGCCCCGAGTTGCACGAGATCCTTGAGAGTCGCAGTGCCCTGCTTGAGGGGTAAATGTTTGGGGAACTCGTGGTTGAATTTGAGTGTCTTGAGCACGGCTTCGTTCGAGTGCAGGGCGCGTGTGAGGAGGGCTTGTGTCAGATGAGGTTGGATATATAATTGTTCCGACTGCGGTTGGGTGCCTTCCTGCTTCAGCGGCGCATAAGAGGAGGTGTTGTTGATGAATTCTTGAGCTAGAAGGAAGTCAGAAGTCGTGCTTTAACGGCCATTGATATCCAGTCGACTCTCACTCACCTTCTGGGACATTGAGAACCAACCAGTCGTTCATAAAAGCCATGCACATGGCCTGAAGTCCGAGGATACTCTTTCCCGAAGCCCTCTCGCCGGTGATGAGCTGTCTGACGGTCTTGGTGTCCTGACTCCGATTGATATCCTGCATCTCCTGGCCAATTTTGATGGTCTCCGACCGAATCAACGTAGCCGGCCGTCGGAACAAGCTCCAATTTTGTGTCGTCTTGAATGCCTTGCAATCTCTCAATTTGTCCAACAAGGCACCGTCGAGACCCAGCACGTGTCCTGCATTTTGAACGTCCACCATGTTCTCCTTGCTCCAATCCTCCATGCCAGGCACCTCAAGAGCGTTAGTGTTGCTGAGGACAATGCGATGTCGTTGGGCTCTTCGTTCTCCGATTGCTGGCGGCTTAGGTCGCTCTCGGACCTTCTTCTTCATTTTTGCGGATTGTGAGCCTCGGTGCTTCGGGGGAATGACCTTGACTCCCTTCTTCGATTTCACGAGAACATTGTTTTTGGCCGCAGCGCTGGAGCTGTGAAAGGACGACACGCGAGGGAAGGTTGTTGCTGCAATTGGAACGGTATAGGTAGTCTTGGGCCGGTTCAAAACCCGCAGCCTTGATAGGCAGTCGGCGCATACTGAGAGAGACATGGCTCACACTCTCTCGACGCCGACGCCGACGCCGACACCTCCTCTGATGGCTGCGTGGTAGGAGGGGTTGGGTGTTGAACTCGATAGCTGAGAGATCAAGAACACGCGAGCGGCACTGCAGTCGTAGCACTGTCTAGGACGGAGTAGCAGTAGTAGCTTGCACTCCAACCGCAGCCAAGGAGTAAAAACTGCTCTGAACTCACCCCCGATCGGGACAGGGGTGATGCCGCCCTACGCTCAACCCCAAGCGGCCAAGACTGGCTGAGCGGAGTATCCGGAGTAGTATACGTATATCCGTACTACAACCTCCGTAACTATATAAGTATTCAACGCTCTCTCTCCTCTTCCTTTCCTCTCATCAACGCATTATCGTAAGGGTGACATTAGATTAGCCGATACATGCAAGAGGGCAGAGGGCTAAGGGTGGGTGTCAGAATTCATGGCGCCTCATTCGCGCTGGTCACAACAATAAAAGGCGCCATGAATTCTGATACCCACCCTTAGGCTCATACTGATGATGATATCGAGAATTCGCTAAAGCTGTTAAGCCCTGACTTGTTCGGGTGCTGCAGCTGATAAAGCGAATTCCTTACTGAAGTACCACTTTGGGAGGCCACGTTTTCTGGACTGTTGATATTTCCGTTGACCGTTGTCAGTATGTAGTTTTGTTGCGTGCCAAGCTGAGGAAAACTGCTCGCGGTCAGCTTAACAGCGGGGGCTCACTACTGTCTCTACTCTGTAATTAATTCACTTCTCATCTGTTGCTTGGACTTTGGGGAAAGAGATGTCCTCTTTATGGCATGGCTCCTGGGATGACAAATACGATATGACCTTACGCCCAAACATGATGCCCATTCTCTACTATTGGATTTTGAACATGAATGGGATTGATCACGCCCACCACTTATCAGAGGTAGCAGAAGAATATAAGGGTGGGTTGGAGAGGTGAGTGGTAAGTTGGTGAGTCGTGGTGTCGTTCGTAAAGCGGCAGTTGTTTCTTATCTTATCTATAAGCGGCGATGCAAAAAGTTTCGAGCGACCATATACCGTATGGAGAACCAAGTCAACTTTTCCAACCCGACCCCAGCGACCGCTGGAACATTGAGGCCTTAAACTACCATAAACGCCATGTCAGACACCGCGATGGCACAAATCTCAACGCACGCCAGCGCCAACGCTGCCGCCTCGAAAGCAGAAAGGCTGTAGGTCTTGCTCTTCCTTTCCTCCTCGTCCATGTCTGCTTGAAACTCACACGAATCGTCAGGCCTACAACAGTGGACAAACCCACACCATACACGTACGATTTAGGATACCTTACGGCGGTCGACCCGAACCCTCTCCCCAGTACATCGACTCTTGTCTCACAGACCTTCGAGGAGCGCAGTGCAACGCTCCAGGCCATCGCACGAGATGGCGCACAATCACTCCTCAACACCCTATTAACGACGTGCACGATAACGTCGACCCCGGATGGCTTGTCAATGGCACTTCCACCGCCCGCAAACCCACTTCCGCGATGGAAGCCGCTGCCGAAACCCAAGGCGCCCACGAAGTGGGAACTGTTTGCCCGCAAGAAGGGGATTGGGAAGTATGCTGGCAATCTCAAGGGCGGGGCGGCGCTCCAGGAGCGGAAGAAGAACATGGTCTATGACGAGGAGAGCGGTGAGTGGGTCAAGAAATGGGGTTACAAGGGGAAAAATAAACAGGGCGAGAACGACTGGCTGGTGGAATTAGATGACGAGAAGATCAACAAAGAGAAAGAGGGCTTTGGCGGCGAGGGAAGGACGTTGAGAGGCGAAGGCAGACGAGAGCGCGTGGAGAGAATAAAGAGGCAGGAAAGAAAACAGCGTAACAACGATCGCAGCGGTAGGAAGGCCGGGAAGGTTGGTTGAGCTGGTTGGTAGTCCGAAGATGACCGACCGTCTCGGTTGATGACTGACACCAAGTACGGAGTACTGCTGAACAGACAGGGTTGTCACGGTCACTATCCCGAGCACTACATCTCATCTACGATCATACCACTATGGCCACGGAAGGGTACTTGTAAGATGTCTGCTGCACGTCCATCGGGAACGTCACGGATGAGTTCAACTCATATCGTGGGCCTTCATACGGCGTCGGGCACGAGACCCGAAGTCAAAAAGCGACCATGTTGTCCGAGGAAAGGACTGGACTGGCTGGCAATGTTGCAAAATATTTCGAGCAGTCACTGCCTGTCACCGGGTATCAACTTCTGCGGAAGACCAATTCTAGATACATGCCCCCTGAATCTGGCACCCCTTGCGGCTCCTCCCAGCATCAATTTCCACTTAATCATACATCAGGAACTCTCCAACGTTCCCTCTTTGTCCCCAGCTCTCTCCTCATAAGCTTCATAAATCAAAAGACACAGATAGCGAGCGCGGTGCCAAGGTAAAACATCAATGCTAAGTCAAAAATTGGTAGATAATAACACATGTGTTTGGGGTCGAATGAACCCCCAGACAGTCGTAACCGCTCACCACATGCATTGACATCCCAAACCCGAAGTAAATGCATTGGCAGCCGGCTTCTCGTCGGCATATTCTTCTGTCCAAATGGTCGTCGCTGAAAATGGTAAAATATACCGCTTCACATCCTGATCGGGGAAAGCCCGGTCAACTCGGGCAACTTTTGGTCCAGAGACAGGGTTGGAGGCTCTGGCGTGACAACTCTCGGTACTGTGGGTACACTGTGAGTTGCTGCATGTGCACTATTTGCTCTCCGTCTCACACCTCCTTCTGAAGACAAACTCCTTTTTTCAGACTTGGGAAATGTGGACTTGCGGTGTGCAGCCGCATCGGCGCTGCGAGGTGGGACGGGAGCATGCTGTTGACTGCTACCACTCGACGAAATGGCCCTCTCGTCAACAGCATGTTCCTCGGGTTCGGTTATGGAGCCTTCGCGTTGGTACCGATATTCTTCTTCCAAGTATTCTTGCTCCGTCCAGCAACCTTGCCAGCAGTTCTTCCAGTCCATGACCAGGAACTGGAAACAAAAGGCATCAATCTTCAGACATGGCTGGAAGCATATGCACAGATTTCGGTAGTCCATCTTGTTCTTGTCGGCATAGTGATTGAGAAGACTGAGATGACAGGTGATGGCAAAAAGGAGATAATAGTTAAAGGGCGGAAGTCGGGACAATTCGTCCTTGAGAAGCTGAGGTGCTGAGGTCGCTCCAGCACATTGGCTTGCAATTCTGCTTTGGACGGACCTGGGTAGAATCTCATCGGGCAACTCTCGCAACCATGATTTGAATAGTGAGCCGATGGTGTTGATATCGTACAAATCTGGTTCATCGAAGAGGTTGATATCATACTCGTTGTCGAAGCGACGTTGCCAATGCTTGACATCTCTGCCGCTGCCTGGTATTCGATATAATCCTTCCTCTTCAGCACCGTTCATGTTCAAGTAGCTGTGAAAATGGTTAGCTGAGGCCCCTGTCACGGAAAATTTAACCTACTCGATACATCGCCACGGCAGGGCCGGCATCCAAAATTCTGTTTTGTCCTTGGACAACTCAAGGCGTCGGGCAATTCGGGTTTTGCGCGTTTGCTTGACAAGTGGCAGGTTGATCGTGGTACATGTGTAATTGTCATCCGTGACAAGCTCACGCTCGGTGCTGCTCCCACTCCTTGTAATCTTCCCGAAGAAGCCTTTGCCAGCCTTACCAAGGCGATCGCCCATGCCCTTGCCCGTTTGTCCGATATTGGATAGGATCTGAAGAGTCGACCCTTCTCTGAAGGAGTGCGATGCGGGTATGCCTCCGCCTGGACGTTCTTTCTTCGTCAAAATCGAATCGTCACGGACATGACGATCGGCTGAGCGGTTTCGAGCGGCTCCACTGCCCTGACTGGATGACATTTTTTCACCATGATCCATCTTGATAGGCGCGGTTTTAGGAGACGGGTCGAGGTTATCATTGTCTTGATTTGTCGTATCCAGTTGAAGATGACCGGGTGCCGAGTTCTCTACCTTTGGTATCGTTTCCTCTAGTTTCACGGTTTTACTTCTGGTCAGAATCCCTCCAAACTTTGACCTGACCTTCTTGCTTGGTTGAGTAGTTCCGATAGGGGCCTGAGAACTGGGCTCTGAGGAAGTGAGAGAATTGCCGGCACCCATTGTCGGTAACTCCGGGGTCGAACCTTGCTTCTTCACTGAATGAAGTGATCGATCTTTTGAACTTGTCCGGCTCCTTGCGTTTGATTTCTCGCCGCTTTCCGGGATGCTTGTTTCGGAGGCCTGAAGCTTGTGGGAAGATTTAGCGGCCTTCAAATTTGAAAAGAAGCCCTTGGACGCCTCTCGCCCATGTTTCGGCGATTGAGGGACAGGTGAAGGCGGAAACTCAGGCGTCGCAGTTATCTTCGGAGAGCTCGGCCCTGTGCGAGTGCCATCGGTGCGGCTAGCCTGAGATGCAGAGACTTGATGCATGATCGAGGGTGTCAGAGGGCCTTGCAGGAATGGGGATCCTGGGGCGGATTCGGGGGTGCGAGGCGAGCCAGTCGATCTAGGACTCAAAGTCGCGGGTGTTAGGCTGTTTAATTCCTCATTGTTCTTGGAGGATAGATTGAGATACGGTAAAGCCGAGGCTTTAGGCATATCCGCAACGTCTGAAGTGTCATTCACAGGGTGGAATGCAGGTAGCCGGCCGCGCTTACAGTTGGGCTGGGAGCGGTTCGCGCCAGGTTAATGGGACCTGGATGTTGCCTGTCGGGTATCCTTCCCGTCTGTACCACCTCTTTTGCGTCGGCCGATATAATGGCAATGTTTATCCAACGTAATGATTTTAGGAGGAAAAGAGACTGGTGTAACCGGGTTGTGTTGTTTTTGCTGGTGAATGGAGCGCGTGCTGTGTGGGATTGTACGAAATCAACAATCAGTTGTCGTTCCAACGGGATGCCAGGTTGACTCGTCCTCCTCTTTTCCTTCACAACAGAGTCCAGGTGTGGTTTTGTTTTTGATCCAAAAGGGAGCAGGTATAAGATGTCCGTAAGACTTGGTATAGTTGAGGGGCTTGCGTGGAGGTTGGTCCAGCAAGCCGTAGAAAGCTGGGTCGAAGTGGGTGAGACGAGATCGGGGGTTTGTGATCAGGCAATCTTCATCATCAGGCGTGGGCGTGTAACAGCCTGGCTGTCAAAGTCGCGAGGTGGCTTGCGAGGAGGCGATCAACAAAGGAGGACGTCGTCCAGTTTCGAGGGAGTGACAGGAAGGTAGTGGAGGGCGAAGCGGCCAATGCTCCAACCGAGATACAGGGACAGGTGGAAAGAGCACAGGTACCCAAATCAGGACCAAAGGACTGGTGGTCTATACGACTATAGTCAACAGGAGGAGTAGATTCTTCGAAAGCGGTGCTGTGCTGGCCAGGTGCAGTAGTGGTCACTGGTGGTGGTGGTTCGTGGCGGACGGGACACAGTGGTGGAGCAAGGAGCGTTCGAGCGGTGAGGAGCCGGAGCGCGGAGCCTAAATCCTAAATCTGACCCTGAGCCTGGCACCGAGACGGCCAGAGCGGCTATAATGTCAAGCGTGTTTACATAGGTATGTTACTACCCTTTGAAGACGAAGGCGCCACCCAGCGGATTATGGATTTGAAGTCGGCTGGTGGACGAATGGGAGGGCTGTGTTGTGTGAGCCTGTGCGTCTGACGTGTGCGTGTGGTGTGCGTGTGCGTTGGGTGACTGCTTGAAGATATTACAAGGAGCCTAAGGTAGGTATTTACGGCGTGCTCGGGTAAGAATCGACTTGCAACGCCTTCATCACAGCTGTACGGAGTAGAGATACCGACAGGGGGATGCACTCGGCTGGCGCAGAGTAGTATGTACTCCGTACTATGTCCTGGTTTGTAGTATTTGTGGCCACATGCTATGATGTATCGGATATTGCGCATTCATGGAAGAGACGGGGATCGTAGGACGTGGATAGGCCACGACTGCACAGGGATGCGGTAGCTGCATAACATACTAGGGCCTCCAAATCCTGGTACCTTGTGATCCTATTAGCGCACCTGTAGGGCATGTAGGGATACGTAAGGTACCTAAGCACCTAGGCACCTACTAGGCACCCACCTAGGTACCATTAGGTAGATCCGGGATGTATTACAATCCTGTCATCTCACACCCTCGCTCAAGCTGATGCTTTAAGGGTGCTGTCCGAGACTCGGCGATCCTAACGGCGATATCACCCTCAGTTAGAGGCGTGTAGTGCAGCAATACCCGCCTCGACCAGGTCTCCAACGTGGGCATCGTAGGGGACAGGAGACACAACAGTTACCCAGGTACTCGTACGTATCTTATTAATTAATGCAGCAAAATGAGACCACAGAGCCAGGAGAAGTGGATCGTCCATCATCATGCACGCGGCGCCATGGTGCCAGGGGCATTGACTCTGACCTTCTGGCAGTATCCGCAGCTGCGAGACACATTGACCGCCACGCCTGCCAGCTGGTCTCTGCCTGGAGCGACTAATTAACACCGTACCAGGAATCTAATAATAAAAATTGTGCATTCCGGGTACCTTAGTAACGTCGTAATCTTGAAGCAGGGTATCGCGGCATCATCTATGTTTCGAGTCTGAAACCTGCCGCTAAGGCACCTGCTGTAAGAGACGTCACTCATAGCAGGTCCCTAGGTACATGTAATTACCTACCTTACATACATGTAGTACTACTGCATGAAGGCAAAGATGGGAGAACTCCTGGCTCCTGGCTCCTAGGTACCTAGGTACATACACCTAGGTAGGTACATGCTGTATATACCTAGGTAGCATGCCGCTGTACTCCCTGCGGCGCCCGTTGCAGGCGAGTCGGGCTCCCATCTGTGCCTAACATGTAATCTAATCCAGGCCTAAGGGCTCTAAGCCGACCCCGCAAAGCACTAATGTACCTCGGGTAGCTACTAATAGTAGGACGTACTCCGTAGATAATTTGCCAAGCTTGAGTGAAAAGAATTGCTAGCACTGGCAGCCACTCGCAGCTGCTAGTACTACTCCAAGCCTCATCATCTTCGTCTTTCATCATCATTACATGTACCTACTTGCACTACTGTTATCATCACACACAAGAGATCACTCGTCTGGATTACCGCCAATCTCTCGGCTACACACCAACCCGTTAAATGGCTTTGGTTGCCGGACCAGGGATCGGGGGAAGTCGCTCTTCTGCCGGCACCTTGCCCGCAGAACTCACCCTGGTCATCGACAAACATGTCAAATATATCCAAGGATTGGATAGTGTGGGTTGAGTCCGTGAGTACCTCTGCGTAGCCCGATATTGATGCCTTGCCAGCGAAAAGATGAGCTTGACTACTGGTTGACCGAGCACCTGAGACTCAACGGCGTCTATTGGGGTTTGACAGCTCTTCACCTTCTGGGTCATCCAGATGCACTGCCGCGGGACAAAACACTAGAATTCGTCTTGGCCTGTCAAAACCAAGACGGAGGCTTCGGTGCAGCTCCTGGCCACGACTCTCATATGCTCTACACCGGGAGCGCCGTCCAAATTCTTGCAACAATTGATGCATTAACAGACCTAGAAGTCTCCCAGACAGGAGGGAAGGAGCGGATAGCGAGATGTAAGTATTGAGATCATTTGTGGCTATAATACGCTCCCGTCCAACTGCCGGAAACCAGACATTGCCGGCCTTCAGGATCCAACCACTGGCACTTTTGCCGGAGACGAATGGGGTGAAACCGACACCCGGTTCCTCTATATTGCCTTCAATGCACTATCCATCCTCGATATGATGCACCTTGTCAATGTCGAGAGCGCCGTGTCCTATATCCAGGCGTGTGCGAACTTCGACGGCGGCTTCGGAAGAGCCCCCAGCGCGGAAACGCATGCCGGTCAGATTTTTACTTGTCTCGGCGCTCTGAGTATCGTGAGACGGCTTGATCTGGTGGATGCTGAGCGGTTGGGTGCTTGGCTGAGCGACAGACAGCTGTCTAATGGAGGACTCAATGGCCGACCCGAAAAACTGGTGGACGTGTGCTACAGCTGGTGGGTGCTCAGTAGCCTTGCCATGCTTGGGAAGTTACATTGGATCGATGCGGCGAAATTGATCACATTCATTTTGAGCTGTCAGGACTCCGAACACGGGGGCATTTCAGATATGCCGGGAGATATGGTCGATGTCTTTCACACCGTCTTTGGAGTTGCCGGTCTGAGTCTGCTCGGCTATCCCGGTCTTGTCGAGGTTGACCCTGTCTAGTAAGTCGACGTGGTGCAAGTCAGGGATCATTGCTGACCACGATGTCTCCAGCTGTATGCCCAAGAAAATCACTCAAGCTCTACCGTATCATCAAGCGTGATGCACCAGCTCTGCCAATACGTCTCTTGCAATCTAATAACCCACTCGATATATCACTTGAGAGATGGGATACAAGGCAAGAGGAGAACGAGGACCACGATGGACTATTTTCCGCTTCATCACTCTACTATCCTCGCTTGAGAGGAGACATAGACGTTGTGGTACACCTAGAAGTTTCTATTTTCCCCATTTGAGATAATGAAACCGGCGGTGGTGTGCACTGCTGCCGGAATTGAACCTGGCGCTATTCACGCTGTTGGGAAGTTGATAAAAGTAGCTACGTGTGGCCGGCGGACTGTTTCCTGCTGGAGGAAGGCGTCACTGCTGCTGGTTGCTTGTCTGGGCGCACCTTCCTCGATGCTCATCAGTCTGTCTACCTTCTCTGACGTTCACTCCTTCCTGTTCGTCCTGGTTTTCTACCTTCGCAGCCACTACCAGGTACTCACTGAAGTGAGGTTCAGCTCGCTCCCTCCGTTGTCTATTCGCTCACCTCTTCCCCCTGATGCCCATGCTGCAGGAGGAAGATACTTTGCACGGCGTCTTGATTGTTCTTGTGCTTTTCAACTTCTTGCAGTCATCACCCTGGGCTTCGTTTGCTGTTTCCTTGTCTCTGACCTGCATTTGTACAAACTGGTTGGGCCCGCTATGGAGTTGGAACTGCTTAACTGCAGTATCTGCCCAAAACAGCCTTCCTTCAGCGACACCTCACACTTACTTACCCACGTCAGTTCCAAAGGTCATTTGTCACACCTGCACAAACTCCAAGTCAGAAGCCACCAAGAAATTGCGGCCGGCGTGCAGTTGGCTACGTACAATCAATGGTACCAGCAACATGCTCTCGGCCAGCTGCTCTCGGAGCGTATGATCATGAAAGAGGCCAAGAAAGCGGGAAGGAGGAAAAACGCAGCCAGGAGAGGAGCATACATGACCCAGCAAAGTCCGAACGCGCATGCGCCGCCGGAACAACCATTGCCACAGAAGAAGACAGCCAAAGGCCGGAAACAAGGCCAGCGGAAACAGGCTCGAGGCAGGCATGGCAGACATGCACTTGACGATGAGAGCGACCTCGATTTCAGCCCTGTCAAGAGGTCAAGGTCATTGTCCTCGTCCAATCAGTTGTTTCTTGCCTCTAATTACATCCTCTAGACCCAAACCACGTCAACCTACAATCCTTTCTCCTGTCAGGCCCTCCATATCCTCCGATGGCCATCCTCCGTCCGAGGACGACGAGCGAGCCGGAGATGGACCCGATCTCCTTGTCACCCCAGAACACAGCAAGCTAAAGGGTACGGTCTGGCCAGGCATGGATTTGTTTGATGCTGCCTCAGATGAGATGAAGCGGAAAAGAAATCAGAAGAAAGACGGGTCTGTCTTAAGGCGAATGGAACGTCTGTCTGCCCTCGTAGAACCAAGAGAAGTGGTATACTCCCCTGGTGGACGCGTGAAGAAAGCGAGGCATATTGACGACCTCGAGGATGCAAGCAGCCTGGTTGATGGCGAATCTCCCCCGCTCAAGATGAAACAAGTCCGTTGCCGCAAGAGACAGCCACTTGCAGACAGAGACACCAATGCACCTCGATTGGTGAAGCGCAAGGCCAAAGGCAATCCCGCAAAGAAGCAGACTGAACTACCATTCATGCATGGACTGCCGCCTTTGCCATACTTGCCCAGCTCTTCGACCGGGGATTCATATGCCCTAGGTTCCCGCTTCCTTGGGACCGAGGATGACGACGACGACGACGACTTCAAGCCCACCATTGGCGATCTGTCTTCTCGAAAGCGCCCAGCTCATTTCACGATCTTCAATGATGGAAGTCCTGGCTATACTGCTGACACGTTCACGGAGGAAGGCCGAAATCAATTACATGCTAGCCACCAAGCCTACTCGAGAAGTGCACGTCCCTCACTAGCTGTCGTTTCTGCCCCTTGGCTTCAACCACAGTATCAGCCCGCCTGGCAATATACGAACCCCTATCCACCATTTCGACCTAGTCATCGCGAGTATCAAGGCGGCTACGATACAATGGATGCCAAAGAGGATATCCCTTCATTGCCCGAGCCGACTCCCGAGTTTCGGGGGCCAAGCACAAACCCACTAGCCTGGAAGTCTCCTGATCGAGATGTGACGGCCCCAGTCCTGCCATCAGAATCTCCTTTTAGCAGCTTCTTTGGTCTGTTTCCAGGTGGTATGTCGTGCGACGACCCCTTTGTATCGACCAAAAACCCCTTGACTGCGGCATTGGAGCACCTTGGAGGCGAGACGAGAGGGTCCCCGAGATCTCCAGCAGATGCATTGGCGAATGAGGATGGTGGTTCCGACCACCATGCCAGAGCCCTGTCGGCCCCGGTCACATGAAGCACACACAGTCTGACCGAATTACTGGTCTGCTCAGAAACAATCTCCGATTCGGTGACTACCTAGCAAGCAGAATATGTGCGGTATAGATATGGTGAAATGGCTCACTCTCTCCTGGCAGCTATGCAGATCTCATGTATTGTTTGCCTCAGCGCACACGTCCAGAGTTGAGGCGATGGTGCCCCGAAAGTTAAGATGGTCTATCAGGTATTGGAAGGTAACCTTTTGACGGTATAGTTTGCGACTGCCACCAAGGACATAGATAATGGATAGACGTAGCTGGTGCGTTTCAACGACAATTGTGCAGCGACCAATTCATCCACCGCGAATCCCAGGTCTCTTCTCTCGTATGGGACGCACAAATATACAGCTTCTTATTGCAGGATGCGAGTAGAGGGCAGTGTTCCCGACTCCGTCCCAATCCACACAGCCTTGTCAGCGAAGGGACTAGCGACTGTACTCCGTACCCGTACTCCGCCGTACCAACGCGACGACGCGTCCAAACTTCGCGTTAAGTGCCGCCCGTTGCGCCGTGTCATTCGTAGACGCCATCTAAATGACGATACGCTGTTTATTACACTCTGTTCATTACAATTCTGCCAGTGCCCGGGCCAGACTATCCTGAGGTTGGAGGCCTTGTCATCGGGCTCATATGGCGTCGTCGCAGAAGAAACAGCAGACTTTGTCCGCATTTTTCAAGAAACCCGTGTCCTCTCAATCTTCGACGCTCCCTCGAACCCCAGCCTTGGAAGATGACGAAGACGAGGACCTGGTGTTGCCAATTGCGAAGAAGCGCAGAATCACTCCCGCTGCGGAAACTGCCGGAGTGAGTAAGATAGTGGCAGAAGGGAAGCAAGAGCACATCAGAACTTTGAGACCGGTGGAGGCAAATGGCCAGACTACAGCGACGACATCCGCCGCCCCGTCAGGATCCGATAGGACATCCAAATACATTTTTTCGTCCTCTCCTCTCCAAGAGAACCGGGAAGTCGACGACCCTGGCAGCCCCGACAGACGACGAAAGGACGAACTACACCGGAGGTTCGTCAAGAAATTGGGCAAACCAGATAGCATCGCTGAAATTAAGAGACGGAACCGAACACTCGAAGAAGATGCTCCTGAGCAGGAGAACGGCGACGCAGACGATGAACCCGAGGAGGTGCCAAAGCCGACCGGCCGTCTGAAAACAGGTGTTAAGAAAGGTGGAAGCAAACTCACACCCATGGAGAAGCAGGTGATAGAAATCAAGAAGGCCCACATGGATACTCTTTTGGTGGTCGAGGTCGGTTACAAGTTTCGGTTTTTCGGCGAGGATGCTAGAATTGCGGCGAGAGAGTTGGGCATCGTGTGTATTCCGGGAAAGTACCGCTTCGACGAAGACCCTTCTGAGGCTCATCTGGATCGATTCGCTTCTGCCAGTATTCCTGTCCATCGACTGCATGTTCATGTCAAACGGTTGGTGGCTGCAGGGCACAAAGTCGGTGTCGTTCGCCAACTTGAAACTGCAGCACTCAAGGCTGTGGGCGATAATAGGAACGCACCGTTTGTTCGGAAACTCACAAATCTGTACACGAAAGGCACCTATATCGATGACATCGAGGGTGATGGCAGAGGCAGCCCTGCTCCTCAGTCGCCTTCTACCGGCTTTTTGCTTTGCATGACAGAGGTCAATGTCAAGGGTCACGGCAACGACGAAAAGGTCCACGTCGGTCTTGTCGCCGTCCAACCTGCCACAGGAGATGTGGTATATGACGATTTCGAGGACGGGTTCATGCGGAGCGAGATCGAAACCCGGCTCCTCCACATTGCGCCGTGTGAATTTCTGATTGTCGGTGAACTCTCGAAGGCAACAGAGAAGCTTGTTCTTCACTTGTCAGGCAGCAAAACCAATGTGTTCGGGGACAAGATTCGGGTTGAGCGAACGCCAAAATTGAAGACCATGGCTGCCCAAGCACACGGCCATATCTCCACCTTTTATGCCGGCAAGCTCAAAGACACCCAGGGAGATCAAGGCAAAGCAACAAAGGTATTCGACAAGATTCTGGGCTTGCCAGAGAATGTAACTTTGTGTCTTTCTGCGATGATCAACCATTTGTCCGAATACGGGCTTGAACACGTGTTTCGGCTTACGAAGTACTTCCAGCCGTTTTCTGCTCGCTCACATATGCTGCTGAACGGCACCACTCTTACCAGTCTTGAAGTCTATCAGAATCAGACGGACCACTCCACCAGAGGAAGTCTCTACTGGATGATGGATAGGACACAAACCCGATTTGGGGGCAGACTTCTTCGCAAGTGGGTTGGACGTCCTCTGTTGGACAGGAAGAGTATCGAAGAACGTTTGAGTGCAGTCGAGGAGCTTCTCGACCCCGACAAAGCCATACACGTCGAGAAATTGAAGCACGTGCTGTCCAAAATGCGGACTGACCTGGAAAAGAATCTCATACGCATCTATTATGGGAAAGCCAGCAGGCCAGAGTTGTTGAACGTCCTGCAGTCACTGCAGTTTCTGGCCACCGAGTTTGCACATGTGACTGATGCCGCATCTACCAACTTTGACTCCAGTCTGATATCGTCCGCCATCACGTCCCTGCCATCGATCTTGACAGAGGTGGTGGGATATCTTGACAAAATCAATCTGCAGGCTGCCAGATCTGACGATAAATACAACTTCTTTCAGGACGGTTCAGAGAATGATACAATTACGGAACACAAGTTCGGCATTGCAGGCGTAGAGCATGACCTGGACGAGTTTCGTTCCACTGCAGCAGAGAAATTGGGGAAGAAACGGCCCGTGGAGTACGCCACGGTTGCCGGTATAGATTATTTGATTGAAGTCGACAACAGTTCTGCCACCATCAAGAAAGTGCCTGCTTCATGGACCAAGATTTCAGGCACGAAAAAGGTCTCGAGGTTTCACGCGCCGGAGGTGGTCAAGCTCCTGCGGGAACGCGACCAACATAAAGAATCTCTTGCAGCGGCTTGCGACAAGGCTTACACCGACCTTTTGGTAGATATTAGCACCAAGTACCAGCTTTTCCGCGATACCGTGCAAAGCCTCGCACGTCTGGATTGTCTCCTCGCTCTAGCTAATGTGGCAGCCCAGCCTGGATATGTCAGACCAAGATTTACCGAGGGCAGCCGGATCGAAGTTGAAGGAGCTCGCCATCCCATGGTCGAACAGCTTCTCATCGATACTTATGTTCCGAACAACATTTCCATCTCCCAAGATGCCACGAGAGCGCTCCTGGTGACGGGTCCCAACATGGGGGGCAAATCGTCCTACGTTCGCTCCGTGGCTCTCATCTCCATCATGGCACAGATCGGGTCTTTCGTGCCCGCGACATCGGCAACACTAGGCATCCTCGACGCCGTCTTCACCCGCATGGGCGCCTTCGACAACATGATGTCAGGCGAGAGCACGTTTATGGTCGAGCTCAGCGAGACCAGCGACATCCTCAAACTCGCCACCGACCGCAGCCTCGTGGTCCTCGACGAACTTGGTCGTGGAACCAGCACCCACGACGGCGTTGCCATTGCAGCCAGTGTGCTCGACTACCTCGTCCGCGAACGCAAGTGTCTGACGCTGTTCATCACGCATTACCAGATGCTCGCCCGCCTGGCCAGCGGCTTTGCCCACGAAGAGCTGAAGAACGTGCATATGCGCTTCACGGAGGAGGACGACGAGAACGTCACCTTTCTCTACGAGGTCGCCGAGGGTGTCGCGCACCGAAGCTACGGTCTCAACGTCGCGAGACTCGCCAACATTGGCGAGTCTGTCATCGATATCGCGAGGCAGAAGAGTGCCGAGCTCGAAACGGCCACCAAGGCGAGGCAATTGGCTGCTCTGGCGAGGATGTTGGCAGGAGCCGAAGAACGCAGTGGTGGTGGTGGTGGTGGTGGTGCTGCTGCTGGTGGTGGTCACAAACTAGACGTGGAGAGACTGGACGCCATTGTTGAAGGAATTGAAATGCTCTAAACTATGCAGCATGAATGTGGCTTACTAGCTAGCAGTCAATAGGACAACAGGGTCAAAATCGATGCAAAGGGTCAGGACAACAGGCTCAAAATAGATGCAAAGAGACAGCTCGTACTCATAGAAGCCGACATTCGGGGCTAGAAGATCTCTGGTAGGGTGTATGACATTCAGGGCTAGATCTCTGGTCTGGTGTGGTGTGGTGTATGAGGCAGCCTCCACCCTCGGGTTTTCCGGTCGAGAGTTTCACGATACCAAATACTACTAATCATAATGGGCCGGACTGGACTGGACTGGCGAGGGGACAAAGTGTTAGTTCGCACTTTTAGTTTCCAGTTTCCAGTTTCCACTTCCTAATCTCATTGTCCTCATGCAGTATCTGCTTTCGTTCGGTTCGGCTGTTGTGACTACCTAGCTATGTATGTAGCCGACCGCGGCCAATAAGGTCAGTACGCCGTAGAGGGCCCAAACGTCGCCGTCGCTGATTACCATGAGGCAGTGGTCAATGAGCAGGAAGAAAGAACCAACAGACCCAACCCCCTGTCCCTGTCCCTGTCCAAAACGGCGAATCCAGCCCAGCCATGCTTTTCGTGACTTCATAACAATAACAGCAAGCAATTCGTCTCCCTGGTCGTGTCCTACGGTAGGCTTGCCGCATCGTCTAGATCTCCGACCTCGCCCTCCGATCGGTCGCCCATGCCTTGTGATGGAAACTCGACGTGGGTACTTGTGATGGTAAGCTCGACGTGGGCACTTTCTGCTTCCAGGCAAGCTACCACTCGCCGATGACAACGCTATCCTGAGCATTCGGCAAGCCGACAACGGCAATTCCGGCAGGAATTCTGGCTTGTCGGGCATTGAAGCAGGCAAAGACAGCTAGCTTGGCCAGCGCGGGACAAGTCTTGAAGATGCCATTCATGACGACATCGTCGACCTGGGTCACAAACGATAAATCGATGTCCTTCAAAGCCGGATACTGCTTGACCCCATCAAAGACCTCCATCAAGCCTGCGTGAGAGATGTGTCGACACGCTTTGAGGTTCAGCCGCTCCAGGCGAGAACCCGAGTGTGTCATCAATGCTTTCAGGGCACCTGAACCCAAGCCGATAGGATTGTCCTCGGGGCCATCCGGGTTCATGCTGTCGATATCCCGGTTGTCGGACAAGTCTGCATATATCAGCGGCGGGTTGCCCAAGTTGTTGTCAAAAAGACTGGCAAATGCTGCGTCAGAACAAATGACACTTCCTCGGATGCGGAGCTTTGTCAGCTTATGGCAACTTTCTTTGATGGCTTCCAGGACTGAGTCGTTGAGTTCGACGTACTCTTCCAGACAGAGTGTTCTCAGGTTGTGTCCGAGTGAGGAGATCAATTTCACAAGTGTGGCTGATGACGTTTCCTGCTGGGCCACAGCAAGGGTGAGGTGCTCGAGGTTGGTGAGAGAGCAAAGAGCATCGACTGAATCCTCGCCCATGTGTGAGCAAGACCTTAGTTTCAGTCGCCTCAAACCTCTACACGATTTGACCAGAACCTTGACAATGTCGTCTCCCAGAGAGTCATTCAGTTCTGACAACTTCAAACTCTCCAGCTGAGGACCGAGTTTCTGAAACATGTCGGCCCAGGCTTTATCAGTGACAAGATTTGTGGCACCGAGCTGCAAGTGGCGAACTCGTTTGCACTTGTCGGCCATGTACAGCAAGGGACCATCCTTCATCTGTCCGGCAAATCGCAAATTAACAAACTCGACGTCGGGCATGTGTGCAAAGATCTTCTGGAAATCTTCCTCTTCGAGCTTCGCACAGTCGTATATGTCGATGCGGTCGACGTCTGGTCGCAGGAACAGCTCGAGAACTCGAGGTGTGAGGACTCGTTCCTTGGAGAGGATCTGACTTAATCTGTCCAGCAGACTTTGCGGCATATCACCGAACTCTTCGATATCATGGACGACATTGGCAACTCGACGGACGCAAATGTCGACGAGACTCTTGGCACCCGGTTTGACGTCTCCCATCAGTCGGTCGCTCTCGGTCTGACGCCGGCGTCCTCGTGGTGCGGCTGTTTTCTTTTTGTTGTCTCGGCTTTCCTTCTTCTCCTCGTCTTTGAGTTCCTTGGAGCATTTGGTGCATAATAGACCACCATCTGGGCCAGTCTTGCTGTACGGTGTCACGGTGAACCTCTTGCCACAGATTTCACAATTCTCCAGCTGGCCCGGTAGAGGCTGGGACTTTTTAAGCATACTCCGAGCAAGTTCATCGTCGTCTTGTTCGAAATCGCTCCCGAGGTCTTGTTGCTGCTCAAACTTGCGCTTCTTGAACTCTTTGCTCTGTTTGATCTTCATCAACGTCTTTTCTTCTTTTCTCTTGCGCTTCTTCTGCTCCACTGGATCATCTTCCGAATCCTCGGCATCACCCCCGTTCTGCGCTGCATTTTGTGCGTTCTGCTGCTCTTGTTGCTGGGCGTCTTGCAAACGACGCTGGTAATCGTTGTGGATCTGCGCAGCGGATATATTGTGTGACGCCAGGAAATCTGTGAGAGCTGACTGGGGCCCACGAATGCGATTCAACGCGGCATTCCGACGCCGAGTAGACCTGGTCCAGGGTTATTACAAGGCTCACGTCTTCAGGGGTTCGCTTGCTCACATTGTCCAGCAGGTGGCAACTGCCAACCAGTAACGACCTTGCACGACAAGGGATAGGCTGATATGGTCGTGTTCTTGAGATCGGAAGGGGAAATGTCACTCAAGACGGTGACAAGTTAACCCCGATCTATAAGTGGTGACTCTGGTCGCTGGCAGTGAATGCAGACTGCTTTGGGAGGTGTTCGTTCAGTTCATTGTTTCCGTTCACGCAAAAGCAGGCATCAAGAGCCAGTCTGCATGTCTGCGAGCAAACATGCCAAGAAACCACTTTACGCGCTTCTGTGAGTTGGACGCGACTCTATCAAGGCCTAAGGAGCCTAAGCCTTAGGTCCCTAAGTCCTGACCCTTGTCTATCGTTTACTCCCTACAGTGACGTGGGTGCACCAATTACCCCTCTATGGATATGCTGAAAGTCTTGTGGTGATGAAGTCAAGCAACAGCTGCGTCTTCAGTATCATGCAAAGCTACCTTCTGTGCCTTGCCCATTCAATCCAACCGGTTCAGGCTATGCTAGCGCCCCTCGATGATCAATGGCCACAGATCACAAAGCAGCAATTATCAAAGGGACAAATCAGGCTCTCGATGGCTTTACACTACCACTATTACGGCATGCAGAGCACAGTATACAGTATGGATGTTCTTCGACATCTAGATGCCTCCTTTCGCGTTATTCTGTACGGAGTACAGCCTGGCCCCTCGCTCCCGCCCAATTCACCTGCCTGGAAGCTCACAGAGTAGCCCCTTAGCCCCTTAGCCTAGGCAGCTGCAGGGATGCCGCGATCCCGAGTCCTCTATCAGCTTAATCCCGGCACCCGGCAACAGTCTCCCGACGGACCGGGGCTTAGGAGGCTTGTCCGCTTGAGGCAGCGGAGACGTGATTACGCAATTACTAGTTGGACTTGACAATTCTTTGGCATTCATACGTATTCGTTCAGATGGGGTGGTGGTTCAGGCCACCTCGGCCTACTCTGTCACGTACAGAGAAGCAGGTACATTCTCTGTAGTCTAGAATACCCGCAAGGTCATCCGTGTCCAGTTCTCTACCACCCGCCATGGTTGCGAAGCGGCTCCTCAGATTGTCTGTGAGCCTGGTACTTAGCCTTCTCCGTGTCGATAAAGTCGAGGCCCTTGGTCTCGACCAAGCGGTCGACAAAAGCACCTGCGAAACCCGCAAGAATCTCCTTGGCCTTCGCGTGGCTCTCAGGCTGGCCTACGCAGAAACGGAGTGTCAGCACTTATTTCCAGACAGGCGATGAAGGACTCACCGTTTTGGGCAACGTGGTTTTCGTAGGCCTTGGAAGCCTCGTAGGAGGCGGCAGCGGCGATGAGCTCGTGAGACCACTCGGCTTCGTGAGGTCTACTGACGACCTGGTCGTAGGCTCGAGCCTGGTCGGAGTCGTCTGTTGATGGCTGCTGTCAGTCGAGCGCCTGCAGAACGAGGAGTCATGTAGTCGAGGCTCTGGCTTACCATCGAAAAGACCCATTGTGAACGGCTTTACGCGGGACTTGAAGAGGAAGAGGTTGATTTAGGTTTAAGAAGGTAGATGGTCCAAAAGCTTGTCATGGAAGGGGAGGGAGGGGAGGGGTAGCTTTATAAGTCGCATCGAAGGCAGACGACAGAGCTGAGACGACAGCTGAAGGTGGAGCGAGCTTGATGCTTCTGAAACATTCGGGCCTCAACTTGGGCCAGTGGTGATGACGCTCCAGCAGCGCTTCTGCTTCCAGCGGAGCCGCCGTCAATAAACGCCACGTAGGTAGGTACGTAGCTGTGACCGACCCAACGCAGCATAGTTCCACCCTCTTTGTTGTCCCTTTGGGTCATTCCTCCTCACGAACAATGCGCCGGCTAGGACATGTACATGTACGTAAAGAGTCCTCCGGGGTCAGAAAAAGAACCACCTGTAGCCTGTAGGAACACAAAGGCGAGGGGTGGTCAGTACTAAAAGTAGTAGGACCTACCTAAATACCTACTACTACCACTATCTAGTATCTAGTCTCTAGTATCTACCTCCGTACGGATACTCTGGAGTTGGTAGTTGCTAGTTCTCTACCTCGTTCGCCAAGAACCACTTTACGCGCAGTCACGTGCAGGACGCGATCGACTCCAGGCAGAAATGCACTAACACCACTAACACCAACTAACAACGCGGGTCCTGATACTAAAAGTTTATCTTCTTCCGTTGCCATTGGTCTTGATCTCGCAACATTTTGAGATCCTATCCGATCTCAACATCAACATTCTCAGCTTCGCTATAGACAAAATGGGTGTTCGTGATCGTCCTACGAGGTCGGCCAGCGCAAGACGGGCTCCTGGTGAGTTCTCGTGCTTCTGTCCCGTCGTTGTCACTCCTGACTGAACTGACCATCCGCAGCCTCGAAAGTCGCCCCTTCAGAACCGCCGCTCCCCTTGCCTACGAAACCCACCAGACGAACCACTCGAGCTTCCCGGCTCACTGAGATACCCGATTCTGACGATGTTGAAGACACTGCCTCATCCGTCTCGATCTCAAAAGGCGCCTTCCAAGGAGTCTTCGTCCCTAGCAATGGCACCTCCCTTACAAACCAGGGTTCAAGCCGCCTCGACTCCACTGCGCCCTCTTCCATTGCCGACTCTATGGAATCCTCCACCTACGACACACCGGGGACCAGCACAGTTCCAACACCGAACGTCATCAATCAGCGCTCGTCCAAGTCGAGGGTGGGAGCTACCGCTAGGGCTTTGGAACTGCAGGCTTCTGCATTTGCTCTGCGAGGTCGCAAAGGGGCATCAAGAAAACGGACCATCATGGATCTTGACATGGATGATGACGACCCCGATGACATGGATTTCCAGATTGCCTCCCGGCTTCAAGCGGAAGAGTATAATATGGTCGCGGATTCTGAGGATTCTGACTCTCGGCCACTGTCAAAACGTCCACGCACGCAGCGAAATCTTGTCACGGTAGAAGACAGTCTTGAAGAAGTATTTGATACGGAAGACGACGACGACGATATCCCACTACCAAGACGCCAGCGGACCAAAGCCACCATACAAAACCCGTCCGACCAACGTGGTTCTCTAGGCGTATCTGAGGAAGATTCAGAGCTTTCGTCGGTTGAGTCCTTGGCCGATAGTGACGCGTCAGTCTTTTCAACCGCGTCGATGCTCGCAACACCTTCAGAGGCCGGTGGGGATGTCGTTGAACCTGCCAAGCAGCCTGACGAGACTCCGTTCATTACAAATCGGTATGGCAGGCAACGTCACAGAAGAGTAAAGTTCCCGCCAGAGTTGCTCTACGATCCGGTTGGGCGCCGTCGGTACCGTGAACGTAAACGCCTCGAAAGATCCCACCCAGAGATCAAGACGATGTGGGAGAAATTGAGTGCCATCCCACCCATCAAACCTGTTCCAGCTCAGCAGCCAAGTGGGATCAGTCGTAAGCTCAAAGGCTTTCAATTGGAAGGCTTGGACTGGATGATCAAGCAGGAGAAATCGCAATGGAAAGGCGGCCTATTGGGGGATGAGATGGGCATGGGCAAGACCATTCAGGCCGTGAGCTTGATAATGTCCGACTGGCCAGCTAAGGCTCCCGCTCTCGTCGTCGTTCCACCGGTGGCATTGATGCAGTGGCAAGCGGAAATCAAAGACTATACCAGTGGCAAGCTGAAAGTTCTGGTCTACCACATCTCTGCAAACCCCAAATGCAAACTCTTGACCGTCGAGGATTTGAAGAAATACGACGTCATCATGGTCTCCTACTCTGGTCTCGAATCCATGTTCCGCAAAGAGCACAAAGGCTGGAATCGAAACGATGGGATTGTCAAGGAAGAGAGCGTGCTGCATGCCATCAAATACCACCGGATCATTCTCGATGAAGCTCACAGCATCAAACAACGAACCACCAGCGTGTCCAAAGCATGTTTTGCCTTGAAGGCCGACTACAAATGGTGCCTATCGGGTACACCGGTCCAGAACCGAATCGGAGAGTTCTTTTCCCTCCTGCGCTTCCTCGAGCTGATGCCGTTTGCTTGCTATTTCTGCAAGGTGTGCAAGTGTCGTCAACTGCACTGGAGTCAAGACTCGTCGAAGATGTGTACCGGCTGCAAGCACAGCGGGTTCAATCACGTTTCTGTTTTCAACCAAGAGATCCTCAACCCCATCACTCAGGGTGAAAACACTGAATTGAGAAAGAAAGGACTGGACAAGTTGCGCTTGATCACGGATCGAATCATGCTGCGTCGCATGAAACGTGATTACACCTCTTCCATGGAACTGCCGCCCAAAGATATCGTCATCCACAACGAGTTCTTTGGAGAAATCGAACGTGACTTCAGTCAGAGTATCATGTCCAATTCCAACCGCAAGTTCGATACGTATGTCGCTCAAGGTGTCATGTTGAACAATTACGCCAACATTTTTGGATTGATCATGCAGATGAGACAAGTTGCCGACCACCCCGACCTGATTCTCCGCAAGCACTCTGAAGGAGGTCAAAACATCTTGGTCTGCTGCATTTGTGATGAACCTGCCGAAGAGGCCATCCGGTCACGCTGCCGTCACGAATTCTGCCGTCAATGCGCCAAGTCATATGTGCAGTCATTTGCCGGCGGCGGTGGGGACGCAGATTGTCCAAGATGCCACATTCCTTTGGTCATTGATTGGGATCAACCAGAGATCGAACAAGACGAAGATAATGTCAAGAAATCATCCATCATCAACCGAATCAAAATGGAGGATTGGACCTCTTCGACCAAGATCGAAATGCTTGTTTACGATCTCTACAAACTCCGCAGCAAGAAACAGACGCACAAGAGCATTGTCTTCTCGCAGTTCACATCAATGTTGCAGCTTGTGCAATGGCGACTCCAGAAATCCGGCTTCAGCACCGTCTTGCTCGATGGCAGCATGAGTCCGGCCCAGCGACAGAAGTCGATCGACCATTTCATGAACAACGTCAATGTCGAGGTTTTTCTGGTGTCGCTCAAAGCGGGCGGTGTTGCTCTCAATCTGACTGAAGCTAGCAGAGTCTACATTATTGATCCGTAAGTGTTTTCTTGCCCCTCTCCACTTTCCCTTTCTGTTTCAACCTTGATCTTCCCGTCGACCTTTAACATGTGACTAACTCGGTTACTTTTGTTTCACAGGTGGTGGAATCCCGCTGCTGAATGGCAGTCTGCTGATCGATGCCATCGAATCGGTCAACGCCGTCCATGTGTCATTACACGCCTCGTCATCGAAGACTCGGTCGAGTCCAGAATTGTTTTACTACAGGAAAAGAAGGCCAACATGATCAACGGCACGGTCAACAATGATCAAGTCGCTCTTGACAAGTTGACTCCCGAGGATATGCAGTTTTTATTCCGTGGTGCTTAGACCCGCAGGCTGGTGGGGATGGCAAAGCATGACAGTCAAAGGCCAACTTGGTGGTAAGGGAGCGGACTTGCGTCATGAATGCGACTTACGAGACGACTTTACGAGACGACTTTACGAGACGATCTCTTTTTTTGTTGGCCCCCAAAGGTCAAGGCTGGCTATGGAAGGGAAGGAAGGAAACAAGGGAAGGGAAGGGAAACAAGGGAGGGGTAGGGAAACCACTCAAGGGAAAGGAAGGGTCGGCGCTCTCAATTTTCATTGCTTGCGCACCGTGCTATTCTCCATTCGGGCTTTGCTTTGCTTAGGTAGTCTAGTCGATGGTGACGAGAGGTTTGTACATGTACATCTGAATTATTTTTTTTCCACCGACATTGGCACCGGCATTGGCATTGGTATTGTCATTGGCATCAGGATTGGGGTTGGCATTGGCATTGGCGTCGAAGTCAGGACGGCCAGAGTGCAGACTTGATCGACTGAAGTCGAGTTCGGCCCAGCAGTACGGCAGAAATGCATCTGATAAGTATGCAAGTATGCCATCCCGACTCTCGCGCAGGCATTTGATGCCAATTACCGCAACGCACAGACACACACACGATGTATGAAGTGGAAACGAAAGGAAACGATACGAGCTCAATTGGACGGAAAGGAGAAAAAGAACCAAACCAAACCAAACCAAACCAAACCAATCGAATCGACTTTCGTGACCTGGTCATCAATCAATCTGACATGAGGTCGGAGTCGGAGTCGGAGTCGACAGGACCTAGATGAGATGTGTAGACAGGACCCAGACGAAATGTAGAATGGAAAATGTAAATGTAAAAGTAAAAGTACTACTACTACTACTACTACTACTACTACTACTTCTTTACTGTACGCCCGGGACCACGGAGCATGGCCCAAGACTCAAGCCAGTTGGCAGGATCACTGTACTGTACTGTTGTACTGTTGTACTGTAGATATAGATAGATGTATATACATGTCCACGGGAGAATAGAATATATTATTATATATTGTATAAGTACCGTAGTTCTCAGTTCCAGCTCTCGCCGTTCGACTTCGACCATTGCGATACCTTCGATCTTCGACCTTCGACCTTCGACCTTCGACCTTCGACCTTGGTCATTCATCATTTATCATCTGTCATGTTATTATGTCTTTTCTCTATCTTTTGTGCGGGTGATGGACGGCGCAGCGTTTAGCGGTCGACATGCCCCCTTCTACGAGTAGGTCTTCATCTGTCTGCGTGGTTGATCGAATCCCGGCGGCTTGCTATCGTCGACAACCACCCCCAAAAAACAGCTTGGCTAGATCTAGATCTAGACATCTAGATGCCAACGGATAGAAAACATGGTGAGTGGTAGTACTAGTAGTAATAGTTATAGTAGTATAGTAGTACTATTTACTATGTGTAGTCGTCAGTCCCTGCTCCTCTCGCATCGTAGCTCTATCAGTCAGTCCTGGAGACAATCTAGAAATCAATCTCTGAGTCGTCCATCTCATGAGTCATGGCCATGGCCCGACTGTCGACATCTTGCCCATCCCACCACTCTCTATGAGCCCATGCATTCGTTCAATTGTGGAATGGTACCCGTCATTAATCCATCTGGTTGCAAAGACCTTCTCTTCATCCTCGCCCACCATTGTATCCGTACCCTCACAGCAAAGCAACCAGCTGGCCAAATCAAGCACAGACAGAGGAAAACAAACGAAAAACAGCAATGGGGGCAAACAATCTATAACGGCGGGGTAGGCTCATCAACGACTGGAATGTGTGAGCAAAAGCTGACAGGAAAACTGAAATCATACGCCCACCCAGTGACAAATATTTGCAACTGGAATCCAAACCCCTTGGAAATCCTCCTAGAGGTCAAGCCCAGAAATAACGAGCCAGGGCCAAGGAACGTTTCATAGAAGCAAGCAAGGCGAGTAAGGTAGTATTGTCATCAAAATCGCATCAATGCATCGAGCTGAGTCAGACAAGTCGGCCGTGAGTTTCCCGAGGATATAATCCTCCCCAATTTCTACCAAAGAGTTCGGTCCTGCAAAGGTTTCCATGTTCTATGGCGTTGTCCATCATTGTGGTGAATGGTTCGTCATAGTCGCCAGAATGTGTGTCGTATACCTACGACGTCGGTGGTGCAGATGGTTGCCCTGTTGACCTCGACCCCGAGTCCATGTACATGCCATCCGTAGACTGTGGCGACGAGCCGGCGTGACCAGCCTGTTGTTGTGCCACTAGTTCCCTCGCGTAGAATTCCACAAGCATCGTACCGTAGGCTTCAAGCTCTTCTACCGGCACCGAGAGTCTAAAGTCGTTAAGGAGTAGAAATTGGAGCTCGAGGTTATTGAGCTCGGCCAGTGGAAGCCCTCCGACCTGGAAATAGAGTCAATGCAACAGCCCAAGGTATTAGGTGAGCGAGAGTCCAATGAACCTACCTTGGCATATCTGGAATTTGTGTAAAACACATCCGAAAAGAACTTGCTGGCGCAGGTGACACCGGCAATTATGAGCCGATGAATGTTAAAGCTGTCAACGACGAAGAATTGTGACAGATCAGTAGGGGTGCCGGACGGTGGAGTAGAGGCTGAAGCTTGTGGTGATGGCTGATCTGACTCCTTGGGTGCGCCAAAATCTTCCTGTTCCTGCGGACTGTCCACATTCATGGGCGTGGGCACTGGGGAGCGGGCTGTAGGTGTCGACGACTCAGGAGCGGTCGCAGGCGAATCATTAGCTCGCCTTTGGCCCTGGCCGAGTAACCCTCGATTTACCATCTCCGTCATCCGGTCAAAGTAGACCAACAGGCTCAGAAACACCTCATATGTCGTTGGACAGTACCGGTGAATCCGGCTCAGATAGCTCAAGATCGTTATTCCTGGCACGTTTCGCCCATGGAAAGCTAACACACAAGAGGCGGTGGGGTTCAGATGGCTCTGTTCCTCCGTGAGTGGAATCGGTCGATGATGTTCGTGTTGTCTGTCGTTTGTGGTGGTGATTTTGGTGAGGAGTCCCGCAACCATTTCAATGATGTCTGAGACCGGCATAGAGCTGATCTCATACTGTCTTCCTGAATCCGAGAAGGAGCTCGACGAGCGACCTCCCATTCGAGGACGAGCCAAATATTCTTCGCTGGCGAAACTGCGTATATGCGACAAATCCCGGATTCTTATGCGACTCGGAGAGGTGGCTTCTGAGCCACCCAAAGACCGGGTCGACCGATATGTGGGTTGTAAACGGGGCGAAGGGGGTGAAGCAGCCACCACCACTCGAGGGTCACCGGTCAAGGGAAAGCCGGACTGATCGAACCCTCGAATATGTTGGTTAACGCCCGTGGGGTTTGAGGACGCGTGTTGATGAGATGAGCTTGATTCATCATCGGGAGATTCATGCTGCGTAGGATGCGATGTTGGAGTGGTTGAAGTCTCGGATTCGTTCCGAGAGATAGCAGGACCTGCGTCGGTCGATGCACCAGGCGTGTCCTCGTGCCTTCTCGCTGTTGATGTGGATGCGCTTCTTCCTCTTGATGACTGAGGCACCCTGCCGGAGGCCTCATCTAGATGAGTATTACTGTCGACCATCATGTGGTGGTAGGGGAGTTGACCAAATCCCGGCGCCGGTTGGCTTATCACCAACGAGCCCATCTCAGCCGGTCGCGCAAAATGTCTGTGATAAGACGTGTCAGCATGTCTTCTACGCGTTGATGCCAAAACAGTATTTCTCGCAATGTGATATTCCCAATCCTAAGCATAGCCCAGCGGCTCACCAGTGATGCAATCTCTTGCCTCACGACCAGGTGTCCAAAGCTGCCCTCGGCTTGGATGCAGACGGGAGCGACAGGATGCAGTAGAAGAGGTAGAGCAAGTCGGCCGGACGGATTCGCAGCAGACCGGGCGACTGTTCCTGCAGCACAGATGGCGTAGACGCGCAGGTGGTAGTGGCAATGGCAATTGGCAATGGCGGACTAGGATGGAAGCAAGCATGTGCTGGTGAGCGGTGGGGGAAGAAAAGGCTGGCCACTTACCAAAGACATGCCGTCGTCCGTTTGTTGTCTTGAAGGTCGCCTGGGGCGCTGGTCCAAGACAGCGAGTTCGATACAGGTGCAGAGGAGATGGGAGAGTGAGGCAGGAAACAATGTAGAGGAGCACAAGGTTATGGAGTAGGTGGTAAGGGAGGCAGGCAGTTTAGGAACAACGGGGTGGGTAGGCACAGACCGCGAGGCGAAGAACGAGAATTGGTCGGCGGGGCATGAAGCCTGAGCCTGCGTAGGGGAGCACTGGCAGTTTCATCACTACAGAGTTACTAGCAGGAGGGCAGTGTCCACTGGTAGGCCGTAATTAGGTGACTGGAAGGGAAGGGATAATCGGTTGCCCAACGGGCTCGTCCATGCGGCGCAGGCTGGCGTCATTTTACATGCGGCCAGGTCGCCTAAGGTGCCTAGCACTCAGCAGTACTCCGTCCTGCCCGACTACCTAATATCCTCTGAGCAAGGCTGTGGTTGCATCTCCTGCTCAGCGCTATGTATCTCTAGGTATCTCTAGAATCTACACAGAGTACGGATGGTGCTTCGTACGGCAGATTTTTCCCTTGATCCGTATCTGGGGTTCGCAATTACGCCTCGAATGCACAAGGCTCTTAACATGCCCGTGGTTCGCCCAAGGTGTCTCGACGTTCCCCTGCCCCCGGCAATGCATGATACAATTTGATCCTTGACGCCGCCCATTGTGCCCACGTCCTTTTTCACTTGTACCCGGGTCCTCGGTAATCCTGATCTGGCAGATACAGGTGCCGTTGGGCCCCCTGGGCTGTCAATACCACCAGCCGGATGACGCCACCGGAACTGCCATCCCATTTGATAGCCTCTCTCAGAGCATCCTTTACAAACTGAACACCTTCTTCCTCCGTCATGCCTTCTTTCCAATGTGCATCGCAGAAACCGTATATGTAGGTCGATCCTGAGCCTGCAATAGCATAAGGTCCCTTGTGTAGCGATCCGCCCAGAGGTATCGAGTAGACCTGGCCACCATTTCGCTTGTCATAGCCCGCAATAATGATACCAGCACTGGACAAAGTCAGTCAGATAGCCGGAGCAGGTCGAGTGGGTGGCACGTACCTCAATTGATCCTTGTTGTCGTAGCACAGTTCCTGAAACAGGGCGGCGGCAGTCTGAGTCGTAGGGGGTTCATTATTCATGATGCCGTACATGCCCAGATGGTATTGCACAATATCTGCCACCGCCTGTGTATCGGCTGCGGATCCTGAGCGACAGCACCAGATTGTGTCGTGCACTTGTGTAAGCTTGTCCGTTACTCGGTTCGCAATGTATGCCCCGGTGGTCGTCCGTGAATCCGCTCCAAGGATGACGCCGTCTTTGAAATTGATCGCCATGATTGATGTCCCCAGGTTGACTTCTCCAGACTTGAGGTGGTTCATGTCGATATGTATCCCATCTTCACCTAGCATGCCCGTGCCAGGGCCAATCATGATTGTAGAGCTGCGGGTCAAAACAGGATGGATGTTGCGAGAATCGGCGGAAGCTGTCGGGGGGGTAGGGTCTAAAGCAATTGAGCTGGGAGTGCTGGATCAGCTGTGATGAAGAATAACGACGGTGAGATGGAAGGGAATGGGAGTTGGATATCAACGGGTGCAGGCAAGGCACACCAACGTAAAACGCGTTCTCTCCAAGCCAGGCGTCTAGCCTGCGGCAAAGCGGCTGCGCCAAGCTAGAACCAGAGGCGATTCAGGCTTTTGAACGGGCAACTCTAGTGGTCGACCTCATCCCGCGCCTCTATCGACCTAATCTACGTCTTTGAAAGTCATTCTTTACATGTTGTAGGTGTGCTGGTAACCCCCTCAGTCATTCAGCAGCCCCTTCTTCCTACATGAATCCTGTCCCGGCTGCCTAAGCGCAATGCAGCCACATTCCTTTGGTGTCTGTGCCTGAATTCTGTATGCGTGCTTTCCTCTACGAACGTAACTTGGCCATCCTGGACCTTGAATCATTCATTACCTGTCATCCGCAATCGCCAGCATGGGCTCAATGTTATCGTACCTGCGAGTTCCGCTATTTGCTTCTTCTGGACTCGCTGCTCTAGGAAGCAGTCTGTTATACTTTAAGCAAAACGACATCATCTATCCAGCAAATCTTCCCGCCGGCTCTCGAACGAACGTGCCTAGTCCACACCAGTTCCACATTGATGAAGCCGAATCCATCAAGTTCCCAACCCCCGATGGCGAAACTCTTCACGCCTATCTGTTGCGGCCCCCAACCCCAAGCCTGAAAAAAGACATTACACTAGTCATGTTTCATGGCAATGCTGGCAACGTCGGTCACCGACTCCCTATAGGCAAGGTTCTGTCGGAGAGTTTAGGTTGCCATGTGTTCATGGTCGAGTACAGAGGATACGGTCTGTCCACCGGCTCGCCAGATGAAGGCGGCCTCTCCACTGATGGGCAAACGGCCCTGGATTTTGTCCGGAATCATGAAGAGCTGAGAAAGACAAACATCGTTCTGTACGGACAGAGCTTGGGCGGAGCGGTTGCGGTGAAGGTTTTGCAAGCAAATGAGCAGGTCGGCGATATCGCCGGGGTAATTCTGGAGAACACATTTCTGTCCATTCGAAAGCTGATACCTTCGGTGATGCCGCCGGCCAAGTATATCGCGGCGCTTTGCCATCAACAGTGGAATTCTGAAGAGACCTTGGCCAGGGTCAACGACACAGAGGTCCCCATACTCTTCCTTTCCGGTCTGCAGGACGAGATCGTCCCTCCTTCTATGATGAAGACTCTATACGAGCAATGTCGTACCCGCAAGGTTTGGAAAGAGTTTCCCGGCGGCGACCATAATTCCACCGTGGCAGAGCCAGGATACTTCGACGCCGTTTGGCAATTCCTCGTCCAAGATGTCTTAAGAGGCTCTCGTAAAACGAATCTCGGGATGGCCGATGTCGATGTTGACCGATCCTCGTTGTGGAGCTGAGATGTGAAGCTGAGATGCACGATTCAAAGGCCGACAGCCTTACGATATTCTTTCGGCTTCGTCAACCAGTTCTTCTAAGTTGAATCCCTGATCGCCTTTACTGAACTTCTCCAACAACCCTTGCCGCTTTTCACGGCCGATGCCTCCGCCGTGCCCTTCATAGTCATAGAATCTTTGCAGGCACATCAACAACCACCTGCCTTCTTCCGCGCTGACTCCGCCTCCATCAACGACAGATCCACTTAGCAAGACAAGGCCATGTGAGTCGGCGAGGTCGAGATAGTGTGTTATCGTTGTATGCGGCGGTGCATAGGTTCCATGGAGCTTGTATGCGGCCAAATGCGTGAAAATGACGGTGCTTGTATGGTTATTTGCCGTCTTCGAACCCGGAGTCGGTGACACGCAGGCTGGAGGATGGAATCCCCATTGCATGAAATGGATATCTGCGGCAGAACGCTCGCCTCCCTCGAATCCTTGCGGGGACTGCTTTACATCCCCGCTTCCATCATCAGCAGCCGGGCGTGGGAGTGGAAGAACGAACTGGGGATGGGTTCTGGCAGTGCGGTAAATCCGGTTGTATGTGTCGAGGGGAATAACGGCGCACAGCGAACGCGGGTCACTAGCGTGTCGAAGCCTCCATATGTATTCAACCTCTTTATTTGACAGAGACGCCACCTTCTCTAGATTGAGATAAGAAGACAGTGGCTGAATACCGGGTGCACTGGACTCGGACACTGTAGGTTGTGCGGTAGGCGGCGGGGGCGGGGGCTGCTGGAACGGAGACTGCTTTGTCGTCTGCGAAGGCGAAGGCGAGAGTAGAGGTGAAGGAGAAGCGGGGGTCGACGCTGCCGCTGAAGGAGAGGCCTGGGGCCCTGACGGCAGGACTGAAGCAGACCGCCGAAGTTCTTCGATTTTATCCTTGTAGGCCTCTTTCAGCGAGGACACGGAACCGAGACCCTCTCTTTCACCCAGATGATCAGCTCATCAGCTCACAATATAGTACGGTGTAGACCATCAACCGGCCGCAGCAGTCGAGCCTGGGCAAGAACAGAAAAAATAAGAAATCAATACATGTACTCACTCTTTAGCCTTCCGTTCGAGCTTCTCTCGGTACCGGTCCAAGATGCGTTGTTGATCCCGGTGCGTCGTGACGAAGCGCACGTCGTGGACACGTGCCCAGCGCCGCTGGGCGCGCGAAAGCGTCACGGGCAAGCCCAACGTGCGGCGGATCGCGATGCTCGAGGCTGTGGACATGATGGCGCAGTAGAAGATACTGGAGAACGACGGGAAGAGCTGTGCTCATGTGAAAACTGCATGAAATAGTAAGTACTGTAGGTGCAGTGTGAGGAGCAAGCTCTGCACTCCGATTCGCCCACGACCGAACACTATGGGTACGGTTAGGCATAAGACTGGGTAGGAAACCGGCAAGGCACGTTTCAGAAGACTATGGAACGAGACATATAAAACCAGAACTCTCATCTACAACAACTACTGTAGAGATTGCAAAAATTCGAGAAAGGTGGAATCGTCAGGTTGTATGCCAGTTGGGCAAATGAATTCCGACGGTGGCCAACCCTTGTAGCTTTCCACAATGCACTTGAGCCCGTAGCAAAAACCGTGATTTGTCCCCTGTATACGCCGTCGCTATATGCAGATATTCAGACTGACCCAATTTCTATGATGGTGCTGATGGGCGGTGGCCGACTTGTCCAAACGGCATTGAACTCCAATTTGGAATCACCAACATTCGATCATCTTTTATCTTCCGTTGCTGAAGCTTTTTGCTCCAGGTTGAGATTGAAGCGGGATAGAACTGCTCTCTATATTACCCCGTTAAATCGACCTACTGGTCGGATTGAGACTCCATTCCTAGGAAACGTTCCCCGACATCCCTCTGTGACAATCTGCCAGGTTTCAGAGTCGGAAATAGCCGAGTGTTTGGATCCTGGTGTTGTCTCGAGGATCTATCATAGAATAGCTGGAGGGTGTTCCCGAGCGAAAAGGGTATCTCGCCAGATCCATCATGCCAGAACACCGTCATACTGGAGGGGGTTTGGGGCGTCCTTCCAATAAGCCACTATCCTCAGGATTGCGGGGTCTTGATCAAGACTTAAACAGTGTTCATATTTAAAAACCAGTAACTTTCGTCAGCGGTAGGAATCGGAGGTATCGCGGTAGTGACCAGCAGGAAGATGCTGGCTGGGTGGACGCTGAGTGTGCTTCGCAACTTCTGCAGTAGGAGAGAAGAACAAGCTAGGAACGCTCGAAAAGGATCTAGGTAGTTTGCTTAGGTCCGCCATATCGTGTCCGGATTGTGATGCGGGATCGTTCTTGAGGTCGGGTAGGGGCGTGTAGGTCACATTCCTGCCTGCCTGGGCAGCGTTGGCGTCTCGTTTGAAGCTGCGGTTGATGGACCAGGTCATCAAGATCCTCCAGGCAAATATGAGGACGGCGATAAGTCCCAACACGGCCCCAACCACTATAAAGACGAAGTTTTCTGGCAGTCGCGAGGTCTGTAGGTAAGGGGCACCATCCTTCGGAGGAACGGTGGGAGCGGGATAATTGTAACCGCCGGGAAGGGTCGGTAGTTTGCTGTTGGTAGCCGCGACCATGGTGTATATCTGCAAACGTATCTATGTGGCGGAAAAGACGTGCAAGTGCAGCCCGGTTGTGAGACGCATGGAAAGAGTGACAGGTTGAAGTCGAGTGGAATCGAAGGTTGGAGAGATCCAAGGGCGACGCGAAGGAGAGTCTCGCAGGTTGTCAGTTTGCTTTGTGAGTGGTCCTTGCGCCTATTTTGAGGGATCGACGGGCCCCCGGGTTAACGTGATCAATTGTGGCTTAGGACCTAAGGCTCATGCCTGGAGCCCCTTAGCCCACAGGCGAGGAGATTTTCCCAGGCCTCACTCGGTTAGGCCCGGGCTTAACTGAAGCCTGCGGTCTTACTGCCGTATCCGTTGAACATTTCTTTTCTACATCGAACCACGGTACTCCGACCAGATATCAAGACTGGCCCCAACTTGGCCTTCTCGTATTGGTTTCAAGATGGGCGTTCAGAAAAAGACTCGCAAGTTTGCGCAGGTCAAAAGAATCATCGGCCAACGAGACGCTCGGCTCAAGAAAAATCAAGATGCTGGTATAGCCGAAGAGAAGACGAAGAAGAACGACGAAGAAGTGATCAGAGAGGTGTAAGTCCAGTGCGCATAGAGGAGGGACCTCGCTGATGCTCTATAGGCCTCAAGTCTCCTCTGCTTTATTCTTCCAATACAATACAGCCTTGGTGCCTCCATACCAAGTCCTCGTTGACACCAACTTCCTTTCCCATACTGTGCAGAAAAAACTCGACTTACTACCGACAATGATGGACTGTCTCTACGCAAAATGCATACCTATTATCACGGACTGTGTCATGGCTGAACTCGAAAAGCTGGGGACGAAGTACAGAATAGCCTTGCGCATTGCCAGAGACGAACGCTGGGAGCGACTCAAATGCGGCCACAAAGGCACATATGCCGATGACTGCATCGTGGATAGGGTTGCAAGGCACAAGATCTATATTGTGGCCACCAACGACAGAGATCTCAAGCGCAGAATCCGCAAGATCCCTGGTGTTCCCATCATGAGTGTTGCAAGAGGCAAATATGTGATTGAAAGGCTTCCTGGTGAGTGCCATTTACCGAGTTCAATTCCTGATATGCGGTGGTTTTGGCCTCAGTTCCTATGTTTCGATCTGGCAACACCTTTCCCCAGAGCTGCCCCAGATAACCTCATCATAATCCCGTGCATTTTGGCTAACAAAGTATTCAACCAGATGCGCCTGAAAAATGACCCTGTTCGAGAGCCATGCAATCTCGATAAGGAATTAGCAATTCCTCTAAGCGCGTATTCATGGAAACCGAAGATCGGTATCTCTCGATGGTCAGTTACGCTCTGACCCTCCACACGGTCCACACCGACTCAATCCCCCAAGCAACAAATGCTAGTGACACGGCGCTCACAATACATATGGCGGCAATCACTTTGCGACGCAACTGGAAGGCGTCGTCCATCTCTCGCTTAGCTAATTTGCGCTGGTGGGAATGGTAATATCCGTCCTTGCTGCTAGATCGGCCGAAGATGCTGCCGTAGGTTTGGCGGTCGATGAGAAACAACGATACCAAGAATGAGACGAAGAGTACTGGGGCTATGATCAGCCGAGTCAATAACGGCTCAGGGATTGGAATCGAATCCGACGTTGCTGGTTTGTTTGATGGCATACTGATGTTTGCCGCGTCTGATCGAAATTTCGCACATTGAATCTGCGATGGCTGTGGCTCAAGGGGACTCTGCCGCCTGCCGACGGAAGAGCCTATCCAGGTCTCAAACGATGTGTAAGAAGATGAAATATGGATGCCTGATGAATGCGCCGTGGTTAAAATGGTGATTTGATGGTAAGAGCGGATAGCGGCCTACTCGGAGTGATGTCAGAGGGCCCTTAGACTCGAGGGCTGTGCGACGGCAAGGCAGCAACGATTAAGACGCGACGGTGCGACGCACGAGCGAACAATAGTGCCAATCTTGCCAGATAATTCATGCCCTGAAAGGATTGTTTCTTAAAAACGCCGGCATTGATACCATCGAGGCTTGCGTGAGCAACAGCCGCAGGACCGAGATACGCCTATTGGAGGATTGGTGGCGGCTTGCCCGCTCGAGGCTCTGGACTGACAGATATAATCTATATATCTGGGCTTGCAGCATCGTCGTGAAAATCTCACAAGGATAGAAGAACTCGTAGTAGCACTCTTGTAGGTTCCGCAGAATCGCACAACGCAATGTTGACCATAGATCGCAATGCTATTTTATAACCCAGTTGAGAAACACCAATCTAAGCTCAATCCTCTTCTTTAACTCCTTTATTTTTGCGCGCTTGATGCTGGAACACTGAATGATCACGACACGACCGTCTTGGGTATCGCAGTTGACTCAACCCGTCCGTGAATTCGCAATGTCCAATACCAGGATATCCGTTGCACCTACAGCCGTCAACTCGTCCATGACCGTGGCAATATTCTTCTTCTCCACCATCGAGCTGACTGCGACCCAATCTGGTTCTTCAAGCGCTGTAATTGTAGGAGCCCGCTTCCCAGGGGTAATATGGGTGGCTTCTGCCAGCTTCTCCCGGGGGACATTGTACTGGCACAAGACATATCTCTGCGCCGTGATAACGCCTCGTATTCTTGCGGCGATCAGGTCGACTAGTTTTTCGTTTGACGCCGACTTCGATTTGATCAACACAGCTGTGCTCTCCACCACCGTTTCGATGGCCTTGAGGCCAGCTGCTCTCATGGTCTCCCCGGATTCAACCAGATCAATGATCCCGTCTGCCACTCCCAGCGCACAGGCGGCCTCGACACTGCCGCCGACGAACTTGATTTTCGTCTTTAGTTTTGGAATTGGGCTCGCCGTGCCGCTGATGCTCTCTTTCCGCCCGCCCAGCCCCTCTAGGCGTGCGAAATAGTCCTCCGCCAGCCCAGTGAAACTCGTTACAACGTTCTTGCCAACCAGATCCCCGACTTCCTGGATGCTTCCTTTTTCAGGGACCTGCACTTGCAGTTTACACCGTCCAAAGCCCAGATCCATCACTTCCTCCACGCCGGACTCCTCGCCCAATGCAAGGTGGGCGTCATGTTCGGCGACTTGGTCCCGGCCCGTGATTCCAAGGTCGACTTTGCCTTCACCCACGAATGTCGGAATGTCCGCCGCGGGGAGGAAAATCAGGGCGATCGGATGGTTCTTAACCAGCGCAATATCCAGCCGTGTCTCACGCCGGAACTGAATGTCGGACCCGGATAGCAGGTCGAGGGTTGCCGCTTGCAGTCGCCCCTTCTTGGGTACTGCAAAGAGCAAGCGATCGGAGAGATGGTTGACAAGGTCCATAGTTGTCTGGAAGAATGGTCTGCGACAGTTTTACCTCTCGGACAGTCCTTTTGCCTTTTTTAATATCTCAGCGCTCTACCCTGAATTCCTGGTCGCTGGTCGGCCCCGCCCAGACAAGCGTGAGCGACTCCAAAAGAGCGAATCACCTTGGGGAGCTGCTGCACGCAGAGAAGGAAAAGGACAAATTTCTACGCACAGAAGCAGTCTATGTGCAGAAGAATGGTCTTCACACCAACCAGATTATCCCTCGTATGAGACTTGCAACTTACCATGAGCAATATCCTCCAGCGGCATCGAGGGTTCCCCAATTTGAGTCAGAGCCTTGCACAAAATTTCCTCGGAGGGGCCTGGTCTGGGCTTGGCACCACAAATCTTGGCATGGTCGCCCACATTCCCATTCACTGCAGTCGCCGCTGCCAGTCCCGCGACTGAAATCTGAACCCTGCGCAAGCAATATCTCAGTTCTTCGAATCGCGCCTGTTTCCTCGTCGATACCTCCTACAGCATCTCCCATCTACACGTCGAAGGATCAATTCTTCTGTCGAAACTTGTCAAGATGGATGCTGGAAAGACTCCCGTCAAGCTCGTCAAGGTCACCCGAGTCCTCGGCCGAACAGGTAATTCGCATCTCAGTGGAAAGGCTTGCATCGGAGACGTGTGACTGATTCGTGTTCGTCTTCAAGGTTCTCGAGGTGGTGTCACACAAGTCAGAGTCGAATTCATGGACGACACGAGCCGAAGCATTATCCGAAACGTCAAGGGACCAGGTATGAGAACCCAAAGTCAATAGCGGCTTGAGATAAAAGAATGGACAATGGTGACTGACGAGCGTTCGGCATAAACAGTGAAAGTGGACGACATCTTGTGCCTGCTCGAATCCGAAAGAGAAGCCAGGAGACTGCGATAAAGCATGGGCGACTTTGGGACTTTTTCTTGCAGATTTCGCTTGTGGCTGGGGTAGAGAACTGAGAAATGGAAGAGATTAGAGGATGGCGACACCACGGGCGGATCTTTACGACGCATCAAGGACCCCGTTTCTCTTTGCCAAAAAGCGAGGTTTATCCAGGCTCGCTGTATTCTGCACGCGGGCGTTGGTCTGAGGTTATCAAAACCACAATGGGCCATGATGTCTGAATCGACCGGGATTCCACAAAATCAACAAGACTTTCAGCCACATGACCGTTTCTCGATCGCTGGAATGTTTTCCGGAATGTCGCCATTGCTGTGGTGTTATACTTTTGTTCTTCTCGATTCGACCCCCAAGTCTCGACGTGCATCATGTCCTGCAGCAAGTGTTCGACGTGGCCTGTGCTGTGAGATCTTTCGGTCCGAATGTTCAGCATGCCCTGCTGGCAACTGAGGACCACCTTGAACTCCAACTGTCTCTAAACCCATGAACGCCCGGGGCTGTCCCATTATACCTAGTAGCCCTTGCACGTGAGCCCCAAATCGCGTCTCTCGTACTCTGTATTGTAAGCCCCATTGTGTAACAAGCAGTCTGTCAACATTCCGGGCTGCAGGGTTTCAATCATACGTGTATCTTCAGCCTTGTCCCAAAGCACGAAATCAGTGCCCCTGACCAATCAGAGGCTGTCTTGGCAATGTTGCCGCTTGATGGCTGCGCGGAAGGCTTCAGTCGACGACGTGGCCAGGCTTTAGATGACACTAGAATCCTCTCTAGAAGGTGCATTGAGAGATCGATGACGAACATTCGCTGCCTTGTCGCTAGATAAGTGACTTCAAGTTCTTTCAGTCGGCATGGCACAGCAGTAAAGTCTTCTCTTTACCCGGCATCATCCATCACCGGATCCGATATCGTTCTTTGTAATATACAGCTGTTCGACCCAAACAGCTAGTCGCACTCGACTTACTTCTCGACAAGTCCAAACTCTGAGGCATCTGGTCCTTTGAGGTGGCCTATTTCTCCCAGCCATATTTCCAATGTTCTGGCATCCAACATCTTGAACGCCAACCATGTCCTCCCAACAGGCCCCTCCGGACCCGGAGCGGGAATACAACCTCATTTCGCAGCTCGAGATGCGCATCGCCTCAGCTTCGACAGATGCCAAACTGGAATCGATCCTGCAAAAGTTCCTACCGGCTTTGGTGTTGAAGTTGGCTTCCCCGACGCCCAGAAACCGCAACCTCGCGATCAAAGTGTGCCAGTACATCAACCAACGCCTGAAGATCACGGCGGAGATCAAACTGCCTGTCGGGGCGCTGGTCAAGACGTTCCGAGGCGCGGACAACGCCTTCGTCAGGAGATTCTGTCTCATCTTCATCGAGCAGGGTCTGCCGAGGTTGGACACGTCCGAGGCCAGGGACACCTTGCCTGGGGTATTACAATTCGCTGTACCCACGCGCGAGAGCTACGACGCTAGCGACCGCAAGATGTGGGCAATCGCGTTCGACTTTCTATTCGAGGCGCTACGCAAGTGGGGGAGCTTCCCTGAACGAGGCACCAAGGAAGACCTGGCGCTCAAGGAGACGTTCGCCCTGTCCGAAGTGCAAACCGATCTTCTGGTCAGTCGTCTGTGTGATTTCCTGCTTTACGATCCCAAAGACGTCGGCTCAGCCAGCAATTTGGCGCAAGATGAAGAAGACTTCAAGCCCGTGTTCGACAAGAATTTCAGACGCCGCTCTGAAGTGGTCCTCCCGATCGCCCGGTTCCTGTTCACTTCCATCTTCACCGACCAACAACGCTTCGTCCCGGCGGTCATCATGGCTGTCGACGCCAACACCGCCGCAGCTAGCATGAGCGATGTCATGTTCAAGCAGTGCAATTTTGAGCTCGAGGCCGATGCGACTATCGACTCTCTTTTTGCGTTGTATCGACGCGGCAGAGCGAGGCCGAAAATGCAGACGCGGATCCTGTCCATCCTGTCACGCAGCCAGCAGTCAACCACCCGCACACAAGAAATCATGACAATGGTCGAGACACAGCTACTGAACGCCGGCACATCGGGGGGTTTGGAGGCGGCCAAACTTCGCGCAGCCCTCTTCTCATACCTGACCTGGACTGTGCACGTAGGCCAGAGTCAGCATCTCGGCCAAATCAGCGCGCGGCTTCAGGATCTGTTGAAGGAATACATTGAGATACAAGGCTGGCCGGTGATGAACGAGAACGACCGGTCCGCCGCGGCCGAGGTGGAACTGCGCGCTAAAGCATATGAAAGCATCGGACTGCTGGCGGCGATCAAACACACGCCGAGCACGGCCGAGCCAAGTGCCAATGCCCGCCTGCTTGACCTCATCGTCTGGCTCTTCACCAGTCTGCGCTGTGACACGACCCGGGACATCAAAGGCAGCATTGAAGAAGCCATCGGGCGGGTCATGAACACCGTCGCGGTCGCCGACCTCGATCAAGCATCCACTGCACGGTTGAAAGATCTTCTGCTATGGAACGTGCTTGCGATGCCTGGCCAGGAAGACCCGATCTACTTCCTGCCCACCGTGAACAGCACCAAGTACCCTGCCATTCGGTTCGCCAATAAATGTCTGCCATTCCACGACGTGGATGCACGATTCATCGATGTTCTGGCCCTTACTTCGTCAGACAGAAGAGAGGTTGCAGAAGAAGGCAGCCGAGGCCTCGACCCTTATTGGCATGCGTCCAATGTGCGTATGGCAGGGGCTCTATCTGATGATCAGAGGGATCTGGCTCTACCTGATCTCGCTGCTGTGGTAAATCGCTTCTTCAACTCAGAGCCCGAGCAAATGAAGTGCTACGATAGCCCCAGGGTTTTAGCAGCTGCGGTGACATTCTGCCGGAATGTCTTGATCTGTGTTGCCTTGAAAGACACCCAACCTGCGCCGCAAGAATCGGTGGATTGGAAGCAGGCCATTGATGCGCTGGTCAGCAACGATCGAGACGTCCGGCAGAAGATTCGGGCTCGCTTGCGAACTCTGCCGGTGGCCGTCACCCTACCCCTTATCAACGCGGCTGTGCTCGGGATGGGCAGAGCTTCCGGCGAATGCGCAGACTTGACGCTCGAATTCATGTCACTTGCACCAAACGACCTGATACCCCACGTTCAGAAAGCTGCCCTTGAGGCTGCGTCGCAAATTGCGGCAAAGTCGATCCTACAAAATCGAGCTGCTCGAGTGTTCGGTATCGTATCGTCCTTTGGGAACGAGGCTGAGACTATTGCCAGTGCCGAGTTAAGTGAGAGTCGAGACTGGAAGTCAGCTGTCGGAGAGCACCTGGTCAAAGTCCAAGGTCATATACTTCGGGCTTGTTTCTGCCTCACGAGGAGATCTCTCCGGGGTGGTCTGGACTACTCACACAGCACCTTGCAAGAATTGACGCAGCTTACCTTTAGCATCATCAAAACCTCCACGGATAAGTCTCTCAAGGAGACCGCATACCGCTGTCTGCGGCAGCTCGCCTTGTGCACGCCCCCTGACAAAGGACCACAACCAGATCAAGACTTACTGAACCACCTGATCTCGGATGGAAAGAAAGAGAGTGACACGGCGGTGTCCGCCGCCGGCCCCCTGCTTGCCATCCTAAATACGAGAGGCGCGGAGGCCGAGTCTGAGTTCCAATCATTCTTCAATCGCTTCCTCGGCCTCTCTGAAGTCAGACGGCCAGAGTTCCACTTTGCACTGGGAGAGTCGCTCGCTGTTGCCTCTGCTGGATTCAGTTCATCATCCACCATGACCGAATTTGACGTTGACGCCGACCTGCCGACCTGGGGCATCAGCGAGACATTGACGACGACCATCATTGACAGAGTGATTGAGGAATGCAAGACGACGAAACCCTCGCTGAAGAAGGCCGCAGCGATCTGGCTCCTTTGTATAGTCCAATACTCCGGCGACCTCTCAGCAATCAAAGCAAGACTGCGAGACTGTCAAGCTGCCTTTGCAAGGCTCCTCAACGACCGCGATGAAATCGTGCAGGAAACGGGGTCGCGAGGTCTCAGCGTGGTGTATGAGCGTGGAGATAAACAGCTTCGAGACGATTTGGTACGAGACTTGGTTCAAACCTTCACAGGCAACAATGCAAAATTGTCGGGTACGGTCGATGACGATACCCAGCTATTCGAAGCTGGCGCCCTGCCTACCGAGAAGGGAGAATCCGTGACAACATACAAAGACATTGTCCGTCTCGCCACAGAAATGGGCGATCCCAGTTTGGTGTACAGATTCATGAACCTCGCTTCAAACAATGCCATTTGGAGCAGCCGAGCAGCATTCGGTAGGTTTGGACTAGGTCGCGTCCTCGCCGACTCCACGTATCTCACGGAGAACAGACGGTTCTATCCCAAACTCTTCCGGTATCGATTTGACCCTAATCCCAATGTTCAACGGTCGATGGAGGAGATCTGGCGGGCGCTGGTCAAGGATCCAACCCGGGTGATCACCGAGAATTTCGACCTCATCATGGAGGATCTACTCAAGAGTGTCGTGTCTGGCAAAGAATGGCGGGCTCGAGAAGCCAGCTGTGCTGCGATCGCCGACCTTGTTCAGGGCCGCGATGTCGAAATGTTGGAGAAGTATCTCGATGAGATCTGGAAAGTGGCCTTCAAGGTCCTGGACGATGTCAAGGAAACCGTCCGGGTCGCTGCTATGAAGCTGTGCAGGACACTCACGAGCATGCTGATCCGCAACCTGGAAGTGGGAGAAGGCAATTCCAAACGGTCCGCAACCATGCTCAACCATGCCGTGCCGTTCCTGCTGCAGCAGATGGAAGGCGGAGCAGGAAAAGATGTTCAACAATATGCCGTGGTCACACTGCTTGAAGTGGTCAAGAAGAGTCCCCCCAAGTCCCTGCGCCCTTTTGCGCCGATGGTGTTGGAAACACTGGTGGTTTCCCTCAGCTCGCTTGAGCACGAAAGTATTAACTACCTGCACCTGAACGCCGACAAGTATGGCATGACGGCCGAAAAGCTGGACAAGATGAGGGTTTCAAGCATCAATGCGTCGCCTGTTACCGAAGCCATTGAGCGCTGTTTGGACAGTGTTACGATGCAGCTGCCTCCGGACAACGGAGCCACCGACGCCATGCTGGGGGTGGTGTCCACATCCGAGCATAAAGCAAGTGTCTCACCGATGGAAGATGCGATGCAGAGGTTGGTGAATGCGTACAGGGCGACTATTGGACTTCCGTCAAAAGTCGGACTTAGCAGGGTGATGACCACGCTTGTGGTCCGCCACCCAACCGCCTTTCGACCATACGCCGACAGATTCGTTCAGGTGACCAGGAAACATATTCTCGATCGCAATGCCACCATTAGCATTGCCTTTAGCACCTCCTTGGGGTATCTGATGAGACTGGCTTCTGAAAAGGAAGTCCAAGCCACGAGCAAGTATGCCCAGAAGTTGTATTTCGAATCACAAGAATTGGTCCATCGGGCTGTGGCAGGGGAAATCATTCAAGCAATCTCCAAGGCGGCAAACGACATCTTCATGAATTTTGCTTCCGCGTTCCTCCCATTCGCATTCATTGGACGTCGGGACACGGACAAAGAGGTGAGAGAACGATTCGACGTACCCTGGAAAGAGAACATCGGCGGCTCCCGAGCCATCAACCTCTACCTACCGGAGATAGTCGGATTGATATCGAGCCACATCAAGTCACCTTTGTGGCCCATCAAACACGCTTGCTCTTTGGCAGTGGCTGAACTGGTGGCATCAATGGAGGTCCAGCAGACGTTCAGCGACAGAGAGGCTTCGCTGCTTTGGCCTATAGTGCAGGAAGCCCTAGACGGGAAGACCTGGGACGGCAAGGAAGAAGTCATCAAGGTGTATCCGAAATTTGTCAAGCAGGCTCGGCCGCTCTGGGCGGACTCCAAGACGACCCAACAAATGAAGAAGATCGCAGTTCGGGAGGCAAAAAGGACGAATGTCACATATCGCCCTAACGCGATTGATGCGCTAGGAGAATTCGCGGTCGTCCGAGATGATCTGGACCTGACCCACGAGGTGATCCCCTATTTGGCCGACCTGATGGACGAGTTGACAGACGAGGATGCCATGGACGTCGACGAGGCTAGTGGCAAGTCCTTTGAAAAACGGTGAGACATCTCCACTTGGGCATCAAGTCAGCACTAACCAGGCCCATAGTCGTGCGGTTGAAGCTACTGCGAAGGCGATCGTTTCGTGCTTGTTCAAAGTTTTGGCAACCCACGCGAGTGTCGACGTTCTGGAGCTAGCCATCCGAACTGTGCAAAAGGCGCACGGCCTCCGGTCCAGCAGCCTTGATTCTGCACTATACGACAGCGCCAAATTTTTCGTTCTGAATGCGCTCCAAGAGGAAAAGAAAGCTGGTGTTGGCGGTGAGGTGGAAGGCTGTGATGACAATGACAGGGAAAATGCCTCGACCACGCATGACGCAGATGGCGCAGCTGGCGCAGATGGCGCTGGATCGGCGGCGATGGGGCTGGGCCAGGGGCAGGCTTCGGGGGGCGGCGCGGTGGGAAGAACTGGAACTGGGCGAACGGGCGGCCGCGGGTTTGAGCCATTTGAGCCACTGTTGATGGCGGTGCTCACCGCCGACTCGTCCCGCCAAGCCTCGGAAGTAGAGAGCCAGCGCAGATCACGTGTGGGCCTTGCCCGGGCCCTGGCTGAGCGTGGCGTGCAGGATCGGGCAGCCCTCACGGCGATCCTGGACGGCTGGTTGCAGGCTGAACGGTCCAGACCTCTCCGCGAGGAGATGGAGAGGGCTCGCCAGGCCCTTTTGTGAGGCCCTTCTTTGACAACCCGTCATCAACCGTGGTCTTGGGCCTTCGGATCCCTGCCTCTGATCCCTGCAGAGCACTCCTATCCGAGGGACCCCTGCCCTTCATCGCCTAGCTGTTGGGGACTCTCTTCCGGTGATGAGGGATTCGCTGTGCCGCTTGTCCAGTCCTATGGTATGCCAGATCCCTGCGGCATCCGCAACCATGTGGCATCGATGGTAAGGCTGCATGCAGAGGCGCACAGGCCTGCTTTTCCACTGCTACAATCGTGGAGATGGAGCTGAGTGCTGACTCGTTCTTACCTAACAGTGTTCTTTTGAATTACGCCTACTCTTTGTTTCAAGCATCCTTGGGACAAACAGAGTTCTTTCGTTGGCAAGTGAAGTGGGCCTAGATCCATGCCATTTCTTTTGTGAGGCGTTATGCCGCGTGGTGGTTTGATTCCCCACAAACCCAATCTCGATTTCAATGGAGTAGGATCCTGACCGATTGAGGATACCACGCCCTGGAGTATTTTCGGCTGGACCGAAGGGTTGGGAAAGGGAATGCTCGGCCGTCTGGCCAGAGGGCGAGATGGCCGAGAGTGGGAGTAGGAGTAGTAGTGACGGACAAGTCCTGGCATTGCGGTTACGTGACAGTGACAGGGCAAAGAGTGGTAGCAGCGCAGGCGGTGGACAGGGAAAAGACGCAGGGCGAGATGGGTGGCACAGGGGCCCTAGGCCTAGGCTAATGAACTGGCCAACCAGCGGCCGGCGCCGCCTCTTTCGGTTCAATACGGAGTAACTGATTTTCCGTTCCGTAGCCGACTGCAACTGCGAACTGGGCTGGTCTGCGCTCTGCTCAGCTTCCACCTGGATACACCATCCTGGCATCCACCATCCACCATCCACCATCCACCATTCGATGCCCCAAGGCCATGCCAGTGCCAGTGATGGATTTCACCACTCTCACACCATCCCAGAGTTCCCGCCATCTCCACTCCTGTATCCTGTTCCCATGCTCGCTCCGAGTCTGGCACCGTCCCCCCCTGGTGCGGTATGTATCCGCAGCCATACCTTGATCCATGGCCGGAATACATCCATCTGCCTCTGCCTCTGCCTCTGCCTCTGCCTCTGCCTCTCTTCCGGTGCTCTGTTACTAGCTGCAGATGCGAGCGTTACTCAATGCTGCCTCGCTTCAGCAACCATCTCTGCGGCACTCCAATCAACGGCGACGGCCAGGCTGCTTGGTGTACATATATGACATAGTGGCGCCAACAAGGCCAATTTTTGGATTGACTTACTCATACACACTACATCTTCAGATTCCATCCTGCCATCCTCCACTCTTTCTCGATGCTTCTTTCAGATCTCGTTTCCTTTTCCCCTCCGTGCCACCCGGGTCAATAAGACTGGTCTGGACGCCTGAGTTCTTTCTTTGTGTTAGCCCCCCGTGGAGTACCCTCTCCTATTTCTTCACTGCACGCCGCTGTGCTGCACAGATACAGTACCACTCTCGTCGCAAGCTACCGTGTGAGCCTCGTCTGTGCCCGTTGCCACTTGGCCGGTCGAATCAATCCAAGCGGAATTGTGTTGGGCGGCTAGTGCAGCCCCCGGCGGTCTGACATGTGCCTCTAAGCGGGAGTTCCCTCTTTCCCTCTTCGTTCCCTGGCAGAGCCTCCCCTATGACCTCGACAAACACTACGCTGGTAATGCAGGACGAGAAGCGAGGGGAGTCCTCGAAGAAACAACCAGTGCGGCTACCCATCATTGCGCCCAAGGACGACCAATCTTCCTCGGCTAGCTCCAGCCGCAGCGGCCATCTTGGCCCTAGTGTCCCTCCACGCGCCCGCCTACCTCCCCGGTCACGCACTGGATGCTGGATTTGTCGCACCCGCAAAGTCAAATGTGATGAAGGGAGACCTGTCTGTGGACAGTGTGCTCGTCTAGGTCACACCTGTGACTACAGCCCTCGATTGTCCTTTCGAGATGACACGCCGCGTGTCGTCGAACGCATGCAAGATGTCACCGTGGTCACCAGCTCGGTGTGGGATTGTCAGTTCAAGGTCTGTCAGCCGCCTCGCGCCACAAATTGGCTAACTTTTGCTTTCGCGCAGCCAATTCTCCCGCCCTTACCGACGCCAGCACCGGCTCTGCCGTCGTAGATGACCTGCCGCCATTTACATCACTGACCACCGACGAAGAACGCGAAAAGAAAGCGGAGCGCGCCAGCCCCGGCACGTATAATGTCGTAGTCAACCAAGACAGCTTCCAGCATCTCCCAGAATACAATGATGACCCGGATATCAAGACCGAGGCATTGTCACCATTACGTCGAGGCTCCGTTGCCACATCGTTGGCGAGTAGCATCGGCCGCGACACCGCCGTCGACGGTGCTTCCGTCTCAGGGGACCCCAATGTGGTCGTGTTACCGAGGTTCGAGGACGCTGGCCGACGCAACACGTTCAGTCATTCCAAAGATACCAAGTCACCTCCCTCGCCATCCACCAAACATACCATCATCAAGGCCGAAGAGACCGATGGCGCCATTCTCACCGAAGAACCAGCGTCTATAGAAGACAATCAGCGGATAGGCCAGGATGCTCGCTACCTGAGACAGTTCCGAAATGTGGTTTGGAGACAGTTGGTACCTTTTGAGCGGGAGGCAAGAGACGGCACGATACCTTCGAGCGTGAATGTGTTGGAAACTGCAGCCAGGACCTTCCCACCAGTGAGTCGGGCTCCAACCTGGGCGCTTTGTAACCCTCACAACTAACTTGGTCTCTCTCTAGTTGCACCATGCGATGATGGCCGTGGCGGCTTTAAGTCTGGCTGTGCAAGAAGGGAAGGAAAAACTGGACGCTCTACAACATTATCAGCAAGCTCTGCCTGCGTTACAAAACAGCTTGAAAAGCCCCGACGACCTGTCGTCAGACGGAGCATTTTTGACGCATTTTTTATTGCTGGTCTACGAGGTCAGTCAAGTTCATTCGGGTGAACAAAGTTTCGCTGACCACCAGAGATAGATTGCCGCGGCGGAAGACGGACACTCCAACCTGTGGTCCCCCCATCTTTCCACTCTGTTGCGAATCACCTTGTTACGGCGCGATGTTTTTGGCGGCGAAAGATTTCCCTTTGTTGTCTGGTGGATTTGTAACATTGACTTGGACGCCCTTTTTAGCGGCGCCGGGAGGGGGGAATTTGTCGGGTACATGTTAAACACCGACATTATCCCTCCGCCCAGTTTTCACTTACATCCGTTGGGTCTGGACGGATCCAGCGTGGTTTATGGCCACGAGCTGGACTCTCTCCCGACCATCCTGCAACTCAATTACGAAGTCACGCTCTTGGCCGTGCGCCTGGGCTTTCTTGCGCGCGAATTTCGACAAGACACCACCTTTGACTCGGCCGATCTTCTTCGAAAAAGCCAGGCCACCCGCATACGGCAGACGCGAATTTTCGAGGTGCAGGAAGCCCTTCGACAGTTGTGGGTGACACCGGGAGTGTCGATGGTGGGCCAAAACGCGCCCAATCTTCCGCCCCGACCCAAATTACTGTATGAACATGCGGCGGCCTTGTATCGGGCCTGTATCCTCTACTCTCACACGTCTATGTGGCCGGGGCAACGGCTGGAAACCTCTCCTGACTACGACACGGAAATCGCGGTTGCGTCGAACCAGATTCTTGACCTGACGAGGAAGGCTCTGGCGGAAGATCGGGCCGACTGTCGCTATCTGGTCTTCCCGGTGTTCATGGCGGGATTTTGCAGTCTGGACGGGGCTCAGAGAATGGTGGCACTGGACTTGATCCGCAGCATGGAGAGGATAAGCATTGGACGCAACACGGTCATGACTCGCAAGGCTTTAGCTGCGGTTTATGAGAAACAAAACGAACGATTCATGAATACGGGACAAAGTTTGGATGTGGATTGGATGGAAGTGATGGGAGAAAGAGACCTGAGGGTGGTCAACTTTGGCGTGTGATTTGATTTAATCGGATTGAACCAGTTGCAATCCCTCAACCGTCTTGGGTGACGGTCTACGTTGTTGGCATTGCCAATGCCTTTTTCCGCCCTGATCTCGCAATCCCCTGCTAGGGATTCTGTTGGTGGCGATGAAGTCATGACTTTTGTTTTTGCTGTTTGATCTGTGTTTCAGGCGAGCGAGCATATCAGGGAGGCCGGGGGGGTTTTTGGCCGACATCTGGCCATGTGTTTGGGAGGAGATCTACGTGTCTCGGTTGATGGAGCCGCCCACAACAAAGAATGGGGAATTGGGAATAGGTAGGCTCTCAACCGAGATGGGGTTGTTTGGTTTTTTACACTAGTACCAGAAGGCCCACAGCTTGAGGAAAACCAGAAAGACTTGACAGACTTTGGTCGACTGTTGACGATATGTGTTAAGCTCTGGCGTTGGGTTGGGTTGCGTGTACGTCCGTACTGTACGGAGTACGCCGTAGCACCAGCACCTGGCCGACCCCTAAACCGTCGGGACTAGACGGGCACAGCCACAGCCATTGCTCGCGTGGGCACTGGATATTAGGTAGGTAGATAATGAGGCAGTATGGATACTATAGTAATTACGGAGTACGGATAGGTAAGGTATACACATAATATGTAGCCTGTACTCCGCTAGCATCTGTCTGCACGGATACTCCGGAAGGCGTAAGGTGGCGAGAGGGAGCCCCGAGATCTCACTCGGGCATCATCTGTAGTCTTTTCTTCAATATTACGGCATTATGGCCGAGATGCGAAGCGAGGCCGTAGCGCAGGGTATCGTACAGATAGCTAACCTACTCCATTCCATAAAGCTACCTAGTACTTGGCTGAATGAATATAGGAGTCAGGACTGAGTTGAGGGATCTAGTACTCCGTACATTTTTACGGCCGAGACCATGCACCACCGTATATACTGTACACTGTATACTAACTACACTACTTTGTCCAGCGTATACTACTTACTGTACCGGTAATCGGGACGGAGATGGAGATGGGAGGTGGCACTATACTAAGGTATTTACTGTATCTACTGTCCTTGTATATCTCTGATTCTATATACAGATGGAATGATTATGGCACCACCGGCGCCACACCAAGCAAGTACGGTATGGTTTAGGCCCATATAATACCTTAGTTACCTCCTGGCACGGGCCTAATAGTAGGTAGGCGGTAGTAAGACATACTAGTAGCAGCTTACTACTACTACCTACCTAGGTACCTACCTAGGCCCGTGCCAGGAGGTGACTAGGTCAGTATATGGTAGTTGTGAGGGTGAAGGTGAGTGGCCGACTTCTAATTAGCACTACTACCTTGGGTTAGGTAGCTAGTACCAGGTACCAGGTAGGTACGGATACTGTGACTAGGTATCTGTATCTGCTTGTAGCCGTGCCTATGTACCTAAGGTATGTACTCTCTCTGTACGGAGCACGACATAGGTATATAGTGCTTGGACAGTAGTAGTTGTTTAATTGGTGGTTTGGTAGTTATGGAGGTACTACCGTGGTCAGGTGCCTGGCGAGGCTGGATTCGAATTCAGGATACTCATTCAGATACTACTCTACTCTGTAGGTATTCCGTACTTCGTACAGATACTAGACTGGACTGGGCTGGACTTAGGTATATCCCTATACTGTACACCCGTACGGTACTTAGGAGGACCTTGCCGTATGGTACGCAGATAGATACTGGTAGGTCGACTTTCTGCAGCAGCTGAAGGGCAGAGAAGAAGAAAGAAAACGGAAACGAAAAAGAGAAAACAGAGAAGAAGCAAGAAAAAGGAGAAAGAAAAAGCAGCAGGGGATAGGGAAAAGGGAAAGTAGAGAGAGAATACATCGTGGTGCTAGTGGGTGATTGTTAATCCCTCACAGTGAGGCTGGAAATCTATCTGTATCTGGAACCAGGGGCAAGGTCGGTCTAGGTCTGCAGGTACACACTCGGGCAGTATCTCCGGAAATAGATTCCGTATGTAACGTACCATTATCTACCAGGGACCATGGGTACCTGTAGAGATCAGGTCCATGATCATCTAGATTGAAGCCAGATGTACAATGGAGACTCTTTAGTATGTACTCCGTACGGTGCGGTGTGCCAGTATCCCGTAATCAATTAATTACAGTAATTAGTATCTTGATACAAAAGGACATCGGAGGGCGCCGCGACCACCGCCGGGGTTTCGCCGGCGCTTGGGGCCTGGAAGGGGCTTAAGGCTCAAAGGCTTCTACTCCGTATTGTAAGTCCCAAGGCCCGCAGAAAAGTTACGGAGCATCGGTACGGAGTACTTCGGTAACATCTCCGAACCGTGGGACATGTTACGGTGTACGGAGTACGGATAGTCTCCCGCTAGTTGAGGTTGGTACTTCGTAGTCTGTAGCTGGACCGTGTGTGGTTCAGCTGCCATGCACAGTACGTTGAGCGAGAAAAAGAAAAGAAAAGAAAGAAAAGAAAGAAACAGAGAAATCACTCAGCCACTCAGCCACTCAGCCACTCAGCCACTTATTAGCTGGACAGGGGTCGAGCAAGCTGAATCTAGATTTACCCGGCTAAGGCTACCGAGACAGTCAATCAGCCAATCATCGCTGATGACCACACCGCCATTGATAATTGGCTGATCTCGCCCGACGCCGACCAGGACAGGCCTCAGTCGGCAATTGAAGGGGCGGGCAGCTGACTGGCTGTAGGGACGGTAAAAGGTATCTCGCAACAGGGGTGTGTATTTCTCCTGTAGGGACTAGGTCTACTAGGTCTACTAGGTAGGTTCAAGGTTGTACTCGTAGGTGTGTATGGTACGGAGTAGGTGGGCAGCAACAGCAAGCAGGGTTTCATCCGAGGGAGGGCAGGTTGTATGTGCCTACCTTGTACGGAGTAGTCTGTGTAGAGTGCCCCAGAAAAAGAAAGAACTATTATCACGTCTGGTCGTGGTGAGTAGCAGATCGTGGGGTTGGTGTTTGAAATTGCACCGGCAAAACTGAGCAGGCCCTGGATGTTGACTAGACCCTCCAAATGATGGCAACTTTAACGGGAATGATGGACGTGTCGATCAAGGTTCTGTCTGCGAGGGTCAGTCTGTTCTCTAAGCGCGTCGAATAACTGGACGAATAACTGGACGAATAACTGGATGAGATGCGACAGGAAGCGATCTACAATCTGGTTGTTGAAGTGAGTCAAAACATTCAAGCTGGTTTTGAAAGACACAGGTCTATACTAGTAGGACGGAGTACACCTGTTAGGTGCCTGTAGGCAGGTGGTAGGTGCCTGGTAGTTGGGCCACCTGGGCCAAGACTCAAGGAGCCTCACGTGACAAGAGACAGAAGAATCACACCTATATATATTTGAAAGCCTCAAATTTAATCGTGGTTTAACACCCACAATGTAAGTGGCTACTTTCACGCATTTTTGGCCGAGCCTTTACTAACATTTCATAGTGGTCAATTTGAAACGATACAGAGAAGATTAGCATGGCCCCTGCACTAAGGATGACACGCTTCTCAAAGAGTACATCAAGTTTTTTTGACCATTGTAGGTCAGCAGTTCATCTGAGAGGCCTTTTTAGACAAGTTAATTTTTGTAGTGGCAAAACTATTGCCTAGATTTGTGCGCCGTACTAGGTCCTATTACGGTGGAGGAGCCTTGGCAGATTCAGCGCAGATTCACTTGTCGCTAGAAAGAAGTCATGCACCAGAGATCACTCCATGCACATGGATGCTGGGGCAGAGACACCAGCTCCCTTAATGGATAGGGCAGCCAGCCTCTGATATTAGACGTCAGTATAATGTGTTCTAGAAGAGGAATTTTCCAAGTCCATGCCTTCTAATTGGGTGGTGCCAACCTTATTTGGGACTAGCATAGCCTTGCAGCGGGAAATACCCGAATGGTGCTCCTCAATCTCTACTTCAACATTAATCCTGTCCTGTAATCCGTATCAATACAGTGCTCTGAATTGGTTTGTTGAATATACACATCAGACGCGATGTGCGTACGATCCAGCGAACAAAGAGGAGTGCTGTTTGCCCTTGGACTGAACGTGCCAAAGATCAGAAGTCAACATCCACACCAGGTTCGTGCCAACTGCCAACCAACAGCCACAGCCAACAGGACGGAATTCAAGGGACTCCTCAGCCACGGTCAAGATGTTACAATGAGATTGGCGTTCGTCGGTCTGATTCCTTTCTGTCCGGCCATCTGTGTGCAGCATCCTTTGTCGTGGTCCAGGGCGCCATGCTCAGATGGTTTTTGTGCTCTAGGGTACAATTAGTGCCCTGTAGCTGATCAGGGCTTTGTCGCGACTCATGGCCACTCCATACGACAAGACCACTAGGTACTCAGTCATTGGGAAGCTGCAAATCACAATACCGTCGTTGCCTCCCAGTTCCTTTCCATTCCACTCAGTTGGCTGTTTTCTTGAACCGGTGGTGTTTACTGTCGACCTCTAGCACATCACGCCTAGTTCTAGGAGGCCAAACAGAATGGAAGGTCTTGCACGCCGAAGCCAAGCCAGGGGATCAAGTCGTTTTCTTCTATTGCTGTTGTTGTCGTCACCATTAAGTCAAACCTTTATTGCGAAGCATTGTGACCGAGCTCACGCCTCTGACCGCGAGGCTGGACCCCTATTACTACCGACTCTTTCAGCCAAGCGGCTGGGCTCCCATTACTGCCAACTCTTTCAGCCACGCGGCTGGACTCCTATTACTACCAACTCTTTCAGCCACGCGGCTGGCTCCCATTAACCATGCGGCATCCTTTCACATGTATAGCCAGCGCGAAGAAGTTCACTCGGTGCATCCAGACCCGCATATATTGCACTCGGTGCGTCCAGACCCGCATATATTGTTTGAAACATCACTGAACGCAGGCCCGTCTGCGTTGCTGATGACCGATGCAGAACGCAAGCCTGTTCGGTGACGGTGACGGTGACCCTGCCGTTGCCTGCTCTCCCTACGACTATATAAGAGTCTCTATCCATCTATCATCTAGATATCTACCCCTTTCCCTTTACACCATTTCCGATTTCCGATTCCGTTTCCCTGCCTCTCCACTCCTTACTCTCCACTCTCCAGATCCACAGCTAGCTACCTGAGGCTGCCAGCATGAGTTGGATCGCCGAGACCGCCGCGGCCCTGACTCGCATCTACGTCCTCTTCGTCGAACTCGACTACGTCCGCGCCAGCGATCTGCGCATGGCACCTCACTCTGCTCAAGAACTCGACGTCGATCGATGCCGCCACCTGGGCTTGAGCGAGGCTGCCATCGTCTTCCTCAAGCAGATCCCATGGGCGGCGGCCGGCTCGGGCGATCTGATCAAGAACTCTGAGATGATCGACTTCTCCGAAGCCTACAGCCTCGCCGCGGCCCAACGTCCTACCATTACCGGAAACTCTGTCCTAGTAGAGCATGGTGCGCGCACACGGTTGGATCCATCAATGTTGTCCTTGACCTTCTGTGGAGACCAGGGCCATGCTTTGGTTGTCGACACCGTCCGAGGTAGGCGCCGAATGATTCTTTCTGAGAATTTGGACGTTTTTCTTTCGCTTGGAGCAGGCATAGAGCTAACCGCGCCGTTTCTCCTGTTTTATTAGGCAGTATTCGCAAATGGGACGGCACCGGCGACGTGATGGCCTCGCAAGAGTATCCTGCACGCAGTTTCTTGGACGACATCTACGCCAGCTATCTCAGCCTCGCCGAGATCCCCTACGAGCTTGAAATCCTGCAGCCCACCATCGACCCGGTCTACAGTGTCCCTGCAGCGGACGGATCGCCGGTAAGTGAAGTGATGTACTCCGTACAACCTGCGCAACTCGTACCAGTTTCTTCTCCTTCTCCTTCTCCTTCTCCTTCTCCTTCTCCTTCTCTCCACGGGTATAATACCATGCTAACTAAGCTGTTCTTCATAGCGATGGGTAGTCAACACCAAGTATGTCTTGGTCAAGGCGGCAGCGACGGAGCATGGATGGCCACACAACTTCTCCAAGGCGGATTTCAAGCGCAAGGCGGCCAGATATCTCTACGTCATGGAGGGAGATGATGATGATCATGGTTCTCTGGACGAGCAATAGAACTCCTCGTCAGAGAGCCGATTCGAACACGACGAGCAGCTTCCCAACGGCATCATTTGATGGGATGGCTTGCTTTTTTGGTCTACGAGGGCTGCTTACTTGGGCCTGATCAGGCAAGGCTAAGCATTTGCAAGGCTAGGCATTTGCATTTTCATTTTCATTTTCAAAGGCGAACAATGAGGCCACCAGCATTAGCACTAGCACTAGCATGGGCATAGACTACTAGGACATACAATGGTCACAATGCACAGCACACAAGGTGTTCTCTTGCACTGGCATCATTCACTATTATTTACGTTATTGGTTTTCCAGTTCCCATTATTATTATTATCATTATCATCACGGCGATCTCCAGAGACATCGATCTAGTCTCGACAGGAATTTGCAGGTGGCCGCCACGATATAGTTGACAGGATATCTAGGAGAGGAATCACAGGTGGCCGCCACGACATAGTCGACAGGATATCCAGGAGAGGAATCACCACGTGTTGCGTGTGCTGGCTAACCTATATTCACGACCACAGCGGTCGTCTCAAGGACAATTGCGATTCATTGACTAACTACTGTAACTTATAGGGCACGCGCCCTGATGTCTAACGCAGACAGTTTTGGGTTGGTCTCACTGCCTTAGAGTTTGGGGGTTGGGTTGGTCTCACTGGAGTTTCCAGGTGGGCGGGATCAAGTCGTGCAAGACATGATTTGGATGCAAGGGATAGACTGCTGTCGGGGTCATTTGCAGGGCAGAAGAGCGACTTCCTTATGGTTCTAGAGTCAGATGCAGCAGCAGCAGGGGCTCTAAATCCGCATCCGCCAGATGACCAAGATGGTGCTTTTGATTCAAGAATCCGTATCTAGTTGACCAAGATGTGCTTTGATTCAAGAATCCCCATAGAACTGACCAAGATGTGCTTTGATTCAAGAACCCCCATCCAGCTGACCAAAATGTGCTTTGATTCAAATCCCCATACAACTACTTGCCATCCAGGTCTAGATCTTCAGGATCGAACTTTCGCAGGGAAAGAAAGCGCAGCTGCCGCATCATCACATGACCGGTGGTCGCTGGAAAATAAAATAGGGGGCTATATTTTATTGTTTCAGAATTATTGTTGCCCATTGTGGTAGGGTTGGTAACCTAGTGGTACGACCACAGCTCTTGGATACGCCTTCGGCACTAATTAGAGGATTGCGGTCTTCTGCCTTGAGTGGTTATCCGTTCCTTTAGGGTTCGGCTCTTCAGTCCATACCTATAAATTCGAACTTCGTTTTTTGTCCTTTTCTTTTTTGGCACTTTTCTTCCCTTATTGTTTTTGCCCGCGAAGATTGTGTGCCCGGCGGTGAAGTAGATTCGGGGCATGGCTTGGCGACAAAAGTTCATAATTTGGCGAGTAACTGTCTTTCATCCTGAACGGAGCGCCTACTTGTAGTACCAGTACCAGAGCTTTCAGTCAAGATCCATGTCTTGGCGCATTCAATAAAGCTGTCGATCTGCTCGATGGTGTTTCCCGAGTGCAGACACACTCTCACTCGCTCGGTGCCCTGGGGCACAGTTGGAGCGACGACCGGGCGCACGATAAAGCCGGCGGCTTGGCAGTGCGAGGCCAAAGACCTGGGATGGCCACTCATCAGGGCGAATATGGGAGATTCCGGACACGCGGTGGGAAGCACGACCAGCGGCACCCCAGACTCATCAGTGGCTTCCGAGGCCAGCGTGGTCAGGGTCAAAAGCCGGGTGTAAAAATGGTTGATCAGACGGAAGAGGTTTGCTGCCAGCTAAAAAGAAACCGGAAATGTCAGCATCTGCCTCTGCATCTGTATCTGAGGCAACAGCCACCACTAAACGCCTTACCATGTTGACTTTGCCCATTTGCAGCCAAGTATATGCGGTTTTGATGGCGACGAGGTTGGGGTAGGACATGAAAGTGGTGTAGATCAACGGCCGGGCGTAGTTGATGAGATAGAGGCGGATGACGGGAGAGCAAAGGATGATGGCTAGCCAAAATAGTCAGTGGGATTTGCTGACAGGACGAAATCCAAGCCCCCAAGGGAAAGGCGTCAAGGTTCAACTTACCGCCGTTGGATGCGAGAGCCTTGCCAAAGGTATGGAGACGGATGGACACGCGCTTTTCCAGGCCGAGCTCACAGACCCTTCCTGACCCGTTGGGCCCGTAGATGCCTGTGGCATGAGCCTCGTCGACGACCAGGTGGGCATTGTGGGCCGGGAACATGGCCTCCAACAGCTCGACAATCTCGGTCAACGGGGCCAGATCTCCATCCATGCTGTACACGGTCTCGACGGCGACAAAGACGGTTCGATGTGCGCTGGCAGGGGAGGCCAGGCGGGCCAGGACGCGCTTCAGGTCCGTCACGTCGTTGTGTCGGAAGGGGATCTGGTCCTTGGCTCGGCACTGCTTCATGCCGTCGTGGACACTGGCGTGGATGAGTTCGTCGTAGACAACCACATCGCCCTTCTGCGGAAGGAAGGTGAAAAGGCTGACGTTGGCGTCGTAGCCCGAGTTGGTCAGTAGTCCGGCCGGGGCGCCGTGGAAGGCTGCAATCTCGCGTTCGAGGCTCTCGGCGTACTGCGAATTGCCATCCAGAAGTCGGGATCCCGTCGAGCCTAGAGGGGTGTGGCTCTGGTTGAGGCTGGCCAGGTACTCGTGCTGGAAGTCCCGGTTGGTCGACAAGGAGAGGAAATCATTGGACGAGAAGTCGACCGACCCGGCCGGACTGGACTTGAGGCTTCGCAGTCGGGACTGAGCCCGCCGTTTCTCCAGCAGCGTGGCCAGCCGGTCTTCCAGCGGACTGGGAGACATGTCCTGCTGCTGCTGCGCCTGAGAGACGGGAGAGAGCTCCAGTTCAAGTTCGATTCCTCACGCTCCCACTCATGCTTATACTCACGCTCATGCTCATGCTTATGCTGGGAACTTTGTACTTTGTTGAGTCGACGTTCCCAGCGGAAACCGAGACAAACCGCTAGAGAAGAAAATATCCAAAGAGGCAACTCGGGCGAGAAGCCTCGGCACAATGTCCAATCGGAAGCACGCAAATGGCGGAAGTCAGGGGCTTAGCGGCTGGGCACGGATAAAAATGCTACTAATGACTAATCGGGGTCGCAGCTCAACTGCGGGAAAAGGCAGCAGGGCAGACAGACGCAGTCGAGGTTCTGTACACCATACACCACCATCACATCACATCACATCGTGTGTGTGCGTGTGCCTGTGTGTCTTCCTCGCCCGGAATGCTGTGGCGGGACTTGAAGGCATGGCAGGTCTACGGCGCCAACACGGACGTCGGCAAGACCATCGTCTCGACCATCTTATGCCGGGTACTGCAACGTCGTGCGCCCCCCAACGGGCTGCTGTACCTCAAGCCCGTCTCGACCGGGCCTCAAGCAGAGGCTGATGACAGGTGAGTGCCGCAGCAGCAACAGCAACACCCGACACCACGTCCGCTCTACCTTCTGCCTGGGGTGTACTGTGCAACACAGTCTGACCTCCAGGGAACAGACATATCACACGATACGTGCCGGGCATCAAGTCCCGATGTATTTCGCAGTTCTCGCAGCCTCTGAGTCCGCATCTGGCAGCACAGCTTGACGGACCTAGTTCGGTATTGTTGGCCCCCCTGCTGTAACAAACAGAACATAACCATACCACGATTGGACGCATGCTGAACAACACGCGAACCTAGATTCCGACCTCCGACGCCTCCATCGTAGCCCAGGTCAAAGACCTCCTCAGCCAACACAGCCAGGCGGGCGGAAGATATGCCGTCCTCGAGACCGCGGGCGGAGTGCTGTCTCCCGCCCCGTCCGGCTCGGTGCAGGCAGATCTGTACCGGCCCCTGAGACTGCCCACGCTTCTCGTGGGAGACAGTAAGCTGGGAGGCATCAGCACCACCGTGGCGGCGTTCGAATCCCTGCACGTGCGAGGCTACGATCTCGACTCGGTCGTCCTGTTCGACGACCCGAAATGGGCCAACCACGGCTATCTCGAAGCCCACTTTGCCAGGCACGGCATCCCGACCCTGGCGCTGCCTCCGCCGCCCGCCCGGCGCGACGACCCCAAGGACGATGAGGCGGTGCTGGCAGACTACTACCAAGCCTGCTCCGAGTCGGCCAGCCTGACCGACCTGGTCGACTCGCTGCAACGGCGGCATTTCGCCCGCGTGTCCAAACTCACCTCGATGCCTTCGCAGGCCGAAGCGGTCATCTGGCATCCGTTCCGCCAGCACGGCATCCCGCACAACATCATCGCCATCGACTCGGCCTACGGCGACCACTTCCAGGCCTACAATCAGGAATCCGACTTGGGCTTGGGCACGCCGACGGCCTCGGCCCTCACGGGTCTGACTCCTTTGGCGGCCCAACCGCCCGCCAAACCGCTCCTGACCCCGTTGTTCGACGCCTCGGCTTCCTGGTGGACTCAAGGCCTCGGCCATGGCAACCCTGAACTCGCCCTCACCGCGGCCCATGCCGCCGGGCGGTACGGACACGTTATGTTTGCCCATGCCGTGCACGAGCCTGCGCTGGATATTGCGTATAACCTGCTCTCGACGCTCCAGAATCCGCGGCTGGGCCGGGTCTTCTTCAGCGACAACGGCAGTACCGGCATGGAAGTGGCGGTCAAGATGGCCCTGCGCGCATCCTCCCAGCGCTACGGATGGAACAAAGACGACGACCGGGGCCAGACCCCCGTGGCCATCTTGGGCCTGAAGGGCAGCTACCACGGCGACACCATTGGCGTCATGAACTGCTCCGAGCCCAACGTGTACAACGAGAAGGTCGACTGGCACCAGCCGTGGGGCCACTGGTTCGACCCCCCGACCCTGCTGTTGCGCAACGGCGTGTGGGAACTCTCGCTGCCCGACGAGATGCGCCCGGCCTGCGCGGTCCAGAAATTCCCCTCCCTCGACGCCCTGTTCGATTTCCCCGCCCGCGCCGACGACGCCGCCCGCTACGAGGAACACATCAAGACCACGCTCGACACCCTCGTGCGCCACCAAGGACGCCGCTTCGGCGCCCTGATCCTCGAACCCTTGCTCATGGGCGCCGGCGGCATGTTCTTCGTCGACCCTCTGTTTCAACGCTCCTTGATCACCGTGGTCCGGTCGAATCCCGAGCTCGTCGGATCCACCATCCACCCCGGCAGCCAAGGGGAAGGGGAAAGCAAAACAAAAAGGGAACCAAACAACCAAGACTGGTCAGGTCTGCCCGTCATCGCCGACGAGGTCTTCACCGGCCTGTACCGCCTCGGGCGCGCGAGCTCGTCTTCTTTCCTCGCTTCCCCCACGGATGTCGTACCCTCCACTTCCACCTCCACACAGCAATCCACGTCTCAGCTCCAACCTCAACCTCAACCTCCTCTCCCCGCCGCCATTGCCCCCGACATTTCCGTCCACGCCAAGCTCCTGACCGCAGGCTTGCTCCCACTCGCCTTGACCACTGCCAGCGAAGCCATCTTCCAGACCTTCCTGTCCTCCTCCAAGACGGACGCTCTGCTCCACGGCCACAGCTACACCGCCCACCCGATCGGCTGCATGGTCGCGAACAAGGCTCTGGATGAGTATCGGCGCATGGACACCGACGGGTCGTGGGATGGATTCCGACACTCTTGGCCCTCATCCTCGCCGTCCGAGTCCGACCCATCGTCCTCGACCCCGCCTTCCGCCAATGTCTACTCCTTCTGGCCTCTGCCTTTTGTCACCGCCCTGTCACACCATCCCCGCCTCCGTGGCTGTTTCGCCCTCGGCACCGTCTTGGTCCTCAAATTGGCTTCCGAGGGCTCCGGTTACACCTCGACCGCGACCTCCTCCCTACAGTCACGCCTCCTCACCCTTCTCGACTCCGATGGCTGTGGCATTCATTCCCGCGTCTTGGGCGACATCATCTATTTCATGACGAGTTTGACCACCACCCAAAAGCAGGTGGAGAGGCTGACGAAAACCATCATGGAAGCTTTGAATGAGGAGTGATTCCCCGTTCGGTCAACAAGGCAAGGGATAGATCAACCTGTTATGCTCTGTAACCAAGCAAGACGGACAAGGGAAAAGTCCTGGATCTAGAATCGTGTGAATAAAAGTTTGGATACGATACTGTATGTACCTAGACTGGTGCGCATGTAGCCAGAGAGTAATTTGATAGGTAGGATCTCTCGCACACAATCTAGCTTCGTCCTACCACCTTGTTGCTGGCAGCATCGCCCAGAACCTCGATCGAAGAATCCCAGTGCGTGATTCTTCCATGAAATGGGTCGTCAGGTAAAAAGAGCAAGCATTGCTCCCTGTGACTGGCCCAGCCGATCAACAGCGTCTACTTCCGTATCCGCCTGCTTCCATGCCATTGACATTCAGATGCTCGAATCGCCGTGCACGCCCGCCCATTTCACCTGAATACGTCGAGGAGCTTTGCCCTGGGGGGTGTTCTCTTCACAACGCTGTGGAGAAGCTTCTTCGGTGTCGCTCTTCACCTCATCATGAACCTCGTAGACAAGACCATTGTCTCCCACGTATCTCACCCTCTTCTGGAAGTTGCTAGGCGAGTAGATGTGGCGCAGTTCGGCACGGCCACTTCGATAGAAAGTCCAGAGCGAGAAGCCTCCCCCTTCCGAGTCAACCGCCAGACCATCAACCAAGTCCTCTTCAACGCGCGTGATGATAGCACCGGTTATGCTGATATATCTGTTGGCTGAGTCATGGCCCGTCGACCTTGTGGGACGTGTGTGAGTCTGCGAATCCATCTCGTCCCAAGCGTCAGGTGTGGTTTGCAGCGCTTGAATCTGCTGGAATGTGTCCGAGGGGACGTTGTAGAGCACCACATGTCCATCGGCGTGGAAGGCGACAACACGCAGGCCCCATTCAAGGGCCTGTCCAGCAGAGTAGAGCAGTGGCATGCTTCCGTCTCCTCCCTCATTCGTCGGTGGAGGTGAAAACATGACCTTCCGGATGAGCTTTGTCGGTCCTCCAGACGGGCCATCGCTACCCAGGCACAGAAGCCCAGTCGAAGGATCAGTAAAGAGTAGGTGTGAGCCGTCACTGATCGGGACTGCACGGAAATGATCGCAATCGACGGTCCTCAAGCCTCCTCGTGCTTCGTCTCCTTCTACCGGTGGCTCGAAATCGGACGAGCTTCCAGGGGGGCCTTTTGACTCGGGAAAGGGTAAGTTGCCAAAAAATAGTCTTGTCAAGCTCTGGCGGCGTCCGTGTGCGGCAGATGCGGGCGAGTATTTCCATGTTGTGGGTAGACCATCGCTCCTGCGCGGCGGGGCCGCTAACGGACCTGCAGCGCTCGATATCAGCCTCAACTTCTTCCTGGAGTCAATCCCAGGCCGCTGAGGCAAGAAGTACAAATGGTCGCTCGGGGCGGCGAGCGGAAACCAGCGGTTGAGGTCACCTCCAGTGAGGGCGTCGACCCAGTGTAGCTCGATGCCCAGTCGACAACCGAACGCAACACACTTTCGATTAGGGCAGATGGCCACGCTTCGCGGAAGATCGTCTGAGCTGCCAAGGTCGGTATATATTGCTGTTGGCCGAGTCTGGATCGGTATCCTCACACCAGCATACTCGTCATCCGAGTCGTCTGTGGAGTTGCTGCTTTGTGTGTTGTCCTGTCCAGAGAAGTGCTCGTCCTACAAGAATGGTGGACTAGGAACGAAACCCAGTGACGAAGTGCTGCTCAACATGGCCAGAGGTGAAACCTCAGAGTCAGCAGCATCCGCCGCGAGCAATTCACCGGATCGCATGGGTAGATTAAAGGCAAGTGGGTTTGGGACCGGGATCCTGGCCGAACTTTGGATGTCGGTTTGCAATCCCAAATTGAGCGGTTCGCCTGGGCCATTGCGACGACGTGTGTCTGCTGGACCTCTGCTGATATCCCATAGCATGCCTATGCGGCATTCAAGGAGAGCCGCGATAGAGTATCTGTCCGAGCGAGTGTCCATACTGACCTCCAGAACCTGAATACCAGGGGCCAGTCGAACGACCGGGAGTATGGTTTGATCGGTGTCCCACAGTCGATAGACCAAAATATCGCCGCCAGTCACAACGACGACAAACTTTCCGCACGCTGAAACGGTAAAGACACGTCTGGTCGGTGTCAACTCCTTGTCCAGGATTCTCGAAAAGTCAACGTCCTCGACGATGGAAAGCCTTGACCTGGCAGGACCATCGCCAGAAGAGGGACCATGCCAGTCCGCCGAGAGTCTGCTTTCCGTAGCGAGCCTTTTCGAACAGATCCACTCCTCATCAACAGTATTGACATCGAGGCTCCGTGTCGAGGTCATCTGGCTATCCTGGCTTTGCGTTTCATCAATAGACAGTTCTCTCCGTCGACGAAGATCGACTGCCAGTGCACTGCGGCAGCCTTCAAGCCGGAGCATAAGCCCTTGAATATTTCGATCAAGGCTGGCCATATACCATGCTCTGCAAGAGTGTCGGGCTGCATCATAGTCGCAAGGGGCCAGATGAGTGTACATGTGTTGTACTAGCTCCCGGGGCAGACGATAAATGGCTGGAAAACTAGGCCGAGGGAGTTCATTGTGCCACAGACGACAGACTAGACGCAGGCTTCTGTAGTCGTCGAAGGACAGATAGCTTAGCAAGAGACTGATGACTTTCCGGGGGAAAACAGGGCTGGGGCCCAGAGCGCTGCCGCCACAAGATCCACAGGTCTCATCAGCATCCTCCATCACTTCAGATTCCTCAGAGATTGATTCGCGTTCCCAAATCGTTCCATTACACTTGTGGAGGGTAACGGACCATGGCAACCTCGCCAATGTGTCTCGATGACCTGCAAAGGCATTGGGACGAAGATAGCCGGTGGTGTCAGAAGAGCTGGAAGTTCTTCTGGACTGAATGCTTCCCTCTTCAGAAAACGGGTTGGTAAAAGCACTAATTTCTTGTTGAGATGTCGTATCACCATAGGGAATGATGGAACCCTGTCGTGACCGCAGATTGCTGTCGGATAAGAAGCGAACTTTGGAAAGCCGAGCAGGCTGGGGCTGCAAAGGGAGGAGGATGCAGCTCCGGCTTATGATCCCAGGTGATTCTTCTTCTGGACCATCGCATGCACCATCCATCGTGTTCAACTTGCTGTTTGTAGTCCCAGCATCAGCAGATATGACCGTATGAGACTCTAAATACTGAAACCCGTCGGGGTCGGTCTCACGGGTCAAACAGGAGTCAGCGAACAATGATAGACGACACCAGCAGGGTTGGGTGCAGCAAATCGAGCATCTCTCCGGAACCCAAAGGTCTATCGGTGGCCGATCTCTCCTTGCGTGTTGGTTGCGATGCGACAGCTGCCGGTTACGACTGAACAGCGCTGGATACTTATTGCGCACTCCAGTTTTCGGCTGCCTGGAGGTTGCAGGCTTGCTAATCCGGATCCCTCCTCTTCCTTGAAATTCTTCTGCAGACCACATCAGGTCGCAGGACGGGAGGGTCAGTGCGTCACAGTTGACGTGGAGTGGTAAGCGCCCCTGGTTAGCATGCGGCTGGTCAATGGAATGGAGCATTCTCGATTCGACTTCGTGGACAGACGCGATTCCTCGAGATACGAGGATTTCGAAAGCCACGGTGGCGACAAGCTAGACTGTTTACCGATAAGTAGAGACGAATGAGAGACAAAAAGAGTATGAGGTAATAGACTAGGATTGCCAAAAGGAGTGAAGCGAAAGAAATGAGGTGTCATTCATGGGTGGAATGCATCGTTAGGTTGTACTGGAACAGTCGAGTCGTCACTGCTGTATAGTGATAAAGAATCGGAGGTGGCAGGTGCTTGAAGGGTATTATATTGACAAGGACGACCCCAGCCAGTAAACAAATCATAAAACCATCGGATGGATCGGTTTTGCTGCGATCCGGCCTCGACAATACCAACGAGAGCCACATCTATCAATTCTGATAACGGCTGACACTGGTTGTACAACTCCGAGGTTCAATTCGACCAAGTCTGGAAAGATTAATATCGATAGCGTAAATGGGTATCTAGGAACGCAGAAAGAAAAAGCTATGTCTCCGCTTGCTATGCTCGAAACGATCAAAGTTTGGTCCCAAGGTATCGGCGTGGAGACCGTCAAACCCTACCCAGTCTGAGAGTGTCCGTGGCCAGGCTGCCTTATCCATAATGTCTCGAGAGGTCGCACTAGATTGGGATTAATGTATCGCAGGCCAGTGTCGGGATCCGTGTCAACGTGTCTCCCGTAGTCGGTGTCTCTGTCCCAGGTGGATTCCGGAGGTGTCGGGAGGTCGAGGATGTTCCCTCGATCAATGCTTCGAAGCGCAATAAATATCATCAGGGGGACATAAGTCCGATGAAAATACACCGTGAACCAGATGGTGGTGGCGAGCAAAGGGGACAGAAACAAGGAAGCTGTCAATGCGCCTCGCAGTGCCAGAATACCGGTCATCGCGACTTGGAAGAGGATCAGGCCAGTAACAATCCGGTTGCAAATCATCGGCCATGCTCGGCCAGTAGAATGTTGGCGGTGCGCCATGGCGTAAAGCAACTGGTACTTGTAGATGAAGCCACCAATGAGAAAGTAAATCAAGCCGAACAGCGTGACCATCCAAGACGAGGGAAGCACGCTATAGACAATACAAATGATGAAGATGAGCATCGTCTGTGGGAGATAGAAGCCGTAACTGAAGACTGGGGGCTTGGCTAGCTCAGCGTAGTCCCGAGGTGTCTTTGCGGTGATGAGGTAGAATGGATAGAGAGCCACAGACCCAAATTCCAGGAGTCTGAAAGGCAACAGCCCTAACCCTTGGAGAACGATGAGGTTGACGTAGAATGGTGATAGTTGTTCCAGCGCTTTGGCGACAGCGTAGGCGATTCCGGCGGTGTCGCGGAGAATATCTCGCAGGTCTTGCCAGAATTCGTAGAATGTGGAAGCCGACCCCCAAACCGTGAAGACGATGAACAGGTTGAAGAAGGTGAAGAAGAAGTTCTTGGAGATGACGGATAACTCGACATCCCCTTGCGAAACCATGCCCTGCTGGTTTGCGAGCCAATCGTACAGATATGGGACGGCCGAGGCCAAGATCGAGAACAACAACGTTGGTAAACCTGTTTGTACAAGTGACCGGATGATTTCGTGTTTTTCAAGTGCAGCAGCGAGTCCGGGGAGTACTTTATCGATTACCTCGATGCTCAATAAACCGGCCAATGGGGCGACCGCAGCTGCCCAGAAAATAGTCAACAGGCCGATGAGGATCATAATACTCCAGGATCGCAACATTCGGTTGTTCCGAGAGAGATAGGTGTTCTTCCAGACGACATCCGCAGGTGGTGGCGCCAGGCTAGCAAGAAGTTGTCCTGGTTTGGGGTCGAGGATGGCTTGGACAGCCATCTGACACGCTGCAGTGGATTCCATTGTGACAAAGGCAAGTGCTGTCGGCTTGAAGTCGGCGGTCCTCAGGGCGTTGATTCTTTCGCTCAGCATCCTCAGTTTCTCCTCATAATAGTCGATCGCGTCGATTTTCTTGCTGTAGATATTGAGGGGTCCGTAGCGTATACTGATGGTAGGACGTGGCCGGTCAGCAGCGGTGGCATGAGCCTCCTCCATCTCGGATCTCGAGAGAAGAACGCCGTTCTCTCGCTCGTCTCCCAGCGGGTCAACTCGTCGTTGGCGGCCACGAGTCTGACGGAATGAGCGGTTCTGGCCATGGTAAGTAGCCCACGCCTCTTCAAGCTTCCTCAAGCATGCCATGTGTTTTGACATGAGGCTGTCTAGCGTCTGCCAATCCCGGCACAGCATCACGCTGTCAACTTTTCCGATCTCCAACCCCTCAATGAAATTCTTTATCGCTTCTTCTGACCTCACATCCGCAGGGATTCCCGACAGACGCAAGGTGCGATCGGTAATGGTTGACTGACTTCCGAGATAAGCCTGCCGGATGCGAATGAGGTCTGCCGTCTCGGCGATGAGGAGATAGATCGCCACGAATGAGAAAAAGTATGCGAAAGCAACGTACATCCACAGGTAGCTGTTGTCCTTCTCGATCGCAGGGCCTTTGGGCTTCTTCGGCTCGTCGGCAAGCAAAAAATTGAATCCAAGGTCAGGGTCTGACCCATTAACTGGGGGGTATAGTAGTGGAGGCTGTCCGGTGAATTTCCAGTTGACCGGTAGGATGATCGTGAGGGAGAAGAACAACGTGACCGACAGGTATTTGATCGCATAGCGGAAAAAGGCGAGGAAAGCGTACGCATCGAGACCTGCCGAGGCCAACACCTCCTCTCGCGAGATCTTGTAGAGGACGGGGATCCATCCGAACATGGACTTGGGCAGCTCGGGCAATCGTGACGCAGCGCCCGACTGCTTCTTTCGGGCATGATATAGACTGGTCCATTTTGGTCGAAGCACCTGGGGGGAGATTAGCACGAGTGAGCCGAGTAGAATATAGGACAAGGACATACGCAGAAGGAGAGAAATGCGCTCAAGCCGAAGACGACCGAGATGACAAGCTGAACCTTGAAGTCACGCTGGTTCGTGCTCTTGAACTGATCGTTCCAAGAGGGGCTCTTGGAGCCATTCAACGACATCACCACCTTCAGTGCCGCCAGAACAAAGAAGACGCCGGGTAGTAGGCTTCTCTCGGATGTGCTGCTGTACGACGACCTTGAAATGGCCTGCGCTTTGCTGCGGTCGCAGAACGCAGCACGCAGACGCAGACGGCGGCTGATCCCGTGCATGGCGGATGACTAAGGTCGAGGCCAGGTGCAGCCAATCAGAGGCAGCTCAATAGAATATGCACCTGAGCTTCTTCAAGCTTGCAACTTCAGTCCCTCTACATTTGTGGACTTGAACACTCTTTCCCAGCTCCACAAACGAGCTTCGTTCGCCTCTCTACTCCATTGTACGGCAACTCCAACATCTGTCGAGGGCGCACATACGGCTTCTTGACACGATGCTGGCCACGTCGGCAGTTCGTGGTACCCCATTGAGGGCTGCCGCACGAAACATTGTCCGCAAGACCACCACGGTCAGTTTTGCTCCGCGCCTCCGTTTCTACAGCAAAAGAACGTGACCGGCTTAGAGCTTCTGCTGACATTAATTACAGCGTGCCGCATCCTCGAGCTCCTCCGAGGCGGCGTCCTCTCCCTTCTACCTCACAGCAGGCGCCTCTGCCGCAACCGTCGCAACCATTGGCTCAATCGCCTGGTATTACCATGTCTATGGCCGAGATGTTTTTGCCATGACACCGGCAGAAGAGGGGTGAGCTTGACGGGCCAAAATTTGGAGCGACTAGAGGCTGACGACTGGGTTTAGTTTGCATCCGACACAGTACCCGTGGGAGCACGCAAAATGGACCAAGACCTTCGATCATGCAGCGTAAGCATCAGACGAAGACTTGAAGATGATAAATTGACGTTTTCCAGTCTTCGAAGAGGATTCCAAGTCTACCGAGAAGTTTGCGCCGCATGCCACTCTCTCACGCGTATACCGTATCGAGCTCTGGTTGGAACGATGATGACGGTCGATGAGGCCAAAGCTCTGGCAGAAGAGAACGAATATGACACCGAGCCCAACGATGAAGGCGAGATTGAGAAGCGACCGGGAAAGCTGTCCGACTACATTCCAGCCCCTTACAAGAACGACGAGGCTGCTCGTGCCGCCAACAATGGTGCTTTGCCCCCGGATCTATCGCTGATGGTCAAGGCCCGACATGGCGGCTGCAACTACATCTTCAGCCTGTTGACCGGCTATCCGGAAGAGCCACCTGCCGGCGCCACTGTCCAATCCGGCTTGAACTTCAACCCCTACTTTCCCGGAACCGGTATTGCGATGGCGCGGGTGTTGTACGACGGTCTCGTCGAATACGAAGATGGCACGCCGGCGACGACCTCCCAAATGGCCAAGGATGTGGTTGAATTCCTGAACTGGACAGCGGAACCGGAGATGGATGACCGCAAAAAAATGGGCATCAAGGTTCTCATCATCGGCACTGCACTGCTCGCGCTGAGCGGCTGGGTCAAGCGTTACAAGTGGTCTCCTCTCAAGAACAGAAAGATTGTATATAATCCTCCCGTCGGCCGGCGTAGCCCACCACGACCGTGATGGGATGGTGACAAAAGGAGATGATGCGAGTCGGTTTGGGAAGAGCTCATCGTGTTCCCGGTGGCAAGACAGCCGGTTGTTTGTAAACAATGAAGACATACCAATTTCAACAGAAGCCACAGGGTGTAGTATTTTCCAGAAGTCGCGTCCATCATTTCGCCCCATCTCCAGTCATTAAATCCAGGGTATCTAGAGTTCTCTCACATTCTATGGTCGTCAAACACCGTCGTTCTAACCCTTGTTCCACGGCGATCAATGCTTCCAGAGCTTCACCTGCTTATCTTTACCGCCGCTAGCCACGCATTTCCCATCTTGACTCCAGTCCAGGGCAAAGACTTCGTCCTTGTGGCCTGGCAGGTCTTCCTTCAGTTTCCCTGTCTTGACATCCCACACCTTCACCGTTGTGTCCTTGGAAGCACTGGCTAGAAGTCTGGAATCGCTGGACCATGCCACCATGTACACGGCGCCAACATGGCCACGGAGAGTGGAGATGAATTTTCCATCTCGAGCGTTCCACAGCTTCACGCTGTTGTCGAATGACGCCGAGGCGATGTATAGCCCGTCGGGAGAAAATGAAACGTGTAAGACCTGTTTCTGATGCCCGAGTAGTCGCGCGATCGGTTTCACTGCAGCATTCGAGTCGGCAGGGATGGCGGACGGATCCCAGAGAAATATGGTATTATCGTCTGAAGCGGATATGAGCTTCTCCACCAATTTGCCTTCTTGCGTGGCAGCCTCTGCGAATCTAGACTTTGCTTTCTTGATCTTCTCCTCAACTGTCTCTGGGACTTTGCCTGTATGATCGTGATAGGCAGTCCGCAGTACAAAGTCGGTGGATAGAGCCAAATGGTTCACCCAGTGCGTATGCGAAGACAGGGTGTGGAGGCAGTTCCAGGTTTTTGTGTTCCAGATCTTTATCGTCTTGTCCTGCGACGAAGTGAACATCCGATTGAGCCCGCCCCATCGCACGCAGGTGACGGAGCTCCTGTGTCCGGAGAGGCTCTCGTCAATGCGCCGAAGTACAACATCCCATATCCTGACGGTCCCGTCTTTGGAGGCTGATGCTAGTCGCGGCTTTCCTGGTGCCTGGGTATGATAAGGTTCCCAAGCGAGGCTTGTAATCCATTTAGTGTGGCCTTTGAGCGGGCCTCCCAGGGCCTCTCCGGTCTTTGGGTCCCAGAGTCGTATAGTGTTGTCCATGCTGCCAGTCGCAAGAATCTTGCCATCAGGGGACCACGATACCACAAGGACCCAACTCGTATGGCCTTTCAAAGTATGCAGAGGTGTCCCTGTGTCGCAGTCCCATATCCGTGCAGTGTTGTCTCCACTTCCTGTAGCCATTCTGGAGGAAGACTCGGGGGAAAAGGCTGTTGCAAGTATAGCTTCGCCATGTCCAGATATCGAGGCAGAACATCTGGAGACAGCACGCACGCGAAAGACAGCTTGAGGGATGAACTGGAGAATGATATTGTCCTCGGTACTCTTGAATCCAGGTCGCAAGACAGAATTGTATAGATCGGTTTGCACATCTAGAAGCTCTGATTCCGAGCCTGTAGAACGATCGTTGCGGAAGAAGAATCGGTAGGGAAGGCGGTCGCCAGGTTCCTAATATCGTGTCAGCCTCCGAGTAGTGAGGCAGAGAATCAATCAACATTCTTACATTTCCCTGTATGGTATTGAGGAGCGTCTCGAGATTTTTGACGGTTGCATCCTTGACAGGCACTGCGACAACAGGCCCCGTCGACTTCCCCGTGCTCTGGTCGACGAATTGCACCCTCACGCTGCCCAAATGTTTGGGTATTATTGCATCTTCAAGCGCCTTTTCTGCCTTTTCAGCAGCGAGGATCTTTTGCCTCTTACTCGGAGGAGGCACGACTGTGGCCATAACTGCGCCCACCTGCTGGTTCTAGTGTTGAGTTGGGCAAGTCGGTGCAAGACTCGCTCCAGCAGACTCGCAGTTTCGGGAAAAATTAATATGGGCAGAGCCAGCCTCGTGCGGGGGAAGCCTCGTCGGCAAACCTTCCAACCTAACCCTGTACTCCGTACGGATACCTACCACCTACCTCCCTGCTTATTAGTTGGTCTACCGTGGCTATATCACTCTTCTCCTGATGATGTACATCTTTGTTCTCCGTGGCAGAGCTGGCATTGTCTTACTATCAGGCAACTGAAGACTTACCTCCATCATCTCCTCACCATGCCGTCTGCCAGCGTAGCTACTGTCTCCTCGACTCTTCCTGGATCTCACAACTCATTAGGAACATCTGCAGTTCCAGCAACCAGTCGATGGCGCCTCAGAACCAGTAGGACGTCCGCTGACTACAGCAACAATGAGGTCATCTGTGCCATTAGCGAATTGCGTGGAATATCTCCTACCGTCGCTCTCTCCTTCGTCAATGTCTACACTTCCGAAGCTATTCTCTGCCAGCTCGTGGATACTCAAACATATGCTCGCACCTGCCACAAGCTCAAAGTCTATGAGCCCTCTGAGATTCTTTACATGGCAAATGCCGTCGACTCGAAGCTCATATCCATTGTCTCGGAGAATCTCGATGTGGACAATGGGGGACCCGTAGGCACCAAACTCGACCGCAGGTATTGGTCTGAGAGTAGCGGCCACGATTACGTTCAGCGCCTCGCCTTTCCTGACGATCTGGAATCTTTGAAAATGGCTCTAGCAGGCAACCATCTCGCGACATGCTGTTTCTCTGCAGTATGGTGCCGGCTGAGCCCAGCTCGTGCGGTCGATTGCTGATGATGGTAGGTTATGAATTTTGTCGACATGGGATTGCAGAAGACCTTTGCCACTCAGACATTACGTATAAAGTTCGAGACAGCAGAAGGCTCTATGATGATTGATCTCTCCACCATCGCTTCTCTGGAATTGGTCCAGAATCTTGAACATGTCAAGTCCAAGGATTGCTTATTCGGGCTGCTGAACGAAACCTTTACGCCAATGGGGGCCCGATTCCTGCGAAGCAACATTCTGCAGCCATCAACCGATACTAGAAAGATCGGTAAAAGGCATGAAGCTGTGGACGAACTTGTCTCGAGACATGACATGCTGTTCGCAGTCCGTTCCGGTACTGGCCCCATCAAAGGGGAAGAATTTGCTAATTCAGGGCAGCTTTGAAGTCTTTCGTAGACACTGATCGTGTACTGGCAGCTGTCTGTGTCAATTATGCCCTAGCTGCCGTTCAATCGCTGACCGAAACAGCTTGTAGTGATTCAGACCAAGCTCGGAATTCAGTTCGCCGAACAGTCGGTCAACCAGGTGCTCATGCTCAAGACCTTTGTGGATTCCATCAAGCCACTGTGGCAAGCGCTCACCGGTACCAGCAGTGAAGAGCTGCAGGAGATACGGCAGGGAAGATGATGGTGCTCTGTCCACTGCGCTCAAACTAACAGTAGCAGCTTTGTGACCCGACCAACTATGCAGAAATCGATGGTTTGATCAGAGACAGTCTCAACCCTGACGTGACTTACTCGACCAAACCGACAGAGTTGCGCAACCAGCGTGTTTATGCCGTTCAGGTGCTGAAGATTTGTGACACGCTGGCCTGGCTCCCCGAGACTGATTCTCGTCTAGGCAGGGGTCAACGAATTCCTCGACGTTGCCAGACAGACGTACCGGGAGATTAGCCAAGACGTGTTTGATATGGTAGAAGAGGTCAAAAGTACGCTGCAAGCCGCTACCGTGTGTTTTCTTTTAACAGGTCCGTCTAGACACACAAGGACTCGACCTCGACTTGAAATTCGACACGCCTCGCCAATTCTACCTGCGCCTTCCCGCCGCTCAGCTCGAAGACAAGCCAATTCCCGATTTCTTGGTCAACATCTATCGACGGAACAAGTTCATCGAGTGCCAGACCCTGGAGCTGATCAAGATGAACCAGAAGATCAAGGATGCCCACAACGAGGTCATCAGCCTCAGCGACCAGGCGGTTCAGGAGCTCATCGAGTCTGTGCGCTCGAAAATCCATCCTCTTTTCAAGATCAGCGAAGCGATTGCCATGCTCGACATGCTAGCAGGGTTTGCCCATCTAGCCATAGCCAACGACTACGTCCGATCAGAGCTGCTCGACACCTTGGCGGTCAAGGCCGGTCGCCACCCTATCCGCGAGAAGGCCCAGACGGACAAATACGTGGCTAACGACATCTACGCGACCGAGCAGAACCGCTTCCAGATCATCACGGGCTGCAACATGAGCGGCAAAAGCACATATATCAGGTCAATCGCTCTAATGGCCGTCATGGTGCAGATCGGCTGCTTCGTGCCTGCGACGTACGCGTCGTTCCCCATCACGTACCAGCTGTTTGCGCGTGTTTCGACCGACGACAGCATCGAAGCCAACGTGTCGACGTTTGCCTCGGAAATGCGCGAGGTGGCATTCATTCTACGCAACATGTCGGCGCACAGCTTGGTGCTGATCGACGAGCTGGGCCGCGGCACCAGCACGACCGACGGGCTCGCCATCGCCGTCGCCATCGCCGAAGAGCTGATCAAGTCCAAGGCCCTGGTATGGTTCGTCACGCATTTCCGCGACCTGCCGCGCATCCTGGCCGAGCGCGCCGGCGTGGTCAACCTGCACCTAACCGTCGACATCAACGCCGACGCCTCCAAGCTGAAAATGCGCTACACGATTGCCCAGGGGTACGAGGAGGAGAGGTTCTACGGGCTCGCGCTCGCCCGCGTCGTCGACCTCCCCGAGACAGTTGTCGACGTGGCCACCCGCGTCTCCCACGCCCTACATGAGCGGAACGAAGCCCGGCGGCAAAACACCCGTACCCTCACGGCCGCAAGACGAACCAAGCTGCTGTTGAACTTGCGCGAGCAGCTTTCCCAGGCGCGTGAGAGCTGCCGCACCGCCAGCCCGGACGCGGGAGAATTGCGGGCTTGGCTGGCAAGACTGCAAGTCGAGTTTTCCGTCCGGATGGGAGCGCTCGACGCCGAGGCGGAGATGGAGATGGACGAGACCGACAATGAGGGCAGGATGGACGAGACCGACACTGAGGGCAGGATGACCGAGGCAGTAGCAGTAGAAGAGCATGATGTGCATCATGTCGACGAGGACGAGGTTGAACATGTTCAAGACACCCTGGTCCGTACAGGACACGAATGAGTCTAGGAAAGGCTGAAGCAGGTCATGCCGTCGAGTAAAGGTAAGGTAAAGAAGGCAAGGAGAAGGCGTAGTGCTTTGTAGCAGCCACATCAATCAAGGTCAGAGGCACATAGATCAAAGCGTATTTGCAGTACGACAGGCGAGCAGCTTATGCAACTTCAATGCTATGTCTTGTATTCTTGTAGGCTCACAGACAAAACTCGGCTGTGTCGCCCATCTACTACCTAGGTAGTCTGACTACACCACACCCCTCGATTTATAGAGTCCAAACGACCACTCTGCCATCAACACCACTGGTGCTGAACTTGCTCACGGCACCGGCGGATCCTTCATAGACGCGGACGGTGTTGATGGTATTCTGGTGCGTAGTGTTCAGCTGGGTGTCGTCCTTGACTTTGCCCTTGAGATCCATCTGGCGAAACATGTGCAACGCCGACTCCTCGCGTGCGGAAGCCAGGCCTGGCCGATGTTTGGTCTCGATGCTACCGGCCAAGTCCCAGCCATTCTCGCCTCCGCGGAAGCGGAAAGCCTCGCAGTCATAGCCCGCCGCAATGATTTCCGCCTCGCCGTTCCAGATCAGGCTGGTGAAAGGCAAGGTCTGCACCGAGATGTTGACCATGGCACGCGGCGGCTGCTCGGGCCCGGAGGGATAGACGACCGTGATACTGCTGTCGTGGGCGGCGAAAGCCAGGGCGTCCCCGCTGGGCGAGAACGAAATGGCATGGACCCAGCCGGCCGAATCGTTGAGGTATTCGCCACAGACCGTGTTGAAGGGCAGACGCTCGCCCCAGACGCTGGGCTCAGGCCGAGCGTCGATGCCTTTGATGAAGCCGGAAAACACACGCGCGTGCGAGTCGGTCGATCCGGCTGCCAGCAGCACCGAATTCGGGTGCCAGGCCACCGTGGTGATGGTGCTGCGGATCGGCTTCTTCAGGTGCTTCGACACCCACCAGTCATTCTCCTCTTCAAAGTAGCAGACCGCAATCACCCGCGCTCCGGAGCCAACGGCGAATTTCTTCTCCGATGGCGACCACCGCACAAACGTCGCGGCGCGGTTGATACGAAGTAGCACCAGGGTCGGTTTCCAGCCCGTGGGCGAAGGCTCCCATACGTAAGCATTTCGGTCTGGATTTTGAGAAGTTAACGGAGTGCTTTCTGCGAGGGGGTCGCGTATCAGCTAGAAGGCCGTTGCCTACCCTGCGAGCAAGTGACGATCATGCCGCTGTTTGGGGCGATATCCACGCCCGTCACCGTCTTGTCATGGCCCTTGAGCTCATCTTTCAGCACGAATTTCGGGCCTGACCGGTGGTACAGCTCGACATTGTTGTCTCGTGCGACTGCGAGGGTCTGACGGTCGGCGGAGAAGGAGTGGTCGGCGATGGGATGGTGGAAGAGGTGATGCACTTCGGGTCCAGACATGATGGGGGGAGATTGAGGTGGTGCGATAGGAGGAGCTCTCTACTACCGCGGCGAGAAAGTAGATGGAGGGAGGTGGAGGTGGAAGGTGAATGTACAGAGTGGATTGAAGAGTGAAGAATGAATGAACAGGTCAGTCGTAGGATGACGCGGAAGTGAAGGGCCGGCAGATCCTCGGCATTCAGCCTTGTGCTCAGCCTCGTGTTGGCTGATGCCTTCAGCTGTCACAACCTAGACTGTCTACATTCTATACGGCGTGAATGTATCAGTCAGTGACTGACACGGATACGTTGAGGAAAACGATATTTTGTAGCTGCCACCCTATAAGGCCGGGCGACTGCTATATAGATGCCATCGACCGAGTAGACTCCTGGGCGCACTTAGAGCACATAGGGTATCATTTCTTTTCTTGGTCATAGCATCGTTGGGCGTGGGTGCAGTTACTTTTGATACAGTCCAACTCGAAGAGCCTCACCGGACTCAGCATACTCCGTACTAGAAGCTGGCCATCTCCAGCCATGTGCCAACGAATGCCAACCTCCCCAGCTCCGCGCTACTCTCCCATGCCTCCTGGGGCCTATCCTTGTCACCTTTGGTACCAAGCCTTGTGCTCACCTCAGATTCGTCGGCCACCATTTTCCGTCGGAATTCGGCGAAGCTGAGCTTACCATACCCTCCTCGTTGTCGCGCTTCTGTGTCAATCGCATCATGTCGGAGCCAAAGGTCGTAGGTGTTTCGCGCCTCAACTGGGTCGCCAGAGAAGGGATCTGGCTGGGTCTTCGCGCTTGCCGGCTCAGACTCGTTCGGACGGAACTGTGGAAGAGTAGGGTCGCAATAAGACCTAGACGAGTTCGTCTCTTGCTCTGTTTTCGGTATCTCGCCTGCGGCACCGTCCCCAAACATCAATTCTATATGATCTTCGGGGTCGGGATCGGGATCGGGATCAGGTGACAGTCTCTCGTCGGATTTCGCTTCCACCAAGTCTTCGGGTCCGTCCGGCTTCTGAGCAGATTCACGCACCGGTGCGCTTTGCAATAACTGTTCGGTCCTCAGCCTATCGGCCTCTTCCAAAGCTTTGTCGTGCTGCTGTTTTCCCGCCTCAAGCTTCTCCCGGTACCGGTCCATTTCTTTACGGAACCTGTGCCGGTCGTTCCGTGTATAGTGAGCCGTCACCCACTCATCTTCCTTCTCCTTGAACAGGGCATCTAGAAGTTCATTAAACCCTTGTTGAACGGCCTGGTACAGGATATCCTTGCCAATGTCTGCTTCGGCCTGCCCAAGCTCGTAACCACCCCATCGTTCGTTGACAGGTACGCTGCGTGACGAGGCATTTGAACGTGTTTCAAAGTCGGTATCGATGGCGCTGTCATCGAATCGCACTTTGGATGAGGATCGTGACTGTATCGACGGTCTTCGTGGACTCGAGGTCGTCACGCGCCTGGCTTTTTTGGGCCTTGATGTGGTGGGTTCGTCATCAGAACTGTCAGGTTCTGTGTATCCGGGTGGTCTGGTAAGCCCTTCCTCCTCATCCAGGTAAAATTGTCTTCGGCGCCACCGTTCTTCCACGGCCGTGGCCCGCATAGACCTTTCGGCTTCGTCGCCCTCATTGTCCAGGCGTTGTGACTGTGCAAATAACACTCTGCTCCTGTCCACCGGATCCGTGACGTCCTCAAGGGCAACCTCCCGCCCTAGAGCGTTGACAATGTCCTGAGGTTCGGGGGTGTGCACTGGAGGCCAGCCATATGCCTGGAGAGGGGGTTCAGGCCCCGCAAGTTCTTCCTCGGTCGCGTCGTCCGGGTCTTGCATTCCAGAAGCATTGAACGGGACACCAGGGAGATGGATCAGAGCTTCGTCCTCGATCGGTTCTTCCCTAAAGGACCGGAACGGATGATTTCTGATCCGATTGTTCATAGCAACGTTGCCAATGGCACGAGCGCGATCTCCTCGCATGTCGGCGTCAGGCTGTAGCACACCTCGGGAGCCATTAGATAATTCCAATTCCCCGTTCGCTTGACGCTGCTTGTCCTGACCAGTTCTAGACTCATGTCCATAGAGCATGCCTCCACCAAAGGCGGCACTGATCGGTTGGCTTCCCCGAACCACTTCTCGAATCTCTTCTTCCACGTAGCCGAAGTCCTCTTGGGCGTTGATCATCTCGCGACTTAGCTCTTTGTTCAAAGCAAAATACGCACGAAAGATGCGGAGGAAATCTTTGCGGTCGACGAATCCATCCGAGTCAAGGTCATAACCATCGAATATTCGCTTGAGGCGGGCATACCGTGACTTATTCTGCAATCGTGCCAGGCCACGGATGTATTCATCGAAGCCGATGAGCCCGTCGTTGTTGGTGTCGTAGAAGGCAAATATTCGGTCGTAGATTAGGTTGGCGGGTGAAGGTTTGTCCGCGGCAGAAGGGATGAAGTATGCGTCGAACGCTTTTCGATCAATGGCCACGCCCAGCCCAGTGGGATCGGTGGGCCAGTAGTGGCCAGCGAGGCATTTGAACTGCTCATAGAGGGCATCCATCTCAGTGCGGTCCATCCCCGTCTGTTCCAGTAAGGGCTTGGAGAGGTCTTTCGGCAAGGACGAGGGAAATGCGTTGGGGGTTCCAGGATACCATTTTGGAATAACCTGCTTAATATTACCTCTAGAGGGAGCCGGAATTCGAATCTTGAAGAAGACGTGACTCTTGATATGACCTGAGCTTGCCTCGCAGCTTTCGCAAAGATCATAGTCGAAGCAATTTGCACAATGATACCGGATCCCTTGAATCGGGTGGACACCGCAGCTGTTGCATTCGACGCCACGGTGGATGTAGCCCTCCCTCCGCGCCTGTTCGCCGGCGATGTGATAGAGGAGATCGAGCATGTTCTGGCTGCCCTCGGGATCTTCATCATTGTTACTGTACGAGATCTCACTCTCGTCGTCGTCGTCCCTCGCTGGATTGGCCAAGGCGTCCAGAGCATCTTGAGTAGCGAATCCTCCCACAGCGCCGTCTATCTGCAGAGGGGGCATGCGAGGGCTTTGAATGGGCGCATCAAGAGGGCTCCACTCCTCACTGAGATGAAATTCACCTTCGTCGAAAGCCTTGACCACCTCGTAGACAATCTCCTCCGCCACATCCAGGAGTTCTAGACCTCGGGCAATAATGTAGGCGTCATCGCCAATGATATATCCTTCGGGATACTCTTCGCGGAGAAAGTTCTGGGTGAAGACGCCGTGAACATGCAATCGCAGGCAGTCTTTTTGGTAGGGCGAGAGTGGCGCTGGCGAATGCTGCAAGAGATAGACATAGATGGATCTCAAATTGCAAGGAATGAGGGTCAAGTCCACTCCTTGGGCGTCTTCCGGGGTGGGGAAAAACCACTTGTTCTGATATTCTCCGTAGCCGTGTCTTCGCTCATTGCGTTCCTCCAAGTGGTTGATGGCTCGCTCGGTAGGATCGTAGTCGAGGGGAGGCTGTTCGAAGAAAGGACGCCAGCGCCGCCTGTGCCTGGGTCTGCGGACGGCATTGCTGCGATGAAGGGCAGCTGAGTGTTCTGGCTGTGCTTTCGATCGCTGGAAGTAGGCGTAGAATGCCGCAGTGAGCGCTACTGTGCTGGCCAGGGCCACAAGCAATGGTCTCCGATAACTCTGGTCAGACATGATGAGAACATGTTTGACAAGGTTCTGCCGAGAAAGGATGTTTTGCTGCCTCGCCCATTACAGAGTACTAGGTAAATTCCTGTAGAATGTAGAGCAGAGACATGGGCGAGGCCGCTGCGGTGCAGGCTCGACGAAGCACACAGTATCCGTACAACAGTTGGATACTCCGCCGTACATCAACTATGGCGGATTTGGGGGCCACAGTGGCAGTTGGGTCTACACCATCCCGGAGTCCAGAGTAATAACCCGGAACATTTGAAGCAAGGGACACTATCAACTCAGCCCTGTTTTCTTTCACTCGCTCAACTGTTTCATACACTGACAAAGATGAGGCGCGTTGCTAGCCTGCCCTTTTGCGTGGGCATTGTTGGCGCGGAGCGGGATCAGCTGGCTGTGCTGGTCTGCCTTTGTACATGCGGCTGAATCTGCGCTGAGTATGCTACGGCATTGCAACGAGCTCTACGAGTCTCCTTTGTTGTACTCCGTAGATGTTGAACCCCTGAGCGATCCTTCACAGAACGCCACCCTGGAAACAATGTCGCTCCTCTTAGATCGATGGTATGTCTACGAGGCTGTCCATCGCTTGGGCCCAGCATCACCCACGTCTCCCTCTCCATCTACCAACTACGAGCACCACTACTTTGTCAATCCCGACCCGGACGGCCATGCCTTTGGTTAGCCTCAGCGTCTTCGAGGACCTGCACCTGCCGGAAGGCGAAAGAGTCACTTACCGACAATATACACACTGCACCAGTTTGTATGCTTTCAGGACCTCATTGCACCTGCCTCTTCTCATCTTTTCATCTTCTTACCCTTCCTTCATAAGGCTTTTCACCTCATCAGACTCTTCTTCTTCTTCTTCTTCTTATCATCATCTTCTTTTTTCAACGTATAAGTCTACTATTTGAATTTCCAAGATGTCCAGCACCAATACTCCAGATCTCGCTTCAAAAAGGCAGACTCGCTTTAAATCAGACAAGAAACGTCGCAACAGGCCGTCTCCAGAACAACAGGAACAACAGTCACCATGGAGACATTCCACCCTCCTTGCTCTCCAGGCAAACTTCTTTGGACTGCTGTTCGTCCCGCCCTTTATTTGCCTTGTCTTCCTGTTTTACACTCCCGCGATTGACTCCGAGAAAACATTCCAAATAACGGCCGGCATACTTGGAGGCACTTGTACCTGGTTGGGAGGCTGGGCAATACAGCAATATGGCGTGATGCCGCAGGTCTCGCGTTGGAAATTAGTCCTGCTAGCAAATCTGGTCTGGTCATACACTGCCGCCGTCCTTTACCTGTTTACCCTCACCTCTTTTGGTGAAGGACGCAACCGAGGGGACTGAAATGAACTCGCAGCCCCAGTCACAAACCGTCCTCTACCACGATTCCAACCTGCGAGAATCACACCATCCATGCCAACCTTCAGGAGGTTGCATTCCTTTTGTTGGTGTATATTGCTGTGCGGTGGAAGGGGATCGCGCAGATACGTTGCTGGAGGGAACACACCCCCTGCTGCTGTCGTTTGACGGCAGGGGGTCTAGTGAAAAGCGAAGGAGAATCCCGGGTATTGAGCTGAAGCGAGCAGAGAGAATGCCATACCACAGAGAAGGAAAAAACCATGTTATCGGCAGGGAGACGAGAGACATAGGCACATGACGAAGCTCCCAACCATGGGATCGTAGACTAGTGCTCTGCATATTTAAGGCAGGCGGGTAATGACTTTTTCTTGTTACTGCTACTAATTGCAAGTATCCCCGATGACAGTCTCCGGTGCCCTATTCTTTAGCCAGCACATGCGTCTGACATTTAGTGTGTACAGAGTCGTCAGGACCTCAATCTGCTGGCATTGGAGCCGGTCCACTGCCCATTAATGTCCACTGTCCACTGTCCACTGTCCACTGTCCACTGTCCACACGGCATCTCGATGCTCCACAGACTCGTGGATCCTGGTCCTGCCGGCTCCCATTGATCATTGGTGTGGCTCGGTAGCCTTGCGCATGTGAAAAGACGAAACTGCACTGTTGTGCCTCGGCTGAAGAGGCTGACAGAAGAAGATGGATCCTTTGGTCATAGTAACACAACACACTACGGAGTACAGAAGAATGGCCTTTACTGGAAGAGGTAGGCGACCGGCGCCACGGAACATGCCATCGTCAGTTAGTATGCCCGGGCGCCTCGTGCCTGTACGTATCTCGATCGAACATCGGGATCTTCGTATACGAGATACGCGCAGGACTACACATGCGCAGAATTAGTATACGGTCAGACCACCGCGCGGTCCACCCTCGCTCACGCCGTGCCTGTCACAGCCTGCGCCTGGGGCCCTGTGCCCCAGTGGCTCCGGATCTGGATCTGGCATTGTTGATTGTCGATGATTAGTTCTCTTGGTATTAGATAGAAAAATGTCGTCGGTCGCCGGGCTTGGAGCTCCCTCCACCTCGACGACAGCTCGGTGCTGAGGACCAGCTTCAAGCTTCAACAACGTTCATCAGCCCAACGCAGGACAAGACGTGCACGTGGCCATGTCCACAACCACCTCCACGCTCAACGGGTCTCGAGAACATGACGACACCCTCGATCGAGAAAACCCGACTGAGGCCAGGACTGAAACTGAAACTGAAAATGAAACTGGGACCGGGGCCACGCATTTCGAGCCCATCTGGTCGGAGGCGGAACGGCGACATCTACGTCGCATCGCAACCAGCCAGTCTAGTCGGTCTGCCGGAAGCCAGCAGGGCGGCGGACACAACCATAGCCGCACACACACGCCGACACAGCCGGCCACGCGCCCGGAACTCGATCCGCTCAGTGACAAATTCAGCCTCAGCGAATGGATGAAATGCAAAGTCGAGCAGTTCGCGGCCGGGGCGATCCAACGGCGACACACGGGTGTGCTCTTCCAGAACCTCTCGGTGCACGGGACGGCGGCGGAAATCAAATTGCAGAAAAGCGTGGGCTCGATCCTCACGGCGCCGTTGCACCTGAAGCAAATCGCGCAGGGGCGGCAGCGGCACAAGGCAATCCTGCAGAACTTCGATGGCCTGGTCAATCGCGGCGAGATGCTGCTCGTGCTGGGCCGGCCCGGGTCCGGCTGCTCGACCTTTCTCAAGTCCATCTCAGCCAACTACGAAGGGCTGAGCCTCGGCGAGGGAAGCAGCATCAGCTACGACGGGATTCCGCAGAAGGTGATGAAGGAGCAATTCCGCGGTGATATTCTGTATAACGGCGAGACTGAGAAGCGTGAGCAGGACTCCCTACTCCCTTTTCCCTGCTCCCTCTCCCTACTCTCTGGATGTATCACAGGCTGACCCGGTAGACACTACTCACAGATTTCCCCCAACTCACAGTCGGCCAGACGCTCACCTTTGCGGCGGCAGCTCGGGCCCCGCGGAGCCGCGAGCCCGGCATGTCGCGAACAGACTACATCAACCAGGTGCGGGACGTGGTACTGGCGGTGTTCGGGCTCTCACACGCGATCGACACCAAGGTCGGGTCGGACTATGTACGCGGGGTGAGTGGCGGCGAGAGGAAGCGGGTGTCGATCGCGGAGATGGCGCTGGCAGGCTCGCCGCTGAGTTGTTGGGACAATGCGACGCGCGGGCTGGACTCGGCGTCGGCGTTCGAGTTCGTCAAGGCGGTCGAACTCAGCTCGCGCATCTTCGGCACCACGCATCTGGTGGCGGCGTACCAGGCGTCGCAGGCCATGTACGATCGGTTCGACAAGGTGATCGTGCTGTACGAGGGCCGCGAGATCTTCTTTGGCGCCACGGCGCAGGCCAAGCCGTTCTTCGAGAACATGGGCTGGCGGTGCCCGGCGCGGAAAAGCACCGGCGACTTCTTGACCGGGCTCACCAGTCCGCGGGAGCGCGAGGCCAAGGAAGGCTGGGAGACGCGCGTGCCCCGGACGGCGGAGGAGTTTGAGCAGTACTGGCGGAACAGCGCCGAATTCCACGCCCTCCGGGGTGAGATGGCGGCGGCGCAGGAGCGGTTCGAGCGCGAGGGCACGACGGCCGAGGAGTTCCTGGCCAGCAAGCGGCAGCGGCAGGCCAAACACACGCGGGCCAAGTCGCCGTACACGATCAACAATGGCATGCAGGTGGCGCTGTGCACGCGGCGGGCGTACCAGCGCATCTGGAACGACATCGCGTCGACGGCGACCACGATCGGCGGCAACATTGTCATGGCGCTGATCATCGCGTCGCTGTTCTACGGCACGCCGTTCGGCACGCAGGCCTTCTTCTCCAAGAGCAGCCTGCTCTTCTTCACCGTGCTGCTCAACTCGCTGATGACGGTGACCGAGATCAACGCCCTGTACGGCCAGCGCCCGATCGTGGAGAAGCACGCCTCGTACGCCTTCTACCACCCCTTCGCCGAGGCGCTGGCCGGCGTGGTGGCCGACCTCACCATCAAGATCGCAGCCAGCGTCATCTTCAACACCATCATCTACTTCCTGGGCGGGCTGCGCTACGAGGCCGGCCCGTACTTCATCTTCTTCATCGTCAACTTCGCCGCCCTGCTCTCCATGAGCAGCATCTTCCGCACGGTTGCCGCCACCACCAAGACCATCTCCCAAGCCCTGGCTGCCGCCGGCGTCATCCTCATCGCCGTCGTCGTCTACACCGGCTTCGTGATCCCGCGGCCCAACATGCATCCGTGGTTCAAGTGGCTGACCTGGATCGACCCCTTGGCCTTTGCCTTCGAGGCCCTGATGGTCAACGAATTCCACGGCCGAGACTTCCCCTGTTCCAATGTCGTCCCGGCCTACCCGGGCTTCACCAACGGCTCCGGCGACATGTTTGTCTGCGCCGAGAAAGGCGCGATTCCCGGCCAGCTGTTTGTCAACGGCGACCGCTATCTGGAAGCGAGCTTCGGTTACCAGCATTCGCACCTGTGGCGCAACTTTGGCATCCTGCTCGGCTTCCTCTTCTTTTTCTTGATTCTCTACCTGACCGTCACCGAGTTCAACTCACATTCGACCTCGAGCGCCGAGGCCCTGGTGTTCAAGCCCGGCCATGTGCCCAAGACCATCCAGCAGGGCGTGTCGGAAAAGAAGTCCCAAGCCGTGGTGGAAGAGCCGGGGACCCAGGATGAAGAGTTGGATGCCCTTCCGAAGCAGGGCGACGTGTTCATGTGGCGCAATGTCTGCTACGACATCAAGCTCCGCAAGGACCAGAAACGGCTGTTGGATCGCGTGAGCGGCTGGGTGAAACCCGGCACCCTGACGGCCCTGATGGGCGTGTCGGGCGCCGGCAAGACCACTCTCCTGAACGTGCTGGCCCAGAGAGTGTCGGTCGGGGTCGTCACGGGCGACATGTTGGTCAACGGCAGCCCTCTCGCCGCCAGTTTCCCCCGACGGACAGGATACGTGCAGCAGCAGGACCTGCATCTACACACGTCGACGGTGCGCGAGGCCTTGCGGTTCTCGGCGCTACTGCGTCAGCCGAAATCGACGCCGGTCGCTGAAAAGCATGCCTACGTGGAGAAGGTGATCCGGATGCTCAACATGGCCGACTTCGCCGACGCCGTCATCGGCGTCCCCGGCGAGGGATTGAACGTGGAGCAGAGGAAGCTGCTGACCATCGGCGTCGAGCTGGCGGCCAAACCCACGCTGCTCTTGTTCCTAGACGAGCCGACGTCCGGCCTCGACAGCCAGTCGAGCTGGTCGATTGTCTCGTTCCTGCGTAAGCTGGCCGACAACGGCCAGGCCGTGCTGTCGACCATCCATCAGCCGTCCGCCACGCTGTTCGAGCAATTCGACCGCCTCCTGTTTCTGGCCCAGGGCGGCCGCACCGTCTACTTTGGCGACATCGGCGACGACTCGCGCCTCCTGCTCGACTACTTCGAGCGCAACGGGGCGCGACGCTGCGGCGACAGCGAGAACCCGGCCGAATACATCCTCGAGCTCGCCGGCGCCGGTTCCGGAGCCCCCGGCCAGTCCAAAGTCGACTGGCCCGCGGTCTGGCGCGGCAGCAGTGAAGCCGCCGCAGTCGAGGCGGAGCTGGACGGCCTGCAGCGGACTCTGCAGGAGAAACATGCGCACGACACGGACGCGCCGGAAGACCACACCGAGTTTGCCATGCCGCTGTGGGACCAGCTGGTGACGGTGTCGATCCGCGTGTTCCAGCAGTACTGGCGCACGCCGACGTACATTGGCGGCAAGTACTCGTTGGGCATTGCGTCGGCGCTCTTCATCGGCTTCTCCTTCTACATCCCGGGCCATTCGATCCAGGCGATCCAGTCGATGATCTTCGCCATCTTCATGATGACGGCCATCTTCGCCGCGCTCGTGCAGCAGGTGATGCCGCAGTTCATCTTCCAGCGAGACCTGTACGAGGTGCGCGAGCGGCCGTCGCGCACCTACCACTGGGCGGCGTTCATGGTGTCCAACATTCTGGTCGAGATCCCCTACGCCGTGCTGCTGGGCATCATGGTCTTCGCCGCCTTCACCTACGCCGTGTTCGGCATCACCAGCGGCCAACACCAGGCCCTGCTGATGCTCTTCTGCGTCCAGTTCTTCGTGTTCGGGTCGACCTTTGCCCACATGGTCGTCGCCGCCCTCCCGGACGCCGAAACCGCGGGCCAGATCGCCACCCTCCTGTTCTACCTGACCCTCACCTTCAACGGCGTGCTGCTGCCCAGCGTCATGCTGCCGGGGTTCTGGATCTTCATGTACCGCGTCAGCCCCATGACTTATATCGTCAACGGCATCGCCACCGTCATCGCCGGTCGCCCCGTCCACTGTGCCACCAAGGAGCTTAGCCTCTTCCAGCCCTATCCGTCCCCGGGCACCACTTGCGGCCAGTACATGGCCCGCTATCTGCAGGCTGCCGGCGCCGCTGGAGGTGCTTTGATCAATCCCGACGCCACTGCCGATTGTCAGTATTGCTCGTTGAGAGTCACCGATCAGTTCCTGGGCGCGCGGGACATCAATGCCAACGACGGCTGGAGGGATTTCGGGATTGTTTGGGCCTTTGTTGCCTTCAACATCGCCGCCGCCATTTCTTTGTATTATTTGTTCCGCGTCAAAACTTGGGGGCGACGGTGATGTGCTTGAGATGAAAAGACTACCTGTATTCATATCTACGGGGACCATTCCATATACCATTTGAACACGCTCAATCCCTTCCATCACTATCCTCGACCCCAGCAGAAATGGGTAACCAATGACTTGAAGATGTTTCGTCACAACATTAGGTATGCATAATTACTACGCTGTAGGAAACTAGGCACCTACCCTACTAGGTATCAATGATAACGTGATACCGTCTGCCATCTTAGCTTAGCGAGTTGCCCATGAGCAGATATATTTATATAGGGAGTATACGTTTGTTCCACCGCATTGTATCCCGTCTAGTTGCATCAAGGATAGAACCACCTGCAGCTATTTCGTACTGTAGCTAAATGTACCTACTTCCTGCCTACCTACATAGTAGCGGTATCCACTTCCCATCGTACGGTACCCATGTATATACCTATGTATGTATATGTATACTCCGTACAGTATGACAGTTTAGGTAGGCAGGAATCACCTCACCTGGTACGTCAGTCGAGAAACTAGATTGATCTCATCTCATCTCAGCCCTCGGACGAAGCGGTGCCAGCTCTCGTCAGCCATTCTAGATGTCCACAGCCACATCTACATGCCAGACTCAGCTACATCCCAAACTCAAAGAGCCAGAGCCAGAGCCAGAGCCAGAGTCAGAGCCACACGCTCCTCCGTCGTTCCTCGGGCTAAGGAGGCCTAAGGCTAAGCCATCGAGAGAGCGGTCACAGCGGCGCCACAGCACTCATCCTCGTCCTAATCCTCATCCTCGTGGTCGCAGACGGCGTTCGAGCCAGTCGATTTCGGTATTCTTATTCTTATCGATCGACAATAGAGTGCTCGGACGAAGTTGAACTCGGAGCACGACCGCCACCACCACCACGAGCGGTGGGCTAAGCCTCACTTCTCCCTACCTGGTTCAGGTTCAGGTTCAGGTTCGGTGGTAAAGTCCCAAGATGCGCGAATGGATCAAGAATATCCGGCCAACCTAACAGTGTCGATGGGGACTTTCCTGGCCCTGTTCGCAGAGGTCCAGACTGTCATTGTCTTGAGCTATGGCCGTATCGCAAAGTCATGTTCATGTTTCGGACGCCCGGCTCGGGCCAGTCGCTATACAAAGGAGGGTACGGGAGTCATAACAGCGAGCCATAGACTGCGTAAAGACTGGGAAAGTTAGGAGGTCAGACCCTCGAGTCATTCAAGGCCACATACTATTACAGTATTCTCCTAGCCGCTATTTTTAATGCTGCTACTGACGCAGAATCCACTTACACGCCAGCCACGCTGAGATCCTGCCGCTCGACGACAACACTCCCTTCGAGCTCAGTGGTTTGCAGCCTCGCCATTCGTGATCGCAGGGAACGGTATCGGCCCACCAGGCGAGTCCGGCAAGCGCGCCGTCAAAACCTCCACCCCGTCTTCGGTGACGAGCATCGTATGTTCGAACTGCGCGGACCTGCTTCCATCCGACGTCACGGCTGTCCAGTCATCCGGCCATGTCTTGTCCCTGTAGCTGCCCAGACAGATCATGGGTTCAATAGTAAAAGTCATCCCAGCCTTGCACTTCCCCACGGCCTTGTTCTTCGCGTAGTGCGGCACGTTAGGCGCGCAGTGAAACAGCGAGTTGATGCCATGGCCACAATAGGTCTTCACCACGTTAAGATTCTGTGTTTTCGCCAGTTTCTCGATAATGTCGCCGAAGTCGCTGATTTTCACCCCCGGCTTGACGTGCTCGATTGCTTTGTCGAGACATTGGCGAGTAGTCTCAACCAAACGAACGTTGTCAGGGTCTGCTTTAGCTTTGTCACCGATGTAGTAAGTCTCATTCAGATCACCGTGGTAGCCCTCATGATAAAGCGTAACATCGATGTTGAGAATGTCGCCATCGAGGAGAACCCGCTGATCGGGAATGCCGTGGCAGATGATCTCGTTAGGCGACGTGCACACTGACTTAGGGAAATGATTGTAGTTCAGAGGAGAGGGATACGACTAGGCAAAAGTCAGATGGCACAGCTGGGAAATGACTGCCGGACTCACGTTTCGTTCTATACAAGCCTTGTGGACAATCTCATCCAGGTAATCGGTCGTCACTCCGGGTTTCGCAGCAGCCGCAGCAATGTCAAGTACTTCCCTTGCCAATCTGCACACCTTGCGCATGCCCGCGATCCCTTTCTCGTCCAACGTCTGGATGTTGTTTTTCCTCACATATGGATATCTGGGGATCCCATCTTGCGCCCATTCCGGCTGTGGTATTGACTTGGGGACTTCCCGTTTCGGAGAGAGAGGATAGACGGGTCTTATAGCCCCGGTAAACGGATAGGTAGGGAACGGGTTGAAGTAGCCAGTTTCTGGATCAACTTTAGATACGACATTCGGAGCGAAAAAATCGCGGAGCAGGTTCGTACTCTTGTGTAGTGTTTTGTGTTCAGCCTGATCGACCCAAGTCAGCAACTCCCCTAGCATGTTGTTTCAAGTCTTTCTTACGAAAGACCGTGGCAGGATAGCCTACCCAACTCCGCTTAAAGCAGTCTTGCGAACAGAAGAAACTCTCAACCCCCATCTCCTTGCATTTTGGACATTGTAATGTCGACGCATCATTTTCGCAATTCAAGCCAGGGCATTTCCGCGCCTGGGCGGCTGCTTGATCCATCTTCGACTGGTATGTGTTTGGTGTTTGGCGGGCGAGCTGTTGGCTTCCGGCTATGAATTCGCTGCCAGGGTTCAGTGGGCAAGAGCCAGTACGAGTTGCAAGTGCTTTGCGAAAGCCCGAGTGTCAGAAGTGTCGAGACTATGCTGTACAATGTTTCAATGACCGCAAGAAAAAGAAAAGCTCCTGAAAGCTAGGACGAGAACTTTGAACAAGAGAAGATTTATTTCATAGCCTGTTCGCGATTGTCAGGCGGCTTTCACTGGAGGCTTTTTTTGGACACGCCGCTTTTGCCGCCACCAGTGCTTTCCCTTTCCATTTGCAGACCTCAGAGACCATGCTACTTTAGAAGGCAGAGATCTATATGAAAAGGGTTGCCTGACTTAGACACTAGCATCAAAAAGCATCGCCTACGGAATAGACTTGTGGGATGGTAAAGCTAAGAATGGTGCCCTCCCGTACCCTGAATTCCTTGGGCTAACCCAAATTTAAAATACACAGCCGAAATGAAGAGTCCAATCCTATCAACGCCAGACGTAACTATCTTCGAGGACAGGTACAAAGAGTCCTAAAACGATGATACCACGAAATGGCCCATCATTTGTCTGAAGGCCGCAGAAATGCTCAATCTAGAAAGGAATTAGAATACACCCATCACGAGCTTTGATCCACGTCGGTAGTCCGCCAGAGAGAGTGAGAAAGAAGGGAAGTCCTGCGATCGAACCGGCCAAGATCTGAGACATTGTTGTGGTATTGAATGATGACCAGTGCGGCCAGGAAAGCATAGAGGTTTCAAAGTCTGACCTTCGATTCGGCTGCTGCTCTCCGGGGATAACGCTGGTCTGTTACCTCAAATCAAGGTTCCTTTCACTCGCGAGCTGGTGTACCTTTTCCATTATGTCTTGCCCACAGCGATTGATTTGACCCCAACATGGCGATCGCATCCTCCTATGCAGGATTAGTAAATATCCTAGCACTTAGCAGAAGTAAAACAAAATATGCAGAATGTCCAGAGGGATAACCCTATCCCCAGGCACCAACGAATAGGTTACGTACCGGGTCAGTTCCTTGGCCGTGACCGACGCATCTGTCTTGAAAGACAGCTGCTGGTCATATACTGGCGTTGAACCAGCTATCAAAGCTGAAAAAAGCGGATAAAATGCTCAAGCTGAGACTTTAGGGCATGCTCCGGGCCATCCTAGATTCACCTCTCAATCTCTCTCGTTGTGCGTGATTCTTGTCTTTCTTCCTGGTAAAGCTGAGTATCGATGCGGGCGCTGACCGAGTGACGACGACAGCCGTGAGGATCTGTGCAGGAGGCTCATCCTGTCTAGTAGGACACTGTAGAATAGAATATGTTCTCCCAGCTCGATGGAAACTGATCCTCACATTGGGTGCGGTCCAACTGACTGTGTCCTTCGAGGAGGATAATATCGGCCCAAGGCATTCGTGTGATAGATCGCGATTATGTAGCTTCAAGTTGCCTGCTGATCCTTTTCACCCGCTTGTTTCCACTCGAATTCTGTGCTGGTCAGTCCTGAATACGTCTTCCACGAAGTCGATACAAGCTTACTCTGGCGGCACATGGGGCAAAGTCCCTTCGAAGACTCTTGTTGGATCCATGTTAGGAGACAGTGCTGCCGAGATTAGGCTCCGTCATGCTCCGGAATTTGGACCAGGATACACACCATATGGAACGAGTGGCCACATTTTCCTATCAACAACGTACAATCGTCGCCCGGGAACTTACAAGTTGGGCAAGTTCCGTCAAATTGTACTCGACAGATTCCGCAGACTTCATCCTCAGGCATATCCCATCGCCACATAGCAACCGCGTGCCATTGCTTTATTTTGACTTTCATCCTGAGAGACTCTTTGCCGCGAGGAGACAGAGGGTAGGAGGAGAAGGTCGCGGATCGTGGTCGGTGCACAGACTCGATAGATTGATACCTGTGTGCAGTCGTGCAGCTTCAGGACATATTGTTGACACAGTCAGTAGTTGGTAGAATTGTTAGGTGTTGAAACTCGGCGGATGTTCTTCACATGCGTCTGTCGCGTCTCGAAAGCGGTCAGTTTTGTTTGGTTCCCTGAAGGCGGCCGAAGAAGCGGCAGTCCCCACTACGTCAGTTCCAGTTCAGTGGGGGGAATATGTACCGAGTACTCTGTAGCTCGGTCTCAACTCAAGCCTCGATCCGATGAAGCTCTAAGGTAGTTATCCGAGTCAAGTTTGTGACCGCAACTATGAGATGTATGTCGTCCCGTTGAAACAACTATGAACCATGCTAAAAATGATCCAGACGTCTGTGGCACGGAGTGATGACTGACGGATCACTTTGAAAATGCTGATTATCACACCCACGTCGCCTCTTTGGCGTCATGGAGCTGTCCGCTCCCTCGGTATAGGTATTCGGCACTATGGCACCACGTTGCTGCCGCGTCAATCCTTCTCTTCCTATTTGGTCACGCCAAAAGAGCTCAACGATGCCCTCGGCAAAAATTCTCCAACAGCGATCTCGACAGCTCCAAGAGTCATTCCTATCTGTGCCGCATGGTTCATGCCCAATGATCCTGAGAAGAGGACTGGGCTTGAAGTCTTCAAGAAGAAGAGAATACCTACTGCAAGATACTTTGATATCGATGAGATCAAGGACAACGAATCGCCCTATCCGCATATGCTACCCACCTGCGAAACGTTTGCAGAAGCCATGTCGAATCTTGGCGTGAGGAAGGATGATGAGGTGGTGGTCTATGATAGTGAAGAGCTGGGGTTGTTTTCTGCTCCACGAGCTGCTTGGACAATGCGAGTGTATGGCCACCCTAGAGTACACGTGCTTAACAACTTTCGGCTTTGGGTCAAAGAGGGCTACCCCATCGAGACGGGGCCTCCAACAGTCCCCAATATCACAAAATATCCTATTCCCAGCTACAACACGGATATGGTGGTCAAGTTTGCCGAGATGAAAACCATTGGCTACGACTACGGCAAAGAAGGGTCTGAAGAAATTCAAATCCTCGACGCACGATCCCAAGGCCGCTGGGAGGGCAGTGAGCCAGAACCAAGACCGGGGTTGAAGTCCGGTCATATGCCTGGCTCAACAAGCCTGCCGTTCCAGGAGCTTCTTGATCCTGAGACGAAGACTCTGAAGCCTCGCGAAGAGCTGCGCAAGATCTTCGAGTCCAAGAAGCTAGATCCCAAGAAGCCGTTCATTGCTACGTGTGGCACTGGTGTCACCGCAGCAGTTATTGAAGCTGCCCTCAAAGAGGCAGACTTTGGCTCCGAAGATGATCGAAGACTCTACGATGGCAGCTGGACGTGAGTTTTGTCACATCGTTGACCTAGTACTGAAGCTGACTCCTCTTACAGAGAATGGGCGTCCAGGGTCTCCCCTACCAGCGGACTCATATTATCCAGTGCTTCATCTCGGTGAACGTTCTTTACCATCGGTTGTTTGCAACGTCGGGAGTTTGGTGGTAACCTAGTAGCGTTGGCGCAATAGTTCTGATGGCACTCTGCTTCTCCTGAAAAGTGCTGGAGAGGTTTAATTGATCCGAGACTGAGCCCCTTCTTTGATAACACCCTCCCTTGCGGTTATTTCAAGCCTATATGAAGGCAATGTAGATCACACACGCGAGCGGCGTCTTTCGGAGGCAAATGCTCCGTGGGGTAGCCGCTCCACCATGATAATTCCAGCATTATTGAGCTCCGCGGATCAAAGCATTGGATTACAATTTTATGATTTCTCGCCTGCATTCACCATCATCATCAGTGCAAAGTTGCCGTCTCTTTGTTGAAGTGTTGGGACCTGAGTAAACATTATCTTCATTCATCTGGTCTGTTGGGAGATTTCCCCCTTGTGGCACGCTCATCCGCCTCTGGCATGAATCCAAGGTGACATGACCCAGGCCACGAAAGATGCAGCCAAATTTCTGAAGAGCACACTTCGGCTGCCCTCCTCCACGTTTCCTCCTCGCCCAAAGCCCGCAGATATCGCCAAATACCTTCCAAGATGTGCAGATGACCTCTACGCCTGGCAGCGCCAAGAACGGCCTGCTGCGAACACTTTTGTCCTCCACGATGGACCGCCTTACGCCAACGGAGATCTGCACGTCGGACACGCGCTGAACAAGATCCTCAAAGACATCATCTGCCGCTCTAGGCTCGCCGAAGGCAGACGGGTTGACTACGTGCCTGGTTGGGACTGCCACGGTTTGCCGATTGAGCTAAAGGCTCTTGAACAGCATGGCTGGCAGCGCGGACAAGGCGTCGACCCCGTGGCGATCCGCAAAGCCGCGAGAAAGTTCGCTTACAAGACGGTGGAAAAGCAGATGGCTGGCTTTCGGTCGTGGGCTGTGATGGGTGATTGGCAAAATCACTGGAAAACCATGGACAAGAGCTTTGAAATGCGGCAGTTGGCGGTGTTTCAGGCTATGGCGCAGCATGGGTTGATATACCGAAAGCACAAGCCAGTGTATTGGTCGCCCTCCTCTGGGACTGCTCTAGCCGAAGCGGAGCTTGAATATCAGGACGACCACGTCTCAACTGCGGCATTGGTGAAGTTCCCCTTAGACACATCTGATCTCTCAGGGGATGGACTAGTCAATGCGGTAATATGGACTACTACGCCCTGGACGCTTCCGGCAAATCAAGCAATAGCCATTCATTCCGCCTTGCAGTACAGCCTCGTCAAATCAGAGACTCACGGACTTTTGATCGTGGCACGTGCCAGAGTGTCCTATTTGGAGGAGACCATAGGAGAGCATGTACAGGTCGTCTTGGACTCTGTCCCTGTTGACAAGCTGCTGCAAAGTACCTATTCGGGCTTGAGCCAGTTTGGAAATGGAGCAGCGAATAGGCCATTCGTTCACGCAGACTTCGTGTCAGCCCAGAGCGGTACCGGTCTCGTTCACTGTGCTCCTGGTCATGGTATGGAGGACTATGAAGCTCTGCAACCATTGATCCAAGCCTCAAAGGTGTCTGTGCGAGCGCCGGTAGACAACCTAGGTCGTTTCAATGACACGGCCTCTCCCAATGATCCCAGCCTTTTGGCTGGAAAAGACGTATTCGGAGAGGGAAACAAGGCGATCTTGGAGCTGTTGCAGGAAAGTGGGCTGCTCGTCCACCAGCACGCATACAAACACAAGTACCCGATAGACTGGAGGACCAAAGAGCCCGTGATCATCCGCGCAACGGCTCAGTGGTTTGCCGATATTTCCGAGATCAAAACTGACACCATGCACGCGCTCGACACTGTACGCTTTCTGCCTGAGACAGGTAGAAGCCGCCTGCGGAGCTTTGTGGAGAACAGGAGCGAATGGTGTATCTCGCGGCAGCGAGCCTGGGGGGTTCCTATACCGGCAATCTACCATAAGACCACGGGTGAAGCTGTCTTGACGCCGGAGAGCATTGGACATATCATTAGAGTCATTGACGACCGAGGAATCGATGCGTGGTGGTCTGACGCACCCGACGATCCACGCTGGATCCATCCGGGCTTGTCATCCTCTCCAGGCTCTTCAGAATACGTTCGTGGCATGGATACAATGGACGTGTGGTTCGACAGCGGCACGAGCTGGACGTTGATGCTTCAAGATACCAAAGGGTCGGTCGAACTCCGACCTCAATCTGCACCACTGGCCGACATTTATGTCGAAGGCACCGATCAGCACAGAGGCTGGTTCCAGTCAAGTTTACTCACCAACGTGGCATACCAGAAATCTCTGCACCCAACTGCCGCCTCGAATATACCGTCATGCCATGCCCCGTTCCGCATTCTCGCTACCCACGGCTTCACCTTGGATGAGCACGGTAAGAAGATGAGCAAATCACTCGGCAACGTCATTGCTCCTGCTCAGATCATTGCTGGCATCGAACCGGCCTCGAAGACAGCCCCCGTTACTGCGAAGGCATCACAGCAGACCAAGGGAAAGCGGGAGCATCATCCTCTCGGACCCGATGCGCTGAGAATGTGGGTTGCAAGTAGCGAGTGGACCAAGGACGTTGTGATCAGCGACAAGGTCGTTAGTTCTGTCCACAACGCACTCGACAAGTACCGCCTTACAATGAGGATGTTACTGGGCATGTTAAGCGATTTTGATCCACGGATGCTCGTCCCGTATGAGAAAATGTCTCGGCTGGACCAGATGGCAATGCTGCAGCTATACGTCGTCTGCCATTCTACACGAAAGGCGTATTCGGATCTAGAGCTTCACAAAGCCGCATCCTCCATCCATAAATGGGTTACGACGGATTTGTCCAGCTTCTACTTTGAAGCCATCAAAGACATCATTTATTGTGACACGCCCACAAGTGAAAGGCGATTGAGTGCTCAGACAGCGCTACATCATATTTTGTGTCAATTACAGACTCTGCTTGGACCGATCACACCACTTTTGGTGGAGGAAAGCTGGGAACACAGCCCCGAGAGCTACAAATCTGCGCTTGACCACCCACTGAAGCGGATATGGACCTACCCTCCAGAAGAATGGTACGACAATGCTCTGGAGTGTGTGATACCAACGGTGATGGCTATCAACTCGAGCGTCAAAGCCGCACAAGAAGCGGCTCGCAAGGACAAACTCATGGGACAGTCGCTGGCGTCAGATGTCACGATCCATCTTCGGGAAGGTATTGATTTGTCCAATGTGCCGAGAGACACTCTGAGAGAAATCCTGGTGGTGTCGGAAGTGGAAATAGTGAAGCAGGGCGTTGTTGAAATTGTCTCTGGTCAAGAATGGATACGCTCGAGCGATATCGTGTCGCCCGAAGGGCAGACACTGGGGATCGCCCATGTCACGAGCCCTCGTGGTGGAAAATGTGCTCGATGCTGGAGATATGTGGTTCAACCAGAAGCATCACAGGAACCAGAAGAACCACAAGATACCGAAAAGCTACCCCTCTGTGTACGATGTACAGACGCCGTTGCGGAACATCAAAAGTAGGGATGGATTGGTCTGCATGTTAGATACCCATGTACCGTATATTGTACAATTACACGCTCTTATCTCAGTGTCGACACTGGCAGTGGACTTTAATTCCAAGGGAAGGGGGTGATCTAATCGCCAACTCGGACCGCGGGCGGCTGATGATAGGAAATGAAAGAGCGTTCAAGACGAGATCCTGCTGCGGGCGATCGAAGCGCCACCGCAATCATTTGCGACTGGTCATGGGATCTGCAGGACTTGATGGCAATCCAAAGACCTCGTTAGCTGCATCTAACCACGTAGCTGTCCAAGCGATCAATGCGGGGTCAAGCGTGTAGAATGACTCGCATTGATAACTGGAACCGAGACTTGATTTTTTGACATACCTTACTGTGCATGGCTCGGACGAAGAGTATCTGCCGGTGAGGCTGTCCTAGAGCTCTCATTTTGCATGTTGGTGACGCCCCGACTCACTGAAGAGACATCTGCGTTGTACTGTACCTACTGCGAGTGTTGTAGCGTCCCGTGGTCTCTCCCGGAGTTCACAGTACGTCCGACGTCATGAGTGACGTTTGCTCATAGCTTCGATCTGCAGCTAGCTCTAGAGTTCAACATGGGTTGAATATGTGGACTGCATTGCAGTCTTCAATGGATGGCTGGGGCCCCGAGAAGGCATGGAGCCCTTGGAAGCCTGGCACCTACTGGGGGCGAGTGTCTTTGACCGCCGTATGGGCTCAACTGCGGTTGCTGAGGTGTTCCCGTGATGAAGCTGGCCATCACGGTTGGTCGTTGATGGGAAAGATGGACACGGTGTGCCGGAGGCGCATCAGTGGTGACGGTTATGGCCGCAGCTATATTCGAAATGCGTGGCTGGTGCACGATTGATTCGACGAGGCCCGTGGCTCCTGACGCCTTAGCAGGCCCCTAAGGTCAGTGGCAGGCTAAGGACCAGGGCACAAGATGGAAACATGGAGCTAAGGCCCCTAAACACTGCTTGCCCCCGCAATTTGCAGAGAAGTTACACCACCGCATCTCACCCACTGCACTGTCTTGCATCTCGCGCTGCCCTTCAAACAGGAAACGAGAGGCAGGCGAGGAACGGTGACCCTGAGGATGAGGGGGCCGGCCCCATCACAACCATTCACACAGCACAGTCCAGCGGCGTGACCCAGGCGGCAGAGGAGAAATGACCATTGCCAATTCCTTTCCAGGCAGCAGGCCAGGGAAGCTGTCGGAGCTCCTTCGTCATCACTTGGTGCTTGCCTCACTTTCTATGGACCCAATGTCTTCCTGACTGTCCCTTTTGTGCCACTGCATTTCTTTTGACTGCTGCCTTGCTCTTCCTTTCTTCAACCTCGCTCCTGGAAGAGTCTCACATCTACATCCATTCCACAGTTCACTGTTTACTTGCCGTACTGATTGTTGCAATCGTATCTCGCGAAGCATCATCTACTCCTGTTCCCTTCTCTTTGAGCCTCTAACTTTCACATTGTGTCTACCGCCGTCGGAATGATTCTTCATCCAGACATGATGAAGACCACCCTACCAACTGCTGCCTCCTCGGTGGCTCCCATTCCCACCATTATCCCAACTCCGGTGATCAATGTCACAGCCGGTGCCGCGGGGCATAGGACTCTCTGGTACACACGCTCGCCTCCATAGCCACCAACCGTTGCTGACTATTCCCAGGGTTGTGGTGGTACTAATGGCTATTTCCTCGCTGGTCATCTATGGCCTTGCGTTCCGGGTGCCTGTGGTAAATTTAAAGCTCCAATCGAGTGCAGTGCCTTTTCTGACGACGGCAGCAAAAACGTCTCTTCCATGTCCTGACTGCCTTCATCACCACCTTTGCCTTCTTGTCCTACTTCGCTCTGGCTACGGGGGACGGGATCTCGTTCAACACATATACAGTGACTGAGTCACACAAGAGGGTCCCGGATACACATCAAACATACAAGCGGGAGGTCTACTGGGCAAGATATGTCGACTGGAGCATCACAACCCCACTCCTTCTCTTGGATCTGGCCCTACTTGCTGGCCTCAGCGGTGCCAACATCTTGGTTGCCGTCGTTGCTGATATCATCATGATTTTGACGGGTCTGTTTGCTGCTTTTGGTACCAAAGGTAGTCAGACCTGGGGCTGGTATGCAATTGCCTGCATTGCGTATTTGGTCGTCGTCTATCAGCTTGCTTTCAATGGCCGACAGGCTGTCGCCGCGAAAGACAGTAAGACGAAGGCTTTCTATGCTTCCATTGCCGGCTTTACCCTGGTCGTCTGGACCCTCTATCCTATGTGAGTGTCCTTGGGGTACGTTCAAAGCATCTAGAGCCGCTGCTGACAAAACATAGCATTTGGGGACTCTCTGAGGGTGGTCATGTCATCAACGTCGATTCGGAGATTGTGGCATATGCTGTGCTGGACATCCTTGCCAAACCAGTTAGTCAAGCCCTTGCCACTTATTTCATGACATCTAACAGGCTACAGGTCTTCGGCTTCTGGCTTCTGTTCACTCATGATAGCATGTCTAGCACGTAAGTTCAGCCTGCACAGCCGCTCTGCGTCTCACTGACAGTTTTAGTACTCCGTCGCTTGAGGGATTCTGGTCGCAAGGCTTTGGCAGCCAAGGCACCCTCCGAGTGGGCGATGATGACGATGCATGAGCCCATACGCCGACCTATCCAGGCATAGGCGATAATGAGCGAACCATTCACGGGACCTCGCCCCCGATATAGCGCTGGATGCACAACGCAAGGCGGGGAATATGGTGAGTCATGGGGATTGACGGGAGAGAGAGGTGGCAGTCATCGACGGTGCATAATGACATGGATCTCATGAAGGTTGAATCGAGCAACGTACATTCGCTAAGTTAGGGCTGGCGTTCTTCTCGGTGCAGCAGTTCGAGCGCATCAAGCTTGATAGGCGAATTGTACAGTAACACCTTTCATTTTTGACAATTGGCATGACAAAAATCAGGCTTCAGGTTGCATGGTACAATGACAATTGATTTCAGTGCATGATGTATGATCTGCTTGTCACGCTCTGACCTAAGGCATTATACCGTGTTGTCCCTCCCATATCCAGATCTTCTGGTATTGACGGTGTGGTTGTCATCTGTCGACGTGCCCACTCAATCCAGAGAAATCCAGAGGCTTTCCCCAACCATGACGGCGACAGTGGCACTGAAGGAAGCCATTAGAATCTTCGGGTTGGGCGCTCCTGCACACTTGGAGGGGAAGCGGTCAGCTGTTTGGATTGGATCGTCGCCGAAGCCACCAACTTACTGTTGGCTCTCCCTTATATCTTGGTTGTCAACTCCTTGCAGAGGCGGACCACTATTGCCATGGTCAAAATAGGCAATTCCCTTCTCAACCAACGACCACTATCAATGCTCATCTCACTGTCGGCGATGTCTGCCATGGTGCTGGCAGTCGCCCAGGCCCAGACCATAGAATTCCCGAATCCCAGGTACTGTTTGTTCAGGATGATGACCTCCTGCAGAGCGACTGACTTCGGCGTCCCCGAGCAGTTCTCCTTGGCCATCGAACGAAGACGTTGCGAGTGCAGATTGTACCCACACACTCTATACCGAGCCAAAGCTGGTGTTCGGACCGACAAGCACGTTCTACTCCGTGACCACATACACTTCGAAGGCTTATGACTGCTTCGGGTGCAGCAGCATCGATGTTCGCCCATTGGGTAACATCCTTGTGGTAAGGCGTTTACCGCAGGGGGGCTGATCTGATCGCCTCTCTTCGTTCGATGTTTGCTTCCTCAGCTGACAGTTGAGGTTAGGAAGTCCACTATACCACCACCGTCACTGCGCTGAATGCGACCACGATAACAACACCACGATGCAGTTCTACATCCGCCACCCTGTGAAACGGGGTTCATCGGAAGATTCAGTGGGGATCTGCTAGCCTGCAAGTAACAAACTTCTGAAGACTTGCCCATGAAGAGAAGGGGGACAGCAATATGGTCACACAAGCAAGACTGTTATTAGTGGAGTTCAGATTTACCTCTGTTATTTCAACTTGTCGAAAATACATCGCATTCAAACTTTACTTTTGAGATCTGCTGGATCCACAGGTTCAATTCTTCTGCGAGCTACGTGACTATGATTCTTTCTCCGGCGTCCGTACGAAAAGACATCGGCGAAAGGAAGAGTGGCTTGATAATAAACGTGCGAGCCATATACGTATTATCAAACTGTCAGCATCGATGCCGAAAATGACTCACCGGATCATGAGATAGAGAGACAGATCGCGTTTGAGACCTGTTGGTATACTCGAATGCTGTCAAAGTAACATTAAGCTTAAAGCCCAACCCAAACTCTGACCCAAACGCAAAAACATTTTGTCGGCGAAGCAAAGTGTCAGAGGCCTTCCGGATTCGGAATGCAGAATACTGAATCCGGCATCTACGTTATCACATATGTCTCCTCGCAACAGGGCGCCCGTTTTCACTGCAGATTCGACGCAGATCGGATGTAGATTCTCTTCTGCCGGTAGTAATTAATACAGTCAACTCTCGTGCTACTTCCAGAAGAGAGGCAATTGAAATTGCGAGTCTGGTAGGAGTGGACCTCCCGCCACGTGACACTGAACAACCACACACGCCACACTGTGGCTGAGCATGGATGGATGAATCAGCGTCCCACCACTTTTGTATGGGATCTATCCGTACTCCGTACTCTTGGGGCTTGACCTGCCAGCGTAAAGTGAAGGGGTTTCGAGTGGAGCGAAAAAGTGGCCGTGCAAACACTGGGCATGGCATTCAAAGCGCCCAACCCCAATCTACCTCCACTTGGATATTCGGCCATCAAACACGACAGCCATCCAGCCCCTTTGCCTGCGTGCTCCTCTCTCGACCAGAGCATGCTCCTCCTCTCGAGTCACCGGGCAACGCACCTCCGCGATCCCTCCAACCTTGAAGGCGTTTCCCCAGCGCAGTGCCTGTTCCGGAAGTGTTCTCCGCAAGCGACAACACCGACGGAAGCACATTCCACGTGCAACGCAGCCGCACGTCCCTAAGCAGTCTGGCCAAGCTTGAGGCGGGAGACATTATACAGGGAAGAAGACGAAAGAGCAAAACACGGCAGTCTTGTCAGACACATTGGGTTGGCGTCCGAAACGGCAGTACACATGCCAAAGCCTGCGTGCTGCGGGTCGGTGCAGGCGTCCGTCAACATGCTGGTCCAAGAGATGGTCTTGAACAACGACTCGAACCGGTCCCAAGATATCTACGAACGCCACTTTGCTCCCATGAAGTCATTCAAGTCGGACATTCCGTTTTCTCTGGCCACCCCTCGAAAGCATGCTCCTTTGGTGGCCTCCGTCGCAGACCTAACCGACACGGACGGGCAATCGGTCGGTGTCATCACAATCAAGGCGACGGACTCCCTACCACCGGAGACGGGCAGCGCTGTCTGTGAAACGGTGTGTCATGGCCTAGAAGCCCAGAAGAGTCTAGGAAAGCCCAAGGTGTCGCTGAACGACCTCCCTCTTGAACTCCAGGGCAAGGTGCTCGACTTCATCTTTGGGGACATGCATTCTGTATATGCGGCCAGCACGTCATTACGAGGGAAGAGCGTGTCTTCCCTCATGCGGCATCCACGTCGGAAAGCAGTATCGGATTTGGCTTTGGTCTCGTCCGCATGGCGCGACTTGGTTCAGGAACGAATATACAGGCACATCAAACTCAAAGGCACTCGTGCTGGACTGGCAGATTCGGAGGAGTTCTTCGTCAACCATATGCATCTGACGAAGTTGGTGCGCCACATCGAATTCTGGGTACCTGTCTGGGGAGACAAGGCATCATCCGTAGACACTCGTTCTATGGGGTCGGTCATGCAAGGGCCTGAATGGAATGGGTATTTTCACCTCCCCGACCAGACAAATGAGAGCCTCGTCCCTGCGAATGACTTTTTGGGATATGGCTTCAAGCTAAGCGCCTACTCGGCAACGCTTTCCGAAATCTTTAGCCACATCAGTTGTTTCTTCCCTAACTCGCGCGTCTTCACTCTCGAAGGTGGTCACTGCAAAAAATCCAACATGATTCGACATTTTCCGCAAACGCTGTTCCCGGACCCGAATCAGAGTCTCGAGAAATTGCCCAACATTCGGACATTCGCTATGCGCGGAGCTTGGAATATCATGCGGAAACACGCTCACTGGAGGACGATTGAGTCTGCCTTGCCAAATGTGGAGGAATGGCACTGTGGCTACGCAAAGCCACGGATCGAGGCGGATGCTACTATCAACAGCATTTTACAACATCTGCCGTCGCAGCTCCGCCACGTTAACATATCTCTTGACGGAATGTACAGTAAAGATCCGCTGACAGTCGGATCGAGCTACACTCCAGGGCAACCGCATTTATGCGAGCGATTAGGTCGAGTACTTCCCCACCTGGAGTCGTTGACTTTCACGGGTAAAATCTGCGAATGTCTGTGGACTTCGGCCTTTTCGGCGCTTTCCGATCTGAAGCATGAGCCACGGCTCAAGGCGGTGGAAATCGTCGTCAAATCCTGCTGCCGTCAACGTGTCACGGATATCGACCCAGAGACAGGCGAGACGATTGTGCATGAACTCGGCGGCGTGATGGCCGACGGGGCCGGCATCACCAACCTTGTCTTCATCCGGGCGTTTGAGCGTTTGGTGCTGCATGCCGTCGAGGCGTTGTCACGCTTTCCCCATCTCAACTACGTCCGCATTCGGTTCATCGATCTCGACTCCCCATGTACGCTGCTCAACCCGTACTGGCAACTGGAGAATGGCAAGGTGTATGGAATCTGGAGTGAAGAGATCGTCGAGCGCCTCAGTGAAGTGAAGCCAGAGGTCGAGTACGAAGAGCTGGGTGACGGGATCGAGTATGCCGGGTACCACCGAAAACCCAGTCCCACGGCCGTGACTGGGCTGGGCAGTGACCCAACGGACGGCGCGCGTGGCGCGACTCCAAGTCCAAGCGTCGTGGCCGGACTTGGATCTGGATGCAGTCTCTACCCGAAGCTGAAGCCGCGCAGTATCAAGACGACTAGCTACAAGGTCGTCGCCGACGCCAGGGGTAGCTGAATGCATGGAGTGTCTGAGCCGGACGACGTCACGGACGAAAATGAAAACCAGATTGACTTTTCCCTTTTTCCCCTTTTTCTTTGACTGTTCGGCGGGCTGGGTTGGCGAATGGAGGTACGCTGGTCGGGCGCATTGGCCGTCATTGTCATATTCGTCGTCAAACGTGTACCAGGGAATTGATGGGAACGGCAACGGGGGTGAGAGCGGCGCATACCATTCAGCACCGGTGGGGAAACATGTCTGTCGTCTTCTACTGCTGAGCGGTCCTCGTGCGGCGGTCTGGTCATCGCATCGTGAAAAGGGACATTGTTGCAGGCGGTCATCGCATCGTCAAAAGGGAAACTGTTGCAATCATGTTGTATGTTGTGCAGTACCTCTATTCTATGACTGGGACGCGAAGTGAAGTCGGAAAACAGCCATGAAGATCGGATACAGTACGGAGTACCTTAGATGATCTCACGAGTCTTGATTGTGAACGGGGTGGAATTTCCAACAGACACGACAATAATCTAGTCATGACTACCTACCTACCTAATCCCCAGATTCTTACCTTACACACTCGGACTAGTAGGTACAGTAGGTAGGGACTTTTCTAGCACCAAGGCTGGTTTCAAATTACAGTACGGAGTACGGATACATAAACCAGGCTGGCTCGACGCTCAGTACCAGTAGTCTCCATTGTTGCCTGCTTGGGCCAAGGTTTTTGATATCGGGTTAAAGGTGGCACAATTTTCAATATCCGCATTCTAGCATCCTATGCAGCGTGTCTAGACCAAGTTGCAAACTTCCTTCGGGGTGGTTCGAAAATGCAATTATCATGTCGTTCCCTCGGGTCGTTCCCATAATGCGGATCCGACATCCCTTGCATAACCAGATTAGTTGCTCTTCAACACCCGGTTTCGCGGGCCTAGATGGACACTAGTGATATCACTTATGTCTAGGACGCTGTTGCCTCGCGGTCTGCTAGATCTTGGGCCATCCGTGCTCCTTTGTGAAACCGCATTCGTCTCGGTCTTTGACGTTGGTTTAGAACCCGAGGCTGAAGCCGAGACTGAAACTGATGGTCGTGATCCCGCTACCACATTCATAACCGGGCTTATAGCCACGTCTTCCACCACGATCCCGAGTATCCCACAGTTGATCGCGAAGAAGCCCAGGCTTGCTGCAAACAAGCCGGGGACAAACGTGCTCCTACCCAAAAACTCAAGCTGGTAGCCCTGCTGTAACCATGCAGCCTGACCCAATACCCAGAGTGCCAGGGCAGTTGCACCAAGTGCTGGCCGTGCAGTAAGCGATGAATTCGGAATGTACAGCGGCAAGAAGATGAGGTACCACAGAAAGTACTGGGAAGTGCAGACTTTGTTGAACGTGACAAAGGCCAGGGTCTGTGCAAGCATCGTCGCTGGCAGGTCTCGTTTGGCCATTCCAACGGGGATGAGAAAAGCGGAAAGCAGCAGTTGTGGCACAAATGCCAGAGATTCTAAAGATAATGCTGCCGATGCACCCGCAAGAGAAGGGACCGCTTGCTGGGCGGACGAGAGGTAGAGTAGTGTATTATATGGGGAAAAGTTGTGGCGATGGTCGATTCGCGTCAGATGGTGGAGAAAAGTGTGCTGGAGAAACGGTGGGCCGTAGATATTGTACATGAGAACATTGAGAGCTGCGAATGTGAGAAGCGATGCAGAGATGAACAAGATGCGGTTTGTGTTGAAGAACTTGAGCACGCTCTGTAATGTCGTGCTGGTTGAGGTAGAGGATCTGGTCTCGAGCGCCCACAGCATGCTGGCCCCGTAGATGAAAGGGTATATCTTGAAATGCACACACAAGCCCAGCAGGATTCCCGACAGGGTGATCTTCCCTGTCTCAAAGGCCCATAAGAGTGCCATGACCAGGACACAAAGAAACCCCTCGCTGCTTCCACGAGTACTGATGTTCGCGACCATCGGATTTAGGAGCCATACACTGGCATATTTCAACGCTTTTCCCTCTTGCAACCCCCGTCTCTTCAAGACCATTAGGATGAGCCATCCAGCAATCAAATCAGACAGTGCAAACAGCACTTTGCCAAAATGGAACCAGAGCCCTCCCCAACTGGTGGGGAGAAGGATCCAGGAAAGCAGAGGAGTATAGCGGTACGTTGCGCGGTCGTAGGGCGAAGAACGCCAGGTGACGGCCCGCGCTGCATCTGTAAAGACGTAGTAGTCGATGTCTGTGTATTTTATGGCGGAGACTGAGTCCTGATATATCCCATAAACTAGGAGGATGGCCCGCAGAAGAAAGGCAGAGGCGAAAATCGAGGTGCGGGAGGAGAACACTGAGGCCAGGAGCGACGGCATGTTGCTGATTGCATGACTTGTAGGCGTTCCTGAACGGAAGATACAAGCTTCCTAGGGGATGCTGCGAAGATTCAGTCTCGGTTCGCCAACAAACTCATACTCGAAAGGGTGCAGAAGGAGGTCGAAAAGAGAGGCTCCATTGGCGGTAACCTGCCCAAATCGTATCCCTGTACCGGAGTAGTTGTTTGATGAGAACTCTCATGACAGCTATGATTAAAGCGGCGGGACTAAAAAGCCACTCTGAGAGTCAGCTCTACGGCGTACTACATATACGGAGTAACGCTGATTGTTGGTGAAGTGGCCACCGAAACGGCTGTTATTGGCGCCGCTTTTGGCCTCCGTCGTACCCGCCCTTGTCGGTCGATATCTACCTAGGTAGCCTCGTAGTTTTTCCGTCGTAATATTTTCTATATACTACGTCCTCGCTTTATATGACTTATCTCTCCAAGACACTCCATGCCGAGAGAAAGCGTGGCTAACATACCTGTCACGAACCGCAGAAGCTATCCCCAAGTACATACTCCAAAAACAAAGGGAATGCCTAAGATCAACTACCACTACCATCCAGACCACCTAACTCCTACTCCTTCACGTAGACAACTTGCTCTTGCACCAGTCCAGCCCTTGTTGGTAGTGCTCGATAACACTGCAAATTGCCGTCCCGTTCACTCACGTTTAGAACTTTGAGAGAATGCTGCTTCCCATTTCCTCTTCAAGTCGCCCTGTGCGAGCTGAAGTGATGGTGATGATGAAGCTGGGGATGTTGTGGAACCAGACCCACCGTCTCTACTCTCGAACACGTCGAGCGCGGTCACTTCGGATGAGGCTCGTTCCATGCATTCTGACTCTCGATGTACGGCGGCCGAGCTTTGCTCTATCATGTTTGTCGGATCCACAGTGTCTGTCAACGAGGGGCTGCTTCTTCGGGCAACGTCGTCTCCGTGTTTCAAGTAGAATTGCTTCTGATGCTCCAGACATAGTGAGACCTCCTGGGTCCGGCTTCGTTCGTCTTCGAGGAGCTTGCTGGCCTCGACGGCTTGGGCGAAATTCGTCCGGGCCACGTCGAGATCGCCCATCTTCTGGCAGATCGACGCCAGCTCGCGCTGAGCTCGGACTCTTTGGGCGGGCAACTTGGAGCGCTGAAAGACCTGCAGCATGTTCCGCCTCGCCATGACCAATTTTCCCGTCACAGACTGGAGGAGGGCGATGTTGGACTTGGTGCGTAGGGCGTCCTCCGAGTCGACCCCGTACCTCTCGGCGTAGAAGCCGAGGGTGTCATTCCAGAGGCTCTCGGCTTTCTCGAACGTTCTGGTCGCCTGCTCGCTACTGCCAGATGATTGCTCTCCGAGCGTCTGACCGTAACCCATGCAAGCCCTCGCCAGCTCATCTGCCGCCGTCACAGTGGCATGATGAGAGCCCCCCCATTGTTCTCTGTATATCGCCGTCACCTCGGCCAGGATCTCGCAGGCGTCATTGTAGTTCTCGATATCGGTGTATACTCTTCCCAGATTCAACTTGGTGGACAAAGATATCGGGTGCTCGGCGTCCAGATGCCTTCTCTGAATCGACATAGCCCTTTGTAGCAACGCCATGCCTTGTCTCGTGTCCCCACGCTCAATGTCAATCTCTCCCTGCGCATTCAGAACCCGGGAAAACATGATCTCGCCCCAGCGGGGTAGTGTACCTCCAGCCTTCGCTCGTCGCTCAACGAAGTAATCGGAGACCTGGTGGAAGGCTCGCGCCGCAGCATCCACGTTCAGAGTCATGCGACATGCATTGCCGTAATTGAACATGATACACGCCAGCGTATCCGCATAGCTGGTTTCCAGCGCCCACAAGCCTTGCGGGTAAAATTGTATGCTTTCAGAAAAGGTTCCCACGGCGAGATTAAACTTGCGCTGACCATAATAGGCGAGGCCGAGGTCGTTCAACACTTCTGCCATGGTCTCAGGATAGGCTTGTTGATGAGGCCTCAGAGCATCAAGCACGGTGCTGTAGAGCTGACACGCCTCTTCATAACGGCCCAATAATCGGTACAAGGCCGCAAACCGTTCCACATGTTGGGGCGGAAAACCTGTCGCACGTACGTAGACCATGCATTGACCGGCATGAAGTGCTAGGGCCTGGCCTTTCTTCCAATATTGCTTGTCGAGGGATCGAGGCACATTGTCAGCCACGATCGCAATTGCCCAGGAGATGAAAGTCTCCTTGAGATCGCCTGCTCGGGTTCGGGAGAATGCATGGATGGCAGGATGAATCATGTAGGAAGCTTCCTCGTTATCGCCATAGTTTAGTTGAGCAAACGATAAGTCGAGCAAGGCTTCAATTACTCGTCCAAATTGCTCCCTGTCTGCTCCCAGCGAGAGTAGCCATGCAGGTAGATTGGCTGACTTGACGTTGTGGCACAAGTCGAAGGAGAGATTCCGATGATCCAAAAATCCAAACAGAATCAACAGCTTTGCGGCACCTGGGTTTCTCGATTGGAGCTCTTCGAAGCAGAGATTCAACGTCCGCACCAAGCCAACTCACGCTCCTCCACATAGAGACATAGTCGGACACTTTGATGCCGCGGATATAGGTGATGGCAAGCCTTAAAGAAAGGGGCAATCCAAGAAGCATCCGCGAAAGATCGTGTAAGTCTGAATGAAATGGTTTGTAAGCGAGGTCTCCCTGCGACTGGGGCTCAGTTCAGTCCTACCTGCATCACGAGAGTAGTGAGTATGGAGTTTTGATTTCAGCAGACTCGTCGCAGATGCCTCATCTAAGCCGCCCAAATGGAGGACATTTTCGTGACTCGTCAGCCAGTTTTGACGATTCGTCGTGACTAACAGTGATCCATGGTTGATTTTGTCAAGGTAGCAGCCCAGATTGGAGGGATCATCGGCCGATCCGCCCTCTGGATTCCAAAGCGTAGCGTCGTCAACCACCATGAGCCAGCCTGTGTTCTCTGTTTGATTCAGATTCTGAATCCATGACTGGACAACTGAGGCAGACCTTTTGTCGGTGTCCTCGATGACCATTGTTTCCGTCGAGAGCTGCGAGTTTGCTCTGTCTGCCTCGAACTGAACGACGCTTGCCTCGAAGGCTCGCCTGTCTCGACCGTTGATCCAATATATGCCGCGTCCAGAGTCCTGAGACAGCTGCTCCCTGACGTATGCGGCGGCGAGTTGAGACTTTCCAGCGTCGCTCAGGCCCGCCAGGATGAGCACCGTCTTTTCGAAACGCCTTTGCCGCTCTCGATCCATGAGAGTGGCGATGATTTTAAGGTCATCTTTGCGCCCTTTGAAGTCCCATGACTTGGGCAGTTGGCCCTTGAGAGGCTCTTTCTTTTCCATGTCATGTACCGTACCTGTGAACTTGTCAATAACTGCAAAAGCCAAGCGGAGGCCAGACCTCGACAGTATCACCGGTGGTAACAGTCGGTGCAGCCGTGAGGGTGCCGGCCAGTCATTATAATGGTCTGTCCAACAGGACATTTCAGGGACCACATACTTATTTGTAATTTGGGTGACAGTTGTAGCAACATCTCTTTGGCGTATGCAGCCGCCACGGCGGCCGCCCAGGCGTGCCACTGGTCATTTTTCGAAGCATCAGCAGAATCGCTAATGCCCCGAACTACAGCCACTGGCAGGGAGGTCATCACACCTGCAGCTTCCATCTCCAGAGCGACTGGGTCTCCATACTTGTCTCTCAGCTGATTGCGAAAACCGACTTCTCGAACCACTTTGTCTCCAGACAAGATGGTGCCGTAGTGCACAACCGGGTCCACCGTTTCGCGACGAAGACTCTCCAAGGCAGGATGCAAAGCTGGCGGATCGTAGGGTCGTTGGAAGGTTTTGGTTGCCGCTTTCTCAAACACCTTGAGACGTCTTTGAAAAGTACTTCCATGCACTGTTGCGGCTGCCCTGACCTTGGATATGACACTTCTCCACAAGGGATGCGTGGCGTTCATCCACTGCTTCTGGAGTGCTTCGTCAGGGACAATCTTCACCATATCGTAGGCCACGACGCCAGGGTAGGGACCCTCTGGAGTAGCAACTGCAACATCTCCTAGGCGTATGTCCCTCGTGGCGGACGGTATAGCAGCCGCAATTCCGACCAGCAGTCCCAGTTCCAAGTTTTTGAAGTCCCGGATGACAGCCTCAGCCATTGCACCGGCCTTCCCAATGCCAACCTCGCCACTGGGAAAGCCGGCCACAGCAACATTGTGCCTGCCTATCCTTCCGAAATGATATTCCACAGTCCGGCCCTGCTGGCGATCGAGCAGCCCCTCATGAGTTTCATCGAACATGAACAAGGCCGCCGTTGCTTTAATCGGTAGCGGACAGAGCCACACGATCGAGTACTCGTCAGGGTTGATGCTCCGCGGCATTATGGGCAGAATGCTGACCATGGATATGATCAACAAGATGCCGACAACGACGATGCAGCGCTCGGCAGGGCTTCTGCGCCACTACCATCACGGTTGAGCTTGCCCTTGCCAGTGCTCACTCACACATCAGAATATGAGTTCTTTCATCTCCCAAAGTCAGGCGATCCGGTCGTTGGAATATCAGATCTTCTCTGCCGCAATCTAGAGGCATTGGCATCCGCCGAGGCTGTGCCAGAATCAACGGGGCGTCTGACCAATAACAACCAGACCGACAGACCTGACAGAAGCGCCACAATATTATCCAAGCGAGTAGTCAGTAGACAGATGGAGAGTGTTCAATTATGGGTCTGGAGGCGTTGGCACTAGCCTGGCAGTCCGGGAATGAGGAATCATTATAGCAGAGTACAAGTTCTGACCAAAAGAACGAGGTGTACGGAGTAGACACTAGACAGTACCTACCAGTTGATGCCGAGAGATCACACTCGCATATGCAGTACGTAGTTGCCTCATTATTCTCCAATCAGGCCGGCTTTCTTGTCTACTAACTACTGCACATATGCAACTAGTGTCGCAGCCTGCAGGCGCCGTGAGGCTGAGCAGCGAGGCTGGTGGGCTGCGAAATGAGACCTGGAGAACTACAATGAGGGGTCGGGGGGAGGGGGGAGGGACAACTCTCGGCTTGTGGCGATGTTTCATTGACCTTTAGCCCGTCCAGGCCTAGGTCTCAGACTTTACCGTTTTTCAGCATTCAGGATGGGAATGGAATGCACCAATCCCCTCTGTGGCCATGTGTCGTTCGAGCCTGACTGTTACGGCTGCGATGGGGTCAACTGGACATGCGTAGGTCCACTGCAGTCTGCAGTGTTGCCGAATTCTTGCGTGGCCATCGCTCTCGCTCACCTATCTGGCAGTGCAGGTGCAATTCCCCACTCTCCTCCCAGCGTCGAGACTCGATGTATGATCGACCGTCTTCGAGAGCATCTTCCGTGGCCAGTACTGACTCGGGCGCGTCAGTGCCGCCGCGATCGAAGAAAACGTGGCCAAACATTCTGGTGGATCTCAGCAAAGCCACGAGGAAGGCTCCTCAGGATGTTACATCAGAGCAAGAGCAGACGGACGACCAGTCTTCAAGAGTTGAATATCTGACGAGCAGGGCTGGTGATGCTGCAAGGTCACAGCATAGCTTCCCGTGCCACCAGAGAGATCGATAGGGAGCGAGATTGGAGAGCTGTGTCTGGCTCAGTGATGATCCAATGCCCGGCACCACAAGTGTTGCCTTCGCCTTTGACGTCGCACGCCAGCTCATCTCCTGTCATCACCATCGGGGGCCCAGGTCTAATCGTCGACTGCGATGACAACAAGCGAGAGGTAAATTCTGCCCTTGCTGAAACTACAATCGTACAGCCATACTCCTCAGTACCTTGGCCGTCACCTCCACCTGATGGCACCTACTCCATCAACAGCGAGGACTTGTTGCTTCAATTTCCTTCGAAAGACGAGCTTGAATGCTCTCTATGCTCCAGACGCCTTCCTGGAAGCCACGCCGTGCTATGGAATCGAGATCGGAGCATGCGGCTTTGCATATGTGTCGATTGTTGGCTAGAATGTGACCCCAGAGATTGTGGTCATTGTCCGGCAGAAGCACAAGGCCACTACCGAAGTTGGCCGAATTCGGGCGAGATAAAATCAACAAAGCACCAGCGCCTTCACGACTTATGCCCACAGACTTGGAGTGTAGCCAACTTTCAGGGGATGCTTCACCATTGCTCAGAAATTCTTTATCCGTCACAGCTTACTGCGCCTCAATGGCAGCCTTGGGACACAGCATTCGATGCAGGCATCCATTTGTGCACTTACGACGGCTGCTACCTTACGTTCGATACCCCGATGAAACTGCAGAAGCACAAAATAGAGGTTCACACGCACGAATCGCCGTACCTTACTTTACTACAAAATTTCCAAGCTGGTCCATATGGACCGTTGTGATCGCATCAATCCCAGCAGCGGTGAGCCTTGTAACTCGATTTTTTCCCGGCCTTATGATTTGAAGAGGCACGAGAACACGATTCACAACGCGCGTAAACGAAAGCACCGATGTCACCTGTGCACGGAAGAGAAAACATTCTTTCGCGCTGATTCGCTGACTCGACATATGTGCACCGTTCATCCCGACGTTGACTGGGTGGGCAAAAAGAGGCGCAAGATTTAGAAGTGCCATTGTCTCTCTCTCACATCTGGCCCTAAGGGCCACGAATTGACTTTCGCCACATGGCTGGACAACGCAGTCACAGAATCGGAGCTTCGGGGCGTCATAGATGTCATATCCAGGAGCCTGCTCTTGGCAGAACCATCAGACATCTCGCTTCTTCAATACTTAACATACATTGCTCGCGCGGGCGATGCCCATCACCCTGGTATCTGGCAAAGACTGGTCGGTGTCGAAGGAGGTGGTCAAGAAAGCCGATTCTTTGATGGTCCCCAATCCATCGCGAACAAAGTGGCCGAGGATCTCAGACAGGGCGTCCACTTGAATTCGCCTGTGCAATCAATCAGCCAAAAAGAGGATGTCTATCACGTTGCCGGCGAGGGCGGCACCGCCAAGGGCGCAATGTTATCATCGCCAGGATTACCTATGATCCTCCTCTCCCGGCTGCACGAGATCAGGCTACTCAGCGTATGCCCATGGGCTCACTCGGCAAGGTCTTTGCCATTTACAAAACGCCCTCTTGGCGGCAGTAAGGGCTTGAGCGGCCACGGGCTGGGCATGCAAGGGTTCTCCGTTCAGATAGCCTTCGATTGCTCCCCCGAGGATGGATCATGCGGCGTTATTCTAGGATTCATGGAAGCGGACAAGATGCGTTACTTTGATGGGAAGAGGGAAGAAGAAATCCAAGCTGTTGTTACGTTGAGAAATGGGTCATACAACGCTGGGACAACGAGGTCTTCTCTCGGGGCGGCCATTTTGCCCTTTACCCACCCAATGTCATGACTCAGGACAGAGCCGGTCGGGAACATTTACTTCGCGGGTACGGAAGTGTCTGCCTATTCGAGTGCCTTTATGGAAGGTGCAACCCAGGCGGGCTCGAATGCTGCGAGCAAAATCTGCCAGCAGCCACACCAGGAGCAGCAAAGTCGTGCCTCTCTTTGAGGCGTCACGGCGGATCGAGGCTTGCTGATACCGCCGTAGAAATGAGAAATACCCTTAAATGGTTATTGGGGGCCGGCTTGGGGAGGGGGTTTCTCTCCGGAGGACACAGAGACCCTTGAAGGATCCGTAACTCTGTGAGAGTCAGCTGCAATCCTCGTCAGCCCCATATGCTTGGGTGGGATGGATTTCGTTGTCGAAGGCGTAGGCGCTATAGTTGCATCTGTAGAGGCCTCCTAAGCCCTCGCACTGCGGGCGGGCGGCTGCGCGACATATGTATATACTGTAGGCGCAGTGAAAGCAGCGACAGATCTGACGTGGCTGCGCTACCCGATCGGGGGCGGGACGCCGAAGCCGGTTTAGGCTGTCATTTCACCGACATTCAGATTACGGGGTACTTTGCATGGACATTTTTTTATACTACTCTGTACTACGATATCGACCTCGTTCTGTTTCAGCCTACCCAGATAGTATGGCAGGGACGAAGAGATCGCACGACGGAATGAAGATCGACCGCCCTTCTGCCTCGTCGGAGCAGACTTCCCCTTTCATCCCCGTTTTCGAGTTCTTTCGCTCGGAGCTCGACGAGCATCATGATCGAAGGGAGCGAATTATCAAAGTGTCACGCGATGTCACTGCTCAGAGTAAGAAGATGTAAGTGCATGCGATGGTCGACATGGATGAACGTTCCGCTGATCGGTGTCTCAGAATCTTCGCTCTTCAAAGGTGCGTTCCTGCTTGACGCCGCCGACAATGCCTTCTAATTTACCTGTTCTGTATAGGGCGCGGGAACTGGGGCGGCCAATCCACGCATCAATATCCAAGCAGATCACCCCGATGCACTCCACGATTAGGGACCTGTTGCAAAGTATCGTGCCCGACTTGCAGGGTATCAATGCCTGCCGCTACTATGGTAACATAACCGGCGGCATCCAGGAGTTTATGGAAGCTGTGCTATTCCAGCACTATCTGGCGACGCAACGGGTCATGAGCTTCGACGAAGCGGCTGCCCAGCTCCCTGAAGGCCTTGTCCTGACGTACGAGGACTATGTCCTGGGCTTGTTCGACATGACCGGAGAACTCATGAGGTTTGCCATCACATACATGGCCACTAACGGACAATTACCTGGCTCTGAGACAGGATCAAGCTCTACCATTCTTACGGATATGCAATTGCTTCGAAGTGAGCTGGAGCGTCTGGATGCTAGCGGCAGCTACAGCCTGTCGAGGGATTTCTCGCAGAAGCTCAGGACGACGAGAACTTCGATAGAGAAGGTAGAGAACGGGGTCTACAGCATGATTGTGAGAGGCAAAGAGAGACCCAAAGGGTGGAGGCCGGATGTGTCTTTGACGGATGCGCCCAGGGAAGCGGATCAAGTGGACAGTTATTGAAAAGGCTTCTTCTCCATGATATTGTCGGACTGTGTCAGGTTCAATTGAGGCAAATTCTGGGCTATGTCGAGAGCTACTGAAGCGCCTGTTATTCCCTTCTAGGAATACATCATCCTTCCATTCAATTTCAGGTTGTGAAACTTCCACGCCTACACTTGATCCTGAAGCGGGTTCTCATCAGCCTCCAAGATCCCTTCCCTAACCAATTCGTCGGGCTTAGGCCGTTGTTGGATCTTCTGTTCTAAGCTGTCTGCTCGCATGTGTTTATCGAGACTGCGCTGAGTCGCTTGCAGCGCAGGTGCGGCTGTGGAATCGGGGAGGATATTTCCTGTTGCGTTGTATAAGCACGCCGGTTACTCACGAGGGAGTGTTTCTTACGCTCAATCAGCTCCTCTCGTTCCGGACGTTTCTCAAGGTGCTTCTTCAAGTTGTCGGATTGTTTCTGACGCTCGAGTTCATGTTGTTTGGCTTGGAGGGCTCTGGCAAGGAGTTAGCTCGAGGACAACCGAAGCACCACATATTGAACGGGCTGTTGCCGGCGGTCAACTCACGGAGCGGCAGTCGTGTCGAGCAGAATATTGCGGCTCTTCAAGTCTTGGACGTCTGGTCGCTGCTGTAGATGTTTCTCGAGCGAATTGCGGCGCTCGACTGGAGAAATAGGCGTTTCGTCGACTTTGAGGTCAGGAGTATTGTCTTCATTGAGAGCGCTGGACATTTCGAGATGGTGCACACCGGAGTTCGAGTTCGTAGAGTCAAAGAATCAAGTAGTGTGAGGGGTGTGTCGGGAGAGCAGGAAACAATAAGAAGCTGAGAACTGGTGCTCGTGCTTGTGTTCATCTGACTGATCCTGCGCTTTGTCCACAGGGATGACGGGGGTGTTGCCAATGACGATAGTGGCCCCCTAAGCCCTGCTGATCACTTTCAGCTTTCGCGCCCACAGGATTGCCCCGCACCATACATACTCCAGTTCCATACCTGCTGGTGCCTAGGTACGTACATCAATAATGGCAAGCCCAAGCCTTGGGAGCCTTAGGGCGTTTGGCGCTGGGCTCGGGGGCTTAAGGGCCCTAAGACTTGCTGCACTGCAGTCGTACGGAGTACACAGCCCCCACACACATCGGCGGGACCAGTCCCTTTAGGCATCGCTGCCGCCTGACTGGCTTTGTCTCTTGGACTCAGAGCGTGTCGCGTTGTCACAGTCCAAATATCGCAGTTGCCTGCGCTTGCCATTCTGACCAACCTCTTCACTAACCTCAGCCCTCATAAGGCATAACCACGGTCGGCCCTCTCATCTGTCATGTCCCTGACATGTGGATCCTCGAATCGAATGGAGACTTTCTCCAAGGAAAGCGAATGTGGCTCAAGCCTGGGCAGAAATATTTATTTGGCCGAGTGAAACGGGAAGGCGTACAGTTTGCCATTGACCACAGGACTGTTTCAAGGAAGCATTTTGTCATAGAGGTTGATCCTGTAAAAGAAGGCGACGCGGCACAAATACACGCCCGAACAAAGATCAGGATCGAAGACCAGAAATCCAAAAGTGGCACTTCGGTCAATGGTGAACTCATCAAGGGCGCCTCTAAGGAACTGAAGAGCGAGGAGAACTCAATACGCCCTGGGACGTGTCCTCATGAGATTATCATTAAATGGCAGCCATGCGTGCTCACATTCAACCTCCTCAAGAAGGAAATCAAGTCGGGCAGTCTCAAAACCAAACAAAATCAAGTCCAAAACCTGGACATCAAGGCCATCAGCGACTTCATTCCGGAACATACCACGCACGTGGTTGCAAATAAGCGGAACACTGCAAAGGGTTTGCTGGCTTTGGTTACAGGCAAGTACTTGGTGGCTGAGTCGTACCTTGACGCTTTAGAATACGCGGCGACACCGACCAATTTAAGCCAGGAGGAAAATCTTTCGCTCCTAGAAACCGACTTTGACAGTGCATGGCCGGACCCGGCAGGCCATCTTCCTGCTCCGGGAAGAGAGCCTACCATCCGGCCGGCAGAAACATACCAGCCTGATCCGTCACGAATCACCGTTTTTGAAGGCTATACATTCGTTTTCGGGGATCAAACCCAGTATGACAATCTGCTCCCAGTCATCACCAGTGGTCATGGAAAAGCACTCTTGTTCAAAGTGAACCATAGTGAACCAACAGCAGATGAACTCTTGAACTTTTTACAACATGCAGCGGGGACCAAACGGACTGATGACAGCAGGGGTTGGTCAGATATCAAGGTCGTTCTGGTGCGATGGCAGGGGAAAGATGGCATGCAGGAACGGACAAACACTCTAATCAATGAGGCTGCTATGAAGATGGACCAACGGGCTATTGACCAGTCGGAATTTCTGGACGCAATACTGGCAAATGATGCCGGTTCACTTCAACAGAGCATTCCTTTCGAAAGCACCACTGATGGAAGGATAGCTCCTCCTCCGTCCGCAGCAAACTCCAGTGTCACACAGAAGCCCGCCGAGGTCCGAGAGAATCTCTATCGCCCATCCCAGAGAGTGGGAACAGAGCCGCTACAAGCGGAGCCCGTGCAGCAATCAGGAGTTGATTCCGGTACAGAACCTGCACCTTCCCAACCTCCCTCTCACAGTGCCTCTCAAGTCAGCCATGTTGAAGAGAGGCTCACACGCCCGTTTTCGGGACCTCGATTCACCCAATCAAGCCGGTTCAAAAATTTTGATGATGGTTTCGATCCTGATGCCATCGATGACTACGATGTTGAGGATGAGGAGCAGGAGGTATCCGTCTCCGAATCTGGGCTCGAACCCATGGTCCGCACGCAGTTATTAATTATAAAAAAAGAGCCGCAGCCGACCGCGGGCAAGCGGGCACGTTCTCCATCCGAACAGTCAGAAGATGCATTTGCTGATGAAATCGATAACCTCCTTCCAGCAGCAGCGGCTTTTAAGCGTCGAAAGCTTACTGAAGCACAAGCTAATAAAAATACCAGCGCTACCAATAACCAAATCGTGCGGCAGGCTGCAACGAAGAAAGGCAAGAAAGAACAAGCGATCGACGTCCGCGAAATTGTGAGAGTGCAACGGGCAGAAAAGGAAGAGGCCGCCAGAAGAGAGGAAGAAGAGCTCGAAAATGGGTCGCCCTTCGTTGAGGACAAGTCGCCAGCGAATCTGGTTGCCATTGTGACAATGGAACTTCCCATGCGGGAAAGATCCAAGCGGACCATCGGAACCGACAGTCAACGCAATGAAAACTGGGACCCAAGGTGGAACGGCCGGAAAAACTTCAAAGGCTTCCACAGAAAGGGTGAGCCTCTACAGCGGCGAAGTCATGCGAGAAAGGTCATTGTACCTCTTGTGGAAGTCAAGGGAAATACCTACGGGCTTGGTGAGCAATACTGGGAGAAGACGCAGGAGGAGAAGGAGCGAGAAAAAGAACGAAAGAGGAAAGAAGAAGCCAGAAACCAAAAACAGCAAAGTCAAACACAGCGCTCTAGTGGAACCAGATCTTCGAGAACCCGTGTTGTTTCTGATCATGAGGAAGAGGACGACAGTTTTGGTGAAGACGTAGACAACCCAGTGTCAGCAAGACCAGGCATGACGCAGCTTCAGCGCGAGGCCGCTGAGATTGTACATCATGAAATCCACACAGACACCCCCAGGCTGACGCGCGCTGCCGGCAGGAGTCAGGCGTCTAGTGTACGGACCGGCGTGAATGACCCAACACAGCGCGGACCGGGCGTGCCCATGTCAAGTAACAACTCCACTTTGATGTCTGGCAAGAGAGCTGCAAGTTCGAACACGAGTACCAGAGAACCGAAACGTCAGAAGACGCTGCCAGTCACCGTCGCCCATGCGAAGGACAGTGATGATGACGATGATAGTGATGATCTGAAATTTCGGTTTGGTTCTAAAGCGCGCAGAGGCAGGGGTGCTCGCGGTAAAGGCCAGCACTGAATCGAGTTTATGTCATTATGTCTCATTGGGACAGACGAGTGGTCAGCTCATTCAGACATGACGAGTATGGTGCAGAGACAGAGTGCATTTGGAGAGATAGCGTTATTTGCATAATAACCAGGGCAACGAGAGGCGTCGAATCCAGACTATTTTGTCGAAAGGACCTTTTCCAGCGCTAGGACATACTGTAATGTGTAACTAATGTGTAACCATGCTCTACTTCACTGGCCCGAATCAAGAGTCAGTCGATGTCCGGCGGTAAGGCTGTGGCCCCTGAAGGAGTCAACACAGTCCAATACAACGCCGCGGGGATGGGCGAAGAATCGCGACACTACACCTCCGTGATGCTGTTCTGGAACCTGGAATGTAACGAAAGTCTGTCACTGGAGTGGCCTGTACTATATATTTCTGATTTGTTTGCTTGTACTGCAGCGCGACATGGCCTCCCCGTTCTGTTCCTCTACCAAGTACGGATATGGCTCTCTACTAGGGCTTTTCGACAAAGGCACTTTTGCTACTAGAAGTAGTTCGCCCAACTTCGCATCGTGCCGAAACTAGAAGTAATAGTTCGCCCAACTTCGCAGTGTGCCGAGACTTGAACGTGTTGTCCATGTAACGACGGCGACGCCTGCATCCTGAACCTGAACAGCCTCACCGCCAGTACGTCGGGCCTTTGGCCTTCAGATACAATTCCCAAGCCTCGTCCAGGACCCGGACCACCTCGTCCGGCAATGGGCCCTTCTCCAGATCCGCCAGGTTCTGGTGCAGCTGGCTCAGACTGCTCACGCCGATGATGATACCGTCGTTGCCACCTTTGCTGGGGAGTTTCAACACCGAGTGATGCACGACCCATCGGAGGGCGGTTTCTACGAGGGTTAGGTTGTGCTGTTTCACAACGGGTTCGATGTGCTGCAACGCCGAGAAGGTCGCGTCGTGGAAGTAGCGTTGTCTGTACATCTGTTGAGGGGGCAGCTGGTTAGTTTCAAGCGATCTGATTAATTATGGAGGAGATTCTGGTCGTGGCGATCCGTGGGAATTGTGTTCTTCCTTTCGTGAGCCCTCCTCCATTCGTTGAATAACGTGGAATTGGATGCTGTCATGATCGGATTTGAGGGTGGTACATACCTTGCCCGAACGCTCGCTGACGTTCGCAAATCGCCCCTCAGCAGGAATGTCGGATTTCGACTTGTATTTACCGCTGAAGATACCACCGGCGAGCTGGCCAAATGTCAGTCATGGGTTCCGAGACGTGTGAAAGAAAAGTAGAAGGGATCTCACGGGATTGTACACCACTAGGTCCAGGCCATATCTACAGTCAACGCCAATCGGCCAGTGTCAGCTTGTGCCTCCTGGTGAGATTCAACAGTTGGGAGCATAGTCCTCAGACAACTCACTTTCTCAAGGCTGGAAGCAACTCCGTTTCAAGGTCTCTAGTGATGGCATTGTACATGGCCTGATAGATGGTTGGCTTGACCCAGTGCCGCTCGTTGGCGATGTTCCATATCTCGGCGACCTCCCAGGCGGCATAGTTGCTCAGACCTAGCTGGACGAACTTGCCCTCCTTGAACAAGGCGTCGCATTCCCGCAACGTATCCTCAAACGGCACGCTCCGGTCGGGCGCGTGCAGGTAGAAGATGTCCACAGTGTCGGTTCCCAGCTCTTTCAGGCTCGTCTCCAGGGTCGCGCGCAGACTCTCGGGTTTATGGCCGCCCGGGTTCGAGGGGTGGCATTTTGTCGCGAGCTTCAGACCGCGCTCTTTCCAATGGGCCTCGCGCGTGAAGGCTTCCTGGCCACCGTCGATGTAGGCCCGTGCCGTGTCCACCTCGTTGTACCCCTGCGATTGGAAGTAGTCCAGAGTTTGTTTGTACTCATCCAGCGAGGTGATACGTGCACCTTTCGATTCAGTGCCTGGAGGGCCGAAGGTCATTAACCCCAGAATCACGCGCTCTTTCGAGGCCAGCGCCGTGGTGGAGGGAATGAGGGGCATCTTGACGACGGGTGACGGATTGGGGACGAGGGGCGGGAGGTTTCGATAGTGCTGAGTGTGGTAGGACGTTCGGAAGCATACACTAGAAGAGGCAGGCAATAGCAACTACTAGTAGCAGGGACGATAAAGTGAATCCACGAGGTCATCGCGGATTTGAGACCAGATTATATAGCTGGGACTAGCACATCTCCGGGCAAAGTTGCGCAATGTTTAGATGACGCCATCTGACTCTGGTGGGGAGTTGGGCTAATAATACGGGCTGCCGATAAGACATACTCTGTAGTATGTAGCTCCTTGATCAAACTATAACCACATGAACCACACAGAAAGAAAGGAGAATGAATGGCTCGATAGCCACCGCCGGTAAGTTGACAAGGCTGAGATTCTACGCCTCGACGGCGGTGCCATATCTACACTGTGCTCCGCCGGGTGTGCGTCAGGTTCTACTGCGGAACGGTGGCATCGCACTGCGCAAATGCAGGAGGCTCGTGACGCGGACACTGGACACTGGACAGTTCAATCTTCGTCTCCTCCGCACCACAACCCCGTCCGGCGTCCACAAATGCTCGCTCGCGATTAGCTGAGATTGAGACTATATCTTCTGTGTCTTGGACGATATGCTTGCAGATGACATCCTGGCCGTCTCACCCACCACAAACTGGTCAATCTGTTCGCGTTGAGCGTGCTCGATCCTCTTTTCTTTATCCTACCCCCACGGCTGACCACTCCTGGTGACCCTACACTCCTTGACCGCATGGATGACCAGGTCCGATAGTAGCGACTCGAATGTTGGCGAAATTGTCTTCACTCCTTCCGGCACTGAGTCGCCTCTTCCTCCTTCGATAGGCACCTCCCACCGCCCTGAACGTATTCAGAGCCCGCTACGTCTATCCTCGTTACCCTCCAACGTCAGAGACGTGTTCCGTCCAGATCGGCAAGAAGAGCGAAGTCGAGTTTCTTTCGATGAAGAGCAGGATTTGGATCCATCAGACGACGAGATGGCCCTGAAGCCTTCGATGCACCGCCCCTCCGGGCCACAGGCACATGTACCCCTTCTGGGGGAAGATAAATCATCTAGTCGAGGACGAGCGTCGAGTCCAAGGCTCTCTGGGTCGACCAGACCTGCATTTGCGTCGCGAAGGAGTACCTTCCGGTCCGTATCACCGACATACGCTCAGCCCGAGGACGTGGTCCGCCGGAAATACATCTATGCCTCTTTCTTCCTGATTCTCTCTCTGGTCTCCTTCGTGGTGCAGACAGAGACGGCCGTGTATATCCAACACGATCTAAAATGGAACAAGGCCTACTGCATGATGTACTTGACGCATGGTTCCTGGGTCTTTCTCTGGCCGGTCCAACTTCTGATGTTACGTGTTCAAAAGCGGAAACTTTCCTGGCCCGCTTTCTGGCGTCGGCATAAGTACCTGCTACGGTCTACTGCCCAGATGATCCAGTCCCGGGAGCTCTACCTGAGCCCTCCCGCCGCTGCCGTTTCTCCGTGGCCTTACATGATCAAGGCGACCGCCTTCATTACTACTTTTCTCACCATGGCCGGCGGCTCCTGGTATGTGGCTGTCAACCTGACGTCCCCTTCCGACTTGACGGCGATCTACAACTGTTCGGCCTTCTTCGCTTATGTTTTTTCAATCATGCTCCTCAACGATAAACTCCGCTTCGACAAAGCATTTTCAGTGGGCCTAGCCATTATAGGTGTCCTGGTCGTCGCATACGGTGACAACGATGACTCGGATTCAGGGACCACCGACCCCGGCGCGAAGAAGGGATTCAGCACGAAACTTCTGGGCAATATAATCATTGGCATCGGCTCTGTGGCATACGGCTTTTATGAGGTCCTCTACAAGCGCTTCGCGTGCCCACCGGAAGGCACCTCTCCAGGGCGAGGCATGATCTTTGCCAACACCTTCGGTAGCATGGTCGGACTTTTCACCCTGACCGTTCTCTGGATTCCCCTGCCGATCCTCCATATTACGGGTCTAGAACGCTTCGAACTTCCCAGCGGCCGAGCCGCGAGCCTCCTTGCCATTTCCACGCTCTCCAACGCTGTCTTCTCCGGGTCTTTCCTTGTTCTGATGTCTCTGACTTCGCCTGTGCTCAGCTCTGTCGCCGCTCTTCTGACCATTTTTCTGGTGGGAATCATCGACTGGCTAATTACCGGGAAGCCACTCAGTCCAGCGGCGCTAGCAGGAGCTGCATTGATCATTGTTGCATTCTGCATGCTGAGCTATGCCACGTACCGGGAAATGAAGGAAGAGCAGACCAAGAGAGAGGAAGACTCGGACAAGGTGTTTGAGGCCGACGACGACGATATCGATCCGGAGGCCGAGGATGATGAGCTGGGCCGACCGAGGCGGAGAGCCAGCGATGACTGATTGGTGGAGAGTGGAAGGAGAGGCTGTTCTAGCGGTAAGCAGTTGTTGGTTGCATTGCATGGCGCGGTGTTGGGAAAGACCGGCTTGTGGTAGAATGTATAACATCAACGAGTTGGACATCAATGAGTTGGCTGGCTATGTTCATGATACTCTTTTGCATGTTGAAATACCCTGTGGGCGTATAGGCGGCTGACACGGGGCATATAGGTACCGGTAGGTACATGATATATTGCACAATGCATAGCAGATACCTGATTGTCCTGACTGTCCGTCGAACAAGACGTGACGTGTGGTATGCATTTTATTTCGAGACTTGTCACTTCTCGCGAAGAGGACTTGGTTCCTTGCCAGTTCTGGTTGTTTGATCATCTGTGCATGTCCATCCATCTGACGACTGCAGGACCATGGTCCCTGGCTATATGATTCAGGACAAGGAATCACTCATACGAAGAACAGTGTCTTTTGTTTACGAGCACTAGCGAAACACAACTACTCTGCAGTAGTCGGAGGGTTCTAACTCGGATTCTCAAACGGCCATCCTACAAGGCCGATATTCAGCTTCGTTCCCGCTTCAATCTCTTTTGCTTGGGCCTTGAGTTCATCCACGTCCCAGTTGCACCAGAGGAACTTGCCCTTCAGAAACCGGGCTTCAGGGCTGGCGAGCCAAACATTGAAGCTCGCTGGGAGAGAAACTAAATCAAACTCAGCTTCACCATCTCTCGTATCGTCGTTCCTACTTACCGTCGTCGGTCTTGACGTCCTTGAAACTCTCGGCTCCCCCTACGCTCAAGTTCATCTCAGTGAGTACCACGCCAGGCTGAGTATGGAACACGCTCAAGGTTGGGTTCGCAAGCGCCACGGTGTCCCAGAGCCGATATACCGCCAACTTGGCGACGCAGTATGAAGAAAAGGCGTCATTGAGACTTAGATGCGCACCCCACGAATTGATGGTGATGGCGACTGCGTCCGGCGCCGCGTAGTGGAGGAACGCCTGCGCAACCCAGAACGAGCCGGCGAGGTTGGTCTGGATGGCTTCGAGATACTTTTCGCCGTCCGCATCCGCCACCGTCTCCTTGGGCCCGATGGTTGCGGCGCTGTGGACAAGGACGTTGATCTTCCCGGTGCCGGCAAACTGGGAAAAGGCAGCGTCTACGTCGCTCTTCTTAGTCACGTCGGTGGAGAAAGTGAAGACCTCGACGTCGGGGAACTTGTTGTTGATAAAGGCCTTGTTGTCGAGAAGGGGCTTCTGTCGACGGCCAAGAAGGGCAATGCGAGACGCGCCGGCTTCGGCGAAGTAGCGGGCAGTCTCGCCGCCGATACCAGTACTGCCGCCTCCTGTGACGATGACGGACTTGCCTCGGGCAGACAGCTCAGGACGGGAAGGTGATGTGGATGGCTGTGCTGTTCTATGCCACCGTTTGGTGGGAGATGGGAAAGGAGGAGCCTCAGCCATAGTGATTGCAAGATACTGTACAGAGTCGGTTTATAGATGACCCGGGAGGATGGACTTCTGATGAGGACTATGTCCTTGAGTGAACAACATCACGCTTTATATATGGTTGATTTTCCTTGCTCTGTGCTTGTCACTATACTGATGACCTGGGGACCGGGCGGTACACTTTGTAAAGGCAGGTGCCACCATGCCATCGTCAACTAACCCAGGTCCTGGCCCCAGTCTAACTCCGAGGATGTGATAATAGCAGCTTGGGGAACCGTGTTATCAACTACTGCACCGGTGGCCCAGGAGTCATAAGGAGGTATGGTCACGATCATGGCGTGGACTCCCATTCCAGGAATCAATGCAAAATTGTCATCGTTGCAAAATGTCCCGCCCCGCCGCGCGGACCGGTCTAATCTGAGGTATTCCAACAAATCCTTTGCTATATATGATGCAGGACAATGGATTTGATTGCTCATACGAAAAAGAGTTTCTTCTGTTTCCGAGCACCTCCCGCATCCGCACCAGAAATGCTGCTCGTGACTGCTGCCTTTCTCTTCGTCGTCGTTCCGTTGGCGGACCTAGGCCTCGGCGGCAAACCGTCGCTATTTTCCGCTGCCGCATGCTCCGACGCGGCCCTTCCTCTAGCGGTTGCCGCATCGACTTCAGCTACAGCCTCCTTGATGGTCTGCCGTGAGAGACAAAGGTCAATGTGGCAGTTGAACTCGCGATCATTGGCGGGTTGAGGGAGCTGGCAGACTGGACAGTCCCAGAACTGCTGCTGTTCCTCTTTCTTTGGCGCTGTTGCGTCAGTGTGCGTCCGCCCGTGTTTCGCCGGGGAATTTGGTTCGCTCCCGTATTTATATCGGCCAAAGGGCTCGTGCCAGTCCGCTGTTGATGCTTCTCCTACACCCCCAGCGTCGACCGGATCTTGTCCTTGCTTCTGCTGTTCCTGACTGAGACGTTCGAGCTCGTCCATTTCTTCTTGCTTCTCCTGTCGAGCAGCCTCTTCGAATTCGGCGTCTGGCCAGGCTTCCCACTCTTCATTATTATCATTGTCTGTTGACTTTTGTGCAGAAGAGATGTTGTTGACACGACGGCGAAAGAAGTCGGGGCTCTCTTTCTTCGTACTGACAAGATGTGTACACCGTAGTCCCATCAGGCGCAGCCTGAAGTCTGGCATCTCCTTTTCAAGTTTCGCCAGCATTGGTAGACTATAGTTGTATAGATCCTCTGCTCGATGGACCGCCTTTGGCGGCGCCACTTGTCGAGTGAAAACTTCGTACGTGTGTAGTTTGACTTTCAGCACCAGAGTTCTCCCCTTGACAGCCACTCGCGCCATGTCTTTCTCCAGCTCCTCGGCCGTATGCCGCAATTTCTCCCGTAATTCTTGTTTGCTGCTGATGTCGCGGAAGGTGGATTCTGTGCCAACGCTCTTCCGCTCATATTCTTCGGCAGGCTGCACAATGGTTCGTCCGAGGCCCAGGTAAGTCTGCATCAAGAATTGGAATGCTTTTTCGCCGAAAAGTCTGTGGAGGTATGCACGTTGAACATAGATGTCTCCGCAGGTTTTGATCCCGATTGCGTCAAGTTCTCGCTCGAACACACGCCCTATGCCGTTCACCTTCCGGACGGGGAGTGTTGATATGAAGGACATGACAGCCCCTCGATCATTAGGAATGCGAAACTGACCGTTCGGCTTGTTCTTGTTCGAGCAGATTTTAGCTAGCTTTGCATTCGGCGCTATGCCGGCTGAAATGGTGATATTGCATTTCTCATGTACTTCTCTCCGGAGTTGTTCTACCGCAGCATCTGGGCCAATGTCATGAATGTGGCAATATTCGGTGATATTCAAGTACGCCTCATCGATGCTGGCGCTCTCGAACCGGGGATCATAATCGGCGAGAATTGCTCTGACTTCTTTGGCTTTTGCAGTATACTTGTCAAAATTCATTGGCAAGCAGATCAGTTGCGGACAGAGCTTCTTTGCTACAAAGCCTGCCATGGCGCTGCGACATCCGTATTTGCGAGCCTCATAATTACAGGTGGTCAGAACACCAACCCCAACTGCCATGGGGACATGCTTTAGTTCGGGCCGATCGATTTCTTCGACTGCGGCGTAGAAGGCATCGCAATCGATGTGCACGACATGCTGGCTTAGGTCCCGCGACAGCTCGAGAGATGCGATATAGTCGTCTGCGCGACGTAGATCCGATTTCAAGTCCAGTTTTTCCAACTGCGCCTTCTGTTTCAGGATTCGTTCGATTTTGGTGGTCAGGTTCTTGTCCCTAAGTTCTTCGTTGCTAAAGAATTTCGAGCCCTTGGAGGCTTCGTAGATTATTTCCGACACTTTCTTTTGATCAACTGCATCTTGCCCAGCTTTTGTCAGGGACGGACCGAGGAGGTGATGTTTTAGAGAGTGGTGTTGAGAGGCTTGAGGAAGGGCGACTTGAGCATCGACCGGGGGTTCTGCAACTTCCCCGCCATCAACGTGGTCGACGTGTTTGGGCAAGGTATCGTCTTCGTCTACATCACTCAAGGTCATTGCAACAGGGACATGGGGTCGGCATGGTGTTTGCACACATATCACAAGGGATAAACAGATGTGAAATGTCGAGTGATGACAGACTTTAGACGACGCGGGCAAGCCTCAGGGTTCATGGGGCTTAGGCCCTAAGGCGCGGTTGGACGCGTCCCAGGCACCTACCAGGGTTGACGCAGGCGAGCACCTATAGGTGCGCCTAGGCACCATAGGCACTAGGAGTCATCTGCAATTAGCTAATCACTATTAATTAATCCCAGTGAGGCAGTCTGCTTTTAATTAGCCATGCTAGTGCGTATAATATAATAATAGTGATGTTAATAGTCCGCTTCCACTCCGTCCGTGCCCCCGGCTTCTCCAACACCTTGTTGACAAGCACGAATCGAATCGAATCGTCTTGTCTTTGATTTCCCACCAGATATGACCGCCCTTGCCGCCCTCGCCGATTCTCCTCGCCGTCGACAATGGTAGCTGCATTGCACCGAACTATTTCCCATCGCTGTCATGCGAGAGCGAGATCCGCAACAACATCCGCCGTCTCGATATCGACGGTCACCCCTCCCGACTATGCCAGCGGATAAACAAACGAAACCGAACACTTCCAAACCACTTACGCCCGCCCTCAGTTCGAACTTCCGTAATGTCAAGAATCCTTTGACCCCTCGAGTAATCGGCTCTGCCCAATCGTCCCCGACATTATCTACTCGCAGAGAGCCTTTTGTGAGGTCCAAATCTCCTGGGAAGCAGGATCAGGTGACGACACCTCTGAACGGAAATATCACGCCTCGATCAGGAACAAGACAGTCACGGATCGGCACCGAGTCACCTTCGACTCCTGCACCTGTCAGCGGGGCCAACAATGGCGCCCTCTGGAGCGAAGGCTCTCGGAAAGAGGTCTCCAAACCTGGCACAGGCAAGATCCAAGGACTGGGCATCAACACCGCAAGACCCGCGGTTGGCGCAGGTACACCCATTGTGACGGTTCATAGAAGGGTCTCGGCTACAAAGAGCGTGTCAGATGGCGATAAAGGCGTGTCTGCGAAGTTCTTCCATGCGAACGATGCAAAGTCTACGATAAGTTCTCCTGGATTAGACGGAGGTCCTCGCCTTCCGCCTGGTCGAGGCCACTTTTTTGTTGGCTCGCCGCCCTTGCCTAGTCCCGAATCCAGTCAACCATCAAGAGGACCGACAAGTGCAAGAGATTATAAAGATCATGATGATAAATTCCTCCGGGCCAACGAGATTGCTCAACATGCTCCTCCTAATCGTCCAACACTACCTCAAGTCTCGACTGTCAGAATAGGCGACACAGCAACTATATCAAAGGGACCTTCTCAAGCCGCAGACAGCCGACCAGTTCAGTCCAGTCCCCCTCATTCTCCAGATAGAATCCGAAGACCTGTTGCTGCGATGCCACCATCCCCTCGCAAAATCCAGCTGGACCCCGGTTCATCTCCTCCAGCACCATCTCGATCGACCATAGACCGACCGAAGAGTGCAACAGGCTCTACCGCATCTTCGGCTCCCAGCTACCAAGGCGGACACAGGAAGTCTATCAGCTCAAGCTCCATAACTAGCATGCCTGTCAGGAGAATGAGTGGACAGCAGACACAACGACCCCAGCCTCTAGATCTCCGGCTTGCGCCATCAAGCTCTCCCCGAATAGGGGCAAACAGTATGTTGTCTGCCGACACATTAAGCCCCAGATCTGTAAGCCTAGCCTCGACCAACACGGTTTCTGCATCCATTACCAGTGACACGGAATGCTCAGAATCATATAAATCGGCAATCGCTTCAATTAACCCTGCAGATTCTGGAATAGACCAAGCTGTTCCTCCATTACAACTTCAAAACGACAGAGCTGCGGATGCACGTCGCGAACGGAAAGTTCTCGATTTAGAGATTTCGAACTCATCTCTGCTGGCCATCAACAAGACTCTGGAGCGTGAACTGCGCAAGCAGAGCGGTGAACTGCGGAGATATCGTCGTCTGTCTCGTTCTGGTCGTCTTTCTCTGGCAGCAAGCACGAGGACAGTCTCGGGACAGTCAAGTCACAGTCTCGGTACTCTTACCGAGCTCGATGGAGAGAGTCAATCACTTTCTGACCTTGACCCAGGAAGTGACTTGGACGATCTGGATGACGAGGAAGATTCTCTCGTGTCCAACGACTCAAGTTCTTTGACAAGTCCAACAGCCCGATCAAGACAACGTGCTAGGGATGAGAGGCGATTACTGCTTGATCTTTCCAAACACCATCAACTTCTCCTCGACTCTCAGAAACTTAGCCAGAGCATCAAGCGTTGCCTCACCTGTACTGAGGAACTAATCCGCGATGGAAATAGAGCATTGGATTATAAGGTCGGAATCGGCGATGTGAAATTAGGAGGACGAGTCTTGCATGATGAGGAACTCGATGAACGTGGCTTCGACAACGGGACCGAAGAACCAGGTGAAAGGAAGGGGTTGTTAAGCCCAGGCCTGACGAAAGCAAAACTTGACGAAGCGCAGCTCTGGGTCGATCATACCAGTGCGGCTGCGTCGAAGAGTGAATTCACAGCTCTCACCCTGCTGCAGGAGATCACAGAGGCTCTAGAATCTGACGTTGCAGATTCTTAAGCAGCGTAGGATCGTCACCCCGAATTTCCGCCTCGTCGAACGGTCTCGAGACTGATTGATCACCGCTCTCTGTCACGATGTCATGATCAAAGCTGCATAAGGTGGCGCGGGAAGAAGTACCACCATCTTACTGGGTTTCTGTTACATTTTGGGAATGTTGGGCGACGGCGAAACAAGGGTTTACGTGCTTTGAGAATTGTGGGGTTTTCCCAGCGTTCGTTTTAACCCTCATCTACAGTACACTACTTTGGGCCTGCCTCTGCCGGGTCTGGTTTTGGTTTCATATGTTCTCGTTCTATACAGCTGATACCCCGACGGCAAATGTCTTGTTTAATTCCGCGACACCGGAGGCACAGGAGGAAAGAATACTTGGAGAATAGATGGTGTTGGCTGCTGATTTATTGCTGGGTTCATGCCGGTTCACCTCGAAAGAGATGCTCGAGATGTGCTAGCTGGGAAGGAGAGCTTGGACCTTGAACGAGGAAAGGAGAAGCTGAGCGAGATGCAGCAGCCATACCTCTACTGTACAGTCCACGTCGCAGTTCGCAGAGGAAGCTGCCGGGTGTGCAGAGTGGTGCCACGTTACTGTGAACAAATATACTAGTACTGAGAATCTCAACTTGGTATCACACATCCCGGGTTTCCAACCATTCATAGGGCTCTATCCTGCACGGCTCCGAACCTGAAAGGGACTCGTTGCTTCGGCCGCGCTATCGTAGTACAGGCTAGAAAAGAAAGAGGAGAGGTAGACAGTCACAGCAGCAAGTCTTGGGCCCATATTCAACCAGGCGAGAAGCGGTGTCTTTGCGGTGGTAAGAGGATTAGGATGCGGGTGAGGGTGACTCCTTGCGGCCGTGGCGGTGCTTCGAGTCCTTGTCCTTATCCTTGTCCTTGTCCTTTTTCTTCTCTTGCTTCTTCATGGATTCGGCCATGAGCTGCTCGAAGGCCATGAAGTCGCCTTCTTCGTCTGGGTCCCGTTCGGCCTGGATAAGAGTCAGTATCAGTGTCTGCCTTGCTGTCTTGATGATGGCATTATTGGACGGATTGGCAACTCACCTGCTGGAAGATCGTGCCCATCAGCACCAGGGCTTGTGCGCGCTCGACCCGCTTCTCGAGCCTGACGGTCTTATCGTTCAGGATTTTGTCGCAGACGTCGCGCAACACGCCCTGGATCTCGAACTTCGAGCCTCTCCACGCTGCAGCCAGGATCTTGCCCGTCACCTTCCGCTCATACTCGGCCTTCTTCTCATCCGTCCAGTCGGCGCCACCTTTCTCCTCCAACTTGGCCATTTCTTCCATCGTCAACTGTGCATCGATGGCGGTCGAGATCGTGGTCCATGTCTCCTTAGCGAGGGTACCTTTGTCCTTTAGGCGCGAGAAAAACCCTGATATGCCAAGGAATTTCTGGGATTTGAGAAAAGAGGTGGCTTTCTGGCTGTACGTCTGTCCGACGGCGTGGAGGATCTCGATCCCAAATGATTCCATCTTGAGATTCTCGACTTCCAGTTTCGTCTTTTCTTGAAAGGCGCGGGTGACTTCTGGCCCCTTCTCCGTCTCTGTCCACACACTGATCCGATCGATCAGCTTCTTCACCAGCGTGTTGACTCGTTCTTCTCGCGCTTTCCGCCTTTCGCGTTCATATGCCTCGAGTTTCTCGCGCTGCTCTTTGGTCAAGCCGCCCTTCTTTTTCTTCTTCTGCAGGTCTTTCTCCTCCTGAGTCAGGCCGGCGGCATCCATGCGAGCATCTTCCTCAGATCGATCCATGATGGCTTGCTGGCCGAGGTATCTTTTCTGCGGTGTGCTAGTCCCTGAGGATTTGCCGGCAGAAGTAGATGCCTCTTCGCCCGAAACATATGGTGGTGGAATATGAGCGGTCGTGCTCGTGCTTGTACTTGCATCAGTAGGCTGTTCGGTGGCCTGTTCCTCCTTTTCGCTACTGTCCCCGGCAGTGGCTGCTGAGGCCTGCTTTTCCTTCTCGTCGTGGATATTCAACTTCTCTTCTGCATGCTTCGCCAGTTCTTCCTCCTCCATCTGCTCCATTGTGATATCCATGGTGTGTGTCAGATCCTTCAGCAGGGTGAGTTCGCCAATAAGGTCGACAAAGGCGTCACCTCCAAAGATCATACTGAAGAACTCTGCGGGATCCTCAAAGCCTTGGCTGGGCATGGCTTTCTCTTTGCCATACATGTCGTAGGCTGCTCGCGTCTCTTTGTTGGACAAGACCTGGTACGCCTCGCCTACAGCCTGGAATCGGGCATGCGCTGTCTCATCGCCAGGGTTTTTATCGGGATGTGTTGTGATAGCCAGCTTTCTGTAAGCCTTTTTGATTTCTAACTCAGAGGCATCAGGTTTGACGCCTAGAGCGTCGTAGTACGACGTATCCACGACCATGACTGCGGCAGTCAGTCTGTGTCCTTCACTCTTCCCAGGTTTTTTATTGTCGCCGATGCTTCTTAATCCCTCTTCAAGACCCTTTGAGTCAGCGGGAGCAGCGCTGGAATGACCGGAGGTCAGGGATTTGGCTTTGTTGGTGGGGGCACAGAGACACCAATCGAAGATTTGGAATCGAGTTGCTGTGTATCAGGGGAGCTTGGACTTGCACCTGCGCCAGGCAAGAGGACGGGAGGTCTGGAGAAGGCGTGCTTGAACTGAAGTGATGGAGATATCAATGTAGGAGTGGATGGGATTGCGATCGTATGTGGGTGACTGAATTATGGTATGTACGCTTGAGCCGCGTGTGCCCGTCGAAAGCGAATGCTTGTGATCCGTGATCCCAGATCCCAGTCAACCAGGTGAAGTCATCGGACGCAGGAAATAATCATTATGCGGCTTGCGCTGGGCATAACTCTGTACTAGGGATACAGTAAAAATTACAGTACTAGGCACCAGCCACAGTTGGCAACCAGACCTCGGCGGTGCACCGCCCAGCCTTAGGCCTACTTCGTATAGAGTGCGAATACTCCGTACTACTATTCGTACTACCTAACGTTCCAGGGGCCATGGTTCCTTTCAGGTGGGCTTAGGGGCTTCAGCGCAATAATGATCTCGCTTGGTTACTATTATTATTATATAGGACGGATACTACCACTACCACTACCGTACCTAAGGTACCTACCAGGAAGCAGGTTACGGTAGTAGTACCTGCTAAGGTACTATAATTACATGTACCACTGCAACCAGTGCTACAAAAGCTTGGCTGAGAAACCTTCGGTTGATTGATCGTACCATTATTTGGTTTCTCCAATCTCCACACACCCATCCCTCCATCGGTACTACCTAGTACCTGCACACTCTGGACGCGCTGTAACGATGGTCTAAGAAACTGTCGCCAACTTCGGTTGTATCTCCTTTTTGTCTTTTTCTTTTTCATTTTTCATTTTTCCTCTCTCTTTTACTGTACTGCTGGAACAATCTCTTCTGCGTCGAGATTAATTCTAGCCACAGCTTGGGCCGTCTTCATCATGCCGAAAGTCAGAGATATTCTGTATTACGCAGTGCATGTCCAGGAGCTGCGGTCCATCATTCAATGGTAATTGTGCCTCATTAGATCTCATGACAATATAGAACTCACGCCCTTTAGGAAAGTCTGGCACAACCCTGTGCATGAAAGGGACGAGTCAACAGAGACGGAGTCCGCCAAAATTTGTTTCAAATATCTTGACAAGACCAGCCGAAGTTTCAGTGCTGTCATCAAAGAACTACACCCCGAGCTCCTATTACCTGTCTGCGTTTTCTACCTGGTCCTGCGTGGCTTGGACACCATTGAAGATGACACGTCAATATCCGCGACCACCAAGGAGCCCCTGCTGCGAAATTTTCACGAGAACCTCGAAGTCGATGGCTGGCATTTCGACGGCAACAGACCCGAAGAGAAAGATCGCGAGTTATTGGTCAACTTTAGGTACATCATCACAGAGTTCAAAAACATGAAGCCTGCGTATCAAGCGATTATCAAAGATATTACACAAAAGATGGGGAATGGAATGGCGGACTATTGCCTGAATGCTGAGTTCAATGAAGTCGGAGTCAACACCGTTGAAGACTACGACCTCTACTGCTATTACGTGGCCGGTCTCGTTGGCGAAGGACTGACCCGCATGTTTGTGGAAAGCAAATTTGCCAACCCGGGACTTCTAGAAAGACCCCAGCTTCATAGGTCAATGGGGCTTTTCTTACAGAAGGTCAATATCATCCGAGATATCCGCGAAGATTTTGACGACCATCGAAAATTCTGGCCTCGAGAGATCTGGTCGCAATATGTAGACAGCTTTGAGGATTTGTTCAAGCCGGAAAACCGAGAGAAGGCGCTAAACTGCAGCTCGCACATGATCCTCAACGCGCTCGATCATGCCGATGACTGTCTCTTCTTCCTAGCAGGTTTGAGGGAACAGAGCGTGTTCAACTTCTGTGCTATCCCGCAATCGATGGCTATTGCGACACTGGATCTCTGCTTCAGAAATTACGCCATGTTCCAACGCAACATCAAGATCACCAAAGGGGAAGCATGCCAACTCATGACTGCGTCAACACAAAATTTGCAAGTGGTGTCTGAGGCGTTCCGAAAACATCTTCATTCTATTCGAAGAAAGAATAGACCAGAAGACCCCAATTTCTTGAAGATCAGCATCGCGTGTGGAAAGGTGGAACAGTTCATTGAATCCATCTTCCCGTCGCAAAAGGTGGAGGAAATCCTGGCCAAGGGAAAGGCGGCTGAGCTTCAGGCAGCCATTTCAGCAAGGGAGAAGACGGCGCCAGAAGTGGGCAGCAAGAAGGAGACTCTGGTCTTGCTTGGAGGTGTATTGTCGATGATGTTGGTCATCACAGGGATTATGGTGAGCAGTGGACTTCTTCCATTACCAAGCGGACACTAACAAACCGCAGACTTACATTGCGTGGCTTATGGGCGCTCGATTCGATGTGGCCTTTGAGGAGATTAAGCAAAGCTGGGCTCAATTGACTGGGGGATCCCTTTTTCAGGGATTGGATCAGGTGCAACCCACCAACCATCCCACGGGTCATGGTGAACTCTGATATGGTCACCCGTTGCCTAGCTAGGCTCTCAAGTCTGTATAACAAAAAGAAACACTACAGAATACAGACAGGCTTCTGGAGCAGGTAACCCTTCCAGAAGCGCATCCTCCATCACCTAAAGCACGGATGTCAAATTGCAACTCAGCCTTTTTCATTGACTGTTGTTGTGCCGAAGATGTGCTGAAATTGACCACTGTGATGCTCGAAACTGACAATTGACAAGCCCGAGAGGACTCTCTCTGAGGTGTCTTGTTACTTTCGAGCGTACATCTACTGTCTCATTTGCCATGTCTCTATCTCATCTTGTCAAACGACAACGGTTCCTTTTGGGATCGATGCCTGGGCGTGACGATGATCGTACCACTCGCTCGAAGCTTGTGTGATATTCTGTCAGGTGTTCCGGCAGATGCTTGCATCAAGTTTCTTCGTGTCCGCGTAGCTGTTGTGTAACCAGTCGGCTCACTTACAGAGCGGGATTGTACGGAAAGGACACGACATGGTAGGAGACATGGAGAGGAAGACAGCTGTGTCACATGGCCTCTAGAGTCCGTGGCTCAGCCAAGGAAGATTCTACTTCGCATTGGTCCTGGTGTCTCATTGGCACTGCACGGCCCGAGCCAGCAGGCCCATCCCATGCTTCGGGGTGGTGAGATGTCTTGGAGGTGGAGGAGTAGATGAGAGGTAGAAGAGACTTCAGATGAAGAAGTTGGTGGGTTGTGTGAGCCTAGTGTACGCTGTGCTGTACCTTTGCTGCGGTAGGATTGGAAAGGAGGACGCAGGACGCCAACGCAGGACGCAGGGACGGAGATTCGAACCGGTGGTCTGGCTGTACGGCGACAACGCCTCCTGCGTCGTACCCATGTCTTCGACGTCACTGCTCTGTCTCCAGACCAGGGTGAGTGAAGCTCGCTCCCTCTGTATCCGTACGGGAACTCGGCTCTCTATCATCCTCAAACATCTGCCATCTGCCATCCGCCATCCGCCATCCCGCCCTCTCTCTCCCTCTCTCTCGCGGCCCAATTCCACAAGCCACCACAGCCACTCAGCAAAAACAGCTCAGTTCCTTGATTCTCCTTCTCCTCCAGCCATTAGGTAACCACCGTCTCGAACCTTCGACCGAGGCTCGCCCCCTCGCCCCTCGCCGTGCCTGGCTGATCGCAGCGACATCCCTGCACCGCCCATCGATCAATTTCCCATCCTTTCGGCGAACGTACATATCTGCCAGGGATTAGGATCTGCATGTTGCATACCAAATTGCTTGTTCGAACGTGCTCCGGGCCACATGACCCTTATTGCCTGCCTCTGGGTTATTTGTCTCGTATGTTCTCCGTCCAGTCGAAGAGTCGCCAGTAAAATGCCGAACTCGATGTTGCAGTAATGTCGGTGTGGCTGCCAGAAAATGACGTGCGCTGGATGCTTCTAGTTAGACTCTGCATCTTTATCACTTATCAATCCTCCGGGCCTGTTGGGCTCTCGCGCATATTCACTCCATACATCCGTCGACTTGACGATAGGTACTGCAACCTGCGAAACACTTCCGAGCATAAATTTTGTACATCCGCCGTTCTCGTTCTCTCACCATGTCCGCTTGTCGCTAGCCCTTTAGCTTGTCTTCCTGTTAAACAGAGAGCCGGAAGGTGAAGCTGTAAATAAGCCATCTTCCCCCACCGCCCTTACCGCCATTCAAGCGTCCAGGACCCGATTTGTTGGGTGTTGCAACACCCGAGACATAGGCCGTCACACCTTCCCGGAGCGAACACTCGTCTCACAAGCAACTGTGTAACGCCTAACAACTTCAAAATGGCTGAACAGGCACTGGGACTAACCCTAAATGCTGTGCCGGTAGCCATCAAGCACCACGACAAAGTCTGGGACCCTATTCAGCACCGGTGGAAGAAGATGCGTGGACAATTGCCTCTGGAAGACAAGCATATCATGGACCGGCGCACTATGGAAGAGAAAGGGCTCGTTCTTCGCCGTCGACGAGATGTCGCTCCGGACGAGGAAATCGTAGAGGTAGTCCGTCACAGAGGCGAAGTTCTCCCGAGGCGTCCTGGGCAGCGACGAAGGGCCAGTTCCTTGCAAAACGGTCGAGCAGTGGGCGTCGGCGCCGCAGCTGGCGCTGGTGCTGGCGCACTCGCTCATTATCGAGATCGACGGGACTCTCGCTATGATTCGGAAGGGTCCGTACCACCTCGATCCCGCGTCCGAGCGAAGTCGGCCACAGGTCGGTCTCGACGGCGCCGCGGATCCTCAAGCTCCTCGTCTTCATCGTCTTCATCGTTGGCCTCATCCACGGAGGAAGAAAAAAATTGCCGCAAGTTACAACGCAAGAAATGGATCACAGGTGCACTGGCCAGTGTCGCAACCATCCACGCAGCGTCGAAAGTCTATTCCTCTATCGAGGCTCACGACAAGCGTATGGAAAAGGTCAGAGAGGGCAAGTTGTCCCCGGAAGATGCGCATAAGCAACAGCGAGCTTCACGCTGGCAGGACGCTGCAGCCATCGGCATCGCCGCGCTGGGGATCAAAGGCGCTGTGGGCGAGTGGAACGAGGTTACAGAAGAGCACGCGCAGCATAAACAAATGCTGTCAGAAAGGGAAGAACATCATAAGAAGCGACTAGAACGAGAGCGCCGACGGCGAGCCCGGGAAGCTGGGGGCTATTACAAAGGACGAGACGGCCAGTGGTATTACAACGGGGCTGTCCCACAGAGCAGTTCAAGTCAGCGCAGTGAAAGTACGAGGGGCCGCTACGCCGATTCGAGTTCGATCAGACAATCCGGTCGAGAACGAAGAAGATTCGAAGATGATGACAATGGGGAGAGAAACAGGTCTCGGCGCGCGGTGAGTCGTGGTCGTGCGGATGACTACTGACCCTTCATGGGCTCAGTATCCGTCTTGTTGCACGGTCGCCGAAAGGGATCCTTTCGCGCATATCTTTGTGGCGCCTTGGCTGACGGGTATTTCTGCGGGAAAAGAGTAGCAGCACTGCATCACCTCCGAAGCTCCCCAAGAATCATGAAAGGACACGCGTCACAGTTGGCCAACTCGCCGTCGATGCCTTGGATGAAGTGATGAATGTGTAGCAACGAGCTTTTCTTGTCATGCGCTGGCAGCTACACTCCTGGTTTCGTATGTCGCTCGCAGTCATGTCTGTGTACATCGACGACTTTCCTGAGAATGATTTGCAGCGAATCTAGGCTGCTATGCGAGGATGAGAAGACACTGCAACATTTGGATTGATGGGTATACGAGATATGAGGTTATGATATGACTAGGGTTGAAATTAAATTTCACATTCCACATTCTCCTATCCGCACAGAGTACGGAGTATCCGTACATGGGCCTGACAAGGCTGTGGTAGTGCGGAGCAGTTCAAAATGCTCCCCTGTAGCTGAGATCTTGGCGGAACCATTGCGACGCTGCCTGCGCCAGTACTCCGTACTGTCCGTGGACATCTATCTCACTGCGCGTACAACGACTGCTCCAATCTTCGCAGCCAGCTGCACGCCCTTCGTTTCGTTCCGTTCTCCTGCCTGTCCCGACGATTTCTCCTGCATGTCGCAAGGCTCGGAGCGCTCACGACGCTAGAAACCCAGTAGAATGGCCGAACCTCCCATTGGTAACGCCGAGTCCCCCATCATTATATGATCCCTTTGCTGACACAGGCACGGCAGTCCTCGATGGAGGTACCGGCTTCCTCAAGGTCGGCTATGCTGGCCAGGTACGTATAGCCAATCGCTCCCGACGAAGCACCAGTCATTGACCTTACACGTGCCTGCAGAACTTCCCGGAACACCAATACCCCTCCATAGTCGGCCGACCGATCCTGCGTTCGGAAGAGCGAGCGGGCGACATTGTGGTCAAGGATATCATGTGTGGGGATGAGGCGGCCGCCGCAAGATCTATGCTTCAAATCAGCTATCCTGTATGTGGAAGCAACTCGAATTCGCTCACCAAGTTGTGCTGCGCTCAAGGCTGACATGCAGCTCACCGAGTAGATGGAAAATGGCATTGTCAAGAAGTGGGACGATATGCAGCATCTCTGGGACTTTACATTCTACGAGAAACTTCGCATCGACCCCACGGGTCGGAAAATCCTGTTGACAGAACCGCCCATGAACCCGCTCAAAAACCGCGAGCAGATGTGCGAAGTCATGTTTGAAAGATACAACTTTGGCGGGGTGTACGTGGCCATTCAGGCCGTGCTCGCATTGTATGCCCAGGGTTTGTCTTCCGGAGTGGTGGTCGATTCTGGCGACGGCGTCACACATATTGTCCCAGTTTACGAATCCACGGTTCTCAATCACCTTACTCGCCGACTTGATGTGGCAGGCCGCGATGTCACCCGCAACTTGATCGCTCTACTCCTCCGAAGAGGATACGCGCTTAACCGAACTGCTGATTTCGAAACTGTGCGCCAAATAAAAGAGAAACTATGCTACGTATCCTATGACCTTGCCCTCGACCAGCGCCTGTCCGAAGACACCACCGTCCTTGTGGAATCCTACACCCTTCCCGATGGACGTGTGATCAGGGTTGGCAGCGAACGTTTCGAGGCTCCCGAATGTCTCTTCCAGCCGCACCTCGTGGACGTTGAACAACCAGGCATCGCAGAGTTTCTGTTCAACACCATCCAGGCCGCCGACGTAGATGTACGCTCGTCGCTGTACAAAGCCATTGTTCTCTCTGGAGGAAGCAGCATGTACCCTGGTCTCCCGTCGCGATTGGAAAAGGAGCTCAAACAATTGTGGCTGACCCGAGTGTTGGGCGGTAACCCGGAACGCCTGAATAAATTCAAAGTGCGGATCGAAGATCCTCCCAGGCGACGGCACATGGTCTTCTTGGGAGGAGCAGTGCTCGCGAACATCATGGCAGACAAGGAAAACATGTGGATCTCCAAGCAGGAGTGGCAGGAGCAAGGGTCGCGAATCCTGGAGAAGTTGGGTCCAAGGTAGACATGTACCAAGCTTTACTGGGGCAACCGTTCTGGCAGTAGTTTGGCAACCAAAAAGATCTCGGTCACAGGAAGGACCTGTAGAGGTGTGCTCGGCTATACTTTGCCGTGTAAGGCAGATGCGGAAGGATTGTCGTAGCCTCGCCACAGGGCGAAGACGAACCAGGCTTCTAGAAATATGAAATATGAAATATGACCCTAAGGAGGTGTGCTCTGTCTCCATCTGTCTCCCTCTGTCTCCCTCTGTCCAACTCATCCATGCATGCATACTTCACTCACTTACTCGGTATCGCCATACCATCAAGCGCCTCCTCCCTCCTCCACAGTCCCAGGAAAGGGAAGGGAGGGGGATCGGCTTGTACGGGCTGGAAGGGACAAAGACAAAGAATCCTGGATTTACAGGACCTATAGGTACCAACCAGTAATATAATATAATATCACATAGTATGATGATGGAACCATTACACGACGATCTACTTTTCCATGTTTGTCCCCCGACCCCTTCCCGCCCCCCCAAAATGGCCCATTGCCACTCTCGCTTCTTGTTTAGACTCCAGACCACTGATTATATGAAATCCGGAAGGGTGGTGGTCGAGGTCCACGTGCCCGACATCACTGTGGTCGGCGGCACGCCATCTCTAGGCGCGGAAGCGGTGGCGGACTCGGTCGCGGTAGCGGTCGCAACCGCAGGCCCATAGCTAAAGCCATGTGCGGCGGAGTCGAAATCAAAGTCCAAAATGCTGTTCTCGAAATCACCCAGGGAATAGCATTCTGCTAGGGCAATGTCCATGTGCAAGGCGTGACCGTTGGAGATGTGCCCGTGTCCGATTTGCCCTCGCTCGTTGGCGATGCCGGTGTGGTCAAAGTTAAAGCCCAGTGCCAGCTCTTCTGAATCTAAGCCTGCGCCTGTCCAGGGGTACCGGTCGGCCAACTCGGGAGCCAGGACTGGCTCGTGGGGAGCCTGCGCAACGCCCATGGGAGTTGACGCTTTGAGCTCGGCTGTGGACACTGGTGTAAAGGTGGGAGTCATGCCATCATCAATGGGGCGGTCGTAGTGGTAGGGTTGAGGACTGGATTGTGCAGGTTCGAGGGCTGGCTGAAGAGAGTGCTGACCAGCAGAGAACTGGCTAGAAAGCACGTCGGTATCAACAGCAGCCTCGTTCGAACCCATGAGACCCATGGATTTCGCCTGGGTCCCGGGGATGGCAAGCCCCAAGGCCGGCCCAACCTGGGCCCTGTTGATCATCTGGCCCACCAGATCGCAGGCCGAATCGGCAATCGGCCATATATCACGTAGGTGCAGCAGCGCTCGGACACAGCGATGGAGTTGCCACTGCTGTGCCCGAAGCTGAAGATCTCCCAAGCCTGCACCATTTGTTTTGATCTCGACCAGGAATGCCGCACTAGCGAGGAGCATGAAACTCACCGCAAGCGGTGGCAGATATCTCACCAGATCGCGGTCGTGCAGACACTGGATCATCTCGGACATTTTATCAGCCGCCTCTTTGACCTTTGACGTCGATGTCGATCTCTGTCTTGGTCCCGAGGCTGAGTGAGACTTGGACTCCCCCAACGTCTGAGGCCGATTGAGGGCTTCGGTTGCCACCAAGAACAGCATCTTCAAGGCACTTCGGTGCAGAAACAAGATATCGTCTGTCCAGTCACCATCTGCATTCCCATTGCCGGCGGGGGCATTCGCAAGAAGCCAGCAGCTCATCGGCAGATTACTGTACCACTGACTTAGTTCGTCCTGTAGCGCGGCAACATCATTGCTACTGATGGCTTCGGACCTTCTGGGCGTATAGAGCATAGTGACTTCGGACGTAGAGCCTCCAAAGCTTCGCAAGGTATAGCAGCTCTTGATAATGTGGCCGATGGTTAACAGCAATTGTGCTTGGGCCACACACATTTCAGCCAGCATTCTCCTCAACGAACTATCCGTCACAAAGCGAGATTGCCGGAGCGACGGCACCAAGGTGCTGATCGGTCGCAATTCAAAGTCGTCGGGAGTCAACCAGGGGAGGTTGATGTCCTCATCCATGACGCGCATTGCTCGGCGCATGCTAAACGCTATGATTCGATCTCGCATGACACAATTCCACCAGATGCGTTTCCAGAGCCGACAGGTTCGCGGGTCCTTTCTCGAGTAGGTGTCGGTTTGGTTCATGCCAATACTCGTGGCCAATGAGACACAGATCCCCAGCCAATGCCAGGGATCCTTCTGGTCATTTTCCGAGACGTACCAGTAGTTTAAGATGAGGAGGGCCTGGATCAGCGCGATCCGGTCGACGTCCCAATTAAAGTCGTACAGTAGCTTGGGGGAGGAGAATCAAAGTCAATATGGGCGTAGAACTACAGGGTTTGGAATGCTCACCTTAACTTTCTGGTAGAAGTCGCTTCTGGCTGCTCTTCGATTTTGGTAGCCTGCTTGCCGGAGTAGGTCTAAGTCGACGTAAGCCGTTCCCGCGAACATGACGGCCTGAAATACCACGAGACTAATTTTCGGGGCGCCGTCACGGCCGTCGATGGCACCTAGAAAATCCTCCAGGTCGACGGTCGGCATGGAGGGGTAGACGAAAAGCACAAAACATCGAAGAAGTTGGTCTTGCAACTCGGGTTGAGGTAGGGTCAGGGCACCACGACGGTTCAGGAATTCCACATCATCAGGCCGAATGTCAGGTTGCGGAGGCTGGATATAGGATGGAAAGGTAACAGGTGGTGGCGGCGGTGGTTGAGGGGGTAGATTAGTGGCAACGCTCCCCGTCAGATACCCATAGCCTTGGGCGCTGAAGCTGGCGGCTGGTGTGGTGCTGGCCGGTGAACTGTGAGGCTGAGTGCTTGATGTCGAGGAAGGCTTGGAGGCAGCTTCATCTTGAGATCCGCGCAGTCACAGTGTCAGGCGAAGACTCTTTGGTGAGGACAGGAGACGCGAAACGTACCATGACTTGTCTGGGCCGGGACACTGTTCAGAGTGTCCGGGGAGAGCTTCAACGAGGCCAACGACGATGCTGTCGTGAGTCTGGCGGGAGCTTGAGTGAGCGGCTGCAGCGAAACAAGGCCGCTCAGTCGACGCTTCTGCAGGCGGTATTTCCGGCTCCGCCTGGACTCGACCACGACACATTCCACGTCGTCCGACTTGCAGTTGGAGCAAGGGACGCCGGACGTGACCAGGTCACATTTGACCTTGCGGGTGCGGCAATTGTGGCATGCTTGAGAGGCTCGTTTCTTGACGGCGCGGCCAGGGTGCCGCCCGTCCGCAGATTCGCCCGACTGCATGGCCATGCCCATGGAAGCGTTGGTCCGGGGGAGGAAACGCTCGTCTGCTCACCAGGCCGACATGGTGATGGAAGGATGATGGGAGCCATTGAACTGCCGATACTAGTGTAGATGAGGTGTGGGCTTTAGGCTGGGAAAGAAGCCGAGGATGTTTGGTGTGCAAGGCGCAGGCGCAGTTAGGCAGTTAGGCAGTTAGCCCTAAGAGCCTCGCTCGCCGTCAGCCCAGCATCCCAGCATCCCGCCATCCCGCCATCTTCAGCTTTGGCTCCCTGGGGCAACACCAGTGACCAAGGCCTAAGGAGCCTAAAGAGCCCTAATTCTCCTTGCGGCGGGGTTACAGTACGGGGTCGTCGTCTGGAAAGCCTTAGGAGCCTAGGTACCAGTAAGTCGATTCGGCTAGCCTAAGGAGGCTAAGGAGGCCAAGGCCTATAGTTTGTTATACCTTACTAAAGTGCCTGTTAGGTGCCTGTGTACGGAGAACCTTACAACACATACTGTACGCAGTATTCGTCCAGTTCTAAAACCTATGCACCTACTATGAACCTGACAAAGTCTACAGCTACACACACGTCTAACGACACATCCGTCTCTCTCCTATACATCTACTCAGGTGGCCAACTGCACACCATACACTAACTCAGCACTGCTCCGTCCCTGTCCACCTTCTCTTTCGGCGACGACCATACCGTCTCAGACACGCGGAACCCAAAATACGCATAGACATCCCTCGCACTAGCATTTGCGGCCACGAGCCAAATCGGCATTTTTTTCGTCCTTGGGCGACCTATGGCTAAATCACCGCCCTGAACGCACCTTTGGTCCTGCAATCCGGGTCTTGCGTTTGCGTCATCAGGGAAAGAGTCCAGTGCTGTGGCCGCTGGGTGTCTCGGGTAGATTGCGCGTACACAGGATTCTCCCGCGCCAGTCCTTCCAGCTGGCTATGCTCAGTGGCGGAGGGTAGATTGACGGAGGCTGCCAGCCCCGACAACAAGCCCACCTTCAGCTATTTTGCGTCAAAAATGCGTGCTTTGGCTGGGCGTAAAGAAGATCGGCCGTGGGAGGCCTGGCCCGTCGGGTCTTCTCTCGCTGGAAGAGAATACTCAAAGGGTCATTATTGACAGTCGCTCGCGAGTTTCAGCTCCGCCAGCCGGTGGGCGTATTCTGGGGACTGCGATGCCGTCACATTGGGTAACCATGACGGCGTGGACGTTCCTGAACCGTCATTACTGATGGCAAGAGATGTGACTTTGAGATATTGATGCCCGTGATTGTTGAGTGTTCATAATTCAATCTCTCTGCTCACATCATCCATGATAGATGCCTGGCTGTGATCACGCCCGGGGATTTGGACCGCCCTTCTTTTAGCCTGAGAAGAGTATAGCCATCTCAGAATATATGCCATGATCAGCAAGGACAGCCTGAAGCTTTGCAGATGTCTCTACGGAGTAGTAGTCTGACTCATGGGACTCTTGGCGAGTAGTCTAGGGACAGTACTATTATACCAACTAGTAGTAAGGTAATTAGCATTGGTGTCAGACGAGGCTCTGCGAGTGCGCATCTCCGGGCCGCGACCAGACCTGCCAATTAAATGCGAGTATGAGCTTGCGAGGCTGAATCACAGCCTTGCAACTCTAAGGCCTCTCGACAGTGGAACAGAAGCACAGCAGGGTTGGCCGCAGTGGGCATGGTTCTAACTTCTGCAGTTTTCTAAGGGATAGTAATTACGTTGTACGCCAGTATCACAACACAGACAGGGTCATTCCATTCACCGCCGCGCAATACGAAACCAGGAGTCGGTGGATCAGGAGCCCCGTAAGATATCAGATTTGTATATTAGTCGGACCCAATTAAATATAAGACGAATTAATTAGTTGTACTCTGCAATGGTACAATAAAGTACGTACTGCCGTGTGTTGGGTCGATGTACATGTCCTCGGGCGGGATCGTCAGCCCTTCTGCTCTCCACACTTCAATTTCAATCTTGATGCCCCAATACTCTCTTGTCAATGGTTTGAAGGATGAAATGTTCCATGTTCTCCATCAACGGGTCGCAGGGAGAGCGCATGCTATCTAGTATAGAGTATAGCCTCAACCAGCCTCTCTGGTTAAAGGACAAGGCCGGGGATGCGCCTAGGTTTGACATCTCTCACATCCACAACGCATCGACTCTAGATTTAATAGACATTCAGGGGGAAAATAAGACTTCAAGTTGATATCTCGTCCATACTTGGCCATAGATAAGGAAGGGAGATGGAAGAATAATTCTATACAAAGTACTTCCTAACCATGTCCCGAACATCGGGGCTATCATATGGCATTTGAAGATTCGGAAGTCGTGAGGTCCATGACTCTTCCCAAGCAGTAAATTGGAGTCAGAACTGGTATATCTACGCAGGGGTAATGGTTTTGACACAAGCCAAAAGCGAAGGGCAGGTAAATGACAACTCATATGCAAAACATGTTGAAGAGGCACAAAGTAGTTGATGGGCATTCATGAATGCTTCAGTATGATCACTGCCACATCTTCCTGTCAAGGCTTCCCTCAAAAGATTCCCAGATAGACTGTGTAACTGCCAAACGGAAAAATTCCTGGGTTGATTATCCAAGCCAAACATGATGATCAACCGAGACAACAAATTGAGGGTCCAACAGCGATCCCCAAAAAGATCGGGTGCCCAGGTGGCAAATCGCGACACGGACGAGGAGGAGCATGCGCCGATGCGGGCTTGATTGTCTGCGAATGGTTTAGGGGATGGCAGCCCACTCCTTTGAAGAATAGACAATCGTACTACGCCTCCCCTAAGATAGTTTTAAGACAGGCATCTAACAGGGCATTTGTCTGGGGTCAGAAGTCGTTGAAAACGCGATGTGGACTCCTTAACACCCTAGTGCAACGGCTTGTTCAGGCCTTTGCACAGTGGGATCGCCGATGTCTCATAGTGTAACTGCAGATCAACGAGTCCAGCACGCCCAATGGGCCTGCCAGGTTAGCAAGATTCGTTCCAGGGATGATTCTCTCCAATGCAACCAGCTTGGGGAAGGCGCCTGAGGGCTAGTGAGGCCCATCTTGCTTCCCCTTGAGGCAAGGGGTGGGAGCTCAGGATGTGTTATCGCATCCGTCAGAGTGTGTAAACACGAGGTAATCACGGTCTCGAGGCCGTGAGCAAGCATCTCAGGGCTGCAGATGCTGAACGGCATGTCACGGAAGAAAAGGTCACACGCTATGCGGTTTTTTCACCCACTCGGTGGCAATTCCCCTAATGCCAGATGCCAGGCTTCATTAGCGGTATTGACGAGATGGGAACATGATGCACCTTTCTGTTGTTCAGCCTATTATAGAGCTTTGCATACCTGGACTCGTACGGACGTTTGCCGGCCTAGAAGGCAAGAGGTGAAAAACGCAGCCGTCATGGAAGCCAATTGCGATCGACCCTGGTATATCATGCTAAATAGACCATATTGAGCTGGACGACAATCAATGCTTGGAAGTGGCAGAGGTATCTACTCACTGTCGATACCGCCCAGAGAAATTTAAAACGTAATTAGAAGCATCTCAGAAGTAGTATACCACCGTTCCGACCCGGCCATGTCTCGAAATGTCTAAATTCTCAGGAGAGTCTGGCGCCGCTCTGTGTTTGAGGCACCCCATGCCATCTCGGCCGCGTCACAGTGCTGTGTCTGCAATGCCTGTCAGGCCACAAGAACGGAGAGCTAAGCCTCTCTAGCAGGATCTGCTAGACGTGTCTCCGTATGTGGTCCCCAGGCGGCCTGGTTAAGTTAGTGCGGCAAAACTTGCTCTTGAGCATGACTTCGACAGGAGCGCCAAAGTCCTAGCCACGGAAAGAGACCCAAACACAGGGGGTTGAAACGTATTTGCGGCAAATTCCAGCAGTGTGATGGATAGTGATGGTGTGACCTATTTGAGGGCAAACAAACACGCTGTGCTGAAGAAAACCAGGAGGAGTTTCCCTTTCGAGACCTCTCTGAACTACATACAGAACCTCATCTCGGTTGGAGCTCCCAAGGGTCAATGCACGACAAGTTGAGGCGAGCAGGCAGGTTGAAGAGAGCGATCCTCGATCACGCCTGACCTCAATGGTATCGATGCGCATGAGTGGAATCGTGAGGGGGGGACCGAGGGAGGGGCTTGGGCTGTCGGCAAACGCCAGAGGGATTTGCGACGGCACCAGCGCTGGGGCAGCCCATCGTTGGACTTTTGACGTTTTAGGGGTCGTGCGCGGTGGGTGTCAAACCTTCCTCTAGCGACCCAAAGTCGGGGTTAGTTGGAAGAAAGAACCACATGAACCCCATCCCAACAAGTAGTATTCTCGACAACAATATTATGTTCTGTCTTTCTGCTTGCTGCTGATTCGGGTCAGGGGCCCTATATCAGGCACCCCAGTTTTGTCTTTCGGCCGATGTGTCGCAAGCTATCTCAGACGGAACGAGAACATCGTTTCGAGTCGGAGCATTAGTGTTGCAGTTTTAGCCGAACCGTTTGTTGGCTGACCGTCCAAGCCTGTGGCAGGCACCCCGCTGCAAAGGGCATCGGATGCCGCTAGATGGTACCCGACATGTTGCAGGCTACTGAAAGCAGGGATTAGGGTGATCGACCGTTGTGACTCGGCGCCGTGCCTTGCCGCCGCTGCGTATGGGTGTCAGGGCTTGCGTCTGGATGCATCCATGAACCGGTCCAGCCGTTCCGGGATGCTCTTTCAACAATGCTGATGACGATCGCCAGCCCGCGCTGTAGAAGGAAGGGGTGATGTAGGGTTACGAATGCGTAGGACTTGGAGCCGCTCGAATTTTTTTACTCTCTAGCCGATTTTTGTAGCGCCCTTGTGTCAACTTGAGACGAAGATGTGAAGGAGATTCGGGACGGCATTGCTGACATGAGTGGAAAGTGACAGGCATTAATATTGCAAGACGAAACGATCCTTGATGGGGAAATCGGGTTTGGGAGAACTTGAGATGCTCTCTTACGTGGCTGCCTGCGTCATCCCCTCACCCCATATACGATTGGGCATAATAATGAAAGCATTTCGAGGCCTTGAACCACGGTTGCGTAGGTACGAGTAGGAGGTAGTCCTACTTTGTTCCACCCCTCAGGGCGAAGCCACAGATTCAGGAGAACCCTCGAAACTGGCATTGTGTCCTGGCCCTCCTCTAGCCACCTTAGCTCTCATGTGTATGCCCCGGTTGGACAAAGCCTGCATGTACATACTCCGTCCAAAGGGATCTTTCCGACCAGATCAGAGGCAGATCACAGCGGACTACTCCGGAGATCCTCCGACCAGCTGCCTTCTGGACCAGGGCTGCAGGGCGCGATGAGCAGTCAGAAGTCGGGGACAGGTCGGGTATCAAGCTTCTGCACCCAGCCGCATGCTGACTTCTCCAGCTGCTTATACTACGAGTTATGCGTCCATACCTTATGTTTGCAACACCAAAACCGTGGACGAACTGTGTTCCCCTCCGTGAAACCCTCCATTCTGCCAATAGCCCCGATGGTCGGGATAACGGCACGCTCAGTGGACAGAGCGGCGCCTCCTTGTCCTCCTCTTCGTTTCCCTTTCTCTCCCGTCCTCGTCCTCGTCCTCGCAGGGGAGCATCCGTTAGAGTCTAAGGACTTTAGGTTGATACCATAAGAACAATCCAAACATACTCCATCCGCTGGATCACCAGGGCTGCAAAACAAAGCACGTTTGGCCCGCCGAGCCGAAATGGGCCAGACAAACGGTTGATCACGGCTGATCCTGTCGTGCTCCGGGCTCCATAACCCAGTGTCTCCGAGGTGAGCGCTGCGGCCAACGGCCGTTTGGTGGATGGAGATCACGGGGCCAAAGAAGTGATAGCGCCGAGCTCATGTCAAGAAGCCAGTGCGGACCACATTGTGAACATCCCGTGTATCGCTGGTAACGACGGCTAGACAAGTGGCCTGACGCACAAGTGTGCTGGTTACATACAAGTGCTACTATCACTGGGTGTTGACCCGCCTCCTGCCTGGCCATTCACCATCCTGAAACACAATCACCACGGTGCATGCCGTCGTCTAGGGGTCCAGTGCATTCTTGATCCAAAGTCGTCGACAAGCAGGTGGAGCGCGCTCACCACACTGTTAGTGCCGACAATCTCGATCCGTCATCTAGCAGGTGAGACTCGTTCGCTTTGCTTTGGCGGCTGTCTGGCCCATCGTTGGCAGCATACGGAGACTCCGTACAGAGTAGCGGTTGATGCCCCTCAGCTCTCAATCCTCGACACGTGAGCAGCGACCAGAGGTCGGATTCATGCGGGATACAGCAGGATCGGGGCTTTGCCCTGTGTCTCGGTTGGCAGGAGAAACAACAACAGATGTGAAAGGATTACAAGAGCTTGCGCCAGGGTTGTGGGAACCATTAATGCCTCGTTGCTCATGCTACGCTTTCTGTTGTCCACCGCTTGCTGCCATGCAAGACGGAGCCTACTGAGCACCTAACACACGATCATTGACCTAACTAGGTAGCCTTAAGCCGGCCCAACGCGTCAAGGTTAGTGACGATCGGGCCAACAAACTCATTGCTTCATGACTGGTCGTGTCTCGAGTATTCTGGCATAACAATACCTGGTCCAAAGTTACAAGCACTCCAGTCTCCCATCCTTCCCAAACCAAAGGCCTCCTCCACTCGTTCCGTGCCCAGTCTTCCCATCGTCCCTGGTCCCTAGGGCGACAATAATAACATCGTAAAACATGTTTTGGGGGAGCCAGAATGCTCCACATGCCTCTAGTAAGGCATCCATTGGGGTATCAGAAACAAGCCCGTATGCCCCGGGCGAGATCTCTCACCTGTGCCCAAGGCGCCTCTAAAAAGGCATCCCCGCTTGCTCAAATATACGCCATTTCATTCCCAAAGAACGCTTTTGGTCATTCCTCTTATAACAAGGGTTGCCTCTGTACAGTCACCTCGGCAGAAGCGGAACTGTCGTAGAACCCTCAATAGTGCACGTGAAAAACAGCTGGCACTCTGCCACCAACTCCTGTTGAGACAAATTCGTCCGGATGAGATCCCCCTTGTCTTCACCTGTAATCGTGATCATCATCTCAAAGAGATAGCGTATGTGCCAAGAATTAGATTCGTCGTTATCTTCATCGAACTTCCCTTGCGTGTATCGCCTCGCCACCATTCCCATAGCAAAAAGCAGGTCGTCATGGCCTAGTGGAATCGGAATTTTTCGGCCGAAGATTCGAGCCACTCATGGCTGAAGCCTTGTTGTGACCCAATTTCCGCGTCAGCTTCGCATAGTGCAGGCCACAAGCATTGCACAAGGTGCGAGCACCATCGGGACCTCGTCGCCATTCCGGCGTCTCGGCACGATTACAGCTATGGCATCGACCCGGAGGAGCGGCTTTCTGCGAGGAATATTAATGACCGCCATCGGACTCATCAATATAGACTCACCCCGCGACGTTTCTTAGCCTCCGGGCCAGGGAAACCTCCCCCCCTGTATTCCTCAGAATGCACAGCATACTCGTCCTCTGGATGATTGCGGGTTGTTTGTCGAGCACGCTGTTCGGACAGGGCAGTTTGCTGGGCAATGACTAGTTCTCGTAGATGTGTCACGTTCTCCAAGATACGATGCGACTGCCGGAGAACGTCATCGACCTCAGGAAGTGCCGGGAGTGATTCGTGAAAGTAGCCTACACGGGTGCCTTGATGGAAGCGTAGAGCCCACGTGCGCGAGAAATCGAGGGTACGGGCACAAGCCTCACTGATCTGTACAACGTCAGCAGAGGCCATCCTGGCCGCATGGAGACGACCGACTTCGTTGAATCCCAACTCAGCATCGTATACATCCAAGTGCCTCTTCACAGTGTCGCTGTATTGGGCCTCATTTGCAGCCTTCTGATATGTTGCTCGCTGGTCTGGAGGTTTGGGTACTGCAGAGAATTTGTGGAAAGGCTCATGTTGTGGAGGTGCGGTTGTGGGCGGGTTGTTGCCATAAGGCATGTAGGGGTGTGATTGCCGGGAAGGTTCGAAGGTTTGAGGAGAGGTGGCGGGGGCATGATCGTTGTGATTATTGAAGGAGGTATTGGTGAGTGAAGAAGACCGAAAGCTGGACGCCGGATTGGATCGTGGAGAGCCGGGATAGCCGAAATGGTGCGACACCGACTGGCGTGGATCTGTCGCAGTATGATGCTCTGCTGATGCAGAGCCATTACTTTGAGACGCAGAGAAGACGTCTCTCAGAACTGGAGGACCGGCCGGGGGTTGGGAAAATGGGTTTAAAGGGCCCTTGGGCCCTTCCGGATAGGTTTGGCCGACATTAGTAGAGGGGGTTTGAAGAGGCTGAAGTTGTGACGAGGCCGACAGTGACCCGGGGAAGGCGATAGGCTTGTCGCCTCCAAGAGCCTCGTGGATGGAAGGTAATGATTTGGGCATGGCCGGGGAGACACCCTCGTCCCGCGTCGAGCGTCGGGTGGTAGATTCAGGAGGAGAAATATATCCAGAGAGTCCAGCAGTAGATCCTGTCATTGGCACCGAGCAAGAGTAAGGTGGAGGCGGCCCGGGATACATGGCCGTCGTCGGACTCACCAGCGGCGCAGTAGAAATACTGAGGCCATTCATGAGTGAAAATCTGGAAGGATCATTCTTTTCAACACTGATTTTGTCCAAGTCGAGGCGACTGATGGGCGGTAAGGTGTCTCTGTGACTCAGGTCAGTCCCTCTGGTCAGAAAGGTGGGAAGGGAGTAGAGCAGGTGGGAACAAACCTAGGCCTTGTGCCAGCGTCAATGGTGGCCATGGTGGCCATCAATATGCGTGGTGATTAGTTTGTGCCTTGATAGCAATCTCGTCAACCATATGGGCGATCCAGCCGCGGAGATCTTCCTTGTCAAGGTATAGTTCCTCTTGTCTGTCCGGCGTCTGGCGAGACCTAACCGCACACCCTTGGATCAGGGTCCCGAAGGATTCGAGATGGTCAGGGCGACCAGAGAGCGTGCTCCCCGAAAAGGGCACTGTGCTCCTACCGGCTTGTCAAGCCAGGATAATTCAGCGCAAGGGAGGCTCCAGTGGTTTGGGGCGATAGGAGGAGGCGGCAGTTTGAGAGTTGAAGTGCGGAACTGTTTTCGGAACTCCAGGTTCCAGGACGCTCCAGATATCGTGATATCTGGACAAAGTACTGGCAGAGTGGTGGATGAGAGCGACGAAGTGCAGATGGAGTTATAGAGAGAAGTAGAAAGATCAATGGGATCAGAAAGTGAGATCAAGATGGTCGGATGAGAAAGATCTTGAAGTGAGTGGTGGGATTGGACGGCCTCGGGTCGAGAGGATGGTGACGGTAGTGAAGATGGGAAGATGAGCAAGTCTTAGAGAGCGAGATGGGCGGAGAAAAGATCGAGAGATCGCACTAGCATGGGCAGTGGGCACTCTGGCTCTGGCAGTGGGAAGTGGGCACTGGGCGGACGAGTCAGAGAAGGCAGGAAGGAAGGTCTGACGCGGGTATAGCTAGCACGGAAAAGCGTCAGTGCCAGAGGTGAGGACACCATGGGCCAGGAAAGCTCGGGAAGCAACAACAGGTGGGTTCAAAGGTTTCGCCGGGGGGTGTGTGAGAGTTCTCATTCTTTGGAGGCAGATAGCGTTTGGATCCCTTTGGGTCCCTCGCCCGGAGGGGACAAGCGGGTGGAGCTGTGCTTTCTTGTTCTTGAGGGCCCTTGGGACAGCAGGCACCTAGCAGGCAGGGGCCCAGGGGCAGGGTTGGCTGGAGCCTGCGGGCTGGGTCCTGGCTAGCTGGTTGGCGGGTGATCATGCAATGGAGGGCGAGATACTAGAACATCGACGGAGGGGGGGCCCAGATGTGGATGGGGCGATGCAGTGATGCAGTGCGTCGCCGATGGGCTGAGGGTGAGGGTGAGGGTGATGGGATGGGATGCTTCCAGGATCCAGGATCATTGCATGACTCTGACATACTTGCTAGACTCTGCCGCTGCCGCCGCTGCCATTGAGTCTGAGTCTGGTCTGCCACAGCCACTTGCCGGTGGATCTGGGCTCGGGGAATGATGCTTACATAGCCACGGCCAGTCTGGAGACGCACTCACTGTACTCCGTACGAGCTGGCAGTCCAATGATGGTTACGCAAGCTGTACGGCCACCGGGGTCGCATAGCATATACTCCGTACCTTGGGTCGATCTACTGCAGTGTGTAGGGCGGGCACACTGGGAAAGGAATTGCCACTTGCTGTCATCGGCACATACTCCTGGCATCCCTACGGAATAAGGGTATCTAGGTAGTCAAAGATGACTACGTACCTACGGATAGGGGCGCTGTGCTGTGCTCGCAAGCAGAACCCTCCCAAGATAGGTTGGTCGTAGTCGGTACTCCGTACAGGGCACCGGTTTGTTTACCGGCACTGGCGCGAGCCCTGATGGTTCGTCTTGTGCCTAAAGTAAGCACCCCGGGGGCACTAACATCTCTGACCTAGCCCGCTTCCGATGTAGGTACTGTAAGAGGCCAGTGGTACCGAAATCTTCGTATCGGAGGTGTAATGCACGTCGCACAACGCCTCAGGGCGCTCTGGCACACTGTCAAACTCCGGCATTTGCCATCCTCAAGTTACTGTATCTACAGAGTACTCAATTATTACCTGGTAGGTTAGGTACACACAGGTATCAGTTATTAAGCACGTCTTGCCAAGTGGATGCCCCTGCAAAATGGGCAGGTGCTATCTCCCACCTACTAAGGTGCCTGCCAAGCATGCCTCTAGGAGCTTGACATTCAAGTTCGAGTAGTGAACCACTATGCTCGACCTTCCCAAACTGCTATAGTACACTGGTACAGTACTGTTAAACTGTTGACTGTTGTAGGTGTTCTCCTTTCTGCTTCATCGTGCCCTTTGTTGTCAGGCATGTGTGCGAGGTGCGTGTCAGGCTTCAGCTGAACATCCTCCTACACCCAGCAGGGGCCTCCACCTTGTTGCCAACGCTACTACATACCTGGAGGAAAGTCCATTCGCTCAGACCCTCGCGTCGTTTGACTCGACTCGCGCGGGTCCCGTGCTTCTAAACCCAGGGACAACACCTCCGCCACCCTGCTTCACCCCCGGCTAAGCGAGGGACGCCTCAGCCGCCACCTTCGAATCGACGTCGGCCCTGACACGTGCTAGACTCTCTTTGCACTCCCCTGCTGAACATTCAGCTGGGCCTAGCAGCCACTTTGCTCCAGTATCCCTCCACACCTAGCAATCTTGCTTTCCGAATCTGTCCTCACTGGAAGACCAACCGATCGACCAGATCCGTCTTCCTTCCCTAACTTGTCCCGTTTCCATCGGATGGGAATCTGCTCAGAAGGTGTTGTGTCCGCTACCATACCTTCTCGCTAAATCCTCACAAATCACCTCAAAGATGGCTCCTAGCTCTGGCCCTTGAACAGGAGGTGGACATGAACACTATCACCGTGATACTCTGCACCGGATATACACATAGTCACTGACCGACACCCTTGTGACAGCTGGTTTATGGCAACGTGGGTCAATGGTGATCACCCTTAGCGCATCTATACATGGATCTTGCAACTCTATCGCCCAACTCGAGCTTGCCACTTCGGCTCTTGTTAGATCGACTGTACGGCGTGTCACCGCAGCCCTGATGTTCACAATATCGAAACTATGAAGCGCTTGAACTTCCAATCGACTAGTCGTTACTCCTTGAATAATGTTCAACGGGTTTCTATAGCAATCGAATACTCCGCCCTCTCTCTAACCAATGCACCATATGCGACCCTTTCGGCCAAACCTGCCGAAAGCCAGCATCTTACCTCGTCCATCTGAACCATTGTCTGAAATCTCGCTTAACAGGCTGCGGACGACTTGTCGTTCTTCGCCTCTCAAAGCACATTCATGGGCGCTGTACAACTCCCCCAGCAGCACATTGACAGCTGTCAGGTATCTCGCATCTCTATCCCTACATCGGAGCTCTGGCCCTGCCCTTTAGATGCTGTGACACTTAACCCACTCCACACGGCTCAAGAGGAACTCATCAACCGAAACCAAGCATACATATCCCGTCCCGACAGGGTGATATTGGTTTACCACTCATTAAATCACGGCTGTTGTATCGAGAATGGCATCTTACTGTCAGTATCGCAGTTTCACACGCACACTCTGGATTGGAAGGAGTCTTAACTCGGGGCTAGCTTCAGCGCGGCCGCAGTGACACCCTACTACTGCTACAGAGATTGATCCTGTTGTGGTGTGCGGATCTGTCAACGGATTCCACCGGACCGGCGATGAGCCATCGAAGCGACTCCGCAATCAAGACGACCGTCAATTCGTTGATTCTGAAGACCAAGTAATCTCTCTCCAACCGAGACGGCAAAATGTGGGCTTCAGATTCTGAAGGCTGGCTCGAGAATCTACCGTGTAATTGTATTGTTTATTATTGGGAACAGAAGCCACGGAAATTTGGCTTAACACCATCACAATCAATGCCTCGGATTTCTTCGGTCGCCATCCACGCCACGTGTGGCACGCAGGGCAGACTGCTCGACGCGACCGCTGCTGGCTGCTGACTACTGGCTGCTGGCTGCTTCAACACGTCGAGCCCGAGAGATGGAGTATAAGAGCGATGCCAGACTGGCATCGGGGCATGGACGACGGACGACGGACGTGGGTACGGATGCATATGCCCTACTTTCTCGCGCGCAAGGAGTGGACGCCACCAACACGTGGCGCCGATTCCAACCCGTCCGAATTACGATCTTACGGTAACGCTTGGGAAACTGCCCCACTGCAGTTCGTTCCGGTGCGAATTTGCCCCCTGGGATTGGGCTCCTGGGGCGCATGTGGGCGGGCAGGCGGGCAGGTGGTCTGATCCCTCCTGAAGTATCGCTACGGCACTCAATCTGGGTCCTGGACCCTCCCCCGATCCAAAGATCACTGGATCTCTTAGGCTCCTGGATGTCTTAGCGCCAGCCACCGCCAAATCCTGCCTGCTGCGCATGCGGGCTCCGTCCTATCCCGGACACAGCTAAGGCTCTGTGCAGCCGACGTTGCACGACAATTCCTGACGCCCCCCATAGCCCACCAGTCGCAGCCCATGATAGCGTGAACCGCGTCCTTAGGATCCTCCTCGCCCCCTTGTTTGGGCTTCTAGGGTTCTCCCCGTCTGGTGATCAGTGGCTTAGACTGTTGATGCCCTGCAGTCACCGCATTCCGTCTGTTGCATCGCATCGAGTCTCGTGCGTGCCGCCATGACACGATTTCTCAACGTCCGTGCATGCGAGTATGTATGCACCTCCATCACAGCATCCAATATGCGATTAGGAGGGCATGGTGGCGTCACTGGTGGCGTTGCTGGTGGTCAAGCAAGCAGCTGGAGCATTCTCAAGACTGACTGCTACTACCACTTACTGTTGAGTAAATCTGGGCGTTGCGCGACCACCCTTTGCCCTCATCCGCGTGAATTGAGCAATTCTAAGTTGAGGACGTGTAGGACATGATTTCGAATGCATCAGGCAGCGTTCTGAGGCTCTGCGCAACCAGATCATCCAACCGTGCATTAGCATCAGCTGGACAGGACCAGCGAGATGTGACGTTGGTCAACGACTATCCGGAGACATAGTGGCAGTCTTGTCGATTCCTGTGTGGGCCTGGAGCTCTCACACTATACTCCCATGATGCCCAAACGTTCTATCTCTGCTCGGCCTGCTCGTCACCTTTCGGACTCTGGACCGATCTGGGGCAACGGCTTAGAATGAATCAGAGAATCCTCCTACCATGGACTGTATCCAGATATTTTCATTCTACTTGTATGCTGAAGAATTCACGGATGGCTATGATGCTGGTCACGGCATTCACAAATGAGGGCTCTCCAAATCTCCTTCACGCGATGCTTGGCCAAGGCGTTTCCGAAGTTGCTGTGACCGCACCTTTCCACGTCCTGATCCACGTCTCACCCTCGGGGATTTGACCACCTACTCGTATGTGGAAAAGGGGGGAGGCGTGGCTGGCTGGCTGTATGTGTAGGAGGGAATGCTGCCATGATGAGGCGCTCAGTCTAGATGGCAAGCCGCCCGCGTCGATTGGGCTACTGCTTCCTCCTCTGCTTGCATGACTGCCTGGCACAGTGTTACGCGGCACTAGTGAGTGAAAGGTGAACCAACCAGAGGTTGACCAAGAATTGTCATGGTCAGCCCCAGGCCGGAGTGTGCTGACTGCGGAGTTGACGATATCACAGATGCACCACTTGCACGCGTAGAAGATGTGGTCAGGAGGTCCATGGCCGGCTTATCCATCCGCAGTGTTGAAATTGCACATCTTTGCTCAGGCGCGACTTTGCTTTGCTCTCCGTGCATTGCTGATGCGATGCGCTCTGGTTTGAGTGACACTGCGGCCTGGAATGGAAAATCCCCAGCCTGTCCGGTTGCCCGCCCCTGCGTTTCGGCTGGCTGAAGACTCTTTCTTGTCCTCCAACCACTTTCAAATGCGTTACGCTGTGCATGGCGAGGGAGACTCCTCAGCCCCGGATGTGCATTTGACATGCATATGACAGCGGGTGGCTACTTTTGGGCTCCTGCTCGTTCAGAACAACCCACAGCCTTCTCTGTCGATCACCAGTTCGGCTTCAACAACGGCGTCGGTCGTTCACAGGATCCCGGCCACGCGCTAACGGAGGTTCTCTAAATCGAGACTCGATAGCCGCTGTGGCGTACGGCGAACCTTACCCTGTGAGAGTTTGCATCGAGCAGCAACTCGCAAGATCTCCGACTTGCCGCTGCGTACTCGTCCACTTCACGTCGCACTGCATGAAACTGCTTGTGGAAAATGAAGAGTCGATCAATGACCAATCAACGAGTACAATGCTGCAACTGACTTGAGCGTTCTTGACCAGCAAGTCATTTGTTCGTTGTCCTAGTACGTGCTATTCCAACAGATGTGGTGGGGTCTTTCACCCAAGCCGTTCGTCTGCTGAAAAGGGCTGCTGCAAAGGCCGTAAAGGACAGCCCCAAAATGAGCACCTGGGTCCGAATGAATGATCCCAAGCGGCAACGCCAAATCCTGCACACGATTCCAATGTCCGCCATCACTCTTGTTGAAGCAATCTTGATCTATGAGTTGAAGATACGACATAGAAAGAATGCCGATCTGGCAATATCATGCTCTCCGGATGGAATGAGGGTCGAGCTCCTACGTTGGTAGAGGAAGCCAACCCAATCTTTATCCGTAATTTGATGGAACATAACATGTAAAGGGAGTTCTCAAGCCCACAAATGGCACATATCACGAGATTCATTACGTTCCAGATGGGCACTTCACCTTCATCGAGAGGATTGCTTGGTTAAGGGTGATGATAGTGCACGTAAGTAACCTCATTGTATAGTTTGGCCGTATTATTCCCCCATCGCATCTGCCTGGGGCGTTTAGCTCTCAAGACAAAATGTGTTTGTGTCGTCAACTCCGTGCGCAACCATCAAACATGCCGGCCACACCGAACGCACCGAAACGCCTCGCTTGAGACGAAAATTGTCACTGTACCCAATATGTTTGTGCAGTCACCCTGAAAATCACTTTTTAGTCGGCGGTTCTGACCTATGTCCCGATTTTAACTCGTCCCAAAACAATTTGACAAAGTGCTTGAGGCCCTGTTTCGCTTCGTGTTCGGCTGTTCAACCGGTGAATTGAGTGAGTCTATGTTTATTCCTTCTTTTCGTGCTGCGGGTTGGAGAGGCCGTGATGGGTAGCGGTAGGCATATATGGGAAGGAGGGTGTGTCACATACAATCGATGTGTGTTCCGCCATAGTATTCGGGTGGTTTGCCATGTTGTAGTTGGTGAACTGTCTTGTGGACTTTTTGTACGCCTCTATGGAAAGAGGAGCTTCGCAGTAGCTGGTGGTAGATAGTCAGAAGTCGGGGCGACGCAGGGAGTCAATGCATATGGGATGGTATGTACCACGTCTATCAATCGTTTCTGGAATTGTCAGCACCGAAAAGCAGGGCGAGCAAAGGAGGATCTAGGGAGGGAGCAACCTCTAAGTGCCACAACCACCAAACCATTGTGGAAGAGGAAAATCCTCGTTCTCTCTGTGGTAGAGATCGTGCTGGCCGCTCATATAGCGGTATAATTGGCGCCTTTCGAGATAAAGAAAATGAGAACTGTGCCCGGCTTCGGGGTTGAAGTGCCCTGAGGCGACAGAGAGACCAATTGACGGCGGGTTTTGAACCGTGTGGATGGTTCCCTTGTAAGATGACTGCGGCAAACGGCAAGGGTCATTGGAAACATATTACACTCATGTTACCAAAGAAACTTCCAGGTCCATGCTCACACTAGGTACCTAAGTGAGGGTACTAGGCACCTGCTAGGCGCCTACTACGACCTAGGTACTGACACAGCTTGATGAAAATACAGATATTAATACAAGTAATTTCAGCTACTTTACCGAGTATCCGTTCCACCCGCGCTGCAAAATGAGGTCAGCGGTTCATCTCGTGCATCGCCATCACAGCCTCAGCGGTCTTGTTGCATCTCCTCTTGATTGGAACAAGGCTCGTCACTTAAGATCCATTTGATTGCTCAGTCTTTGTAGCACAAGGCTGCCTATCAGTCTCCAGCACAGTCCATCTGTCTCTCTTGCTCACTACAGTTCGAACATCTGCTGCTGTCAGTCAACGTCCTACCCTTCGCCCTCTTCTCAGACCCGGACATCTCATTGTTTCTCAAGCCTTGCCACTAATACTACAACGTGATCCGACTCTGCACCGCTGGGAGTATCTCAACGCCTTGAGGGAAGAGTAGTCTTTTTTGGCACCAAACCAGCCTTGACTCTACCACATTGTTGACAAGAAGGGCAAGGGTTGTGCTCGAACATCCTCTGAACTTGGACTCCCTTGCTTCTGTCAAAGCATCTTTCACCAGTCCTTGTCCGGGCACAATACCTTTGGCCCCGTATCGGTCCCCTAGACCCTCTCAGCTTGTTACTACCTTTTCCAAATATTCGCCGGAAGTCACAACGACCGCCTCAAGATTCTTCACCGACAAAGCTGGCGCCGCTCCTCTGGATCATTCTACCGAGGAATCTTCCACACCCGAGACTTCCAAACGTCCCTCATTTCTACGACGCCTCCACATCCACTCATCGGGAAAGCGATCTAAGCCAGCTCCAACCCTGACCATCCGACCCTCCAGTCCTTCCTCTCTGCCGGCCCTGTCGACCAACGTGAGTCGAGCCGGCTCCTCCCAATCCGATGCCGCCACTATCGCCGAAATCACTCAAATCATGCCGCAGTCTTTGACCATTAACACCCCACCCTCACATGCAATCAAGCGGCAGCGGTCCCAGGAGACCCAGGCTGATTCGTCGACACCACCCTCACCTGGACAAGCCCCCTCCACAAGATCCACTGACGAGCATGACAACCCGGCAAGACAGGTCACTACCAAGCTACCTTCGTACTTGAACAGCACGAGACAAGGTGAGTTTTCCTGGACACTGGTCGCAACGGTGGCCGTAGACCCCTTGAGTCAGTTGGCTGACTGACGGCCTCCAGAGATATCCGCAGCATTCCAAGACCTAGAGTGGAAACAGAGATATCGGCTTCAGCATGCGTTTCAGAATCCAGAGTCATCCCCATTTCGAGTTGACCGATCTCCGGCTGTCATCAGCCGCAACCGGTATGGCAACGTTCAGCCCTGGGAATCAGCAAGAGTCAAACTGAAAAAGCCGGTTGGCGGTTCGGACTATGTGAATGCGTCTCCCATCATACTCAGCGGTCGCAACGTGCATGCATCTCGCCGCAGTGGCACCCCGGTTTCAGCATCGGCCGCCCGGATCGAGAGTAAATACATTGCCAGCCAAGGACCGAAAGAGGGGCAGTTTTCCCATTTCTGGCACATGGTCATGCAAGAGACTACCGGGGATGTCGGAGTGATTATCATGCTTACCCAGTTGTATGAGGGAAACAAGGAGAAATGCGCACAATACTATCCCCCCAATGTCGCCAATCCCACAATTGCTCTGGCCGCCCCTGAGGATGGAAATGAAAAAGAGAGTGCAGAGACTACGGACGATGGTGACCCTTTCCTCGACGTCCCCGCAATGATCGCCGATACTGATGGTGTAGGCACAGATTCCTATCCTGACAAACCGGCACCCCAATCGAATATGGGAGATGAAAGCCCAGCTCAATGTGGTACGGTCAGGCTGATTTCACTCCACGACGAATCCAGACTCGGGTGTGAGGTGCGAAGATTGAAGGTGACGATCGACGGGGAATCCAAGGAAATTTACCATTACTTTTACAAGAATTGGCCTGATTTTGGAAAGCCGGAGGCAGAAGATCGAAGAGCTCTAATGGAACTCACAAAAGTCACGAAGAGTGTGGCCGGGGATTCTCCTCGTATCGTCCACTGCTCTGCTGGAGTAGGCCGGACAGGGACTTGGATAGCCCTGGATTTCCTCCTGCAAGAACTTGAAGCAGGAGTATTGGTCGAGTCTTCGTCATATTTTGCCTCCCCTCAGTCGTCCAGACCCTCTTCCAACGGAACTTGGGGCAAGAGTGGGCCTCCCAAACCCAGCACACCCGATTCCAAAGACGAAGAGGACGCCATTTTCGAAACGGTCAACGCACTCCGTGAGCAGCGCATGATGATGGTGATGAATGAATTGCAATACAGCTTCTTGTACGAAGCCCTCAGAGAAGCTTTCATCGAGAAATATGCCCAGAAGGAAACGGGCCCGATGGTAACTGAAGTGCAGGAACCTAGCCCGAAAATTGCCAGGAAGAGCGCTCCATTTGGCGGCATGTTTGAAGGCAACCATGCGGGTCAGGTTCGCAGAGACGAGGACACTGTGTCGGAGACAGGTATTGAGTCAGAGGCGGAGACGGAGATCATGGAAAAAAACAAGCGAGAAGGCAATACGAGAGGTGATCCTGAACCGGAGGCGGATACGGCAGATCCGTATGTGGCGGTCGCGCCCGAAACAATCCGTGAAGGGCAGAGGAAGCAGGAGCAAGACACGGTACGTGATCACGAGGTGCAATGAGACGATGGATTGCATGGACTCGGGTGACTAGAAGTGATTTTACTGTATCGCATCTTACGGAGGCAGTGGTTGAGGCAACCTTGTGTGCCGATTGTGCTGGGTTGGGTTACGATTAAGCGATTGAGGAGGCGGGCTCGAGTTGTGATGGATCGACTCGACAAGACGGTGGTGTATGGACAGTACATTGTATCATCACGAGCGTATCGAGTCTACTTGGACCACAAGGACGGACAGGAATGTGAGGATTCGGTCGCTCTGTCACGAGCTTGGCCGAGCGACTTTTATTTCTCACCCGCTGTGTTATTCTGTCACGGCATCAACACGATATTAGAAGACTGGGAAACGAGAGAAGAGTGTCTCGTCATAGTCATCGAAGTATTGGCACCATCTTGTTGGGCATAGTCCTAGAGGCTGTGAGACGGACCAATGCCATCAATGCCTAGAGGCAACTGGTGTTCCCCGGTTGAGTAGACTCCTCCGGATATCCCGCCTGCATATGGTCCGAATAGCAGCTATGCTGCCGTATAGCATAAAGCTTACATGAATCATCTTACCAAAGCCCCAAAGGACAGTTATCATGCAGGAATGCAAGTATAAGAGAAGGATACACCTCCGCATCAAACTTGTTGCCGACGAGTGCAGTCAAGTGCCACTGCACTGTAAATGTATGCACCGAGCGGTCCAAGCTTGGCGACCGAACCAGCAGCGACACCGTTCACTGTTCACCGTTATTCCGCCCTCATATATTGAGAAGGCGGAAAAAGTGTCCATAACGCAAAGACCCCTGGAGTTCGAAGCGCGCCACTTAGTGGAGGAAACTTGGTGGAGGAATTTCTGCAATGACAAGTCAACATCAACTGATGGAAGAGTTGGGAAGTCGACAGCTAAGTGGAAGGCGTGCTCCTAGGCGAAGATCCTCTGTTCGAACCACGATCCGACCACAACGGCCTTTTTCCGACACCTGAATTTCGATCCGCACAACACTGTTAACGGAATTGACAACCAAGGAAAAAATTCATGTTCTCGACTCATGATTTCACTTACTCACAACCCCGTCCGAGGGCTTGTGAGCAGAGTTTTTTGCGCCCATCTCGCTTTGGCCTGATAAGTGATATTCGTCCCGTCTGCTGTCGTTGCAATTCCGTATATCTTCCTACGATCCACGGCCCAGCAGCTCTGGGGGAGAGAAAGGGGTCTGAGTTCTGAACCAATTTCACAGAGAGGGGAGGGCCCTTGTTTTGACGTATATCCTAGCAGTCGACTAAGCAGCCACAATCCGCGGAGACGCTGATCGAGTACACAGATATGCCGCATGCCTCTTCAGGGGATGTGTCGTATGCCAGTCTGGTATTTATATTTCTGATGCTCCTCTCCTACCTTGCCCACGGCATCGTCAGGAAAGGTCTTGGAGAACAGGCCCTCCGTGGCAAGATACACCAAGCGGGACTGGCCTGGAACTCTGACGCACGCATAGTCCATCTCGAAGCATTGATGGCCTCGCACTGAAGAATCTTCATCTGGGTTGATGTTGTTGGCTTAAGATTGGAAATGACATCAGAGCCAGTCGAGCACGAGCACGTGATACGGATGCTGGATCGCATCACGTGCCAATGATTATCAGGGCGCTGCGCTAGACTCTTTTCGGTCTTTGAGTGTCCCATGTCCCCTGTTAGGAGCCTGTCTGCTGCATCTTCGGCTTCATCTTCCTTCGGCAGGTTTGATCAACCTTCCCAGGGGCCCAGGGCCCAGATTGCGATCAATGCGACTCCTTGCTGTCTCACGTTCTTACTGACTGTCATTGGGTTGTGTTGCATCTTTGTCTCCGACCCATTCCTACAAAATCCCGAGCAGATAAACATGGAACATGGCGAGCAGCGTGTCCTGGTCGATGCAGTTCAGTTCAGCGTCTACTGGATTGCTGATGAGAAGATATTCGAATGCACACCCTGCGTCTTCAATTGCCCTTGGAGGATATACGGATAGCATCTGCGCAAATCTCCTTTCATTAATATGCAGGACAGGCTGCGAAACAGCAGACGTGCACGTCGAAGGCCGAGACACCAAAAGTCTGGGGCAGCCCCTGGCAGACCACGTGAAACGCAACATCCGACAGCCTCTGCCTCATGTTCAAACCATACGCTCGGGGCTTCCTACATCCGTTTGCTTTGCGTAGGTGAGTTATAAGAAACTTCCAAGACCTACTAAATGGCTCTTGAGGAAATTTCCTTCATTCCCAATCATACCCATTCCTTGATCTTTTCGGTCTCTTTTCTTTCCCTTTCCCTTTTCCGTTTCACTGCACCGCTCGCTGGTCGGGCATTGAACTTCTCTGCCAGTAGAGTCTCTCGTTTGCGGAACTGCCATCCGGATTGACACTCTTTTGCCATATCATCCCCAAGATCGTCACCGACTCCTAACCCTAACATGATTGTCCAAACCACCGCCGTTGCTCTGCTTGTTGCAGGGTCGGCCTCGGCCGCTGCACTCGCCAACGTGAAGCAGTATAGCCATGAAGCAGTCTTCAGCGAAGATGCCGACTTTGGTCTTTGCATCCCAACTATGAAATTCGAGGGTGGCCTCGGAGGCCGGCCAGCCATGGACTTCAGTTTCTTACCCGCCGATCCACTGTGTGCCGTAGGTCAACAAGAGACACTGAACCCAAGTAAGTGTGCTCAGTTCAGTTGTGTCCATGTCACGCACGCATTTGCATCTGCATCTGCATCTCCGCGCATTGCTAATGGGGGATCAGATATCATCACCAACCGGATTTGCGACCGAGTCAGTACTGTCTGCGGAGCGAACCAAGTGGCCCAGACTCTCTGCCGCGAGGCGCAGATGAAGATCCGGACGTTGGGAACTCGCGACAAATCCACCGCCGACACGTGGAACACACTGCTCGGCTTTGCGGGGGCCTTGACCAATCCTGACGGCGGACCAGCCGAGCCCGAATTCACCATGAGAGATTTGAAGAAGATGAAGAAGAGAGACTCGCCGAGCGAGAAGAGAGCCATCATTCCGTGCTCTGTGACCGAGTGGATCGATACCTGCACGGGCTGGCCCGCCGCCGTGCCTGTGGTCAAACGGGACGCCGAGGCCGCTCCCGAAGCGGTCACCAGCGTCAACTTGAAGAAGAGATCAGCGGCACCCGCGCCTGCACCCGCGCCGGAGCCGGAAGTCAAGAGATCCGACATCGAAGCCGACACGGCAAAGGCAAAGGCAAAGGCAAAGAGACAGGTCGAGTTCATTGCTTGCTCCACCACCGAATGGCTCGACGACTGTACCGGGTGGCCTTGAGCAAGTCAAGTCACTTAACTTGCGTGCGTGGAACCCACGGGAACGGGAAAGCAAAGTGACTACTCATTTCTTCAAGCCACGCTTCATCAGGGTCTGCTCTTTTCCCGGTGAGGGGGGAAGGAGGGGATTCATCTGCGTTGTGCTTGTGGTGTTCTGGAGTGCATTTCCAATTCAAAGTCCATGGTCGAAATTTCTGATTGGGTTGGTTTGGTATGGTGGGATTTTAAAATATGTAAAATACTATCCGTACAGCGGTGCAAGTTTGGCCAGTTGCAGATGGAGTGCAGATGCAACGCAATCCGTCCGATCTGCTCCTGAAGCGTGAACCCCGACCAATTGGCATTTTTGTGAACTTCCTTCCTTCTCCTAATACCCCACTGGCCGTTATGATACCGTATATGTATGTCTGCTCTATCATTATTATTGGAAAGTCTGACTCTGACTCTGACTCAGTCGTTTCCCGCAAGATGCAAGACAGAATTCGCACATGTCGAGTAGGTCCTGAATAGGAGGACTCAGATACGGGATACAGGATAAAGGATATAGCTACTAATGTACCAGGTACCTATGATGTGGAATCGGAATCACAGGGAATCGGAGATTTGATTCGGATTCATGCTTCTGAAGTTCCCAAGTTCTCAAGTAGCCACCTCCAAACTCCAAACTATTTACATGTACTCTGTAGTTTGCCTTGCCAGCGCCATCCTCCGCTCCAGTGCACCGGCCGGTACCATCTCAGACCGAAGGATGGACTCGTCTCACTCTCACGTATCTATCTGCACAGGGAAAGCAAAACAATGATCCTTATAACTGGCTTGAACTTTACAGCATGACACTTGTGGACGAGGCGAGGCGGCTTTGTTCATTTTCATTTTAGCTGGAACCCCATGGCGAGGAAGGAAAAAGACAACAGTGACGTTGCGTGCCGCCCGGAAACCATCTGTACTATCGCACTACACGCTTCAGGCCACAGCTGCCAAAGTTGAAAAGCGATGCTCCGTACCTCCCACCCCGTCTAACATGATGTCTCTCACGTGGACTGCCCACCTCGGTGACCTTGAGCCCAGCCGATGAGATGAGGTAGGCCGTGGAGACATTAGCTAGCCTTGCCGGGTCCGAGATGCTGCCTTTCCATTGTGCTCATAGTTCGTCTTCCTTTTGGACGTGGCCCGCGTCTACTAGCCAGTATACTACCTGACAGACGCCGCCATTGAGCTCATCTGGCCCGAAAAAATAACCAAGGTCGGAACGGACTGCCCAGCCATTCAGGATGAAGAGAGCTGTGTCTATCCAGGTGGCGTCCGCACGAGAGCAAAAGTGACGGTCGGCTCAGTAGCTCTTGAGGCAGGGACACACTACCTGTGGCGATTTAGATGGCCTCCTCGGCGGAAGATATGGACACTGTCCTAGTCCGCACGTCTCTGTATTCAACGTTTTGTGTACACAGGTAGGGTCGGCCCAGATGAAGTCGCTAGTCTAGGCCGAGCAAATGAGGCAACGTTGTTAGCCCCAATGCTGATAGGCGGAGTCGCTGTTGGTGTTGGTCTGGATGCTTCGTGTTGCACCTCAGACAAGGGTCGATCAGTCCTGAGAGGCGCATGAAGCATCTGACCACGAATATAACCCGACACAAGCGTCACTAGATCGGACCCCTTCATCGTGGCCCGGACTGTGCCTTTGCCCAGCAATGTCAACTTCTCGATGACGATGATGATCGGAAGTTCATGTCGTGGCCATATTCAGATGGGAAGCTTGGTAAAGTACTTCTCACGTCGAGGATTCGACGAGTTAGGACGACCAAACGACAATTGAGTGGTGAGTGGATGGTTGGTGGCCCTCATAACACGATCCACACGGCAGTACCGACGAAAATTGCTGCCACTATAATAGTCAAGATGGCAGCTCCAGCTATGTCTTTGGTGGTGATGGCCGATAAATCGTCCAGAGGGTTCTTAGAGGCGGTCGAGCCGGCAGTCGGGTCACTCTTCGACGTCGCGCCGGTTCTCAGAGTGAGAGGGGCCATACTACTATCGATCAAAGTCGAGCCGATCACGGACAACGCAGCCATCTAAGAAAAGTATCAGCACCGACAGTCTTTTCTCACACGTAAAGCGAAACGTACCTCTTGGCCGACCCCATTTGAGCCGTCCCATGTCGTGTTGTACCACTGCATGCCACATTCGCGCCCACTGGTACCTCCATCGCATTGAGCTGCCGCGGCTGCAGCACTAGCAGCCAACTTTGGCTTGATTGAATCAGCGGTGCTGGGAACGATGATGCTGGTAACAGCCATCCATCTTGCCAAGTATGACTTGAAGCTCTTCTGGTCTTGGTTGCAGTTCTGAGCTTCTTCGCATTCCAGTTCGTACATGATATTACCTCCATATTTCTGCGGAAAGAACAGCGAATATGAGCTGTTGAGAATTGAGTTAACGCGACCAAGCCAGATGTCGCTGCCGTTGGTGTAGTTGTACATGTACGCGGCGCCCGAGAGCATGGTCCCGTAATTGTAGGTCCAAACGAGATTGGCGACGGTGGTGCAGTTGTTGTTGCTGTCCGTGTTATCCCAGATATAGAACAAGCCACTAGCGGTATCGTTTTGGAGCAATGGACTGCCCTCCATCCAATTCCAGACCATGTCGGCCCAGTCCCCATAACTCTGGTTTCCCGTGACATACGCCAACCGCGCCGCAAGCTGAAAGTTGCCGCCATTGGAGATGGTGTTTTTCAGATTATAGCCAGCGTTCAAGGCAAACACTTGCCACCTCAACCCGCCTCCGCAGGTCGCCGTATCCCAGAGATCTCTTTGGAAATTGAACACAGCCTGCGCCAGAGACAGCCATGAAGGATCGTCACCACCGGCCTCGGGAAACTTGGCCTCGACCGCATCCAAAGCGGAAAACGCCCAAAAGACCTGATCATCGATACCCATACTTTTTGACTGGTTGGGAGGGTTGTAGTTGTTGTCCGGACCTCGCTGGAATTGGAGGGCTTGGCTCACGACAGTATTGTAGGTGGTATCGCCCGTGTACTGCCAGTAGTTGATCAGAGACCCCCACATAGCACCTGCTTCCCACCAACAATAGACCTGGTCATTGTTGGGATCGCAGCTTAAGGAGCCGGGTAAGAGGCCGGGGACTTGGCCGGTCTGGTTGCCAGTGTAGAAGGTCATCATGTCGTAAGCCACGGTGGAGGCGGCGGATTCGACCGAAGCGGTCGAGGTGACTTCGAGCGTGATGGCAGCCACCCAGGGCACGAAGAAAAAGATGGAGAATCTCATTGTGGGTGGGTGAGGTGAAGGAGAAGGAAAGAGTGGCGATCCTATCGGTTTAGGTCCAGTGACAAAGGAGATGGTTTGATTGTCTCTGTCTCTGTGCAGAGGGCACGAGTATCAGTGAAGGTAGGAAGAAGGGTAGCGTAGCGAACGAACCGCCGGGGCTCTGCACACAAGGCTCACAAGGCTCACAAGAGTGCGCCGGCTAAGGGGAAAGAATGAAAGAGATAGAGAAAGAGAAGTGAGAGTGAGAGAAAGGCCAACTCAGGTAGGTAGGTATTGTCCGTGACAGGTGAGACGGCACATCAATGGTTTTAAGATAGGTTCGGGGAAGAAAGATGTCTGTGACTGTCACAGGAACCTAGATGCTGTTCGTGGTTTCAGTAATAACAGTCAGCACTTGGGGACGAGCGAGGCCTTGACTCCCCGCTCTTTTGCCAGCCAGTGTTACTGTAGACGTGGCACAGCCCCCAGCAGCGGGTAGCATGATGGATCCTGGATCCTGCGAGGGCAAAGGATTTGCGCAGAAAGTGTTTGATCCCCATGACGCCGACCGAATGAGGAGCAGTGTCAGAGTCTGCCACTGTCCAATGTGGTTACTGCCCAGGTGGTAACAGGGCTTAGGAGGCCTGCCGCAAGCGAGCGCAACACGCGTCGGCTCCCCACCGCAGCTGATTTGACCCGCGGTTTTCTAGCCATTCCACCTTTTCCGCCTTTTCCACCTTGTCTTAGATTTTGCAGCCGTGGGTGACGTCGGGCCATCAGACACACACAACACACAATTTCCCAGTCTCCAGCGGCCGTCCACCTGCGCTCCGAAACGGGCAACGTCCTGCATCCCGCCATCCTGTGTAGCCTGAGCGTCACGAGAGCGATCTTCAGGGCCATTTTCAGAGAGATTGTGGCGTGGAAGCACGAAGGATGCGATCTTTGCAAAGCCACTACAGCTATGGAGTACTCGTATGGAGTACGAGTACAAGACATCTCTAAAAGCGCAGGTACCAACTCGGGCTGAAGCTTGTGGTGGCTAAGCACTTAGTCCACCCACTACCACCCGTAATCCCATAATGGCACCCACCTAGAACCCATCCCCTGCCGACGTTTGGCAGGTGGCAGGTGCCCCTACCAGTACGGAGTGCTTAGGTAGTAATTAGTACGTACTGCCATCCTCCCCGTAGGTGCCTCTGCTGCTCCCCCAGGAAGCTTGGCCGAGCTTATGGGTGCTTGAGTGGTTTGGCGAGTAACGATAAGATAACAGCAACTGTTATTATTATTACCATCTATCTCTAACACTACTGCCACCACTGCCACCCCTGCGTCCCTAGTCAGGGGTCGCAGGCTGATCGGATTCGTATAATCTGGGGTCTGGAATCGGGCGAAACCATCATTGAAACCCTACGCGCCTGGTCTCTGTTTCGAAGCACAATCGCAAACACATCCACCCCATGCAAGGCGGTTTTCCTTCCCCCCAGTCCGCTGAGTTCACCCTTGGCCCCTCAAGTCTACGGGATACACCTCTTCCGTCCGCCTCCTCTGACACTCTGTTCACTTGAACTGCTCCAGCCCAAATTTGCCCTGGTAAACGACTTTGAGGTCGTCTCCCTCAGTGATCTCGTCCTTGCGCTTGACCAAGTCGTCTACCGACCAGTTCGCAAAAACGAAGCGGCCCGACAAGAATCTGGCTGCATCCGTAGCCAGCCACACGCCCGTCCCGCCGACCAATTCAGGGGTGTCGAGCGAGAACCGTCGGAATGAATCTGTAGTGAAGAGGAATATTAGCAAAGGCGGCATGTTCGCATAGGAAGAGTCTCCCCGTAATCAGGCACAAACAGGGTGACAACCCCAGCTACTTACCGACGACCATGTTGGTCAGCACGTTGCCCGGGTGTAAAATGACCGAGTTGACGTTGGGATATTCCGCGGCAACGTATTCGGCCACCTTGAGAGTGCCGAGTTTGGAAATGGAATATGCAGACATGGTGGGCGCTACCATCGTGGCAAGTCCTGACGACATGGTGACAATGGTCGCCTGGCGTTCGCTCCCAAGCAGCCTCAAGAACCCTCTGGTCACAAGGTAGGTGCCCTTGACATTGACCTCAAAGTCCAACCACCACTCACTTGGGTCCGAGTGGGCGATGGGAGCTTCACTCGTGAAGGTACCGGCGTTGTTGATCAGAACGTCGGCATGACCATACTTGGCCTTGACCGTCTCGAAGAGCGCATCCACCGATGCCAGACTTGACAGGTCAGTCGGGACGGACAGGTATTCTACTTGGGTCGTGATGTCCCTGAGGGCTTCTTCGGTTGCCTGGAGTCTCGAAGCGTCCCGGCCGACGAGGACAATGGCTTTCGGGGTGGCTTTTGCGAACGCAGGAGCAAGCCCCCGCGCACCGATCCCGGCAGAAGCGCCAGTGATAATGACGACCTTGCCAGCTTGCGACAGCGCTGCGCTTGTCGGGTCGATGGATGAGTATTGGTCACGATAGACAGTCGGGGTATAGGCGGAAATGGTGACGAAGTGGTCGTTGGGAAGATTCTCCATCGCCGTTGTGCTTTGGGCTTGATGATGATACCGATGCTATTGATGGTGCGATGCTAGTACTATTACTCTCGCAATCAGTGTTGGTTGTCACGGTTATTACCTCGCAATCCCTGCCGTTTTGGTTCAAGATATATTTCTTCCCATCCATCCTGATCCTGGGCACTCTCTGGACCTTATATGCGCACATGTGCCTTGCCTCACCGCACCGCACCCCTTCTCCATATCTTTTCTTACTAATGATGCACCGCCCGAGACAATCATCTTCTCTTGGCCGAACTTGAGACTCGAACTTTGATAAGCTGATGGCGGAGTCGAATTTCCTTATTGAGTCCCGCGCGCTGACAAAGGGACAGCCGGCAAGTCGGAATTATGTAAGCCGGGCGTATAGATTGAAGATTCAGGTAAGCAGTCGGCACCAGCTTGGTGAAGGACGAAAGGCGGGCGAACGGCAGCCCACCATGGTCCCCTGGAGAGGGTTATCGTCGCCGGCATATACTACTGCAGACGAATACTCCCATTGCTCCGACACGTGACATGGATAAACCACCACGACCATACCCGTAAGTGGCCATCTTCACTGGCGTTCTTACGGCAGCCTCACCATGTTAAAGGCGTGTATGTAATTATCTCACGGGAATGAAGCACTTTTCCCTCCCCTCAGTCGTACCCTAACACCCGGGCATGTGCGTCCATACAATCGTATTCTGAATCAATCAATCGCAAGTGGCAAGGTCTTAGAGAAAACGTCGTTCTAGCGACCGAGTCCCGACCAGGTATGTCCAACTTCCGTTCATGTCTCAATGAATATTCGCCGGGTTGAGAGAGCTGAGACCGCCTGTTTTACCAGGCATCCAACTCGTTCTGCTGTCACTTTCGGGGGCGATGCTCCCCTCAATCCGTCGCCTGGCTTCCTGCCTGTCCTCATGGGTGATGGCGCTTTCGGCTTTCTTCATGTCTGGCTTGTGTGGCTCGACATGTGGCGTGTGACCAATAGACATGCCAACGCGGACCTGTTTGACATTCATGAGTAAGCGTTCAACCGTGGTCGCTTTAGTCAGTTAGACTTACCAATGTCTCTAGAGCTCCATTGCTGTTCTCCACCAAATCATCGTCATAGACCATCTTGCCGGGTTCGAAGAACAAGAGTACAGTGCTGCCGCCGAATTTGAAATAGCCCAGTTCTTCCGCTCGCTTGACTCGCTCCCCTGGCTTTCGTGTGATGATAGTGGAGCCAACCATCATTGCTCCGATGCAGACAAACATGACCCTACCATGAGCAACCGAATCGATGGGGACCAGAACTCGAACATTCTCTCCGTACACATCCAGTGCCGACCTAATGGCCATTGGGTTGACAGTATAATATTCTCCTTCGATGGCTTTTGGCGTGCCCAAGGTACCATCAACCGGGATATGAAAACGGTGATAGTCTTGGGGAGCTAGACGAAAGATGCCCATGCTGCCGCCTTTGTAGCGTTTGGCCTCTAAGGGATACGCGTCGCCAAATAGCTTTTCGAGGCTGTAATCTCTGCCTTTGACCCATATCCTAGTGGCATCGCCGATTGAATTGAAAACCACGGTCCGACAGTCTGCAGGGGACACGATGATATCTTGTCTGTCTGGGGCGCTGCAAGGCCTGGCTTCCGGCTTCAAAGCTCGATAGAAGAACTCATTGAAGTTCTTGAACTGATCCATCGGCAAAAGGACCTCGGACATGTCAAGTCGATGAAATGCAACGAAAGGCTCGATCTGAGCCACCGATGCAGGATCCTCATACTTCTTGCCCTGCTTGATGGATAGCGATCGGAGCAATTTTTTAATCCGTTTCTTTTCCATTTCTCGAGACCCCAACGCCTTGTAGAGCAATCGGATGCCGATGCGAACATAGACAGACATACGCTCCTCATTTATCTGGCCTGTAATGCGGTCCTGCACGAGGATATTCGCGCTATTAGCGCCCAGCTTGTATCCACCATAGCCGATTTTGGTAATGACTTTGGAGTACCACTTGCGTTGGGCCTGACTGGTAGTGACGAATCCCCCCATTACCAAGTTATTGACCTGTCGCCAATCCGAGCTGGCGCAGGTGGCAAGGTGGGTGATTATGTCTGCTTCTGTCCGTCGATTCAAGTCAGGCTGATGGCAGATGGGACATTCTCGGATTTCGATGACATGTTCTTCTTCGTCTCCTTCATCTAAGAGGTCGTCTGGCAGTAGTTTTCCCTCTTCACCGGCAGCGCCGGTTTGCCCTTGTTCAATAGTAGATACGCCAGACACACCAGGGCCGGCATCGGTGTTCGTCGAGGTCACCTGCGGCGTGTGGCCCATCGAGCCCAAGCCATCCTTGATTTTGTCCGATACGGACTTTTTAGTGCTGACTCTTTGTAGTTGCTCTTCGAGGCAGATGATGGCTTGGTCAAATGACAAATCAGCCTCACCAGCGTCTTCATTCTCGGACGCAAATCTATCAAAGAACTTGTCGATGGTTGATTCCTTCAGAGTTGAACCCAGCGTGTCGAGCATCGCCATGAACTCTATCTTGCTGATTCTTTTGCTCTCATCTGTGTCATATTGTTTCAGCATCGCTCTCCAAAATTGCTGTCTGAGCGCCTTGTAAGGCAGGAATCGTCCTCGAATGTGCAGCTCTGGGTTATGCTTGGTTTCCCATCTTTCTTTGTTCTTCAGCTCGAGCGGTATAACGTACGAGGCCGTGGTGGGATCGTCGGCTGGTTGAGCAACGGGAGTTTCGGCACCTCCCGGCAATTTCAGTGTGCTCCCGCCGTTGTCCGACGGTATACTTGTGGGCACTGGTGTACGAGCTCCTTCGGCTATGCTTGTGCTCGACAGGGATGACTGGGAGTCATCCCTCTTGTAGCCGGGACGTGCCAACTTCGATAAACTGCTTGCGGAAGAGGTGCGAGAGAGTGGAATGCGGAACCTTGATTTGCCCTCTTTTTGTGCCATTGCAGGTGAATATTCGGGCGGTTCGGGGAGAACATAAAGACCGGTCTCTGGATCGGCTTCCGGACCAGAGTCAAGGATTTTCTGGATGGGTAATGTGGTGGACGCCACAAAGTCATTCCCGGATAATTTGTCTCGGTCGATGACAGTGAAGGTCAAGGAGTAGCCAGTCTCTTGCCGCATGATTTGGAAAACCATTTTCTCGTTGAAGACTGGGTTAAGGTTGTGCCGAATAACCCTTGTCCTGAAGACTTTTCGGCCCAGAGCTATAACCACGAAAGGATCCATATCAAAAGAGGTTCGAGTCATATTCCGTTCAGGAGGGAGATCAGTGACTTTGACCACCTCCAAAAAGACGACGCCATTCACGTCATTGTCAACTCCAAGAAGATTGTATGCTCTTGCAGCAATGGACTTGCGGCGAAGACGAGCCAGTCTTCTTTTCTTCGCTTTCTTGTCTGCTATACCAGGCTTCTGTGGGGATTCATTCTCAGTGACCGATTCGAGGTCCTCGTCAAAGTCGTCCACCTCCTCGTCAGCCACCTCGTTATCTACGTTCGTGGACACGCGCGAGAGGTCGTCGTCCTCGTCTTCAGCTCCGATGTACGCCTGGAACTTCTTGCGTATTTCCTCGGGACTGGCCGAAGGATTCGCTGAGTCAACAATGGAGAATTGCATTAGCACCTCTCCCGACACCGCAGTGTCTTTCTTCGTAGCCCTTCTAGACTTGAGTTTGTACCATTTCGGCTCTTGCTGTACTTGGCCATTGGCAAAGATATCTTCAATTGGAAGGTCGAATTCTCCCATATAGTCTTTGCCAAATCGATCCTTGTCCCAGCAGATGCATTCAAGAAGGGGGACTCCAGTGAGAGGCATATCAAAGCATATCTTCCATTCCGGGTTGAGAGTCTTGGGGATCGAGGGGGTCGACTGCTTAGAATTTCCAAGAGTTACAATGAGATACTGTGAGAAGAAGTTAGAGATATCCGGCACTCTGTAGTAGTGAGGGACTTACAGGGTCAGAAGTTCCAGACCTGTCTTTTGCAGCCAGGTTTCGTGCCTGCGAAGCTGTTAGGAATTTGTGCCATGTCGACCGACGGCAGATCCAGTACCTTGATGACATAGAGCTTGAGAATCAGCGGTTTCTGGTCGACCTGTGTGTTTATGCTGATATTACTGCTATTGTTGGGTGGACTAGGTCTTCGACTGCTGTCGCCATTGGAGGCGGCACCTTGGTCCTGTTTCTTGTGGCCAAGCTGGCTGATTCCTCTAGGTAAGGGCAAGTGCACCATGATGAGAATGATGAGATGAGTCCGAGTGAAGAATAGAGGATATCGGATGTGGAAGAGTCGCAGCAGCTATCATACACCTTCAGGATTATGTATGTAGTGCCTGTATCTTGACTTTCGGCATGGAAGGGGGTCCGTTGCGAATGGGGTCAAGCGAATGTTGGGACTTCGCTTCGCGGTACAGCCGTGTTAAGGACGGACAGCGTCTTGGAAAGAGTGAAACAGATCGTATTACTCCGGCCAACAGCTGGGGTTCAAGGTAGTGCAGGGCGGGCGTCAGATGCAGAAATGGAGGGGTGGAAGTGCTTCATAATTTATGATGCCATAGCACAACTTGCAACCCCTCTGAGAACAGAGGGTGAAGATCGTTTTTCCGTCGAGAGTGCATGCGTAACACTGTCCACTTCGGATGACATGACGAAGCTGGCAGGTCCCATCACAGGATGTGCCGCTGATCAAGAACCTGTCCAATCGAATCTTCCTAGCCTCCTAGGCCCCCAGGCTCGCTGACTACCTTACCCATGGCTGTGCTGGAAGCCGCCTGGTCTGGCCCCAGGAGTGGCTATGCTTAGGAACAAGACTGCCTCGGGGCTTATCTAGCAGGTAGTCCTTGCATTTCCCAGGCCGTGGGCACAGATTGCCACGAACACGGGCAGGGTACGAATACAGAGTACGGAGCACGGAGTACTACGGTACTTATTTATTATCCTTATACTGATAGTCTCATCAGTGCACCATGGTGGCCTAGAGTTTTGGTAAGAACACTGGTCCATCCAATTTGAAGTCGGAGGTACCGAAAAGCAGCAACTTAAAATGCTTGGCAGGTCGCCGTCCGGCGTCAAATGTAAACACTGCACGGGGAAGCCAACCCGCGATCCAAGCCAGTGCAATCCAGCAAAGGTTCAGCAACTCCCCAGCAAATGCTTCTGCCCGCATTCGCGTAGTCGGCACTTGCAACCACTTTAATCACTCGTTAGCGAAAGCATTCTTAGAATGAGAAACCACTTTTAAAGCAATCCCATGCGCATGCGCCAGACATCGCAAGCGAACGCGAGGCACTCACGTCCTCCCTCATCACATACGCTCAAACAACTATGCTCGTCGCTCGCCAGCCGTTACACCCGTTGCCAATGTCATCGACCCAACGCCCGAAGCGAAGGTTAAGCGCACAGCTGCAGGAAAAGGTTGACGCGCCTCTCCGCGCAACTCGTCCGACGGTCAACGGAGATGTAGACGCACAAGGGAGCGTTCTAGATACGAGGCGCGCGCAGCCCTCCCGAGCTTCCAATGACAAGAAAAGGAAAATGAGTAGGTCAACCCAACAATAGTGGTGGAATGGAAGACCCGGGCATTTTTTTGACTTTGAAGTTCAGATTACGACGAGGAAGATGATGGGTTTCAGTTTAAACGCGTCAAACAGAAGAAATCCGGAATCACCAAGGTACATCAAGCACAGAACACCGAACCGACTGCGAAGAACGCGCCGCAGGCCAAAGAACCGACAGAAGGTCCAAAGGTTGCGAAAGAGGACGTCGAGTCCGTATCGCAAGCCAAAAAGAGGCGGCATAGACTATCATTTTCGACCCCCAAACCTAAAGCCGATGCTCCCGTGCGGCGCTCCAAGCGTCTTTCTCGCGATAACGAGCAGAGTGATGGGAGTCCAGTGAAAGAGATCACGCGCGATGACAAGTACAAACGACGGCGGCAGGAGCCTGAAGAGCGTCCCCATGACACAACCGAGATGGTCAATCAAGCAGAGCCAACGGATCCACCCCAGCTCATTACTGAAGCGGAAGATGACAATTCGGAGAGGAATCATAGAAAGGAGAATGTGCCCACCCAACAGAGAGATCAATCTGCTACAAAGATTGCGCTACCATTCGCCGACACACCAGTCATCAAGAGGAATAAAGCCATGCGCGAAGGCAAGAGTGGGAAAGGTGAGAGAAGGAGTAGTTTAGGTCTCCGGGGGCGGAGAGCCAGCTCCCTCATCGAAACGGGGAATTCCAATGGTAAGGAAGGCGAACCATAATGTCAGGCCAATTGACTAATCTGGTACAGCTCTTCCACACAAAGAAGTCGAGATACCGGATTTTCACAAGCATATCGAAAGCGAGGGTCTTCCTGAACCGCGGCGAATGAGACAATTGCTTACGTGGTGTGCCACACGTGCTCTCGATGAGAAGCCCATGGGGGCGGAATTTGAAGACGCAAGCGCACGAGCGGCGGGTTGGTGAATCCCAGGACTATACTCTAGAGGCAGTGCTAACCGTGTTACAGCTCGAGTCGTTGAAGAAGAGCTGCTGAAAGATCTGTCAAACAAGTCGGAGCTGTCTGATTGGTTTGGCCGCGAGGATGCCCCTATTCAGAAAAGGCCGCTTCCGGAACGGCCGAACCCTAAAAATCTTCAGAACATCGAGAAGATTGCCGAGCTGGAGGAACAGATCAAACGGTAAGATTGGCATGCTGTCAGCTTCCTCTACAAGCCGTGGCTAATCGTGCGTAGGCTTCGAGCAGAAAAGGATGCATTGGAATCCTTACATCAGCCACCTAAGATTCCTCGATTGGGTGAGCTCGATACACCGATCAGGCTTCAAAACAATCATCTAGACAAGTCACTACTGTCCGACGCCGATATAACGGCTCTCGAGGCGTCAGCAGCTAGTCACACAACTTCCTTCGACCAAATATCGGATCGTCTAAATCGACTCCACCAGTCGTTAGGTCCAACCATTGATACATTTGCAGACGGCATCCACGCGATAGGGCAGTATTGTGAGTCTGCAGACAATGTTGCAGGTAGAGTGCTATCCCTGTGCGCCCAAAGACTGGCTCAGCGGGAGCATGAGGGAAGGAAGAGGGCGCTGCCGGCAGCACAGGGCACTCCGCCGAAAGATTTAGGCGGTGTATTACGCAGTTTGAGCAGAGCCGACAGATGACGACGATGCTTTCATGCTCGCCTCGAATATTCGTATATGAATGAATGCTTGATGAACATGAGAGAAGTCCAATACCTTGCCAAGGGGAATTCGAAGAATGAAACATCGAGGACGAGACTCTACTCGGAGTCAGTACTCTCAAATACAGAGTACGGAGTATAGAGCCCCCAGTGGCGCCTCACGCGACGGTCGAGGACAGGGGATCAGGAGCGATCTCATCACACATCGGCTTGCAGACACCACAGAGCAGCTTGAGGCTGCACTAGTAAGGCTTAAGCAGGTCTTGAGATTGGCTAAGCCTTTCACAGCCTCATTCTCCTCCGTACTCCGTAGTACTATCGGAACTCCAGCCACAGTATCCTACGTCATTGGTACTCTACCTCAACGACTACTTTCTGGACGATCTTGATCGCCGATGGAGAGTTGGCATATTATTAAGTTGAGCATTATTATTGCACTTCAGGTTGGAACGAAGAAAGCCTGGTTTCTTGACCTGCAGCCAGCCGCTGGACCACTTGGCAACAGATTCTCCATCCACTCGTTCGTACTATCTATCTACTATCTGTGGACTCTGGGGCGTCATTCTCGCGCATCTAGAGGCTTGCGTTTGCATGGTTGCGATGGACATGCTCCGTACTACTCTATCCCTATCACAGTGGTGACAGGATATTGGCCAAAGAACGTCACCATAAAGTACTCGTAGCTGCCACCACTGCTGCGCCACTCCCTCCTCCCTCCTCCTGGTGAGAAGTAAAAGCATACCAAGATCGCAGCTTCCCCAGAAAAGCACTGAAGAACGAAGCGTACTTCCAGCCTCTTCCAGACCTTTTTCCTCGTCCGCACCTTTGACCAGCCTCTGCACGGAGACAACCACAAAACAATTCGAGTGCCGTCTTTCAATCTCGACAGACATACCTACCTAGCCATCTCTACTCCTACTCTTGAGAGCCTTCTTCAGTCTTCCTATCATCACTAAGGGGCGCCCATCTCTGCTCTTCGGACTACCAGATCGACCCATCACTTCATTCCACCATCCTCCGTCCCACGCCATACCTAATCCACAAGACACTCTAAACCCTGCGGCAACTTACTTCCCTGTACACAGCATGCCTTTATTCTACACCAAGAACTGGGGTGGCCGACACGTCGGCGGCGGGGTCAATGTCAGCCGTCACGGTGTGAGGAGGAATCCGTTCAGAATCTCTTTCGGTCGGTTCAGCTGCTTCAGATAGAGGAGTCAAACGCTATGGCTATCGAGGTCCGGGTGTCTTCTTGTATGGGTCGAATACGATAGTCGGACTGCAGGGATCTTTGTGCAGAGCAAATCCTGGAGTAGGCACAAGCATGGTCCAACAAGCAATGATCATATTCATGGCTGTGAAATGGTTCCCGAAAAAAGGAGCGCTCGGGAGGATCCCTTCGGAATGCGGCACTTATACGGAGTACTGTGAGCAATATGACTTAACAATCCCTCTTGGAACAAGACTGGGCGGTGTTCTGATTCGTAATTTTTTACCTTTTTTCCGAAATAAGATTGGAACGTTCTCTTTAGTGTCATTGTGCCTAAAGCTCGAATGGTACGTACATTCTTGGATATGTCAATTTGTGCTTAGTCAACTGCCCTCCTTGATGGTACGTCAGACTCATCAGTCTCAATCCACGGCTAGTTTCTTGAGAGCTTCTTCACTTCCCACTGAGCTCGTTGAAGGGGTTACTTTGGTGTTTTGACCATTTGTCGTGATATCGTCGTCGTCTTCCCAAGCGTCGTCGGGAACATTCTCGTCCCAGTTATCTAACTCTTCCTCGACTGACCGGTTCACAACACCCGTTTCCTGGGCATCTGCATCCGATCCTCCAAGTCCCCCATTGGTGCCCTCTCCCAGCTCTAAATCCTCTCCTTCGAGACCGTCACCCGCGAGAGCGGTGAATTTGGCCCTTCTTCGTCTTTCGGCGGCACGTCGATGGTATGCGCTGGCTAGGCCCAGTGCTGCCAAGCTGCCTATTACGTTGGCAAGGACATCCCAAGGGTCAAACTCGCGATCGTTTGGCAGCAGGTGCTGAGCAACTTCGCTTCCAACGGCGAGACATAGTGTGCAGACAACCAGTGTGAGGTGAATAACCCGTCTCCGAGTGGTATCGAGGATAAAGTAGAATGTTGCTGTCAGGGCGAAAAAGAATACAAAATGGAGCGCCTTGTCGGATTGACGGGGAATATAGGGTTGCGCCGCCGCAGGTGTGGAGGGGAGCGAAGAGTACGGAAGCAGACCGATCGACGAGGAGAAGATGAGGAGAACCAGGAAGGCGACTAGACAACAATGTTAGCATTCTGTCAGCCGGGTAGCAATGACGAGAGACTTACTAGCAAAAGGAAAACGGATTCGCATGTTTGCGCCAGAAGCGTGGTGGTATCGTGGTAGCGGCCAGATAATACAGTGATGTCCTATTGGGGGGTGCAGGTGCAAGTGCAAGTGCAAACGGCTGCCAGCACGGTGCCAGCTTCAACAGAAGAGAAGCATAACTCGGGTTCGCGGTAGGCAGTATAGTTGTGATGTCGTAGAGGGTATTTGAGAAAGCGTGTGGTAGATGTCGGACCCAGGCAAGTCTTACACCCGTCAGGGGACCTTACTGGGTAGTTATGAGGAACTGCTGGGAGCGCAGGACAAGCAAAAACTAATAGGCCACTGCCGGCGCTGAGGCTCGGCAGGCGCGCTGCAGTCGATGCACTACGCCCGATCGGCCAGACGTTTCTTTCAACCTCAAGCCTCCCATTCTGTGCGCATCACACGTCAGAATCACCAGACTTGTCCATCTCACAGCACCGCGCATTCATCCTTTTCCGTCTCGATTGCTTCGGATTCGGACTCTACGACCTCGATTTACCATTTGTACACGTTTTCAGACGTGCCCAGCTCCTTGTCTTGCCGTCGCAGGACGCCGTCCAAACTGGAGTATCTGCACCCCTCGCTCGCCGCGGGTCGGGGGTTGGCACGGTCATGTCCTTAACATGGCCGCCCCCAAACAGCCAGAAACCACCGGACGATGAACCTTTACTGCATTCCCTCCACAAAGACACGCTGAATGGACTGCTTCGAGCCCCTTCTCGACCTCATACCCCTAATTCTTTCAAACTACGCAGTCTCGGTGCTGGCTCGCAATCTGGCCAAGCTGCAGAACCAGAACCCAATGTTGAAGAAGATCCGCAGGTTGTTCGGTTCCGCGCATTATTCCAAGAGACGGAAAGCAAACTTGCAAACTTGTTCAACGATGCTGGCGAGGTCATAATTCCGGAGAGGCGTGCACATCCCCATGCGCCTTCATTAGATGTCGGGCCCGATATTGTCGAACCAGCACCAGCCCCTGCTCCTATATCGAAGAAGCGAAAGTTGGACGACGACGACGACTACGACGACTATGATGATGACGGCGACGAAGAGGAAGATCAGGAAAGTGACGCAGCGCGAGCATCTCCTTTGAAAGACAAGCCAAACAAAGTTCAGCTCGTCGCCGATAGCACCTCGTCGCCGGTACCTAGACCTGCATCCCTCTCAAGGGGTACCTCAGATCCTACAAAGCAACCATCTAAGCCCGGTGTGATAAAACAGAATGAAGACGCGCAAGATGCTCGCAAGAAGTTGGAAGAGGCCAAGCGGAAGGAAATTGAGACTGTCAAATCCCTGTCGCGGACCATGTTCTTCACACTTGAAAGCGACCGGGATGCCATGTTGGATCAGCAACGGCTTGATGAGGCCGAACGTCGAGCGGAGGCCGAAGCAGAGGGCCACGCCAATCGCCAGATCGCTACCACGCAGCAGGGCAGTTTGAGCAAAGCCAATCTCGGCGCGTCCAGTCTGACGCTGAAGAATTTGATCGCGCTGCTAGACGAACATCGGTCGATGGTCCATGCGACTGAATCAGAACTGCGCGCCTTGATGAGTGAAGTGCGCAAGAACCGGAGTAAGTGGGCGAGTGAGGAAAAGATCGGGCAAGAAGAATTGTACGAATCGGCCGAGAAAGTCTTAACGGAGTTGAAGGCTCATACAGAGCACTCCTTTCCTTTCCTCAATCCTGTCAAGAAGAAGGACGCGCCTGACTATTACATCATCATCAAGTACCCGATGGACCTGGGAACCATGACCAAGAAACTGAAGCAGTTCGCGTACAGGTCGAAAAAGGAGTTCGTCGATGACCTGAATCAGATCTGGAAGAACTGCTTGAAATTCAACAGCAACCCTGATCATCTCTTCCGAAAGCATGCGCTCTTCATGCAAAAGGAGACTGACAAACTTGTGCCGCTAATACCCGACATTGTAATCCGTGATCGGGCAGAGGTTGAGGCCGAAGAGAGAAGGCAACAAATTGCCAACGGCGAACTTGACGATGGCGCCGAGGAAAGTGACGATGAACCGATCATGTCATCTCGTGGCCGCAAGGCGCCCAAGAAAAGCGCGAAAAAGGGCGGGTCGACTTCGCGGAAAGCGCCACCTCAGGTCACCCCTGTTCCCGAAACTAAACCAGTCCTGCAGTCGCTCAGCTCTGTACAGAATGGAATTCGAGCAGAATCTGAGGCTGACGGAAGTCAAGGCCAGTCGACTCCTCCACCAGGAATATTGACGCCACTCGGGGCCCATGGTCCGGGAAGCGTGGCCGGCACGGGCAGTGAAGCCATGGACATGGATGTGCCTGGCCTGCCGTTACAACCACCGATCCCCGAGTATGAGGATGACGAATTCAAACTTTGGAAGCAAAAGACTAAGAAAGATCGAGCCACGATTGCCGCCGCCCGGCACAAGCTCTTTCGCGGAGACAAACTGAATGCGGAAGAAACTGCGTTGCTGCGAAGCAAGGCCGGAATGCGTCGATGGCAACGAATTCAGCAGGAGGCCGCTGGCAAGGATGTGTCTGAATTCTATGGAGATGGCTCCGAGCGTGATCAACCTGGCCAGACACTCGCCGAGGGCATGGAGGCGGAGGAAGAGAGTCTGCTTCCTGACTACTACGATCCGCTTTCAGCCATCCCAGACCTAGAGCCGCGACTCCGGTGGGAGCAGGATGGTGAAGGGCAGGTCGTCGAACATTTTGAGGAGTATTTGAGATTGTACCCGTCGAAACAATTCACCGCTCCGGAAAGCAAGCTCTCCAAGAAGATGGAAGCAAACATGCGACAGATGCAAGAAACACGGAAAGTGGTGTCCAAAATCGGAGTGGTCAAACAGATGCAACTGCAGTCTCAGACTTATCAAAACCAGTTTCAGAAGTATCAAGCGGAACGTTTTATCGAAGCCGACATACCGAACCACGTCATGTCTGATTCTGGTCCCTTAATGGCGCCATGGGTATGCAGGGCAGCCTTTCAGCGGGCTATTGGCCAGATTTTCTTCCATGCTGGATTTGAAGAGTTTCAACCTTCGGCACTGGATACCATGACTGATTTGGCGGCCGACTTCTTCCAGCGGATTTGCACTACACTGATGAGCTACAAGGAAGACTACAAAATTCCAGCCACAACAGCTGTCTCAACTGCGCCAGGAGTCAAATCTGAGACAGCCACGGCCTACAAGACTCCCAACAGCAACGAAGAAGCAATTCTACACACTCTCCATTCCAGTGGAATATCGCTGAGTGACCTTGACATTTATGCTCGAGAAGATGTGGATCGGTTGGGCGCTCGTCTCGGCATCATGCACGAGCGTATGAAGGGACACCTCGCAGACCTTTTGCGGCCTGCTCTGTCCGAAGATACTGCGCACGGTCAAGGGTCGTTTGCAGATGGAGGCGAACAATTCGTGGGTGGCGATTTCGCCGAGGATCTGGACGAAGACTTCTTCGGATTCCGAGAACTGGGTCTTGACAAGGAATTTGGAATGGCAAGTCTTACAGTGCCGTTCCACATCCTCCAGAACCGACTTGGCATGGTCAATCCTCAAGTCAATCCAGAAGATGCGGCGGAGAAAATGTTCAAGGAGCCGGCTCGGTGGCCCAAAATCACCGCCGAAAACGTAGACGCACAAATCGGGTTGATCAGGGAGTTCTTCAAGAAGCGTCTGCGTGAGAACAGTGATCGACCATTGACTGAAGACTTGGACCTTCCACCCAAACAACGGCCTGGACATGGCAGAGCCAGAGTTCCCGCGAGTGGAAAGATCGGAGATGGAACGGTGAAGAGCAATACGAGCCCTCTGAAGAAAGCGCCAGTGAAGAATACTCCCGCTCCAAAAACTGGCGGCGCCACTCCGGGCGACAAAGGGAAGAAAAAGTCGGTCGTAATCAATGGAGGTGGTGAAGACACGCCAATGGTCAACGGTGTCAATCGCTCAAGTCCCGGACCAGGAGGAGACGGAAGTCCCGCAAAGAGGCAAGTGCCTCTGAAAGCCAAAACGGCGGAGTCGGACCACGCACCAGGAGCAGTGGCCGCGGAGACTGTTGATGGAAACGGCCATGGCATGGCCGATATGAATTTCACTCCAAAGGTCAATGGCGCCGTGGACGGAGAAACGAGTATGATGAGTCCTGAAAGTCTGTAGGCCAGCATCAAGGTGGCCGAAGTTGACTGCTTTGAGTTGGTCGGTCTGTACCGATGTAAATATCATGTTTTGACGCATATGGAGAGGAGTTTTGGTCGTTGTGCCCATCAACGGGGCTTTCGCTGGCAACGGGCCAGCTTTTAAGAGGCGGGAAGTACGGAGTAAGTAGGAGTGAAAATGGGTTGCATTTTTGCACATGACCAAGATATCTTGACCTTTCCGTCTGTCTGATATGGCCTGTTTTGTATTCCAACCGGGAAGGCTTGATTAGAAGAATTGGTCTCAATGATACCCGTGACATATACATATTGAAGAGCCACGGTGGTGTGATTCCTTTCCCCAGGTCCATAGGCGAGAGCTTGATTAATGGTGACATGAGATGTGGTTCGACAACAAATTTATATACGAGTACGGGGTACAGCACATAAGTTTTGGTCTTGGTTCGGATTGGGGTTTTGGTCCCTTCTTCGTAAATGTCTAGAGATATAGATATAGATAGATATACAGATAACGTGCATGATAAGCGAGTGAAACAGACAAGCGAGTGAAACACCTCAACCCGACCACCTCGACATTTTTGACCTACACGCAACCACAACGCATAGAAATGTTTGTAACTACTTAAATTCCTCTTCTTCAGACGAAGTAATCACTACTTGACAGGTTCTAGAGTTGTGTCCGACGTTGCCGCAGAC